ATAGTTGACAGGTTCTCCAAGACCATAATTCCCGTTGCCTGCACCGAGGAACTTACTTCCCTCGGGTTCGCCAAAATCCTCTGGGACCATGTCTACATACCGTATGGGATAATGCCCGAGAAGGTCATTTCGGACAGAGGAACAATTTTCATATCCAAGTTCATGAAAGAATTCTATGCCCTTATTCAGGTTGCAGGAAACCCTCTCTACGGCCTACCACCCTCAAACAGACGGTCAAACTGAACGGGTCAATCAAGAGATCGAAAAATATCTCAGGATGTTCGTAAACTACCGACAGGATGATTGGAGCGAGTGGCTACCATTGGCCGCCTTCACTCATAACAACTGAACACATTCGGCCATGGGATTTTCCCCCTATAAGGTGGTCTTCAGAAGGGATGGGCAGGTTATCAAAACCGCCCAATGACCAGACACCGTCCCGGCAGCATCAAAACTGGTTCAGGGAATTCAGGAGGTACAGGAAAAGGCGAGAGAATTGCTAGAGCAAGCAGCCAAATCCATGAAGAGGGCTTATGACAAGCATAAGGGGGAGGCTGTCAAATACCGAGTAGGCGACAAGGTATGGCTGGATTCTACCAACCTAAACCTTCCTCGCCCCACCAAGAAACTCGGAGATCGATGGGTAGGACCCTTCACCATCATCGCCAAAAAGGGCACCTCCACTTATGAGCTCAAACTCCTGGTGGGCTGGAAGATTCACAATCGGTTCAACGAATCCCTCTTAATGCCATACCAAGCCCCAGAATTCCCCAACCAACCACATCCAGAGAGGCCACCTCCCGATTTGATCGATGATGAAGAGGAGTACGAAATCGAGGAAATCGTGGAACAACGAGACAAAGTTATCGGTCGAGGACGTACTCGTCGTACTATAACCGAGTACCTGGTGAAATGGAAGGGATACCCGATGGAAGAGAACTCCTGGGTAAAACGTTCAAATATGGCAAATGCAGAAGAGCTGCTTAACGAATACGAAGCCCGCCTCCAAAGGATTCAGTGGGAAATCGATAAATATGGGAGGACGGTAGGGATCGACAATAAAATACCACCCAATGACCTAGCTCAATACCACGAACCGGATACTCCTTGCCTCACCGACATAATTATGGTTCCTTCATCTCAATGCTCAGCAATAGCCCACTCAGAGGAAATTGATAGGATCGTTGAAGAACCACCTATCAATTGGCACCTGGCGTTCAATCCAGAGTTGGAAAAAGATTTCGTTGAAGGAAAATGGCTGAAAGTAACAACGGATGAGGCAGATGGAATACCGGTCGTGGAGGAAGAAGATGACTCCGAGGAAGAGGTAAACCTTCAAAACCTCCAATGCATTTACAAAAACTGGAATGCAGACGAGGAGGGAGATGATGACGATGTACCGTCTTTCTACTCCGACTCCAGACATTCAACTTTGGATGATGACGAATGGGAATCTGAGGACTCATTCAGGATGAACGAGTCTTAGAGAGGGGTTAATGTTACGGTTTATTCATTTTTCTTTGTCTTACTCAGCAGGATTACTCATATGCAATCCCTATGGATCATTTCTCACAGTACTATTATTAGCGTATCAGAAGTGTATTTAAGTAGAGCCTCAGCTGGCCTAAAACCCAGCTTCGGCTAAGGTTTAATCTACCCAACCTCGAACTCCTTGTTTTGCATCTATCTTGCCCTCAATCGACTTCACATGTCGCCTTTGACTTACTAGAGTATCTACCACCGAAGTGCGAGTGGAGATCCTAGTATGATCCAAGTCGATTAAAGTTGGTTGATAACAAAGCAGAGGTGAGCAACTGGTGTTGGTGTTGGAGAGAAAAGACAAAAACAAGTGTGGCTGTGCCACCCCGGCAACCAACCGGCAACTTCTCAGTTGTATGCCGGCTAATCCTCACCCTCACCACCGCCTCGATGAGCTTGCCCCAGATGTGGGTGTACTGACTTCCTGTTGCATCAAGACTAGTCTAATCCACCAATAGTCTTGTACCCAGACGCCGATACTTCCTTGTTCTCGTCCGATGGCCTCAACATCTCTCTCCCTTCAGGAGACCCGCTTTCAGGATCGTCTAGGACACTCGAAATTCAATCCAAGTTCCTGCGCAACGAACCACAGTCGGGCCTTGCTGAGCTTGCCTTTGCTCTTTTTCTCCCGCTTGCTGCAAGCACCAGGTCTACACTGCCATTAGCTCCCCCAAGAGCGCAATTCTGTTATGGATATTGGGTATCCACTGATTTGGTGCATGAGTCAACACATGCCCGAACTCGGCCTTCTCGGTCCTAGTAGTGACTCGCTCGTACTTTCTCTTACTTTCTCTATTCTTCGTATTGATACTAGAATATTATAGAACATTGTAGAATAATAATGACTCAAACATTTCCTTAGTATATAAACTTGTAGATAACATTGTATTAGAGATACTTGATCAATCTACTACTTCCAGTACCCTCACACTGTGTTAACCCTCAGTTACGCCTAGCGCTTGCTGAACGACCCATTGGATATGCCTAGTGCTTTCCAATACCAACCCGAAGGTTACGCTTAGCGCTTGCCTTCACCCATGGCCCGTAATAGCTTCGTGCTTACAGGCTTTCTATATCGGTAATTGCTCCACGCTTACCGGCTACTTCCCTCAGTAATTGCTTCGCGCTTACTGATTCTCTTTATTTCGCAAACCGGACCACTCAGGTCTCCTCACGAACCCTCGCCGGAATCCATTATATTCCCTAATGATGTACATCACTTCTAATTAATCTTACCTCGCTCCGATCACCGCTCCTTGCCTCGTGCTAGCATATCCGGATTTCGGCAGATCCATAACAAATTCGCCCTTTGATATGCCCACTCACTCCTAATATTCAGTGCCACCCTCAGATTGAAGGACCGTTTACTCATGGATGAAGCAGGCCAGCATACTACTGCATTCTCTGCTGAAGAAATCGTATGTCACTGGACAGCGCATATCTAGCGCATTGGATAAGACATATCCCATCTTTTTTTCATTGTTACTCATGGGCTATAGGTTCTCGCTGCTAATGGATGTCCACCCTCACTTCTGTTCTGCGCTCCCGTGGCCTTGTCTCCCGTCACTGGGAAGGCATGAAGACCAAGTCTTCAGTCTCACATCAGCGAATTCCAAATTCAGGACTGCCTTGATAGGTGGATCACCTCTCAGGTATAGATAGGCACCTCGCACCCATGTTTGATCTGCTTCGGACTGAGAGTATTGGTGAGCTCGGCCACCTCATTCTGGGCACATATATTTATCATTCGCATCTATTTCCAGCTGTAATCTTTCATCGGATTCGTGCACATCAAACTCATAGGTACCACCCCCAAATCCCTTTGTCGTGTCATCCGACCATACAAATCAATATATGTATCTTTGCTCACTCATCAGTCACTCTGTATGGGTCAATTTAGCGAGATGATGGTTGCCATTATCATGGTGATGTTCGCAGTGAGTTTCTGCATGTGTACGGCCTAGAGATCCTACAGTTGCTTGCGTTTTACTAGCCAGTGTGACCACTGCTTACTGCCATGACTTTGAATCTTGGGGCCTTATCCGTTTGCCTCGTATTGCCTCCGTCAGAAGGTTACACGCTGAACTTCTGGGATCAATCACTAATGGATTCATCAATGTCATCTTTTACCTTGTATCTTCCGTGCATAGCCTTGTCAGATTTGGGCAGGTTGGATGACACGTATAGGCAAGCTGCAATGTCACCATTCTAACTGTAAAAGCACTAAACGATTAGTATTCGCTTAGATTGTTTATGCTGCTGTTGAGAAGACCAGTGCAGTTTATGGAAGCTTGATGATTTGTTTGCTCAGTCTTCTAAAGCCAGACTTCTGGTCCCTTGTCTTGAAATCACCGGCAGAAGCAGATACTTTTGTGTTACTTAGTAAGAAATCCTCACCTCTCCACAATTATATTATCTGTAATCCTGTGCCCATCAGTCTCAATCGGGCTAGGTCCATTCATCAGTGCTACATAAGAGGAGACATCGAGTTCAATCCACAAATCTCTCTGAATCTTCACCATGTCAGACGAACAAGTATCAATCGCAGAGTTGAACCAGGTGCTATTGGGAGTCTTCGGGCATGGTCAGTATGCAAATTGATGCATATACACATTGACTAAGTGGGTTGAGATACAACAGGTATCCATACTTGCATTGTGATAGTGGCATTGTGGGCAACATGTGTGTTGGTCCCTGATTTTTCAGTACCGGTGCATGATAAAAATTTCAATAGTCTTTAGTAAACAACGCCGACTCAAAAAACGACACATCATGGTTTCCCTTATCATGTGCTTGTATATCTTTGCCACAATTTATGTGGCCTCAGACTGGGTTTACACTATCTACTACTTTATCAGGGAAAAGAAAAGAAAACTCTGGCTTTGTTCCCAACCTATACCATTCGTCTGCAGTTGGGTTGGGTTTCGAGTCCTATGTATATAGGATACTCAGTCATTATGCTGTCCTGAAGGACCCATGGGAAATTCTATTTGGGGTATCAATTCATCACAGAATTTGCCGACATGGCTGCCTGAGCATACCATGGGAATAATTCTATTCGTTGACGGCATTTGCCGGACTGGCTACCTGAGTATATCATGAGAATATTTCTATTCGTTGACGGCTATTGCTGGACTGTCTACTCGATGATGCTGTTGCAAGTTTCTATTCCTTCCTCGTTGCTGTCATGTTCTGTTGCCAGCTGACTATCCCTTTCTTTCCCTCTCCCTTTACTTCCTTTCTGTTTCTGTGTATCTGACCTATCCGTTCTTTTCTGCAGTTGCTTTTTTGTTTTACTTTAGTTTTATTTCATTGTTTTTTCTGTTTTTCTTTCTTTCCTTTTTTTTTTTCTTTTTGTTTTTTGTTTTTGTTATTCCGTTCTCTCTTTATGTTTTTGTTTGTTCACACGGTGATATATGTATATTAGGCACGACAAGCCACCAGGATTTTCGCCGCTACTGCTACATTTCAGTGCTCAACATGCTATCCTGCTCATCATTCTGTACGTCATCCTGATGCTTCTTCGACTTCTCGTGTGTCTCCTCAGCCTCGCCCTCGTATTTGAAGCCCACTTTCCTCTTCATCCTCACTGCCGATGGTGCACCCCCCACCTGTCAGTTGCCGTTTTTCCTGTCTCGATCCGCATTCTGGTTTCCAGTGGTTAGTTTTCTGTGTGTCTTGGCTTTTATTACGCTTACCATAGTGTGTTCACAGTTGACCATTGCTATCGCATGCAGTACCAATTTCGTCTTGACACTGCCCCCCTTACATCTCACGAAGACGACTGAGCATTGTGCTTCTACTATGTCACCTGTTCTGAACATATGGGGCTTGGCTCCCATGTATCTGATGTTTGTTAAAGCATTGAATTCCGGTACATCAACTAGACTCACTTTTTCTTCCCTGCGTCCATGATGCCTCTGTAGTATTTCACTACATTCTCTTCCATGTGTATCAAGTTGTTGCCTGCTAGACGCATCAGCACACCTTTAGGATCGACATCGGTCCTGATCGGTATTCCTGTTTCTCGCTCTGTTTTGCTGCGGGTTCTGAAGTATCGGTTAGACATCTCTACGGCATCGTATCCTTGCAGTTTGACAGGCAACCATTCTTGTAGCTGGCCTTGATGGAATTCCCTTTCGCCTGTGCATTGTATCTCTCTGATCGCGCATATAGCATCATCGAAACTCTTGCCGTTGAACCCAGTTAATGTGATGGACTGGCTAAGGAACCTTAACTTCTCTCACATCCCACTGTTTTAAAAGGTGAGTTTGACTATGTCTGCATGCGTGTAACACTCATGGTGTCTCCCTCTCTATCGGTGGCAGGTCAGCATGCATCATCGCACCTGTGATCGTGAACACCATCTCTTCGGTCTCCCCCGAGCTTTCATCGCACTTGGTAAGTCACCAGGTCTGCTCGTCATCATCTGACGTTATCTGCATGCCCTCTAGCACCGTTGTTTCCTACGGTCATTGTCAGCATTGTCTGGTTGACGCGTTATACATGTTCCGCTCACCCTGTATAGTCTCGAGAGATGCAGCTCATCTTTCGCCACCCTTTCCTCCGACAAACTGTGTACCATATGCTCTGTGTTAGTCGTAAGTGTTCTGACTCTAGCTTATCTCGCATTTGCTTACTCGCTTCTCTCGTGTCGTAGTATTGGTCCATCGCGGTCGACTTAGCAGATGGCAGAATGACAACGGGGGTGTTATAGGGAGCCAACGTTCTTGTCACTTCAGTGTGCTCCATACAAATGCGTCGTGGAGTTTCTAGAGCTTCTTTGCATTGGTCTCGCTTGCATGTGTGATGTCTTTCCCCCTTCTGTCTTGTTGGTGCTCAGTGATGGCCTTGTAACGCAGATTTCCCTCGTGCATGTATGCGCTCCGATTGACGCGCCTTATCCTTATTGCCTGCACCTTTCGTCTTACATGCTTGCTTCCATAAACCCATTGCATGCAGGCCTCTTCCCATCTATGGCACTTTCTGCTTATTGCTCCACCCGCATTGTCTTTTTTGCATGGCACATGTTTGTGTAGTAACCTGTTCCTCCGAATCGATTGATATATAAACTCGTGCACCTTTACTGTGGAAGCAGCTCTTTCATGATCTCCCTTGTCATATTGATTGAGTGTGAACCATGTGGTCGCTTCTGTTGATCCATTAGACTGTTCATCTCGCTCTTTGTGCGGCTTCATCTGTCTCCACCTTTGAGCTTCAAACTTTTCGATCTTCTTTTTATACCCCTTTCGCTATCGTTATTTGCTGCTTTTGTATTTATTATTTGATGTTTGCGAATCCGCTCCATTTTCATTCCGAATTTTGTTGAGGGGTTGTTGTCGCTGGTTTGTGTCGTGTCGGACCTTGTCGTCAACGGTCGAAGATCTTGCATCTATGACTGAAGATTTTGACCTGTTTCGCCTGTCTGATGTACCCTTCTCTTTGCTGGATTCACTTCGCGATTTCCTTTGTATGATGCGTCTTTGCCTGAACAGGTGTCTTTGTGTAGGTTGTGTATTGTTTTGCTGCTTTATTAAATTGGTCTCTTAGCTGTCTGTCTGTGCTTCTTTGTTCCTCTGTACTTTGTGATTCATCCATAGTGTCTGTCTTCTCCTTTGTATCTGTGTTAATGTGCCTTTGCATGCGTTGATCATTGTGTTGGATGTATTCAATTCTGTGGAGCTCTTTCCTTTCATCCTCTCTTTCCCCTCTATCTTTGCTTGTTTTGACTAGCAATGTTGGCACACCTTATCTGATACGAGTTGTACTCCCTGATAAAAGCCTTCTTGTTCCAATACCGTTTCATCCCCTTCCTACTTTTCATGTCTTTTTCAGATATTGTGTCCTTCGTCCTGTTTTGTAATGTCTGCTCCAGTCCAGCATGCTCCTCTGTCGTCCATGTACATCGTGTGGGTTGACTGCGTATCCTTATGCTTATACTCTCTCTTTTTTACCTTCAATTCAGCTCGTCCGTTCAAAAACGCAAGTGCTCTCGTCTAAGCCGTTCCGGTGGAGAACCTGCTCCTCCCATGGAGGAGGATTCCATTCATTCGTTACTTGTGCCTTACCAGTGCAAGATGTCCCAGCTCAAAGTCTGGATGTGTGCGTTCAACTTGTTGTATCTTGCTCCTTTTCCATGTATTCATGTGTGTCTATCTTATAGTTTGCCTGCAAAAAAACGCAGTTGTGTTAATCATTGCAATCGAGTGCTTAGCACCGAAACTAATATCACATATGCCTTTCATATACTCTTCACGATTTTATTCCCTGATTGGTGATCCTTGTAGTCCCTCGTCGTCTCCTGCTTTGCCTGTCCCCAGTGGGGCGCTCTATCAGCAGTTGCCCGCCGTCACTGTCTTGTGAGTCCTCATTCTCTATTTCCCTTCCCTACTATCACTGCTCACATAACATCAGTCATCCCACAGGTGTGCTTGCTCAGACCGTCCGTAGACGTGTTTCTTATGGGGAGCTCGCCCCGTCTGACGTCACTGCTGTGACTGGCCCCTCTACTGCTCTTAGTGCAGCCGTATGGGCTACCGACATCCAACATGACTCTGGTGACTCAGCCTCAGGTGATGCTTCTTCAGTGTGCATCTGGAGACGATACGGATTCCGGTTCCAGGTACATCACATTATGGCAATCATACTGCACACGGATAATCTCTCATGCCTGAGTCCAGGTCTGCCAGTAATCTGTATGTTGATGATGAAGCCAAGGAAGGATCAGAAGAGTATGCCATCCAGCCTCATCTACTGTGTTTCCGTGACCTCATTCACTGCTGTTGCTATCCAGGTCCGTCTCTGGCTCTGAGAACGGTGAGCTCTCGGGAGCAGATGTTGCTCTATTGGATAATACGCCTGCTGTGGAAACTCGTTCACCTGCAGTTGTTCCCACTGACATTGCAACCGCTGTCCGTGCATCCCCATGAGTGTTTGCCTCCCAGCACTTCTTCCGCTTTCTTACTATGTTGCTAGTCGATCGAGGGTCAAAACCGAGCGGGGCCTATATGTCGATTCACTGTACGTGTGGTCGTGTCTTGCCACTGACTTGAACATCTGACCTTTGCCTTTTCTATGTAGTATTACCAGTGGAAGGAGTTCTGATCTTGCTCCCGTGGATGATACCTGATCCAATCCATCTGTTGCCCTGTGAGTGTTCTGTATGTATACATGTTTTGCAAGCCTCAATTCTTGCAGGAGCTCTTCTGCCCATGTACAATGCCCCTCTCAGCCCATTGCTCTGTATGTCTTCATCTGCTTTCCTCTTGGTGTATCTTACTCTTCCTGCCCGTATAGGCGTCGACATACTGCTTTGGCTGTGGAAGTTGCTCCTCCAGTCTGTATCGGGAACTGGCATCATTACCACCCAGCTGCCGGGTGTCTTCCTCGAGGACCTCGACAGACCTCCGATGCCTTCTCCCCGGTGAAGAGGCTGGCTGTGGGCACCTGTGGAATAGTGAGCGGGCTAAAAGGCGAACCTCAAAAACCCACACACACACTCACACAACTACACAAACTACAATCACCCTCATAAGTTCTAGGGGGAGCGATTATTCCTAATGTGATCCAACTATACTTCAATATCTCGAAGAGTTTCTCTTATTCTCAGCGCTCTTAGCGAAGCTAAGCTTTCTCTAATGAATTCCTAAGTCTAGGAACTTTTTACAGGAAGGTTGTTCACTGGCACGACGCAACCTTCAAGGCAGATTTGAGTTATAATACACAAGGGACACTGATCCCAACAGAAACAGAGGCAATACACGCCGAAACTTTAGTGAGCTCGCTAAAAGAACACCACAGGCAAGCACTGACTTAGCCCGCTTGCTACACAACTGTATGTAGGGGTTCTCCAACTAACTCCCGCAGGTTATCTCGACTCAAGAACACTTCAGAAGTGCTTGGAAAACAGATTCAGAAACGGAACTTCGAACAGAACTGACATGGAACAGACTGAAACAGAACAGAACAGAACAGAACAGATCTCAGATTTCCACTTCAACACATTCTCCAAACAGACTTATCACACTTAACAGAACAGAAACAGCGTCACTGATTCATATTCACTCTGACTAAGTTCTCAAAAGTCTTATCAAAAGGGTATCTCGTATTTCTCTGAGTGAGCTCGCTAATTCTACGCACAGCTCGAAGTCACAAACTGATCCTTTGTTACAGTACCACCTTCAACACGTGCACGGGAACTCAGGGGCTCGAAACTTGGCCTCTACCTACTGTAACCAGTCTACTTATACTACAGGGGAATTAGAATTACAAACGTCGCGCAGTACCCAGACTCCTACATGTGTAGCACGTTGCCACCGCCGCCTTACTGAGCATCCGAGTCGGACTTCCCAGTTTTAGTCTCATTTCTATAGTGAGCTCGCTAAACGTGTGCCAAGAGGTGCTCTCCCGACACCCGCGGGCTCGTTCTCTAGCGACCGACAGGTCTAGGCGCACGGAACTATCAGTTCTGGCATATGTCGTTCAGGCCTTCTTTCTTGGATTCACAGAGGCTTCTCGTAGACACGGCAACAAGTGAGTCTTCGAACAATGGGACTCAGAACAATGGAACGCAGGCTCGCGGACTTCGGCCGAAGCCCATTGCCCAAGCTCGTGCCGGTGATATCTGTCAGCTCGCTTAAGGATTTCCCTGGATTTTCAGGTACAGCGCGTCACAGTTAGCGAGCGCGCTAAGTGTTCTTGGTGCCAGTGCAATCTTCAAGGTTTTATCTAGCTCCCGCGAGTGTGCTTGTAAGTTAGAGCCTAAGGCATTGGGTATAGGGTTTGGTCTTCTCATCACGCATGCCCATCAGGTACAGTGCTGTGACTAAGTCCTGTTTAGAATCCCGTTGCTTCTTATGCCATAAGTTATATTCCATATCATTGCACCGCGTAGCATTAGTGTCGATGCGTAGTTTTAGTCCGCTCGCTCACTATTTCTCAGTATGCGTGTAAAACACTCTAGATTGCAAAATTACACGCGTAAATAGGCTGCAGTCGCAACACCGGCGCAGCAAGAAAAATAAAGGCAAACAGCCTGCCAAGGGTAATCCTCTTGCTGTTCGTGCTGATTTGGTTGGTGTGTCCGGCGCTGCAGACGTTGCACATCTTCCAGACAAGTCACTTGTTCTGTTGGGCCAGCGCACTGTTGTATCTGATGCTGGTTCTTCTAATCCTGTTCTGGTTGCTGCTCCCGGTACGGTGTAACAACATTTCATTTGTTTCACTTCATGCTAATTCTATCTAATCTTGACATAAAGGTAACCTCTCCGCAGCTCTGTTGTCGACTCTTGGTGCTTTTGCTGGGTGTGTGGTGTATCCTATACAACCATAATGTTGTCGTGTATCGACGTCTGCCTTTCAGGACCGCCTGCCGTGACGAATCCTCGGAAGAAGAAGAGGTTGCTGATGAATCACCGGGTGCTTCGGGAGAAGTCGTCCATGCCACCTCGTTTGTTTGTCATTTAAGCAATCTTCCCTTTTACTCTGATGCCAGTTCTTTCAGCAAGGCAGTAGATGGCCAACCACCTGCTGATGCTGATCCCAGTCAATGTGTTATGCTGGTTGAGATTCAAGAGGTGCAGCTTAGGCCATTCTATCTCACTTTGTCTCCGCTCGGGTACGGGTTTTTTTTTTCTTTTTGGTCTCTCTGCTCCTGCTGATAATTTGATTGCAGTGTCTTCCATGCTATGGTGGCTCTAGGACATACCGTCTCATCCTTCAATCAACCTCCTTACATTACCGTTGATGACATTACCAGCTTGCTTACCAGACACTCTCTCCAGTGAGTTGTTCTTTTTGATATGGTAAACGTTTCGACCATTCACATGCCTCTCTTAGATCTCTGCTTGCCTGGTTTTACTTCACCAGACATGGCCCTTACTGCTCCCTGTCTACCATGCCTCAGGAAGCCTTTTCTGACGATGGCAAGAAGATGATTTACAACTCCTCTGCAGCCATAGCTATGATTGCGGGTGTCATCATCAAGTGCAACGTTTTCAAGATCGGGCAGCAAGGTGGATACAACAGTGCTACGTCTGCTCATGGTGGGAGAACGGTCCACTCCATCCGCATCTTACCTTTCAGCCAACCTTGGAGGCGGGAGACCACTATGATTGCATCGGTTTTCGATATTCCCACCCCAGAGACTCAGTCCGAATGCATGACAAGCGAGGCTGTTGAATTCACTACCAGGTTCCCATCAAACACCCCTGGTCACAATTGGAACAAATGTGCGGTGCTTCATTTGACAATTACTGTCTTTTTATTTATTTATTTTATGTTTACGCCTGGTGTTCGTTCCCAGTTCCTTCTCCGGCATTGCAGAAGCCTGTTCTGGCTAAGCCGACTGCTACCACGTTGTCTCGTGGTCGATCTGCTTGGCCCCGGTCGCCTGGGAAGCCAGTAACTCTTGCTTCCCGGCATCAGTATTATCACTGTTTAGGTTTTGATGATGAAAGTAGGGCTTCCCTTTATTACATTTCTCTGACACTGTCTGATACGTCTCTTGTGCCCAGTACCTATATTCGATGGCCAGGCATCTAAGGGACATCATTTTCTATTCCGTCCTGAGGATTTTGACTCGTTATCTGCTATGCCTAGGATCACTAAGGATCTTGACCATTTCACACTGGTTGCTATCGGGTATACCCCTGGTGTTTGGAGCCCAAACGGGAGTCCTCGTATCAACTTGAACATCCAGTTCGCAATTCTGCTCGGTCAGGCTCCCAAACCTGAAGCTCTGGCTGCTCTTGGTTACAGTGAAGAGTGATGGCATGTGGGATAGTAGGGAGATTGATAACATCGTGTCGTTTGTTATATTTCCATTGATGCAACGTAGTATGGTATCTTTGTCATGTGGCTGCTGTAATATTAATATGTGTTCAGCTTGCTTTAAAGTGTCAAAGTCGTGCGATACATGTGCAGGCATGTCACGTGTGTGACTTATTCGTGTTGTACATCTCTTTTTTTTTTCCTTCATTGCGGCCGTTGCGTTGCTTGACAGAGCTCTGCACGTCTTATCGTACGGGGGATCGCTATCCGCTCATGCTGATCTTTATCGATCCACGACTGCACTGATGCACCTGCATCTGATTCTGTTCGTTGATTGCATGCCCATGCGATAGACATTTGACCTTCAGATATGAATCCTTGGTATTGAAAACTTCTCCTTGCTCTATTAATCCATGTCGTATTGCATCGTCACTCCACTCTAATTGTGCCATCTGTGCTCCTTGCTGTGAACCCTCACTATCGGGATATCAGTTTCATCTTCGTTTCTATGACCTGCCACAACATACAGCAACCTTAGTTCGAGTTTGACTTACCTTTATCTCGCTATCTAAGCTATCGTGCTATATGTGACTCCCTTATAAAAATCCCTGCTCCTGGACATATTTGAGTGTGTTACTGCTGCTTTGCCTTCTGTGCCCGTAGCTGTTCTGTTGTGCAGGATGGCCGCTTTCGACCCCCTCGATATTTCTGACAGTCCTGTGTGTTACCCTCCCCCCTTGTTCTGTGTCGACTTCTTATTTGTGTCCTGTACCTTCACAGTTCGACTTTTGTGAGATGGCTAGGGTCGTAGACACATATGACCAGGATATAAGCCGCTCCGAATGATTGACATGGATCTGTTCAGGTTCGTCCCGTCTAGTTGCATGTACATGTATTCCCTCGGTACTGACCGCTTTTTCGTTCACCACAGGAACTCACTTGTACTACATTTATATGGCTTGCCTGGTCGATCTCACCCTTTTGCCCTGCAGCATTTTGACTGCATCGTTCGGGTACAAGCATGGGATAGTACAATCTTATTCAGGACAACGTGATGACATATCATTGATGATGTCGTCTCTATCTCTTGCCCCTTCCTCTCTCTCTTCTACCCCCTATGCCGGATCTGTGCCTGATGATGTTTGGGACGAAGTATTTAGCCATCTCCCTCATGCATCCCGGTTATGTTCAAGATCGGTATCCCTGACATGGTGAGCCATCTTGACGTGTCGCACCCATCAATACCTGGTGTTAGCTCTGCCCGAACGTTGGGTTCGTATCATGGATGATCCTGCCATCGCTGGCGACAGTATGTTCCTCTGCAAGTTTGCTGTTGAATGCGAGATCGAATTATCAGCTACCATCGTACGTCTGGGATTGCAGGCCATCATCCGAGGTATCTGCTTTCTCGACTGGCTGGTCTTCCTCTATAACTTCTTCCTGCATTTGTTGACCCGTGTCAAGTCAGTCATTTTCGAGGGTAGAGGGACAGATTACAGGGAGACCGACCCGCCCAGTATTCCTTGTCCGTTTCTGCTACCCCCTTCTGTCGTCAAACTCCGCTTGAAGAAGGTTACCCTTGCTGGTTATAGCCTGGAGGGGTTGCTGTCGCCTGATGGACGGCTTCAGAGACTTTGCATAGAAAGTCTGGAAGAGGGTGCTATCGTCAGTATATATTTACTTCTTTGTTCATTGTCCCCTGTTGAAGTTTCTACTCTGTAGCCTATCCCATGGAGTGCCAAACAGCGGGCTGATATTCGCGAGTCCCTCAGCTTCAACAGTTTCCATGGCCCTTTTCTCTTGAACCCAGTTCCTCCGACTCTTCGGTATATCAGACTAGACCTCCGGTCCGATGCATACAATATGATAGAGCACAGTCAGCAGATTCAACCTGCGGGCTCCATTCTCATTGGCGGGTACATGCTATTACATCAACTGTTTTCGACCCCACTCGCCCGTGCGAAGTATGATCAACTGCTTGACGTCGGAGAGTCATATCCCTTTCAGACCAATGCACTTGCTCTGCAGGAGCTTAACATCCGTCTGGGCACACACTACAATGGAGAGTTCGCATATGTTTGGCCCCGAGTGTCTAATACCCTCTCTATGTTGACTATACACGTCCGTGAGTGACCTTGTTGTGTATTGACATCTATTACTCAAGGTTCTGTCTGATATGCAGCTAATCTACATACCGGTGGTGTCGTGCCATGCATCAGCCTGACGGGCCTCAATGTTTTGTCGACTTTGAACCTCTACGCAGACTTTCGCTATGTTGGCACTTTGTTGAAGATCATTGCCTCCTGGGAATCTCCAAGCAAGGAGACTGCGACTGCGGTTGTTTTGCTGGACTTGGTGGTATCCCCTTGGTCACAGGTGCGCTTGGACAAGTGCTTGTCCATGGAGGATGTAAAGCAGCACTTTACCGGTTCTGCCGCAAATCGAGGTATTCCATTCAGAGGTTCCTTTACGCTTTCCTTACGGGATATAGTGGAACATGCCCTGCATGATCCTGACTACGAACATGCACTTTCGTTAATCTCTGCATTATCAGCTGATAAGGATATTGGTTTGCATCATGTTGAGTGTCATAGATACCATTGTGATACTCTAATCTCGTAGAATTATAAATACTGTTGTTCATTCCTCTCTTGTCCAAAGTCTTCTTTAACACACTTCGTGCGTTTCAGACTACCGGTCAACCCGATGGAGATGGTGCAGGTGAGTCTTTTTATTTTTATTTTGTTTGGGTAGCATTTTTGTTTTTGTACCACTTTCATGCAAATTGCTGCCACATGTATTGTTTTGACTCCGCTTCTCCATCTCCCCTCCTCGTGTTCTTGGCCGCATATGTAGCTGCTGGCGCAGAGATCTTGACTCCTGAAACTACTAGTTGGCGTCTGCCTCTCTTGGGTTGATCCTTCTTCTCTTCTTCAACCGATCCCACCGTTTATATTTCCCCAATTTTGGTTTTCTTTTTGGCGTCGTCCCTCCTGCTTCGTTCTGTCACTTCCTCTACTTGCGTCGTCTTGTTCCTTTGTCGGGAGTTACTCTGTCACCATGAATGTTGCTGCGATCCATGTTTGTATTCATATACTATATTTGCTGTTCCTTATTTATTTTGGATATGCCTCGTCTTGATCTGTCCTTTGGGTCCCTTAAAGATGTCCCTGTATAACTCCATAGAGCTTGCATCTTTGTGCACTTTGTCTCCGCCGATTCCACCTCGTCCTCTTCCTCACGCAACCCTCCTATATCTCCGGCATAACCCATCTTTCTTGCTCTCACTGCATCTATATCGAACACCCTGGCTCTCCGTTTATCTCTATGGATATATCTGAATCCCAATATGTGCTGGCCTCTCCTGCTCCTGTATGTCTTAAATTTATCGCCTGTTGTTATGGATAGTAACCCCACATGCCCGTAGTTCAATGTCTACATTTACCAGGACATACTTAGTCTCGTTTCGTACGCTGAGGCTGGCCTCTCCCTTTCAGAACTAATAACCATATATGATGACGGTGGGTCCGGTTTGCAGTATCTTTTATGTCGTTTGCCTTATCCTTGTTTTACCCAGGTTCTCATCCTTATTTTCGGTACCAATCCTCTTGTTTGTCCCTACCATCCACAGGAGAGGGAAGTCAGCTCTACTCTTCTATGCTCGAATACATATGCTTGTTCGAGCTGCGATACCCTTGGGTTGTATATACCACTTCAACTATTCCCCATTCACAGTCATTCTACATGCAGAAGGCGAGCGTTTGTGTGCCCAGGAAACTACCCCTGGAGATACTCGAGCTCATATTCTCATTTGTTGCACGTTTGGATTTACTTTGTATGCGTTGGGTTAGCCAGGAATGGTGTATCGCATCCAGCCATTTCACGCTGATGTGCTCAGTAACGGGCAGCATGCAAATGAAACAAGCGTCTAGATCGTCAATCTAGATACTAAATCACACACACACACAATCACCAATGTATATAAGTTTGAGGGTGAGTACGATAGAAGCACTCGCGATGTACTTAGATTTAGATAATCTAGTGGGGTTTTGCCTGAAAACAACTTCAATTCTTCTTTCGATGTGTTTTACACAAAGTACACTAGTCCACGATAGTGGGGTTTTATGAACTTGTTTTGTAAGGTATAGTCGAGCAAGTTATGCTCGTTTCAACGTCGTCTAGAAGAACTTCTAGCGGACACTTCAAATAATCAAACAACCAAAGACTCCAAGGTCTACAAAGAGTGCAAAATCACTCTACAAAGAACGCTCAGGTTCTGACTTCAAGTACAAGACTTGCAAAGAGTACACAGACTCTGGAGTTCCTTGAACTCGACGATTGTTCGAACTTAAAGCATTCTAGGGCTTATTTTACTTCAACTAGATGAGGTCTTTTGATTTAAAGTTGACTCAGCACATCTAGATCGCTAATCTTGGAGAGAGAGAACACAAGGCCTTTGTCCACGGAGCAGTTCAATTAACTAGCAAGACACAAACGCAGGGACGGCTCTACTTCCTACTTAACTCTTCTAGATTACTGTAGTCGCCCTTATGGGTTGACTTTGGTAACTTAATTCACTTCAGTCGAGGATATGCAATAAAAACCAGTGATTGATTAGGTAGCTATACAGGCTACTAGCACAAACGCGGGGGGAATGCTTTCCTGCCGTTATGTGTCTAGTCGCTGCTAATTTATACGATTTGTGTTTTAGGTATAGGAGCCCGTATCTACAGTAATTATGGTACGAGCTTTGGAATTAATACAAACGGTGAGTCACTATCCTACAAGTATCGTGCCATTCCGTAGTTTCTATTCAGTTCGACGTGACTGTGCCAGGTTATTCTGTCACCGAGGAGTGCCCTACTAGTCCGTGGGTGCTCCTTCTTCCGTCTGCAAGGCCTGCCGCATGCCATATGTATTGAATACTGCGGTATGCGCAGGATCTCGAGGATGTAACCACTGATCGCGATTGACTGCAGGTCCGAGATTGTATTCTGTTGATCACTGCGCGATCAAGGTCGGTCATCTTGGTACCCAACGTGGCTATTCATTCTTCCAAGGTTATTCCTTTCCTAGCCTGAGTTGATCTCGAAAGCTGATCTGTTTCTCGACTTAGCAATTTTTCCTGACAGGTTCTTTCTACTCATCGAGGCGATGAGGCATCTAGTTTGTTCCATTCTTCAACTTCTTGGTTTTTATACTCCATACAGACAAGTCCCTGAGATTTGACTGTAATAGTCTTGTTTAGGTAGGGCTTAGCTTGGCATGTTGACAGCTGGTAGAATTGACTCTTCGAGATGTCATTTCTAAGTCCGTTCTGTACTGCCATGCTTTCATTCTTTATGTAGTATTTAGCTACCAGCACGAAGCCTCCACTGTAGCCCTCTGTACCGCTTGTAGATTGCATAAACTGATGTAAAATCGCAAAATCTACGGGTAGCCTGATACCAGGCGTATCAACGCATTCCTCCATCCATTTTAGGATGAGGGGGGACTGGCAGCGTGTGTTTGACACACCCAAAAAAAAGCGGGAGGCTGCTGCATATGCCTTTGCTTCAGAGATAGTCTTGCTGCATGGCTCGCTCAAACACAACTTCATGGGTTGGATCTGTGATATCTCGTATGACAATTGGCCTTGCTTCATCGCACCTTCTTTCTATTGTGTCGTCCCAGGTGTACAGACTGTCACGATACGTGGTACTCATTGTTCTGTTCCTCATTACCTGGTCGTCCGGTATCCTTATGTCTTACCCCGTTCCGTTACCACCGTAATACTTCATCGTTGCTCGCTCAGGGGTCACAGCGTAGAGACATTGCTCTGTCTCTGTGAAGGAATATCCTCTCTGTTGTTGCGCTCCATATATTACGGTCACATTGTATGTGCTATATCACTTGTTTCCATTATATCTGCTCATGCATGTTGTCTCTCTAATAGGTGCCTCCTCAGTGAGCTTACACCATTCAGTTTGGAAGTTTGGAGATCTGAGCACGGCATCAACAACATCATGCAGCCCCTGGTCCTGTCTGATATCTCTCCTACCCTGTGTACTCTTACGATTGACTTCCCTGATGAGCTCGGCCCGATACTCTCATCCATCGTCGATGAACGCGGCACCCCACCTTTGCTGCTGCAGCTGTTTCCATTGTCCCCTGAAGGTCTGAGCATCGAGGCGTATCTGCTTCCTGCCGAAGTATACCCATTCCGACTATGCATGTGTGCAATTGAGGAGCTTGCAGCTCATGTCAGCCCTAATGTCGCCTACATGCTGCCTTCCATCGCTCAGCTGATGGGACGCAACCTGACTACATTACATCTTACCTTTTGTGCATATCCCTTCTGCGATATCCTGTATTTATTCGTGCGCTGATAGTTGCATCCTGTAGCCACTGTGTCGTGGTTCAATGACCCCCACGACTTCAACCTCAAAGCCTTTGCCACACTGACTCGACTCCATGTCAACGTCAGCATGAAGGATCTGCCTTCTGTCCTCATCGGTTGCTCGACATGGTCGTCTGACTGCAGATCTCTTAGGATTTCTGAATTCAACCTTGTTGTGACACTGCACATTAGTCAGACGCATCTGATGGAAGCTGCATTCCATTTGTCTCCCCTCCTGCTAATCCTTGCTAGTACTCCTGACAACTATTATCGAGCTCTTCGTGGAACGTTTCGGTTAATGTTGGACGGGAGGTGCGATGACATTTCGCCTGTGATGCTCTTAACGCTCAGCATTCTCGACAAACTGAAAAAGCACGAGTTGGTAAAGGCGACTATTGCAGATCTCGTGTGTTCCTGTTAGATATACCTGTTAGCTTGAACTATATATTCTGCTCCTATGATAACGTACTCCGATATATTGGCATCGTATATACCATCTTTATCTTGGCATATAAATTAACCCTGTTTTGACGTCTTTCCCTTCGGTTCTGCTCAAACTCTGATTCGATCTGTGTGCGGATTTCTAAACTTTACTCCCTTTGCATCTGCCGCAATGTCCTCCATCCTCCCCATCCCCTCCCTAAGAAATAGGAGTACAGTTGCGATCGTGTTTGCATATCATGCGTCCCTCTTATATGTGGTCTACTGGCTGTCCTGGGGTTGATGTGCACTCTACTCGTAAGTGTCCCGCCTGATATGTCATGCTTTCATTGAGTTGCCATGAATGCAGTTCCTACTCAGCAACAAAAATGTCCCTCTGTCTGGTTACCTGCTGTTGTTGTTCAGCAGTGCAGGACGCTTCGGTGTGTTCAACCATTCGCATTGTCATCTCAGGTGCTGATACACTGATCCAGCTTGTCTGTCGATCTATGTCCTATTTGTGTGCAGCACTCTGCTTACCATATCCATTGTCATGGTGGACCCTGTTATGCGTCGATGTGAGTACCTGGTTTGTCTTGTGTCTTATGCGCTTATCAACTCAGTACCTTTTCACGTCCCTTCTGCAGTCAGTTCTTCATATCTTCCCACATATTTTCCTGTTCTAGTCCCTGTGTTTTCGTATGGCAGACCTTGGATATTCAGATAATACTACCAGCCCAAATGGGTGTTGCTTGCCTGTTTGCCCAGATGGGTGTAATACAAACATTACATATGCATGTAACCTGGATTCCTTTCATCGCAACATCAGTGATGTGTCTGACTGTTTTACATGCATTTTACATGTTTGGTTTAAACTATTTTCGGTATGTACATGGGTTCCACGCTGCATCACCTCTTGGCTTTTGTCGTATTTGTCAACCCATGGGTCTGAGCTCGTGCTGGGTGTAACGCGTCCTTCCGGACTGCATCACAGATATAAACATGTTCGGGCCAGCAGCTGCAAGAGGCACGAAACCGCCGGAATTGCAGCACGAAATGACACAGGAACCTTTGGAAACTGCAAATATAGCAGCAGACTATGCATGTCTGGGGGAGACTGCAGATAACCTCAGTGATGAGCCATTAAGCCTTGAAGAAGCTAAAACAAGGCCAGATTGGCATCATTGGAAGAAAGCAATGGATGAAGAATATAATCTATTGACTTCTCTGGGTACATGGCAGTTAGAGGAATTACCCCAGGACAGATCACTTGTAAATTGCAAGTGGACTTATAGATTAAAAAGGGATGGTGATGGGAAAATCACCAGATACAAGGCCAGACTCATTGCGAAAGGATTTTTGCAGGTTCCCGGCATTGATTTCTTCAAGACATATGCACCTGTTGTCAGGCTGGACACATTACGCCTACTTATGGCCATTGCCGCACAAAGAAACTTGATTATACATGGAATGGATGTTGTCGGAGCTTACCTAAATGAAAAGCTCAATGAATCTATTTACATGGCTCAACCGCCAGAATATTCTGATGGAAGCGGCAAGGCAGCACACCTCAAATTGACATTATATGGACTCAAGCAATCTGGCCGAGTTTAGAATGAAAAATTAAACGCTACATTTTTGGGACTTGGATACACAAGATTGATCAGTGATCAATGTGTATACATCAGACAAGCAAAATCAGGCCCCATAATTATAGCTGTGCATGTAGATGACATGACATTGCTTGCCCAGGATGATGAAACCATGTCTAACATGAAAGAAGAACTTAAGAAGAAGTTAAATGTTACAGACATGGGGGAGATTCAACATATATTGGGCATGAAGATAGACAGGAATTGGGAGAAGGGCACTATTACCTTATCCCAGAAGGCATATATTCTCAAGGTACTCGAGAGAATGGGCATGAAAGACTGTAAACCGGTCAAAATGCCTATGGACCCGAATGTACGGCTAGAGAAAATCCCCGAAGGTGACCCCCGAGGTGTTGACACAGCCACCAGGCAGTATTACCACACTGGTGTTGGATCTCTGATGTATGCAGCAAATGGATCCCGGCCCAATATTGCACATGCTGTCACGGAATTAAGCAAATATGTGCAGAATCCGGCTGCTGAGCATGTCACAGCCCTCAAATGAGTTTTCCATTACTTGAAGGGGACTCTAGACTTAGGAATTACATATGGAGGGACTACAGATGAACTGATACCTTATTCAGATTCAGACTGGGGAGAAGACAGAACAGATAGAAGATCAACATCTGGTTATGTCTGTACCTATGCAGGGGGAGCTGTTACTTGGAGTTCAAAGAAACAGCCCACCATAGCCCTATCCACTATGGAAGCAGAGTATATGGCCCTTGCGCACACAACTAGAGAAGTAATATGGTTGCGAGCGCTTCTAACTGAATTAGGGTTGCCACCTGATGGTGCAACTACTATTATGGTTGACAATCAATCAGCAATCAAATTCGCTGAGAACCCAATATTCCACGCACGATCAAAACACATTGATATCCGCCATCATTTTGTTCGCGAGCACATGGCTTCAAATGAAGTCAAAGTTCAGCACTGTGCCTCAGAGGAGAACTTAGCAGATATATTCACTAAAGGACTACCAAGACCATTACATGAATATTTATCTGCAGGTATTCTAGGGACTCGGAATTGAGGGGGAGTGTTGGGATAGCAATCCCGAGTTAGTGCTAGAATGCACTCGAAGCTTCGGCATGACTAAGCGGCATGAACATTTAACTGCAATAGTAGACACATATAGTAATCCGTAGTAAATTCTAGAAGTAGTACAACTTGTATTTAAGTACGATGCCTCTCCCTCAAGAGGCTAATTAATTCTCTCTCACACACATTCTCCTCTGTACTTCCAACAAGTAGAAGCGAGGAATAGCGATGATGGTCATAGATTGAGGATAGGCACCGAGGATAGATGTTATTCGAGCCCGAAAGCATCGAAATTATAGATAGGAATCAGGATAGGCTGGGGGTGTAGGATGCGACGAAGAGATATGCACGTCGGAAATAGAGGTATAGGAGAATAGAAGGGATGAATAGGGATGATGGTAGGCTGAAGATAGGCGCCGACGGATGTTATTTGGGTCCGAAGGCATCGAAATACATATGAATAAAGATAGGATGTGGAAATGTAGGATGTCGATGAAGAGATATGCACGTTGAAAGTAGAGAGAAATGGGGTTACGGGGTGTCGAAGTATCGATAGTGATAGTGATAGGCTGAATAGCAGTGATCGATAGCGAAGATGATAGGCTGAGGCTCAACACCAAAGGACCAATATGCAGGTCCAGAAGGATCAATGCAATAGATATGGACAATGATAGCCTAAGGAGGGGTAGGGTGTCGACAAAAAGATATGCACGTCGGGAAAAAGATGATATAAAGATCTCGTAAGATACGAGCGCGCGCGCGGATGTCCTGAATCGAATTTCCAAAGATGGGGATGAGAACCGAGAACTGACAAGGCGCAAGAGACAACGAGGATATCATAGGATGTAATAGTTTGTCGTCGATGCAAAGTATTGGTAAAGGCATAACAGGACTAGTCAACTACCCGTCGACAGCTAACCATCCTTCCGAGGCCCTCAGAGAACAGTGATAGCCCATCGACCACACTGTCTCCAAGGTTCCTCGTATGCCAGGGATAGAGGAAGGACTGGTAAGCTCGTCAGCGAACCAGCCCTCCTCCGGTGACCAGCTGCATGCACCAGAGCCCGTCGACCCCAATTCACCGCTGATCATCCCTAATGAATTCCAACGCTACGACATAGTATTGAGTAATTGGTTTAGTTGATATCCTTGTCATCTTCAAGCGTTCGTCATTTTATAACGGTGGTGAGTTCATCAAGGGTTTTCGGGACAAGGAATCTAGGAATAAAGTCAGAACAATAAAAATACAGTCAAACAGAATGAAAGCTCACGAAGCGAGGTGCTTGGCGGGCGGCACTGACGCTTTTGTCCCGCTGGCGCATGGTAGCCGCAACGAGGGGAACACAGTGTGGCATCGGGAGATGTGCCCGACTTGGGTTCGCATGAATGGCACTTTTTTCCCACTGGCGCATCGTAGGCGTACTAACGGGAGGACGGCGGGGCATGGGGGTTCGCTGGTTCGGATGCAGCAAGGGGACGGATGGCGGTAAAGCCTTCCCCGGTCGCTGCACCCTCCCGGGGATCGGAATGCGAGAGGACGTCGGCTTGGGGATGCGGGATGGTCCAATCATCTGAACCGGGTTGACAGAAATTATCGCCTTTCGCTGAGAGGGCACCTTCATCCGAGACGGCCTTGGAAGTGTGGGCCGACGAACAGTCATTACCGTCGGTGCCTCAGATGTCGACCGCAGGACTGGGTTCGATGGCCTCTCCAATGGCTGAGCCATGACCTTTTCATACCTATCAGCAGGTGTACCACATTAATCAAGTGACGATGCTCACCGTTTCCCTCACCCCTTGACCCTTGTTTCCCATTTGCTGGGAGAGATTTGGAAGCAAGGAGGGCAACGGCACAGGCGTGCCCGTAATGGATCCGTCTGAGGACAACGAGTCCTGAAGCATTGGATTTCTCGGCCGCTCCATTGAGGGTGCCCTAATTCGCTCTTCGTCATCACCACGGGATGGGTCCCGTAGCTGACTTTTCATGGGTTTTGTTGCAACCCCACAACATCTTAGATGTTGCACCTGTTGCAACGCGTTACAACGCACTATTTTCGTGTATTTATTGACATCTACATAATTTACTATCTATCCCTTCGCGTTGCAACACGTTTGACGGTTGACCTGCAATACGGCCCATCACAACCACCACCGCCTGTAAACTGAGCTCGCTTGGTAAGGTTGACGTGAGCAGGACTGTTTGACCGTTGTGATTATGCAAATCAATTAAGTTTAGCAACAGACAAATCTAACAACCCCTCACTTTAATAAAATGGCGCACTTCCTTGTGCCACCCGCGAGGATAATGCTAACGGTGAACAGAACCAATTTCGTGTCATTGAGACAAGTGTTGGGCTGTTGGACAAGTGCCGAGATGAATGTCGAGGTATCGAGAGGAGACTGTATAATGAGAGCGGCAAAGAGCCACAGTAGAGTCTTTGTCAGTAGTGGTGGTGGTGGTGAGTGAAAGTAGTAGGTGGTGAAGACAAAGACGCTACGCGGTGGCTCAGTCCACACAGCCACCACGTGTATTGTGCCTGGACCATTTCGGTTATCAATTGTTGTCAATCCGTCCTTTACATCGGTTTGATTCCTCATCCAATCTATTGCGTTATAAGCCCAGATAGACATGCGAAAGAGAGTTCTCTGCAGGAGACACAGAGGGCTCCCCACCCAAAGAGCTTCCAACAAGCTCCGCTTGCGGCACCCATGCTGGTGGCATATCACTGCCACGCCACATCATCGTCGCTACCATCACCGCTCGCCATCGTCCTTGCAGCCAGTAATATTTCTGCAACAGGTACGCGCCCAATCTGTTGTCATACCATACCGTGAACTCATAGGCTCATAGAATCATGAGCAGTTCCAATGATGAACACCTGGTAAATCACTCGATCCCAGTGGTGTTGTATGCATTCTTCTTTAATTGCGACATTGATTTGTCACAAATGGTCAGTGTAGCGCCAACCCATTGCCAGTTGCTTCTGGCACGCGATCTGCAACACCAGACAACCAAGATTCCGACCCACAGCTGTAGCCTGTCAGTGTGTGCCCTTCGCACACTTGGGCAGCCGGGTTACCATCGTGGGCTATACTCACCAGTACAACACAAATGACGGGATTTTAAGATTGTATTTCTATTCATTGTACATCAGTTACGAAATTTAAATTGTTGCAACAACGCGAACGTCTATGATGTTCTTTGTTGTAACAAAATCGATGAATTTACTGCCCGTAGGGCAGGGATCGTCGGCCGGTCAGGGAATGGGTGAGCCGCAAACATGTTCTACACAACATCACCTATCAGCAGGTGTATAAAGATAACCATTCAACGATGCTCACCGCGACACTTTGTTCCGGTACGTGAACAACTGTAGGCACACTCGCACTTGTCGAGGGCACTTTACGGGGATTCATGAAAAGGTCGGTGACCAATAACGTCTACAAGCCACGCGTTAGCACGTTCAGCAAGAGAAAGCAGTCTCAAACTCACATCGAGGTCCTTTTCGTACTCAGCAACGTCCCGGCGTAGTTTATCCAGCGGGGTTCGAGCTATTGCAGAGTGGAATGATGAAAATAAATCCTGGGGTATGCGCTGAAAAGACAAATATCAGTGACCGTTAGACATGTGTTCTGTGTAGTACTCACATCGGAGCTCTCCGTGGACATGTACATTGTACTGTGACTGCGCGCCAAGTTCTCTGATCGTAGGGACACCATATTTGTCAATGCCTGGAAGGAACAATGAACAAATGTGGGTTAATTCATGGTATATGACACTCACATGAAGGTTTGAAACCGGCAGTGAACCTAGTTCCTGTTCTTCGTCATCTCCTCCCTCCGCGGCAGCAACCTCGCCTTGGCCAATTCTGCTTTCCTTAATTGCCATGCATCTCTCCACAATGTACCATAGGGCGGATACCATGGTGTAGATTCCCGTCATTCCTACCTGGACAAACAGAACAATGCGCAGGATATCGAACGTAGCGGTATCGCTCTCAAAGAGGCTCTGGATGATCAACAGACCCAGCGTAATGACGACCGTGACAACGAACACGAGGGTTAGGAAAAGCGTTCGGGCACTTGAACCAGTGACATAAGAAGGCGGCGAGAAAGAGACTGGAGTAGATGCAAAGCGACGGAGGGATCGCTTAGACGCCCAGTTGAGGACCACAGTGACAACAGAGACTACCAGTAGGATCGTTAATAGCGTTGATACCATGACCATCATCGAGTTTGAGGAAGCGCGCGGGACCATAGGCGGGAGGAGGGCAGGGCGAGCTGCAGCCACTGCCTTATCAGGCGGGGAGATGACGGGCGTTGTCGAAGCCGGTGTCGAGGAGGGCTCTGAAACGGAGGCGGCGACCATCGTCTCGAAGACGATTGGCTCAACGACATCGATAGCCACGCTTGGAAGATATTCTAAGGATACAAGGGTAGGATTGTGGTCAAATGAGCCATAGGCGACTTGAAAGATGTCTGCTATGACAGACGGTCGTGCCAACCGCCGACTGACGTCAGCGATGGTCATGGACAGGCTGTATAGAGACCTGGAAATAATCAGTGTGAGGGCGCTGAGTAAGAGGACCGAGTAGATAAACATGGTGGTGGCTCCAAGTCAAGATTTATAATGTTGGATTTTCCGATCTATGGCTGGTTTCATACCCCCCGATCGTTCCTCGATCGTCGGCTGCTTGCGTGACTGACGCGTCGAGACATACCACGCGTCCTAAGGAGCAGAGTAATAATCTAGTGAAGAGCGGGCAGGCGGCGGAAGAGAGGGTAGAATTTGAATGCTTGAAAGATCGACACGCTTCGAACGTGTCGCTCATGAGATTTGAATTTTGTCATGGTGCAATCGTATCCTGATGTTGGGCCAAGGCGGTTTAGTAGAATTGAGAGGATATTTTCCTAGGCGTCTCGACAATGAGCTGAATATCATTAGGCGGTGCCTTCGTTGTCCATAGGAACGGGACTAGCGTCGCATCTACATCATACAGATGTGTAACAGCGTGTACAGCTGACATCTCCTTCGGAGTCCTACTTATGTTTGAGGCTACGAAGGATCTCTCCGTTGAGAACGTTACAGTCATGGCTGTTCCGATGCATCTGGACGCTGAACCAGAAAATCAGTTACATAAAAAAGGCATGATAAATATCAGATATGCACTTTCTAACGTCTCTAGTCCCTGCTAAGGATAGCCCGCACAAAGGCTGTCGTCATCCACTTCAGCCAGACCACCTGTGCGAGAAACCGGTGAGCAAGATCGTTCGTATGCATATGACAACACCATCCAAAGTTTTACACCACCGATGCCAATTCTCAGCTGTGTTTTGATGTGGAACTGAAACGATCTGCAGTCGAGCGAAGGATGCTCTGAGGTCGGTTTGATTCACGAAACAAGGTCTCGCAAGATATCTGTTAGCAGCACTAGGCATTTCTGGGTGTAAATACAGGCACCAGCCACCTGTAGAAACAAGACTTAGCGATTGGATTTTCAGACAAAGGCAGATTCCTTCGTTGTCATAAGGGCCAGAGAAAAAGAAACGCGAAGGTTAACTTAATATTGACACTTACCTATCAAACATCCCTTATCATGACTAAGGACCCTTTGCCTGAGCTCAGCAAAGACTTTCTTGCACCTGCTATCCTCAGGAGCCAGACCACCTGCACAAGGAGTAGTGAGCAAGGGAAATCCTTGTAGGCATAATTGCAATATTCACATTAATAAGAAGTCATTCTACGTTTAAAAACATTAAAGCACCGACGCGAAAATCTGCAAATTTCTCAGGGCATCATGACTGCGAAAAAGAGACGATTAGTAGGTTCAGGGACGGACAGGCTTGCTCGATTCCGAGCCACAGAAAGATGTAAATCGTTTCCTGAGGAATCTCTTTTCGTAGCATTTGCGAAAATATTGAGCATTTATAGCACAGTATATGTGTAGGCACCTCCTGTAAAAAAAGAAAAGGAACGAGCCGTCCGATTGTCAGACCAGGTCAGAGTCTTTTCGTAGTCACAGGTCCAGCAGGGAAAAAAAGGGTCTGAATTGAGCATGGAATTTCTCCAACATCCTCCGCAAGCTGCTGAAACGAGTGAAGCTGCAAGCAGAGATAAGCGACTGGAAAAACAGAAACAAAAAGGAAAGAGTGGCTGTGCCACACCGGCAACCAACCGGCAACTTCCAAGTTTTATGCTGGATGACCCAAGCATGACCCGTCTCTTCCTCACCACCGCCTCGATGAGCTTGCCCTAGATGTAAGTGTACTGACTTCCTGTCGCATCGACAGAGTCTAATCTACTACTGGTCTCGTACCTAGACGCCGATACTTCCTTGTTCTCGTCCGACAGCCCCAACATCTCCCTTCAAGACGACCCTCTTCCCTCCTCGTCTAGGACACTGGAAATGTTGTCCAGTTCCTGTACAACGAACCGCAGCCTGACCTCGCCGAGCCTACCTTTGCTCTTCTGCTCCCTCCCATCTCTCGTAGCTGGGAAGGCACGAAAGACTAGGTCTGCGATAGATGGATCCGGTGGTGGGCACAACGACTTTCCACTCTTCTATGCGTAGATCCTCCCTAATCCCGCCTGATTGCTTCAAATACAGAGCATCTCGCCACACATACTCCGCTCCGAGGTTCAACATCTCGATCCGGATGAGACCAGGGCTCGTATCTTTAGGGATCAGTTGGGGATCAGCACTAATGCTCACCTTGGGCATCCGGAAATCCATGCGCTCCTCATAAGATACCCACGCATGTGATATTGGCGATATCACATGCATGGATATCTGACGAATTGCCCATAGCGTTTCCTGGCAACCCAGAATGGTGCTGGGTTGAGGTGTACAACTTGTGAAGTATGGTTGGATGAGTGGGAGGCCGAGTTCACATGGGCAACGTGCAAAGTTCTTGGAGGTCGCGTTTTGGAAAAGAATCGCTAGGACGAACTGCACATGTATGTAATCACGGTAGATGTAGACGCAGTTGATTTGAAAGTTCGTGAAACGGTGGAGGTGATGCCCATATTTGGGTCATCACGCGAGATGTCTGGTCAATGTCTGGTGACAATTTTCTGAACGGATCGATTTGCACGTAGAAAAGTTGGTATTCATTTACATAACACTACAGAACAAAATACACTTATCTCCTGCTAATATCTGAACCATGTTTTCAACGTGCATAAACAAGGTCACCCCGAAATTTGTACTGTCGTTCCCAATGCATTCCACATCCAACAAGGCCATCAGAGACTCAGAGCTGCCTATCTGAAGAAGCGCACTCCACAAGGGCGTATCCTGTTATCAGTGACTTCCTGTGAGTTAAAAGTAGCCTTTGAAGCGGTGCATACCGACTCACGAGAAACTGTGTGCCAGAAGCCAGTCTGCTATGGGCAGTTTTCTTACGATATAGTTCTAGCACGTCAGCTTACGCGTTCAACGCGTATCAGTCGCCGTGTCATATTCCCGACTCACGATGCATAGGTATTGGATGCACAGTTTGTTGGAAAACGGGGTATCGGTTCGTTCCCAGTGTCACATGCACGGTAGCAAGCCAATAGTATTGCGCTTGGCTGAGCTCTGCAAACGCATGAGGATCTATGCTAAAGTACCTACTTTTATACTAAATGTACTTTTACTAGAACTTTCCATGCTTTTCCTATGACTTCTACCTTAATAAGTGAACTCGGCATGATGCCGGATTGCCAAATCCCAACACAGTTTTCCCGGAATTATGTCAAGGGCTAATCTATAGTCTTGACTGCCCCGCACGATACCCATGTGCGGTATGGCCCCAACAAATTTCAATTTCTGGTATTGGTGAGTGATATGACTCCTCTCATGAGATCACTGCAATTAATCTGTTTCACAGCAAGTCCCGCAATGGCCATAACATCGCGATATACCGCAAGTCGGCGTCTCCTGGTACGCGGCCTTCGTGGACTCATGCTGCATGTTACTGACGTTATTCTTCCCCAGTATCTTCTCGACGGAGAAAAGTTTGACCTCGTTCAGACTCTCGCCATCTAACCTCACATGGGCGTCTCCGTGGAATTGCGTGAAGCATATATTTGGCACGAGCATGGCAACAGTTTCGTTTTTTATACATGCAAACGCTCGACCATCAGGATGCTTAATAACTGGAATAATTCTGCCAGCGACGACGAAAATGGCGACATCTAAATTATTCTAAGTACCCTCCGTCACCCTGTTCTCCGGCTCGCCAGATCCATTTTCGCTATTTACAATGCCCTCGGGCTGGCAGTTATTAGTCGACTCCGAAGCACCATGTTCCAGGTCGATATTGGCAGATAACTCGTCATCAGGATCCACGCTTATTGAGCGAACCGTAGACCGAAACCGTAAGGAAGAGGCATTATTATTTCCCGCTCGCCAGCTGTCATTAGGTCGTGCGTTCCCCGATGCAACACGTGCCACGATAAGTGTGGGTGAGATCGCCTTCATAAAGGGACGTCAGTATATCGGGACCCTTTCATAAAGATGGAATGGTGACGAACAGCTACGGAAAGAAACAAAGTTCGTGGGTAAAGAGATATGATCACGTTGAGAGTGACTAAAACCATAAACCCTATCAAGCCAATGACATAGAGCGAGGCGGATTCAACTAGAATCTCGACGATTCGGCGGTAGATGCGTGTACTGGTGCTATCGTCCGTGTACTTTGTGACTGTCAGGATACGGTAGATTATGAGTATGGTGCACCAAAGTGTAGTTCCTAAGGAGCAGGAGAGGAATATCATTGTCCAATTGAGTTCCGAGGGCGAGTATCCGATAATTGTATAATTTAAAATGTATCGGAATTCGACGCAGCCACAGACTGTGAAAAGAGATTGGTGATGTAATGGAAGAAAAAAGTTACAGTCTCGTACCTAGTTGAGCCAGAAAAAGTGAAATTGGCAATATAACGACTGACCAACGACGGCCCCAGATAATCCAACAGCGCCATATCTACAGTGCGTAAGGGTCAGTACATGTTAAAAATGAGACTATCAACATGATCATAACAGACCGTGATACCATCAGCAATGCTAGGGTTCAAAATAAACACGACCCCCGACCAACGGTAGAGAACAAAGCTAAGGCTTCCACTTTCCTTCCCGACAGAGTAGTCGATAGCGTAAATCCAATCTGAGGCCACATAAAGCGTGGCGAAGATATACAAACATACAATGACGAAAACCATGATGTTTCGTGCTTTGGGCCGGCGTTCTTTGGTCGAGACTATTGATGTTTGTATCATGCACAGTACTGCGAAATTGGAGACCGACATACATATTGCCCATAAAGCGAATACCACAATGCAAGTATGGATGCCTGTTTTGTCTCAGCCCGTTCAGTAAACGTGTATATGCATCAGTATGCATACTGACCATGCCCGAAGGCTCCCAATAGGGCCTGGTTGAGCACCGCAATTGATACTTGTTCGGCTGACATGATGAAGAGTTTGGGAGATTTGTGGACTGAACTCGAGATCTACCCTTATGTAGCACTAAAGCTCCCGTATTTACATAAAGATATAAAATTTAGAACAGGCCTACTGATTCATTGACACTGATGGGCACAGGATGTCAGATAATGTGATTCCGAGGGGTGAGGATTTCTTACTAATACAGAAGTATCTGCTTCTGCCGGTAATTTTAGGGCGAGCGATTAGAAGTCGACGGTTCATATGAGCAAATGAACCGATCTGCAAACCTGCATGGACTGTGCTAGTCTTCTGAATAGCAACATGAAGAATCTAAGCGAGCATTAGTCCGTTCAGAAATTTTACAGTTAACATGCCGAGTTTGCAGCTTACCTATACATGTTGTCTGATTCTCCTAGATCTGACAAGGCTATACGCGGAAGACACCAGGTAAAAGATGACATCGATAAATCCACTAGTGATTGACGCCAGAATCTTGGCATTCAGCCCTCTGACAAAGGCAATACGAGGCAAATAGACACCCAAAGATTCCATGACATACGTGCCTTGTGTCCGCCTCACCTGATTCAAAGTCATAAGTAGCAGTGAATAGTCGTCGGCTGGTCAAACGGGAGCAGCTGTGGTACGATCTCCAGGCCTTACACGTGCAGGATACCGCCGCTAACGGCGCTCACCATGATAGTTGCAACCATGATCTCGCCGTTGCGACCCATACGGAGCGACTTATGAGTGAAAATGTATATAAATACATTAATCCCTGACGTCCACAGGACATTGCCCTATACCATCCAGTTCGACAGACCCACTGAGAAAGATTTGGATGTTGAAAGCACAACGCCATGACCACCAGCTTAAAGGGATTTCAATGTCTCTCAAATTTTAATGACCGCTGGTGAAAACAGATAATGGAACGCCAGCAAGGGGCCAAGAAGTCTCGATAACGGTATGACGTGAGCCAATGGCATGGATCCGAGGTGGTAGTATTTGGCGCGCAAGAGAAACGATAATGGATTCCCTGCGGATGACGGATAAATAGACACAACCGTCGTATTCTTAAGTACGGGGTGGGGCGATAGTGATGGATGCTGAAAACCGCGCCACCGTGTAGGCAGTGTTGCCGCGGCTCTCGGCTTCAAGCCGCTCGAGCCGGGGATTCGTAAGCCAGTTCTGGCCGGCCCGTACTTGTAACGCAACCGTCACCTCCATCCGGCGCGTCCGAAAGTATAAGCCTCCAGGAAGATGAGATTTTATAGCAGAATTTCTTCCTATCCTCGTGGATCAGTGTTGCTCTGACTAGGCCCGTTTAAACAAGGATGGTAAGTCTCCGCACCTGTGTGATGAATCCTCGGCCTCAACCTCCAGACTCGATAACTACAGTGTGTCGCATCGAGCATCAAGAATAGACATGTTCTGACTGTACACTGCAGAAGGAGTCTCTCGTTATGGTATGGCTCTTTGGATCATCATATGGGATCGGTGGAATTTCAAAGAGAGGTATTCTGCTTTGGGGAATTTTCATTGTTTTATTCTTCGGCTAATGTAGATTTGAGGTCGTTCTATTGTCGCCGTGCTTGCTCAGAGCGGCGACCATAATCGTCTAGACTTTTTTGGGTCCGTTACCAGGAATCAGCAGGACCTCATCATGAAGGGTGGGCGTCACCATGTTGTACGAGATGCCTCAGAAAGCCTGAGGGCATGTATTCTTTTACCAACGAACCCTGTCGACGTACTGCTGGGGGTGCGATCCATTCATTGCATAACGGCGAGCTGCTTGGGTGCTAAAAAAGTCTTGAATAATGCGCCATATAATGCCGAGGCGTTTGGTCCATGGTATGAATCGAATAAGCTTATTTGGAGACCTGTCAGCACTAACCATCATTGACAGGGCCCGTAATACTATGATCGTTGCTCGAGAATATAAACTGCAGCCAACACCCGACCTTGTGAAGATTTCTGGAACTGCGCGTCTTTGTTTGGTAGCCCTCGTGTATCTGCTGCTATACTGCCGTCGTTTTTTGTCTCGATTTTTGAGCACTAGTGTCTCTGTCCGGTCGTTCCTTCAAAATGATTGGTTACTACAAATCGTTGGTGTCTTGTAAGTGGCCTTCCAAGAATCCTGCTGCGCAATACTGACCTTCTCCTTCCTCAGTCTCTTCTCTCGACATGGAAAGTTTGACCTCATTCAGCCCCTCAACGTCTTTTCTTATGTGGGTGTCTCTGTGGAGAGTGAAGCATATATTTGGCACAAGCATAGCAGCAATTGCTTTGGTTTGTACGCAAAAGTTCGACCATATAGACGACATTCCCGTCAAGATCTTTAAGGTCTGGGACAATTCTGCTAACGTGGATGTAACCAGCAACATCAAAGCCATCCTAGGGACGCTTGGAGGTTCTCGAAGGAACGTCTTCGTGACCATGGACCTTCAGCGCAACAGAAGCCAGAAACACTTCTGCTGCCACGATCTGGAGTCATTCTTCTATGTTTTCCTTAGGCTGCTGTTCCTTTCGATCTGTAGCAGAGTATGCATGCGGAGACGACTCATCCCGTGTTCGCCAGGTGAGCCACGTATCATGATCAGGAAGAACGTCCTCTTACTCTGCCGCTCCTCTAGGATTTGAAGGAGATTTTTGCCAATGTGTTCGGCTTTTTTGAGGAGTATTCAGAGAGGAAATCCCGTGGTATACAAGCACAGTCCTCCTACATGTCAGGGATTCAGAAGCGGTATCTCATGAGAAGACGCTGGGAGGGCATCTTAAATACCATGGGGTTCTGCATCTCTACGCCTTCTATTAAGTTCCGATGTTTTCCATAAACTTTCTTCGTATTCTGATTTACTTGCGTGTTTAGATGTATCAATAGTGCGTAACGGGAAGTTGAGTTCCCAGTACCGACCATGACGACCAGTGATTCGATACTCAAAGAATGTTTCATCGTATCAGATAGAACGCGGATTCGCATGACCTGGCAACTAATCGCGATAACTGTCTCTTTTTAAGGCATCCACGACAAAATTCTTAAGAGACAAGGGGACGCGTCGAATGACCGAACTGCTGTAAAAATGCAAACGGGTGTATACAATGCAAGTGGCGTTTTCGTACCGACTCTAGAATGTAATCAGAAGCACCAGCATTCGGTGATCGTAATTGGAAGGACCAGGGTTGACGGTTTTGGTCTCTTCTTTCCTAAATTGAGTCGGGCAGAACCACAATAGAAAATCTTCTCCTTCGTTTTCTGACATACGGCTACCCTCTTCGCGTTCTTCTCTGAATAACAATGCGGTGTCAATATAATAGGATCCTTCAATTGGTTCATCTCTGTCGGCTCCCGTTCTTCCTTCGCCCCCCCGACCATCTTCAACCAAAATGGAGGACCACAAAATCCCCCTCTTAGGCGACTACCACGCTCAAATCGACGTACGTATATTTTCGACCTGCTAGTGGTCTGGCTGTCGGTAACCTCCTTGCTCCAGGTAAAACATACCAGAGCTGAGATCCTTGATCTTAGTTCGGATGAAGACGTTTCGTCTGCCAAGGTTGTTTCTTTCCGCTCCCCCCCACATGCTACACCTTATCTCACCTATAATTCGCAGATCGATAAGTCTACATCCTCAGATGGTATCCAAAACATACAGGTATGAATAACCTTGAGACGCGACATCGAGCTCACCGGCTTGATCTTTCTGCGCTAGATAAAGGTTGAACCACTGAAACAAGAGGCGATCGACCTCACTATAGACGATGAAGATTTTTCGTTGGATGTATGTGGACCCTCCGTACTGGCTCCGTACCTGTGTTTAATCGAAATTTGCAGGTCAGGAAACCCACGATGAAGCAAGAATCAATTGATTTGACTGGATCAGACTCGGAGTCGGATGATGACGACGCGTCTCTTATATGCCGGGTACTTATATTTTCCTCTTGATTCATGGAAACTCATCGACCTAAAATTCCGTACACCAGAACCTCTTCATGTCGCAGAACAGTGACGAACCCTCCAGTGCAAGCTCTCCCGTGCGTTAACCTCAGATTCGCACGCGTGTTTTTAATTCTAATTTTGATTGATAAGACCGCTGTCGACGTCAGCCATCTCTTTGATTTCTCATCTGCAAATAATGTACCAGGACCCGCGTACATAGATGAAGACGAAGATAACGATCGGGACCTCCCGGTAATATTCCGTAGCCTGAGTCCTCTCCGCTCGCCACTCCCATGTACACCAAACCATCGCACTGAGGGATACTCACTCCGTCCCCGCCCCAGGCCTTCAAGGAATGATACTCCGACCTACTCTGAACCTCCGGCCAAACGGTGCAAAAATCATGGTAACGGAGAGGAAAACCCAGGGTGGAAGAAGGCTTATAACTGGCTTTTGAAGAAGCATGGTGATCTTCAGCAGGAATATAGTATGCTCAAGGAGAAGATCGAGATGGCGAAGAGAGTCGAGCAAGGACAGGGACAGGGGGCATCAAGGTCACCTTCGCACCTCAGCGATGTAACCAACAGAGGTGCGACTGTACTGGGTGGTACTGGTCATATGAATCAACGGCCGTATGTGTCCAATGTCTACAGTTTACTCTCTTGAGCATCTCTCATCTCCACGCTTTTTTGACTGGATATTATATACGTACATATTTTCAGTGATGTACAAGTTTGACGACGTATGCTACAAGTTGTATGATAGGGAAAAAATGTTCAGTTTAACAGTCATGTTATCAGACCATGTAAGCTAGTATCTTACAACAATCCGGGGTAAGCGATGCGTGGTAGGTAGGTAGGATTCCAGGGTATGGTCTAACGGAGAACGTCGGGCGTAGTTATACTGTTAAGAAGGGCCCTCATACTGCCATCTATGGTCACGAATTCTGGAACAGAGCATAGGTATCCACGAAAGCGAATGATAAACATATACGCACCTGGTCATAACCCTCGTCCTCACCATGCAAAAGGTCTCTCGGAAATCGGGGTACACGTCTGCACAATTTTGCTTTTGAAAGCATATCGCTCTCTTTGACCTCAGTGGTGGTATTAGAACTCGTTGGAGAAGACGGCGTCAGAGAAGGGGTCAAAGAGGGAGGGAGGGAAGGGTCTCCGAATCGGGGTCTCTATGCCGCGTCTGAGAAAGCGGCCGCAGCCTTGGACCGCTCCTGGTCTACCACAGGAGACAGGACATGCCTAGATGCTCGGTTCTATGACGAGCCAATAGTAGAAGCAAATGAGAATATATTTGCCTTGCGACACAAATTCCACAACTCACGACATATGGACTGGGTACGCTCAAATACCTCAACTCTTGTCGGAGGTCGTGATTCTCCATTTCAAGAAGCCGGCACTTCTTCTCAAGGTCGGCGATGTATTGCGCTCTGCGAGCACGGTAGTCGCGCTGTTGAGCCAACGAGCGAGTCAATGGGATCGTGTGGTCCTTCTTGCGTCCGCGAGTCATAGCAATGTGTTTGGGTTGGGGGAGCTTCGCTAAGGAGAGCCTTAACAGGACGGAAACCCATCATTTGACGAGACCAGAGTGTTAAATTGCCAGGGTGAATTTGAAGGACTTAGCGCGTATCGGGGATAGAGGAGGGTGCTTGGAGACTTGTGACATGGAAGGGACGATAAGTCCTGGAAGCCGAGTATATGAGGATTCGAAGTTTCAAGGCTCTATAGTTATTGAACTTTAATTCTACATGAAAAGTGAACGTGTCGAGCTGACCAGAGTGTCGAAATAAGACGCTCAAGAACGAGCAGTGTCCTTTCTATTGACTTCAATCATAGCAGATGCCGAGGCCCATGGTAGTCCATCAAACCTAAGGCGTTGCTGAGAAGGTCAGTCGATTGTTCGCAATTCCAATATAGTCCGTACACAACGGGAGAAACCACATCATTGACAATGATCTTTATTTCGGCAATACCTGGTCTGATTTGGGAGGGACAACCTGTGGGAGACGTTTCGTGATTTTGATTTTCTCGGAATCCGTAGCGTAGACCCGGAAGCACCACAAGCAGTGGATAATAAGTAGGACGCAAAGCTTTCGCGGGACGCTGGGATCTCCTTCAATTTTCCCTCGTCAGCTTGACTGCGTACAACAGTTTGAAATCGTTTTCATTGGTAATACCTAAAAGATCCAAGGGAAAAGAGGTCGGCAAGCCCGAGTTGATGGTTATATGAATATGAACCCCATCATTGGTCCTTCATGTGACCGAAATTGAGTTATAACGACCAAGTACTCAGGCGAAACAAGCACCGAAAAAACCTGGCATATTGCCCCTTCAATCTCGGTAAATCGGGAGTGTAGTATAGGTCACCTTCAACCTAACACTCCCATATGAGGACGTTAGATCCGATGCTGATATACCGCTCCACTAGATGGGCATGTTCTAGATCTGCCGCAGAAATTCAGCGGTTGGAACCATAACCCGGATCGTTGCAGCTCAGCTGAGCAAGTGGTCATATTAGTATATCTAACATCGTCGTAGTATTCTGTGCCGGTATCCCAACCGCCATTGTACAGAGGACCGTCTACTCTAAGAGAAAGCCAGTCAGTCGGCGAAGAAAAGACATAGATAGCAGACGCTAACGAAATTGAAAGGTCTATGAATCAAGCACGACGTCTGCAGCACCCTGCTAGAGAGACTCGCTCATGAAGACTGGTAAGTGCCAGTAGCAGCTTGATGATACGATCGGACGAAGAGAATATGCGGGGCCCCATGGCTGAGCGGAATGAAACGACAAGTAGAATGAGAACGAGTAACATTATGCCGCTAATGTCTCGCTTCCGAGAGTGCATATACGCGGAGAACTGGGTGAAATCTAGGTCGTTCGGATGAGTATCTGCGAGTAGACAATAGTCAGCAGCGATGTAGCACTTGAGGATCGAAAAATGCCCTCAGTGAATGTGGAACGCGGCTTACCAGTGATATTGACCCGACGTCCGTTGACTAGACCGTCAAAGATCGCCGATATGCATCCTTCTCACACTTGACCATTTCACAGAGATTGCACGACACCGGAACCACGCAGCGACGTTTCGATCCTTCTGTACCCTCCGAACAAGTCGAAATTCCTCTGGATGCAGTGCTAATGCAGTCACAGCAGTCTCGATAGCGTCATTCAGTATCAGGGACCACCCTCCGGGGTTAGGCAGCTTTCTGCGTGGAAAAATTGGCGCATATATCTTGCAACGCAGAACGTGTATTGAAAAACCGAAACGCCGGGAGAAGGGAGCCAGAAGAATGGAAAGAAAGGTAAAGGCGCCATGAATCGTGACGATGTTGAACAGAAGCCTGCAAAGCAACAAAAAGCCGCGGCGACGCGTTAACAGGAGACTAGGCCGAATAATAGATGCAGACGTACCTCCAGTTTTCCTGGTACGAGTCTCCGGACTCTAACCTGCTAGCAAAGGCGTAGGCATCTGAAAGTTGGAAAGAGACCGACAAAGCAAGGTGACGGTCGCAGCGGCGATCGTCTCTGATAGTGCTACCCGGGGTCGGGTCGGCTTCTTCTCTTACTACCACCACCGTCCGGGAATTTTTTCGCTCAGCTTCGTGCACGTCATGGCGCTTTTCTGACATCATTTGGAGGAGGCAGGTCTTCAATCAGCGCTGTGTTGACGCTGTATCTGACGTGACATTTTTGATCCAGTTTGTTTTTTCAATATCTTCCCCATGCTTTACCATTATTCGTGTTGTCAAGTTAGAATGGAGCTAAAATTCGATACACTTCTATGCTTTCGGTAATCCAAAGAAATCTTCAAGGTTGTTCGCGGCGAGAAGAGCTCATAGACGTGCCATTTCCCCACTTCTCTGGTCGCAACGATACACAGTCGTCGTTCTGGGTCGGATTCAACTACTCTCCTCAAGGCGACGCAGTGTTTTTGGGCCAGCACTAGTTCAAAGAAATACCGCATGGGGCTCTTTATCCTGGATTGGTGTGCGCGCCGAAAGTATTGTTATGCATTCAGGCATCAGGCGCCTTGCGCGTCGCATGAATGTTCTTTCTTCGTCAGGTGCTGACCATTTGGTTCATGGGGCCTGGCACATCGTGCTGATGGATGGGATTGACTTCGGCCTCATGCCAGCGAATTCGGAATTCAGTACCGCCTTGATAAATGCATCATCTCAGATGCAGACAGCTGCCTATGAGTATGATGAATCCACACGTCCAGTAGTGCACCCGTGTTTGATCTGCCTGATGTCGAGGGTTGGTGAGTCTGCCCTCTTATTTCGAGCGCATATATCCATCATTCATGTCTGTTTCCAGCGGTAGTTTTCCATCTCACATCAAACTCATAAGCGCAACCTCACAAAATGTTTCGTCGTGCTATCCGGCTGGCTATACATCCCTTCAAGATCAGACAAGATTACGGAAACAGAGCCTCATCTCAAGTTGATAGCACGATAGTGTAAGTACCTAATCATTTCACAAACGATGTAAGACCTCCGGCACTGTACATCTTCCGCTTCAGACTGTGCTGAAGAATACAATGTTGAGTCTGTTTATGCTGGAAACGCCATCCTCAAGGACCCTATTCCTATCTCCCTTGCGCCATATCCTTTCCTTGATATGGTCCATTCGCGTCAAGCGCCATCGTATGTATCCCATGCTATTGTGTTAGTTTCTGTCACGTATTCCCGTTGTCAGGACTATCCTTGCCCTTCACTAGTCCTACCGGCGTCCATTTTCAACACCGGGGAAGACGACATTTGAGTCACACGAAATTTCATTCGTGCTTTCAGCGCCCAATTCTTTTCAATGAGTAGGTCAAACTGAATGGTATGCATAAATCAACATCTTGTGGATGCAAGGGGCTAATATATATATTTGTTCACTCATCAGTCACTCTGTAGGGGTCAATTTGGTGAGATGATGGTTGCCTTATCTCATCATCTTATCACCACACGGTACCTTCAGGCGTGCTGATGTTCGCAGTGAGTGCGCGAGTGAGAATCGCGATATCTAACGCGAACTCGCACGTTTCCTGTAGGCGTACGGCCTGGAGATCCTGCACAGCTGCTCCCGTTTTACTAGCCAGTGCGACGGCTGCTTACTACTGTGACTTGGAATCTTTTGGATGCTTCGTATTGCCTCCGTCAGAAGGCTACATGCCGAACTTCTAGGATCAATCACTGATAAATTCACCGATGTGATCTCTTACCTTGCCTCTTTCGCGTATAGCCTTGTCAGATCTGGGCAAGTTGGATGACACGAAGTAAGCTGAAGCGTCAGCATTTGAACTGTAAAATCACTAAACGATTAGTACTTGCTTAGGTTATTCATGCCATTATTCAGAAGACTAGCGCAGTTTATGGAGGCCTGAAGATAGGTTTGTTCGTTAAGGTGCTGGCTTCTGGTTCCTCGCCCTGAAATCACGGGCAGACGAGGATAATTTTGTGTTCTGTGCCCGTTAGCTTCAATCAATGCATCAGCCGGCTAGGTCCGTTCGTCAATGCTACATAAGAGTAGACATCGAGTTCAGTCCACAAATCTCCCCGTGAATCTTCACCATGTCAGACGAACAACTATTAATCGCACAGTTGAATCAGGCGCTACTGGGAGTCTTCGGGCACGGTCAGTATCCAAATTGATGCATATACGCGTTGACTGAGCGGGTCGAGATCAACAGGTATCCATACGTGCATCATGGCATTCGCTTTATGGGCAATATGTGTATTTGTCCCCAATTTCGCAGTACCGTGCATGATACAAACATCAATAGTCTCGACCAAAGAACGCCGACCCAAAACCCGAACCATCATGGCTTTCCTCGTTGTATGCTTGTATATCTTCGCCACGATTTATGTGGTCATAGATTGGGTTTTCACTATCTACTACTTTATCGGGAAAGGAAAAGAAAGCTCTAGTTTTATTCACAACCTATACCGTGCATCGGTAATCGGGTTTGGTATAAATACTGGCATTGCTGACGGTATCACGGTCTGTTATGATATTTAGTTTTCTCGTTTTTATTGTGTACTGACCCTTACGGACTATATAGATCTGGCGCTATTGGGTTATCTGGGGCCGTCGTTGGTCATTTGTTATACCACCAATACTACTTTTTCTGGCTCAAGCAGGTGGGGCGCTGAAACTGCTTTCGCTTATTATGCCATCAACTTTCCCTTCGTAGTCTGTGCTGGGTTCGTATACCAAAGAGGCTTATACGATGCTTCAACCGCTCCCGGGACATCGCGAGAAATCTTCTGGTTGATGATGTTCATTTCCTTCTCCTTAGGAACCACCCTTTGGTGCACCACACTCATAATCTATCGTATCCTGACAGTCAAGAAATATACAGACGACAGCACGGGTACACGAGTTTACCGCCGAGTCATCGAGATTCTAGTTGAATCTGCCTCGCTTCATGCCACTGGCTTAATAGGATGCATGATATTACTTAATATTAATGCTGTTGCATCTTTTTACCCGTCGAGCCTCTACATCGCAATCACTGTTTGTCACTATCCCATCATCGTGAAAGAATCTCGATACTGAGATTCTATTATGAAGGCGATCTCACCCACGCTTATCATAGCACGCGTAGCATCGGGAAATGCACGTCCTGATGACAGCTGGCAAGCAAGCAACGGCGCTTCTTCCTTACGATTTGGGTCTGCAGCTCACTCGACAAGCATGAATCCTGGTAGCGAGTTATCTGCCGATATTGACTTGGAACACAGCGGATCAGAGATGACTGATAATTGCCAGCCCGAGGGCATTGTCAATACTGAAAAGGGAGCTGACGTGCCGGAGAACAGGAGAACGGAGGCTGCTTCAGATCTGTGATCATGGTGGATAGCAGGGTCCTTGTTTTAGGCACCTAGTAGACGCGAATGATGTGCCATGGAGTACTTGCCGGTACGAGGTTTCCAGTAATTCGTTTTAGGCGTGTCACCTAAGTTTCTATTCTATCACGACATCTTTTCTATCAGCTAAAGTCAATATTCCTGTGTTGTCATTTAGTAAGTATATTGTAAATTGTACACCCCTACTTTTGTTTCTAAAACTTTCGTTTCGCTTGATGCTCTCAGAGGGTAGTGAAGCAAATTCAACTTTTCAAGCATAAAATTGGTACGTCTCTTAGACTGTTGCTCGAAGCTATTCATGCACCGTTCAGCGCCCTTCATTAGCCGGGTTGTCGAGAGCCTGACTTATTTTCAATCAGGGCTTGGCCTTGGCCAGACTTCTCACTTCCGAGCAGTCCAGTAGTATGCGGCGAAGGACACGGGAAAGGTAGTAAGTTGTAGTCAGTTGTCACGTCAACGTCCAACGTAACTTAGTCTTGGATTTCAGAATTGTACTTGCAAGTTGCCTTCTTGGAGGGGACGCCATCTGCTTTGGACTCCTCCGAAGATATAGTAATGTTCTGTCTGAGTCTCGGAATTCAAGTCCAGTTTATAAAGGGCAAGAATTATGGTAGTACTACTGCTTCCGGCACTACGGGTTGTTAGTGAGGTCACTTGTGCCTGGATAGGCCAAGCCCGTCGTGTCACGCCGGGTTCAAAGTCTACTCGTTTCATTCAACAGTTGTAAGTACTTACTTATCTCTGCACGAAGACCAATATGACCATGCGCGGCATGATCAGATGTTCTACTTCTAACTTCGGGTCTTTCGACCATAGTTTCTCCGGTCGTGACAACAGAAAACTGCAGTCAATGGTGGAATACCAAGGATGGGAACTGCAGGAGAAGCTAGAAAGTCGCCGTTAATGCCCGGCGTATCTGTCTCGCGCCGTTTCCGCTGCATAATCATCATGTTCTGCTTCAAGCCATCCATCCTCGCTGCTGTGGTTTTATCCACAGCTACAGTCAACGCGTTGACGGGACAAGGTAGGTGCATCCTTGCTCTCTGACTGTTATAGTTATATTGATAATAACCTCAAAACTACTTATTTCACCCCGAACAGTTCTATCGGAGCCTGTGGTGTAGCTCTGGATTCCCAGACCGATCTGAGCGTCGCTCTCTCCAGCGATCAATTTGGAGATGGCGCGCATTGTGGGGGGACGATAAAGGTACAATGTAGATAATTTAGTCGTCGTTCCGGTTCCGGACTGATGGAATACTTCCTTAGACAATGCCAAGACCGCAGAGGCGACTGTCGTTGACAGATGCGTCGCCTGCAGTGAAGCCGACCTCGATCTTTCTCCTGCGGCGTTCCAGACACTTGCCAGTCTCGACGATGAAGTTATTGAGGTTACTTGGGACTACGAATAGGCTGATATTGAATCTGGCGGAAATGCCATTATTACTGTCTGAGTAATGTACGCCATTGCGAACTGTTCGTGTGTCAATCTACATGCTAATTTGCTTGGTACTAGTATGCCGAGGATAAGGACGCGAGCTCCCGTACTGGTGGGAAAAGGATGCGATATAATTTTGCAACAGTGGCAGGGTGTCTGTCCTGCAGAGTGGTAGAAGCCTCCATCGAGTATATCATGTGAGAATAATGTCGACTTCAAATGTTGCTCGTAGAAAACAACGCACAATTATTTGCTTAACAGAGAACGCATTGACTGGTAACAAAAGTAGCAGAGCATTAAAACGACGAGGAAATTCTATAATCACTCCCGCTACATTAGATAGAAAGATCTACTCGTAGTTCCAGATAACCTGGATATGGCTGTCATCGAGAGGAGCGAGCTTCTCGAATGCGGATGGCGAAAGGTCAATCCCATTATGACCACAGCCAGGGCAAAGGTCCCCAATGGTAGCGTCTACAAACTTGCCCTTGTCTAAAGGAGCACGTCGTCAGCACCACATTCAGGTACTATCGAACGTACAGTGTACACCGATGTGCTTCCAGCAGTGCGCCCCTCCAGCGTATTGGTCGCTGGAGAGCGCGACGATGTGGTCAGAGTTCTGCATGGGTGCACCGCAGGCCCCGACTCCGCCATTGGGAGTGTACCAAGTTGCTGGGAGTACGACCGCAACAAAGACTGTAGCAGAAGCGCGTACCTTCTCCGGTGAGCGCATTGACGATGCTTACAAGGTGCCGAGACTCCAAAGTTGCTAGCGAAGGCGCGTAGGCACCCGAAAACTGAAAAGAGGCCGACGAAGTAAGGTGACGGTCGCGGCGATCATTGCTGATGATCACGCTACCCGGGGTCGCGTCCGAGGCTTCTCCTCTTACCACCACTACCGTCCGGTCTTTCACAGTGATAGACGGGCCATTTCCCCACTTCCCTGATGGTCGTCGTTCTGGGTCGGATTCAATCACTCTCCCTAAGGCGACGCAGTGTTTTCGGCCAGCACTAGTTCAAATAAATTCGGCGTGGGGCTCCATATCCTAGATTGGTGCACCTGCCGACAGTGTCGTCATGCATTCAGGCATCAGGCGCCTTGCGCGTCGTATACATGTTCTTTCTTCGTCGGGTGCTGCCTGGCACATCGCGCGCTGATGGATGACTCGATGAGATTGACTACGGACAAACGTCAGCAAATTTGGAATTCAGGATTGCCTTGATAAATGCATTATCTCAGATGCAGACAGCTGCGTATCAGTATGATGAACTCACACATCCAGTAGTGCACCCGTATTTGATCTAACTGATGTCGAGGGTGTCGGTGAGCTCTGCCATCGCATTTCAAACGCATATATCCATCATTCATGTCTGTTTCCAGCTGTAGTTTTCCATCTCACATCAAACTCATAAGCGCAACCCCACAAAATGTTTCGTCATGCCATCCAGCTGGCTATACATCCCTTCAAGATCAGACAAGACTACGGAAACAGAGCCTCACCTCGAGTTGATAGCATGATAATGTAAGTACCTAATCGTTTCACAAACGATGTAAGACCTTCGGCACTGTACATCTTCCATTTTAGACTGTGCCGGGAAATACGATGGTTGTTTCTGTTTATGATGGAGATGTTATCCGCAGGGACCCTATTCCTATTTCCCTTGCGCCATATCCTCTCCTTGGTATGGTCCATTCGCGTCAAGCGCCATCGTATGTATCCCATGCTATTGTGTTAGTTTCTGTCACGTATTCCCGTTGTCAGGACTATCCTTGCCCGTCCCACCGGTGTCCGTTTTCAACACCGGGGAAGACGTCATTTGAGTCACGAAATTTCATTCGTGCTTTCAGCATCCAAATCTTTTCAATGAGTAGGTCAAACTGAATAGCATAAATCAACATCTTGTGGATGCAAGGGGTTAATCTATATATTTGCTCACTCATCAGTCGCTCTGGTATGGGTCAAATTGGCGAGATGATGGTTGCCTTATCTCATCATCTTATCACCACACGGTACCTTCAGGCGTGCTGATGTTCGCACTAAGTTCCTGTACCTGTACGCGTATGGCCTGGAAATCCTACACAGCTGCTCCCGTTTTACTAGCCAGTGTGACGACTGCTTACTGCTGTGATTTTGAATCTTTGGGCTTTATCTGTTTGCCTCATATTACCTCCATCAGAAGGCTACATGCCGAGCTTCCGGGATCAATCATCAATAGATTCATCGATGTGATCTTCTACCTTGTATCTTCCGCGTATAGCCTTGTCAGATTTGGGCAGGTTAGATGACACATATAGGCAAGCTGCGACGTCACCATGTTAACTGTAAAATCACTAAACGATTAGTATTCGCTTAGGTTGTTTATGCTGCTGTTGAGAAGACCAGCGCCGTTTATGGAGGCTTGAAGGTTGGATTGCTTAGTCTTCTAAAGCCCGTTTCACTGAGTTCCCATGGTAGCTGCCAGTTATCTGCCATGCCCATAATAGGTAGGAGTACTCCTCGCTTTCACTGATTTTTCCTGGCGCCATTTCTTTACCTTTAGGCTAGAAAATTTGACAGTAGCTGAAATATACAATCATTAATCATGTCTTAAAATTGTGAAAAGCCAAGCATGCTGTGTAGCACAATACTTGAGAAAAGGTGAATCTCCTGCCAAAAGTTATCTGCCAAGCCCCTATGTTATCTGCCACCGGTCCGAAGTGTCCGAGGTACCTGCCACGACAACGCTTGCCAGGATTGCGTTCCTCACGAGTCACATATACATCTATCGATGCTTATGGATAAATTTTAGATGCACTTTCCTTCACTAAATGCTCACTAATTTTGTGCTGGGCACCAGTACTAAGCATATACAACCCCCATGACCTCTTCAGCCACCGAGCTTCAAGTTGCAGACAGGATTAATCAGAAGAACCAAACAAAAAAGCTGGTTACGCTCAAAACTGCTGAATCAAATACGCAGTTTTCTCATACAGGGCCATCTGCCGGCTGCGCAAGCCTACTATCCTCATGATATGTACAATGGAAACATAACATACTCACATGCCAGCTTTCATGCTTATAAACTTATCCAGTAAAATATGAGATGGAGAGCTCAAAGAGCGCTCCTTGGCCATTTTTAAGCTTCAGAGTCACATCGGGACTGCGATTTTTGGGTCTCCGATCATCGATCATTAATCATTTCCCGAAGTCTTTTTGTTTATTCTTTTTGCTCGTTTTGGAGCGTGCGACACTCAGTGAAATGGACGGAAACCGACTTCCGGTCCCTCGCCCTGAAATCGAAAGCCGATACTTCTGTGTTACTTAGTAAGAAATCCTCGCCTCTCCACAATTATATTGTCTGCAATCCTGTGCCATTAATTTTAATTAATCAGCGGGCTCGGTCCATTCGTCAGTGCTACATAAGAGGAGACATCGAGTTCAATCCATGGAAAATCTCTCCGAATCTTCACCATGTCAGACGAACAAGTATTAATCGCACAGTTGAATCAGGCGCTATTGGGAGTCTTCGGGCACGGTCAGTATGCAAATTGATGCATATACACGTTGACTGAGCGGGTTGAAATACAACAGGTATCCATACTTGCGTTGTGATAGTGGCTTTGTGCGCTACATGTGTGTTGGTCCCCAATTTTTCAGCACCCGTGCATGATAAAAATTTCAATAGTCTTGAGTAAACAACGCCGACTCAAAAAACGACACATCATGGTTTCCCTTATCATGTGCTTGTATATCTTTGCTACAATTTATGTGGCCTCAGACTGGGTTTACACTATCTACTACTCTATCGGGAAAGGAAAAGAAAACTCTGGCTTTGTTCCCAACCTATACCATTCGTCAGCAGTCGGGTTGGGTATAAATACTGGCATTGCTGACGGTATCACGGTCTGTTATGATGTTTAGTATTCTCGTTTTCAACTTGTACTGACCCTTGCACAATGTATAGATCTGGCGCTGTTGGATTATCTGGGGCCGCCGTTGGTCATTTGTTATACCACCAATACTACTTTTTCTGGCTGGAGGAGGTGAGGCGCTGGAAATCCTTTCGCTTTATTATACCTTCAACTTCCTTTCATAGTCTGTGGCTGCTTCGCATTCCAAAGAGGCTTAGACGATGTCGGTACCGCTCCCGGGACATCGCTAGAAATCTTCTGGATGACGGTGTTCCTTTCCTTCTCCTTAGGAACCACGCTTTGGTGCACCACACTCATAATCTATCGTATCCTGACAGTCAAGAAGTATACAGACGACAGGATGGGTACATACGTTTACTGCCGAATCATCGAGATTCTAGTTGAATCCGCCTCGCTTCATGCCATTGGCTTAATAGGATGCATGGTATTACTCAACCTTAACGCCGTTACATCTTTTTACCCGCTGAGTCTCTACATCACAATAACTGTTTGTTACTATCTCATCATCGTGAAAGAATCTCGATACTGATATTCTATTATGAAGGCGATCTCACCTACGCTTATCGTGGCACGCGTAGCATCGGGGAATGCACGTCCTGATGACAGTTGGCAAGCAAGCAACGGCGCTTCTTCCTTACGATTTGGGTCTGCAGCTCACTCGACAAGCATGAATCCCGATAGCGAGTTATCTGCCGATATTGACTTGGAACATGATGGATCAGAGACGACTGATAGTTGCGAGCCCGAGGGCGATGTGGATATCGAAAAGGGAGCTGATGCGCCGGAGAACAGGAGAACGGAGGCTGCTTCAGATCTGTGACCGTGGTGGATAGGGTCCTTGTTTTAGGCACCTAGTGGACGCGATCGCCGTGTCATGGATTACTTGTTGATACAAGGTTTCCAATAATTCGTTTTATGTTGAAGGTCGCCTTTCCTATTCTATAAAGCTACGTTAATTATCACCTAATGCCTATGTCGCTGTGTTGTCATGCAGTAATTATATTGTACATTACTCATATCTTCTCTTCTTTCGTTTCTGAGAGCTCCGTCTCGGCTTGCCTTATATTTACAGAAAGCAGTAGAATCGCCGGAGTCTGAGTGAGGACAAACCTTTCCATCGAATCTATCTTGTAAGAATAATGTCGACTCCAGATGTTGGTTGCTAAAAGTAACGCACAATTCTTTGGTTAACATGAACGCATAGATTAGTAGTTAAAGTCACAGAGCATTGAAATAGTGAGGAAATTCGACAATCCTTCCCAATATATTGGATAGAAAGGTCTACTCATAGTTCCACGTAACCTGGATACGCCCGTCATCGAGAGGTGCGAGCTTCTCGAATGCAGACGGCGAAAGGTCAATCCCATTCTGACCACAGCCAGGGCAAAGGTCCCCGATGGTAGCGTCTACAAATTTGCCCTTGTCTAAGGGAGTACGTCGTCAGCACGACCGAGACATTTAGGTACAATGGAACGTACAGTGCACTCCGATGTGTTTCCAGCAGTGCGCCCCTCCAGCGTATTGGTCGCTGGAGAGCGCGACGATGTGGTCAGAGTTCTGCAGGGGAGCACCGCAGGCCCCGGTTCCGCCGTTGAGGGTGTACCAGGTGGCTGGCGCTATTGTGAGTACGATGGCATAAACCCTGTAGTAGAAACGCATACCATCCCCAGTGAGTGCGTTGACCAAGCCAATAGACAAAGGCAATGCAACGATGATGGATTGCTTGAGAGAGAACATCGTGGATGTCGAGTATTCGAAAGACTTGTGGGTAATCGAATGAGGGTATGGAGAGACTGTTTGATGCTTTTATACCTTCTCAGAGAGTCGAGAGAAACGGAAATTACCATAGAGAGAGGTGCAACTGGGGACTAGTATCGGAATAAAGATGCGCCCAAGAGCAGAACCGAGATACCAATTCATACTTAGCGACGAGGAATAGGTGTGAAACGGCACAAAAGTACACCTAGATCTGGTATTATAAACACCGGTCGAGAAATAGAAGACGGGGTGGGCGCACACGCGAAACTAATAAAAAATGCGATGACCCAGGCATCTGAAAATTCCTCTTAGTCCAAACCCGGGAACGGAGCCGATTTTCAGGATGAGAAAGCCTGAGCAGAGACCATAGAAAACAGCTGAGGCCGTCGCATGTTTGCCCGGCAGTACCAGAAGACATATTCTGAAAGAGGGCGTCCCACTCGACTAGTACTGAATGGGTCTACATCTGTCGGCGCGGAGAGATGGATAAAGCGGGCTCGGGGAGTTTGAACTAGAATCAAAGGCGCGATCAATATTCGTTAGGCATAGTTTAAAAAGATACCATTGTACCATATTGGCCGGCCCAAGCAGATATCTCGAGCCCGTAAAGAGCGGGGTAACAAAAGACCTTGACTTTTAAGAATATTCACAGGGCGGGCGGGCGGGCTAAATGGGTCCGCGTGAAACGGACACTGGCGGGTGTAAGCAGATACGGAGAAGCAATAAGCGTTCAGATAAACTAATAGATACGAGCGCAAAAAGAGAATCCGCGGCTGAAAGCGTGGTGCGGGCTTGTTTTATCAAAGGACCATTCAGAAAGCAGTTAGTCGACGAAAAAATGATGCAGACGACGACTGCTAACGAGAGTTTAACAGGGACACTGCGACACCATTGATGGTCGCTGTCTGTTGCTGGGCTGAATACGGGAGTGCTTGGAAGACTCAAAGACTGGATTTCGGGGCGTTGGGCGCGGTCCGGTCCCTCCGAGATCACGTGCCATTTAGGGCAGGGCAAAAGTCCTTGTTCCTTGTCCGTGCTTTGCAGTGGTTGTACCGCGATACCGCATTCCTTGGACCTAAAAAGACGGTTCCATCGTCAAATTGATGATTCCATACTCTCTACATCCGATATGATGACGGTATGAATGGGACGACTGATGCGTTGCTGATATCAGGCCAAAGATAGAGATAGCGACCGAACATGAAGTTTGCAATGCCTTTCTGGATACAGATGCAGTTATGGGGTCCGAAGACGGTGCTCAACGTTTGTAAATAGTAAAAGCCTTGATGATAGGCGAGACAGAGTGGCGCAGAAATACTAGCACACCAGGCAACATGTAGAACGAAGATAGATAACATCAGAACTAACGTCTCGCTCCTGGCAGATGATATCAGTTCAGGGAACGCGGCTCAGCGGATGATAGTATGTGGCTTACCGGATACACTACGCAATATCTGTTGACCAAATCTCGCATATATGCGCATCTGGCTATTACCCAGGTGCGACACAGGTTCTTCGTAACGCCCTTTTCGTCCTTCCGTACCCTTCGAACAAGCAGATATTCCTCCAAACAATTGCATTGACGCGTTTGCAGCAAATCGCACCATGCCATTCAGCACCAGATTCACATATCGAGAATGGCCGGTGTTATGTGCAGAAGGATGAACACATGCATCTTCTGAATAGTTTCACGGAACATAGAACAGGTTGAACAACATGAAACGAACGGAGATCTGGATAGCGCGAGCTTGAAGACTGGAAAGAGAGACAGAAGGGAGCGACGCCATTCGCGATGCAGAATGGATGAGATGAAGCCTTCTTGATTTCTGAGCCTGAGCATTTTCCAACGGCAGGCCGTAATGCGTGCCCTTCAGAGCGAATTCTATACGGGAAGCAGCGCGTTATAGGCAAATTTTGAAAACAATGGAGGCAGACGTACCTTGAACCTGGCTCAGCGCTCATCAACAGCTTCTAAGGTTTCCCTGTTCACGTCCTTTTCTTCATTCGCATTGACAGGTAAGATCAGCCAAAGAGCAGTGAACAAAGCGAATATAGATACCTGAGCAGTCCTGTGGCTGCCAGGGCCTCCGATAGGGCATAGGAATGCGAAGGTACGGGATCTTGGAAGGCATTGCAAGTATAAGAAGCTGGGGAAGGGGCCGCTAAGGGAGATGATGGTGGTGAGGAAGGTCGCTGCAACTGCTACCCGGGGTCGCATCATCCTGTGCTCTTACCACCACCATCGTCCCGTGCTCAGCTTCAAAAGCAAAATCGAGTATTTCTGACCCTGTTTGAAGGAGGTAGATGTTCTCTCTCAGCGCCATGCTGGTGATGCCGGCTTTGACATGATCTCTGAATCCAGTTATACTGACTTCGTTTTTTTTTCCTCGTGGCGCACCAGTGAGTTCATGTTCTCGTGTCGGGATGACGCTACAATATGATATAGATATGTGTCATAGCGAATTCAAAGCTAATTTCGATCACGACGGTGAAAACATATGTGACGATGTCGTGCATCGGCGAAACTGAAGGCTGCGGTACAATAGCATCTGGGTTAGCAAGACGAAGACTCGGCATCCCTAACTTCGACGCTAGATGATCCCTGCGGCTATGTCTTCTTTTTCTCCTCGCCCGTCCTCAATAGTCAGCGAAACTGCCGAATGGCTCTTAACAACGCCTGAGTTTGGGCTGAATTCGGATTCAATGGTAGCATTGGTAGACGGAAGTCGATGGAGCGGGTACGAGCATTGGCTCCACACGGTATCTGATCATCGGAAGAAGACCAAGCGAAGCATCTTCCGTGCGAATGGCCGCAAGCATAAGAAAGAGGAACGTCGGGTTCGGCAAAACTTGCGTGGACGTCCTAGACAAAACAGGAGCACAGCGATAGCGAACGATCTTTATGATTACCCGAACGACACGACTAGAAAAGTGGTCCGTTCGGTCGAGAGTGCATTATAGTCGGTGAGTAGGAATGCCTCTGTTTGGCAAGATGCCCAGTCATACCAAATCAGCAGATCTTTCCGATGATTCTCGAGGCTGTACAAACAGGGAACGGCACCGTCGACCGATTGGCTGCACTGTCCCGCTTCGAACACAACCTGACGGACGATATCTACTCAATCAAGCACATCAATAGTACTCATCGCATCTGCGGTGTCAAGATGTTACATCGCTATTTGTGGAATTAGACTGGGTGGACCACCTAGCTTCATGTAAACGTTTTTCTCTATTCCCGTCATGTTCGCTCTGACGAGGTATCTAGTATGACTTCTCAGAGAGTGTTTTGGTTACAGGGTCTTAGTGGTTGTTGCCACGAGTGACCTTTTGACTCGGGTTTCATGGGTATTGCCTGTGAACCAACACCGGAGATAAGTAATAAAGTGCTGTGCATGCTCGAGCAGATCATGCAGCTTGTCGATCGTCTTTGATTAATTTCCTGTGATCTGAACAGTTCTCAAAGATACATCAGCACGTTGCATAATATGCCCTTTACCTGCCGCAACATATAAAAGTGACCTCAGAACTCATGCAGAGTCGGTGTTCACTTGCTCACGAGATAACTACTATCATGTCTTCTTTAACCGACAGCGGTTTTACTGAGGAAGAGCTTCGCGCATCACTCGATGCGAGTCTCAACTCCTTCCTATTTGAGTTTTTTGTCCATGGTAAGCGGTCGAAATCCTCTATTTTCTAGCGTGCCGTGACTCAGAACTTGCAGGTGTTTACACCGGGATATATGCCATATCCATACAGGTGTTAGGTACGTCTCATGATATCGCCTCCGCATTTTTTCTAACTCTGTGCTAGCTACAAATATCACATCCAGAACGCGGGTGTGCATGTGCTACGTCAATACAATCCTGTACGTTCTCTGTACGATCCAGTTCGCTGCTTTCTGGGTTGAACTGCGTACGGCCTTTGTCCAGGGGACATCTTTGCAGTCACAATACGAGCTGATGCTTGACGGCGCTCCCGAGTATCTGAGGATCATGAGGTCTGTAGGTTCATCTCTGAATATCGTCCTCGCCGACTGCACCCTTGTGCGTTTCTGCTCCCTAGCTTAAAGACTATTTATCATCTCACCCTTCAGATTTGGCGTTGTTGGGTTGTTTGGGAGCACGACTGGAGAGTAGTGGCCATACCGATCTTATTATTTGCAAGCGGGATACGTAAGTCTTCATAACCATATGATGCAAGCGCTCACCAACTTCTTTTCTATACAGTCTGCGGCATCGAGCTTGACATTCATCAATACAGAGTGTCCGAGTTGATTGACGCCGTTCAAAAGAAATGGGCCGTGGCTACCATCACCATGACATTGGCAGTCAATATTATATGCACCGCACTCATCATTGCCCGTATCGTGTCGGTTACCAGGAGACAGCGGGGCGTCATTGGTAGCATCCGGGATTACCGCGGTGCCATCGAGATTCTCGTGGAGTCAGCCGCACTGTACACCCTCAGCTATATGGTACTCATGGTATTATATCCTCTGAACGGTGTAGGGTATATGTACGCTGAGATGTTGGTTTACCCTATCACGGTATGATCCTTTATTTCAGTTTATCGTGGCCTTTTTATAGACGCATATTTAGGGTATCGCACCTACCTTGATCATGGCCCGAGTTGCCTCCGGCGAAGCTCGCCCGGAAGAGTCTGTGCATGGGATACAATCTTCTTTGCGCTTTCAGACGTCATCAAGCGGGAGTAGCACTTCAACAGTAGTGGGCGGGTTCGAGGAAGATATGATTAACGGGGATTCCGCCTGTGGGAAATATTCACAGGTTGAAGGGCATGAGACGTCCCGTATCATTGAAGAAGTATGATAGAATGAGAGGTAGTTACCTCCCGAGTATATGCTGTGATTTCTCACTTTGAGTCAAACTTTATGCTGAACATCCCTTGCCTGACTCCGCTTGCCAGCTGTAGAAGTCTGAATGTGAACGCCCTTTTCTCAGAAGGCAAAAAGTATTCGATAAACATCGTGGTCCGTTTACGTGGATTTACAGTATTTCTAACGACATGAAGGCTGAACTTTAAGCAAGGGCGAACCGTCAAAATGAGGAAGCTACACGTACCACGTGATCCTTTTTTAAGTTATTAAAAAAAGGAAAATTCGAGCATCCAACTTGCATCCAACCAACGTCGAAGAATATAGCTAATTTCTTCTTCTGCTGCCGCTAAGTGCTACACGACTTACGGGAGACTGTCCCCATATCACTTAAGTCTCAAAAATCTCAACTTCAACAACTTATAGCTGTCGTTTCAAAGCATCCACGCGTTGCGCAGCGCGACAACGGCCGTGGAAGATCGGTCGTTGCCATTCTTCAACCAATGAACTGAGATATAGTCTGACCAGATGCAGTCACCATAAGGGCTACTATAGGTAGTAGGGAGTCAAGTCCGAGGAGCGGTAGCGTAAATCCTAGGGAAGGGTCCAAAATTCGGCGTCGGTAGAACAAGCCTACAAGTAAAAGGCGCAACGCGACAAGTAGAAAGCAGCAGGATTGATGCACTGTGTCAAGCTATGAATGATAGATTTTGGGGCAGCACAGAAAACATCGTACCTTCATATCCTCTGATGAACCTAAATCCTGCCCAAGGTCCAACTCTGCGAGGTTTCCAACCTTCCGAGGCAAATCCGACATTCGAACCACTCCGCCAAATTCGATAGCAGCGTTCTCTGGGGATATAGCCTCACCCTCTTTACCACTTTTTACCATCTTCCTCGTACGCTCTTCCTTCTTCCACGTATCCTTTATCATCTGCCCCGTAGGCTGCTCCAGTGCCAGCTTCCTCGTTCTCTCTACCCACTTCCTCGTAAAATCCATCGTGTCCTCCTGCATTTTCTGCATCTTCTTTAAACCTTCCTCAAACTTCCTCGTACTCTCTGCCAATCTAGCCATACGCTCTTCAAGGCGGAGATGAGCGTGCATCGAACCTAACATACAACAACCCCTTAACATTGAACGTCAACACGCAAGAAAAGACTAATTTACCTCTGGTAGTTGATAAGTACTCATACCTCAGTGGCGAACAAAGACGAAAGGAATTTTTCCCCTTTCGTGATTTCTTCTGGCATTTGGGCTGAGGGAAAAGATATGGTCGGCTTCTTCGCAGAGCATCTGAGCATTTTAGGTTTAGAGGAGACGCGTCGCTAGGAGTTGCCATAATGATATGGTAGAAGAGTCAAAGCAACAAAGGGACGTGACTCATTTGATGTTTTATTCGCTACCGACGGTACTGATATTTACGTCTTCAAAATCACTTATTTTTGATGGTTTTCTAGAAATAGGGACATGGGAGTAAGGGAAAGTTGGTAACCATATTAGCCAATACAAGTGCTTCTGCGTTCCCGCCACGACTGAAAATTAAGAACTGTCAGTGCGGGAGAAGGAATTCGAAGGACGAGACCCAACTTCAACAGTCACCTACTATTAGTTTCTCGATCGGAACATGCAATCATATCTCTTCCCCATTGTACATATCTTGATTAATGAAGGGCACGCAGTCGCTATCTCCTCCAGACACGGCCAAGAGTATGGCACCAACATGAAAAGATTTCGCACGTTGGGAAAACGCGCAACCGCTTCTGCGATTTGAGGTGCGGGAATCGATACGAGATCATTGATGGAAAGTTCCGTAATGTTGACCAAGCGTTGCTCCGCTCGCTCATACGAGTTGGGGAACGCAAAGTCCGCCCATAGGGCACCGGTGGAGACGAGCTCCCCGAGACAGGCACTCAAGCTATGCACGTTGGGTAGCTGTGAGATAAACAGAAACGCTTGTTGGTGATTATGTACGCATTGTGTTGCATCCATCGACGATGGGTCCGCTTGTAAGCGTATGGACCTTACGGCGGCCAAAAGCTGCGGCGAGAAGAGTGTTAAGACATCAGGCGGGGCTGCGATGTACGATAGCCGTGGAAGGGGTTGGATGTGGATATTTTCTGTCGAAGCCATAAGTTTTGCATCAGAGATGAGGATATTTTCAATAGAGGTGCGCAACAGGAACTTGTAGAGGTCATTGGTGCTAATACTCCCGTTCTGGAGGTCCAGTGTACGCAGGTGAGGAAGTGTCAGTTGTGCAAGAACTGACATAGAGTCACAAACTACCACCCTCCTGACGGGCGACTGGTTCATTGATAGAACCAACCAATCGACGAGATGCTTGGGCTGCAGATACAGAGTAACTGTGTCCAACGAGGTAAGCGGCGGCGGACGGAAGCCTACGCATGGCACACTTTCTACTTCCCAGTCTTGTTGGAGGCAGAGGAATGGAATAAGATTGCGACAGTTCAATTGCCATAGATCTCGAAGAAAGCCGTCAAGATCTGCGGGAGGTATCGATTTTACAATAGAGGGTCTGATGTTTGATAAATCGACATGAACATCGGGGGGGATTGACAGTGGAATCAAGGTAGCGAACGACTTCCCGTATCTCCTTTGCAAAGTCATCCGTGAAGAAACAGATGCACAAGGAAAAGTTCGGCTTTGTGCCAAAGCAAAGGCGGAGCTTCCTGAAAAAAGAATAGGGAAGACAAAATTGTCTAAATGAAACGGCTCTCGAGTTCAAGCGGGGATTAAGGTGGTAGGATAAAGAGACATCATTGAGACGTCGACAGACACATGCGAGAGAAATGATGTTCGAGTCGTCTGTAAGATATTCAAGAATTGCGATTAGCAGCTCTGTTGGAAGACCAGAAAGACGAGCGCTTTCTTCTGCGACGTCCGAGGTTGTTCTTTGCTCTTCCCGAGGACTCTGCATGGAAATTCTATCACCAAGTGCTTAGTAGTTGTGAACAAGACGCAGATGGCCTCATACCTGAACTACTTTCTTGAATTTTGTGGTGGTGGTACCGCCGCCAGCAATGTGGCAAGCCGTTCTGATTTCAGTGAAGCAACTGCCGGCGGCGGCACGCAAGCCGGATATCGGCCCGAAGCTGATTGCGATACTTTCCAATCTGCCTACCACCATCATCTCTCTTAATCTACTGGTGGATCTCCTTTTTCTGGGATCACGCGGCCACGAATACCAACTCTTGCTCTGCTCATGGCTCCTCGTTGGCCGGAAGGGGCAGCCAGGTGCTAGACGGAACCCAGATGACTTCAACTTTCGGGTACGCCACTTTCCGAAATGACTTTTATCTCCACCTTATGGCCCATGACTGCACGAAGCATGTGCAAACATCATGTTATCATTCTGTAATCTATTGAATTGAGCGCGCGGCTATGATTCTGGGGCTTCGAGCCACAATCGTGCTGGAGCGGCCAAAGCACGCCATCAGAATGACGACTGGACCCTAAGCGGTCAGCGTTGTCTCTACCAACCATGATCATCGATTCAGACGAAAGGACCATTTTTAGTCACGACAAAAGGGAGGAAACCACTGAAGATGTTTACAGCCAAGGTACTATTGACCCGATCTATCAGCGCAAGGCCCACATCCTCAACGATGCGATTCAGGATATTGGGATGGGGAGATATCAGGTTTGTCTGCAACACTTCTCCTTTGATTGTTGTCTTACGCACACTTGTTCAGTGGGCTTTATTCGTAGTTACAGGCTTTGGCTGGCTTGCGTGGGTTTATGTGCTCTTTGACGACGTGATTGCAATTTGACAACGTTCTCAGAGACAATTTATGGCCGGTATGCTGCTCGAAGTCACCGACATCCGAGTCAACATTTCAAAATTGTACTTGACAGATTGTAACTGGACTCATACTACCCCCAGTCGTACAAGAATTTCAATTCCAAGGACCTTTCCTCAAACTTGGGCAGAATATTGGTCTCCTCGTTGGCGCGGTATTCTGGGGTGTAGGGTCCGACATTTGGGGACGCAGGTAACACAGTTGATCATCTTTTACTCACCATCTCACAACCAAGTCAACCAGAATTTCCTTCAACATTACTCTCCTGATCACGGGCATTTTTGCGCTTGCAGCAGGAGGTTCACCAAATTACGTTGCTTTGTCTTCGTTCGCTGCAGTATGGTCTATCGGCGTCGGAGGTAATCTTCCTGTCGATTCCGCAATATTTTTGGGTGCGTCTCACCGTAGTATGAAGTCTTACACTAAACGATTTCGTAGAATTTCTCCCAAAGTCGCACCAGTACCTGCTTACTGTCCTTTCTATATGGTGGGCGTTTGGTCAGCTGCTGGGAAGCTTGGTATGTGCGATCTTCGGCTCTACATTTCCGCGTAATGACCATAGATTGCGTAGGTCGCCTGGCCTCTGATTGGTAACTATTCATGCGAGACCAACCAGGTTCCCTGTCCGCGTTCGGCAAACCAAGGATGGCGATATTTCCTGTTCGCGATGGGGGGATTGATGATGTTGCTTTGGGGCTACCGATTTTTCGTCTTCAAGCTCTACGAGAGTCCCAAGTACCTGATGGGTAGGGGAAGAGACGCTGAGGCTGTAGAGACCGTACATAAGGTTGCTAGGTATAACGGGAAAGAAAGCACCTTGACGGTTGAAGATCTGAGAAAGGCAGGCGAGGAGAAAGAGAAAGAGAAACCTGTGGCTATGGATACTTCTGTGAAGGCAGCAGTTCGAAGGAACTTGAGTGAGCTCAGCGGGGATCATGTTCGTCCGTTATTTTCCAGTGCAAAACTGGCCTGGTCGACTAGTCTGATCATCATCCTATGGGGTGGGTTCTCCCTTTCGTGCTTATGTACCTATCTGATGCAGTTCCATAGCGCTTATTGGACTCGCCTTTCCTCTGTGGGTATTCCTCCTTCTTCTCCAATCAACGCTGACATATTGAAGGTACAACGCCTTCGTTACCTATTAGTACGTTCTTTCATCCTTTCAAATTCGACACGCTCATTTCTATTGCTCCTTAGTTTATCAACACGAGGCGCTGATTTCGGTGATGGCTCCGTGTACATCACCTATCGCAACGTGAGTACCTTTCTTCGCTCCCGGTCATCATCAATAATAACAGGCCACCAGCAAACCATCTTAAGCGTAATCGGAGTTCCTGGGGCATTATTAGCAGGATACCTCGTTGAGCTCCCTTTGCTCGGCCGTCGTGGTACCTTGTCGATATCAACAGGTACTCCGCCTCGCTTTTCTCTGATTCCCTGGCTAACTAATCCCTCTCTCTTTAGTCCTTACCGGCGTGTTCATCCTCGCATCGACCACCGCACGGACCTCTGACGCCTTGCTCGGATGGAATTGTGCGTATAGTTTTACGAGCAACGTAATGTATGGCGTCCTCTACGCCCTTACACCCGAGTTGTTCCCTACCAAGGATCGCGGTACGGGGAATGCACTTGCAGCTGCTGCCAATAGGGTTTTCGGAGTTATGGTCAGTCGCGCTTGATTCATCTTCTTCGTATATCTGAATATTGTCAGGCCCCGATTATCGCTTTGTATGCGGATTTGACGACTTCTGTACCGATGTTTGTTTCGGGAGCGCTGTTTCTGGTGGCGGGAGTTATATCGCTGCTGTTACCGTTTGAGTCGAGGGGAAAGGCAGCTTTGTGATCCCACGAGATTGATTATGACTTTAATTGTTGAGATAGTGTGTAAGCAAAAACTGATTGTTGGTGGCTTCCATTACTTACGTTTTGTACCTTTTCAGAGGGGCTTGGGAATGCTTTATCCTACTTGATAATTCAAACCAATTTATTGTATGGCCAACTAAGTCCCGAATCCCGAGGCCTGAGCTTCTCTCTGTGATCATCAATCACCATTCAGCATGGCTCGGGAAGGGTACAGCATCTCCAGCTGATGGTCGCATTCAACTGCTTGGAATACATTCAAATGCACACAATCTGGCAAAGGTTCGAGCATGACATGCAATTTTTAGCCCGTTACATATTCGTGACATTGGTCAGAGCTGTGCCGTGGCGCCTCCGTTGCCACGAAATGTTCTTGTAGGATTGATACAAATGATGGCCTTTAAAATGATGGTGCAGCCAACGGTGATCTCGGTTCTTGAAAGTAGACGCCTGGCACAGCATCTTGATGCCTGGTCCGTCTATAAACACGACCTCGCGACGAATGCATGGGAAGCTCTACGCGCCGTCATGTTCATCCACGAAGGTAAGCAACGTCTCTATATGCTGCTTTTGACTGACAATTCTCTCTCCAGACCGTGCAATAGAAGAAACATCAAGCTTTTATGGATACACTCCTAACAGAACAATCTGCATCTTATTTTTATCTCTGTTCTCCGTCTCGACGAGTGAGTGACTCTTCCATTCAAGATTCATGTGCTGATTCTCCACGGTATTAGTAATCCATGTGGCTCAAGCCATTGCCTACCGAACGTGGTGGTGGTTCGGTACGGCGGTTCTATGTGGGATCCTCGAAATCCTAGGGTGGAGCGCGCGTCTCTGGTCGAGTTTCAACCCTGGATTGAAGGATCCTTTTGGAATGCAGTGAGCCAGCTGTCCTTCACGCGGTGTTATGCCCTAGCTGATCTTGTACCACTAGGCTGACGTGCACGATATTGGCGCCGACACCACTGTTGGCCGCAAACTTTGTGATACTGGAGAAGTTAATTCAGCGTCTAGGGACGGAGTATAGCCGATTAAGCCCGAGAGCTTGTACGTTGGTTTCTTCTTCATATACGTTTCTTTGACTGTTGCGCAGATATGATCCTGTTCTGTACTTGTGATGTTATTTCGCTGGCAGTGCAAGCGTTTGGAGGAGGTTTAGCCTCAAGTGCGGTGTCTAATGGTACTGATCCGGAGAAGGTACGAACTGTTGCTGAGTTTGTCTGTGATTAGGCAGTTCATTTCTATCTCCAGGGCGGCCACATAATGCTAATCGGTGTTGCATTTCAACTGGGTACATCTCACTCTTTTTATGCGACAAGGAAACAAATTGATGCATATTACTAGCGGTGATAACTGTATATTCGATCTTGGGCATCGAATTCTTTGCAAGATACTTTATGGATGCTCCCATTCGGATTCCTGGACCAGATCGTCCGCGAGCCGAGTTGACCAAGAACTTGAAATGTTTGATTGCAGCACTCGCATTTAGCACCGTCTGTCTGTTCATTCGGTGAGTCATATTCGCGCCAGTGCCCTCAGGTTGCTGAACTGTTTGCAGAGCGGAATATCGAGTGATAGAGCTCGAGGATGGATGGGGCGGGAGAATTATCACAACGGAGGTGTATTTTAGTACGTGTTCCAGCGTCGCAGCTCTGCCTATGATTCTGATGAATGAGACAGACGTCCTCGATGGAGCCATGATAACGCTAGCGATATACACAGTCAATCTATCCCATCCCGGAAGGATATTCCGTTCAGAAGATCTTCGGGACGGTGGTCCGAAATATCCAATGAAACAGAGCGGGCACGTACTATTACCAGTGTCTGAGTCTTGAGTGCCGTTTCCGATTGTCTTTCTATCTTTCATTGAAGCGTCAGATATAAAGGATGATCGGGGAGATTTAGGGATTAAGTGTTGGTAGCGATGTCCAGAACTTATCTAACCAGTACCAGTTCAAGGCATCAAATGAGGTTTTGAAATAAGTAAGATCCATGAACGATAACATATAAACACTGTAGATTCACGGACATTATAATGCTGTATCGATTCTATCAATAAATAATTAGCATATAAAAAGGTTTGCAACTAGCGTCTATTAGAAACAGTCATTCCCAAGACCCAGGACGCGGCGAGCCACTGCCTCGGCAACGCGTCCCGGCAGAACGCGGTTGTGGCGTGGTACAAAACATTCCAGATTTGGATGTAGCCCACAGGGCTCGGAAGAGAACTGCCCTGGACCAATTCCAGATCCAACGCTGCCAGCATTTCAACGTAGCGCTTGTCCTTCCTTCAAAATCTGTCACTGCAAGACGATGAGAAGAGAAGGGAAGAGACAAATTTGCTGTGAGTGTCCTTTTGCTTTATCTGAACCGTTTTTCTGATTTGTTCCTGCAGCCGTCATGGATTTTTCGTTAGAAGTTGACAATACGACACTTTCCAGAGGAGGCCGTTCCCAGTGAGCACTACTGAAGCTTATTGCGTCTACCGCTGATGGACCTGTAGCCTGCCATTCACGATTGTTCACTGAAGTAGAGCACGAAGTCTCGTTTGACGACAACGCTATTGAAGGGAGAGATGATAAGACAATCTTCAAGTTTCGTGCGTTGTATTCCTCTGATTTTATGTCCGTATTGTTTAATGTAATACCTCGCCAGAAGAATCAGATATATGCACCGCAGCGGGAACAACCTCAGAACCAGAGTCTTCGACCTTGCTTTCTTTTGTAACAATCTGGACGTTTTCAAGCCAGCGCTCTTGCCGCGGACCGATTTTCTGAATGGGAGTCTCAACAAAACTGTACTTCGAACTCGTGTACACTGCCGGCGATGCATGCCCATAGAGAATGGAGGGAGTCATCTGGTCCCAGCTATAGACGTGGCGCTACAAGGTGAGTCCTACGTCTATCCTACGCCTATATCCTTACTCTGGTCTCAAAGCTGGTTGGTTGTTCAATGTGTAGAAATCGGAATTCTCGAGGATCTGAATTACTTCAGCTATATGCGAGCATGATATGCTATGTTACCAGACTAAGCCAAAGATTTTCCCTTGTGGGACCTCGTTGCGAAGGCTTCGAATGCAAAGTGCCGAGGAATGCTTGGAATGCTCTGTCTGCATCGATAGAACAAGGTATTCCATTGTTACCGTGCCTCTTCCTTTGTCCTGACTCTTTGTCCTGCAAAGTACAACACATTATCAAATTTTCAAGTGAAAAGAAGCCGCTGATCTATAAAGGATCATCTGCTGATGTCTTTCATCCACCGTCACTCCTCCATGAAGCAAGAACTAACGGGACGGGAGCTCCAACCAAAGTCTCGTTCTGGCCCTCTTTTGAAAGGTGATTCTACGTCACTGCAAGCTCCTCTTGAAGACGTCGGACCCGAAGTTCATCCCCGTACCTTGGAACTTAACTGCAACGTTTCTGAGAATTCTGGTACGTTCCTATGCTTATGCTAATCGAAATCTACCGAACTTGATATCTTTAGGAAAACCAAAGGGCTACGAGGGTATGAACTATCGTAATGCTCCAAGACAGACCCTCGAGAATCAGACCATCCACCCGGACGATCAGACAATTATAACGTCGCAGCCTATGCCGGGTGAAAGCAACACCCTTGCCACTTTCCCTGACGGCTGGGCCGAGTGCATGGTCACAGGCTACGTGAAGAAGCAGATCCTAGCCACCCCTGGGTTTCCCCGTCCCATTGAGCGTACAAAGGAACCAATGTTTCGTATCTCTTCGACGCGAGATAGAGGCCTGGGAATGTTCGCTGCAAGAGGAATGAAAACAGGCGATCTCATACTGAATGAAAGACCGATGATAGTGGCACCGGCGCTAGCAGATCCTAGGACTATAGCTTTCCCTGAAAACTTCACCAAGGAACAGGTCTTTCAAGCCGCTATATACGAATACGAGAAGACACTAGGATTTTGTATCCGTCGTATGCCAAAGGAAAACCAACAGGCTTTCAAGGAGCTTTCTAGTTGCTATCAGCGCGATGGAAGCGGGGCATTATTCGGCGTCATCAGAACGAATGGGTATGAAGTTGAAGGGCTAAAGGATAGAGGTACGATTCTTCCCTTTTCTGTAGCCACAGGTCCTTAATTTGCCTTACAGATACGCAAGAGCCTTTTGGCATCTACGTCGGTGTTTGGGATAAACTTTCCCGTTTGAATCATAGGTGAGCCCTGTACATAAAGCACGCCAAACCCCGACCTTATCTTGTTCGGCTCAGCTGCTCCCCTAACATCTGCCGCAAATGGAACGCGGCCTCTTTCTCTATGCAAATCCGGGCCGCGCACGATATCGAGGAAGGCGAAGAGCTTACAACAGCATACTGTGCTATTCTCAATCCTGCTGCGAAGCGTCAAACCGATCTTGCATTGTACAATTTCAAATGTACGTGCGCGGCATGTTTGAACCCTTCCCAATCCGATGTGAAACGAGAAGGCTTCAGTCATCGGCCGACGCTCATCCCGCCATTCGTAGGCAAGGGGAAAGGGAAAGGGGATTGGCTCGATCCAGCATTGAATATGCTCGCAGATATGGAAGAGGAGGGCGTGCAGGCTAGCTTGTATTACAAGGCAATACTGTATCAACTAGCGACCACTTGCGTCTATATGGGGGACAAAGACAGGGCACTCATGTACGGACGCAAGTTGGCGGCTATTTCGAGAGCACGAGGAGAGAGCGTGGATACTAATTTCACGAGTTTCAAGAAACTGAAGAAGCTACCGCAGTGGGGGAAGGCAGAAAGGCAGGCGGGACTCCAGGTCTATCGTTGATATTATTTTCACAAAAGTACAGTCTTCATTACGACATCACTTTACGGCATTTCTCTATCCAGGCTGTCAGCTGCCTCTCAATCCTAGGCTTACATTTCTCATGCCGCTTTGTCTATTCCAAGTCTTGTGCTTATCGAAACGAAACTTCCGAGCCAACCGCAACGTTGATATACTTTTCTGAAAGGGCTAGCGCGACTTGCATTTCTTCTGCATTAAGATGCAATTGGTCCTGACGATACCGTGTGCACACGGTTAGCCAACGACTGCGCTTCGTAACTTGCCTTCTAGCGAGTTTATTTATGATTTTCGTCCCGTCAATATATCCTGCCCGTTGAACAGCTGTTCTTCAACAGACCCCTACCAATGGTCTACTCGGGTTTCCCAGCCTCAGTAGCGGCAGTCATGCGGCGGTCGCAAGTCACCGACTACTTGTTTCTTGTACAGGGTTGTGCAGGGGGCCTTTGAACTGTTCGGCTGTTGTTCGCGTACATATCATGATCGAACTAACCGATCTTCATTAACGGATCAAGCCTACTCATTTGTTGGACACTGACCCATGCTCTGTTCTTTTTCGACACCTCCGCCCTTTGAGAAGGTTATGAGACTCAAGCTAGCCTCCCATTGTTACTTCAATGTCCCGGTCTTTTCATCTTACCGTCAGCTTGGAACTTTGTCCTATTCGCATCTCCTTCCTTGTTGATTGCCGCAGCTGCCCGCACTTGGACTCGGCATTTGATAACGTTCGCTTCACCATACTGCTTTGGTCTTTAGACTGCCTTCGTCCCGAACCCATTCCTGGGTAACCACCCGTGCTGTACGTTGTCGAAACGTTCAAAACGTCGGTATCATCCCGGTTTCATATTTGCATGCATCCCATTCCGTTTCCAGGTTTTATTTTGGTCCCCGCACCTTGTAATTTCCGCGTTTCTCGAGGCGCCTACAGACACATAAAAGTAGAGCCCCCTCGACTTTGTTATCATTCAAGCGACTACCAAAATCCTCAGCAATACAATGTTTTCACCCAGACAATATATTCTCGCTGCTGCAGCTTTATCAATCGGCATGGCCAACGCCTTCACCGGTGACGGTACGTCTTCCTTTCCTTACATCTACTACTATGACTTTGACAATAATCCCACAGCCACCTGGTATACCCCCAACGGTGCCTTCGGGGCTTGTGGTACTCCTTTGCAGAATTCCGACCACATAGTCGCGCTCTCCAGTAACCAGTACGCAGGAGGCGCACACTGTGGGCAGCACATCGGTGTATCCTGTAGGATCTTTGTCTCAAATTTCATCAGTGGCTGACTGAGTGATCTTTTAGACAACGGAAGGTTCGTGGACGCCACCGTTGGCGACCTCTGCCCTGGTTGCGGTCTCAACGGAATTGATCTTTCCTCGTCCGCGTTCCAACAGCTCGCCGGTCTTGATGTTGGGCGCATTCAAGTCACCTGGAATTACGAGTAGATATCGAGACTCGATGGGAATGTCGACCCTTGGTAGTCTTCCACCATCCTAATCCTTGTGATGCTACATTCTCATAGTATCTGTTGAATTTACGCGTCGATCTGTGGTTCAAGCCTGCTTATTTGAAAATAAATATGTGCTAGTGGTTGATTTTGATATAAGGCATGCTTGTCCATTGGCTTACCATTAGTGACTTCACGAGCGTTTGCACCAATAGACCAATCACGGTCATAGACGCGGCTTTGGATGCACAGCTACCAAATAGAACCGAACTGAGGCTTATCTTCGACTCATAATTTTCCCTCTGACAGAAATCTGAAGAGGGTGCATCACGTGGTGCGTGCACCTTCCTTGTTGCGTCGACGATCGCGTGACGTTCGTTTTCTTGTCGCGGCCCAGGGCCGGGGCCACTTACGCAACACTTACGGCCCACTACTAGTACAACTTAGTCTGCTATCGATACATCATAGTAATGGTAATGCAACCCCTTGGATATCACGGCGAAGAGCAATGCCAATAGCTGTAGGGGACTTCTGCTTTCTTCTTGGAGCACCGAGATCAATAGCTGCTAAGTATAATCTATCGGACAGCGTCGGACTAACACTCCAATATCCTCATCCTTGACTTTCTTTGTTCCAGTGATGCCGGAAAAAGGGTTGCTTATTCTGTTTGCGTCTTTCTACCTCGCTACACCAGCTGGTTCCCGTTTCCTGCGGATACATTCAAATTTTAGACGCCCTCTGAATCAGGCTTCTAAAGGCAAGAGTTTTTTTAGACCGCTTTTTGCGGACCCGGGGTGTCCGCCCTAGCTGGCTAATATTGTATAGTATAATAAGGGTACTATCTATGGTGACCAACGACTATGGATCGAGTCTTTGCTTCTAATTCGATCCTTCGAGTCCGCTTTGTCCATTGCTCCGTTCCAAAAATATATAAACCCGTTCGGTACTCGTGAAGTTGGACTCGTCATAAATTCACAGCGACCTTCTCGTAGGGCTGGGATTAAAGCTTCAAAGTTGGAGGTCGTTTTCTTTATGTTGTCCGCTTAGGCCTTTCATCCTAAAGATCGACTCCGTTTCACGATTTGGACGAAATATTGATTCTCAAGCACTCGATGCAATCATATTTTTTGCTAGCGCCGCGCCCGCCGCTTCTTCCTCGGCCAATTTTTATGATCTAATGGTATTTATGGGCAGCTTCAAACTTGTCTTTGTATCCGTTTCGTCGTTGGGCGCATCTTAGCCTGACGCTAATCCCCAGTTGTACATCTGCTCTCTGATAACTTCCGTTTCTCTCGACCCTCCGAGTAGATATAAATGCATCAAATAATCTCTCCATACCCTCATTCTATTACCCACAAGTCTTTCGAATACTCGACATATCTACAATGTTCTCTCTCAAGCAATCCGTAATTGCTGCATTGGTTTTGCCCACCAGTATGGTCAACGCGCTCACCGGGGAAGGTATGCATTCTTTTCTACAGTGCTTTCTGCTGCTGCAATACTCACAGTAGCTCCAGCCACTTGGTACACTCCCAACGGTGGAACCGGGGCCTGCGGTGCTCCCTTGCAGAACTCTGACCACATCGTCGCGCTCTCAAGCGACCAGTATGCTGGAGGGGCGCACTGCTGGAAGCACATCAGTGTACACTGTATGTTCAATAGTACCTAAATGTCTCGGTCGTGCTGATAGTGTACTCCTCTAGACAAGGGCAAATTTGTAGACGCTACCATCGGGGACCTTTGCCCTGGCTGTGGCCATAACGGGATTGATCTTTCGCCGTCTGCATTCGAGAAGCTTGCTCCTCTCGACGATGGGCGTATCCAGGTCACCTGGAACTACGAGTAGATCTTTCTATCCAATACAGTTGGGGTGCTTGTCGAATTTCCTCTCACTATTTCAATACTTTGTAACTTTAGCTACCAATCTATGCGTTCCTGTAACTAAAGAATTGCACCTTCTTTTCAGCAATCAACATTTGAAGTCGACATCATTCTTACAAGATATATTCGATGGAAAGGTTTGTGGCCATCACCAAAACCTGAGCCGTACATTCTGGTCCAGACCAGCCCTATCTGGACAGCAATACCAGCTGGTGAAGATCTGTAGTGATCTGTCAGATGCGTTCTGTTCTGGCATGGTCTAGTCAGATGAGTACAGACCTCAATAAGATCTGCATCATCTACTTGAGAGGGAATAGAGCTATGTTGAAGCGGTTGGAACAAGCAGAGACAAGGGGGTAGTAAAAGTTAAGAAAATCATATCGGGTCGATATTATTTTTAAGCCCTCCACCGACCGACCGACCGACCGCGTGGGAATAACATACCCATAAAGGATATGTCCTGTGACTAATGCAGCTTATATATCACTTGAAATTTTACGGCCGTTGTCTTTTTGCGCATCTCTACCTTGGTCTCTACATGATATTTTCCCTCATCGTACTTTGTCAAGTGCTGCAGGACCTGGCTGCTCCTAATATTTATCCCTGACAATCAGATACTGAATATATCCATCATCTCATGCCTATATGTAGGCAAAGCCAGGAGACAAAACCCGACACAAAAGTGGCGGACGGTCAGAAGAAAATATTCTTTGTGACTGAACCCACCTGACTAATCGCTGTGCCGATAGACGGCAGAATGGAATTCAGTATATCTCGGGTTCTGGAGCTGCTTTTGGTCATTTAGGACGTAAATTGGCACTTATCATCGAATATGGGATGCCCATACACTATTTTGGTCGGTATGGCAAAATTATTTTTAGTGACCTTTTTGGCCAACCAACCGACCAACCGGATGTGCCGGGCTGACGGCCCGCAACCCCCTTGAGCAGAGATCCTGGAAGTCAGTTGATGGGTCAAATGGTCTTGTGAAAGCTTTCAAATTATGTCTAGTGTATAGTCCCTGCTTGGTTACAGAATCAAAGAACCCGTCTTTGTCAAACTCGCCATCTTGTTCCAGCTCATTTAGTTCATCATCTTCATCGTACCATGTTGTCGCTGTCTTCATCCTCAACATTGTCATCGGTTTTGGCATCCGAGTCCTCTTCGACTGATTCTATTTTAAGAAATAAAAAATTGTTCCATACCTAGTCCACTTCAGAAATAGAAAGATAGCAGTAAGGGGTGGCCGGATTTAGCTGCAAGAGAGTCGAGAGATGGGTCACGTGTTAGAGAAATGCGACGCGACATGTCACATACTGTCACGTTGTACCCTTCTTTCCTTTTACCTCCATCCTCTTCGAACTTGTCTATGAAGCCCGCTCCCCTCCCTGCTGCTTCGAAGGCAAAGAAGGCCAAGGCGGCAAGTCAAACAGCTCATGTCTCTTCCAAGAAGAAATTTTTGAAAAGACTGTCTCCGAAAAAGCCCGCCAAACACCTGGTAACGGCACCGTCACAACCATGGCAGGTCTCGCACAAGGTCAACCGTTCACGCAAGGTCATATCCTCCGATGACAAGGACATTGTGGATACCTGTACTATCCGAGACGCCAGAGTGAGTGTCGAGCGCATATATTCATCTCATTTACTGACAGCCATGTAGAAACTTCTAGTTTATGCACGTCTATGTATACATCACTACGTTCCTCTTTCCGAGCTTCGAGAAGCGTGTCAGTCAACTGGGAGATTTGGATTCCGAGGATCCGTTGAAGGCTGTTTTTGCGATCTTCGCAGCAGTACTCTTTGCTCTTTTTCTGAAATACCCTAACTGACCCATTTACAGATCAATGCAGGTTCTCGTAATGGACGCTCGAACGATACGACGAAGAACCATATCCACACAGCCTGTCTGCTATGCCCTCAGCGTTGGCTAGATGAGTTTGATAAGGATCCTCCGTATGTCCGATTTCTTTCCTCCTTGTTGCTTCATGATCAATCCCTTTGAATAATAGGGCGACAATGGTGAAACTTCAGATGAAGCTAACTACGCGATACCTGCCATCATATCTGCATGATGATCCTGAGCTTGTTAATTCTGCTGACCCTCGTAAGGGTCTCTTTCTGCGTCCGGGTGAGCTTCTCGCTTGATTTGTATTATATAACTCACAGTAAAGCATTCAGTCATTCCGCACGATATATCTAGGGAATGTGGAACACGATGCATCAGATCTACATAGCACCGCCAAAGGAAAACTGAATCTCAAGGCAGCGACGGAGGAGATGATCGTATATGCGGCGGTACAGGTATGTAATTGATACTCTTGAGGTATGATTCTCATTCTATACGCTAGGCATGATTCGCGTTATCGTCCTGCGCCATGTGGGGAGACCAGAACGACGGTTTTGACCTTGAGCAATATAATCACAAACTAACAAGAGTTTTTCTGGATTCCATCAATGAAGACGGTGATACGTGGACAAAGGACATCGTTGAATTCTACACTACGTATGTCTCCCCTCCTTCATTGATCCCACTTTACAAAGTCATCTCTACAGTGAGATCTTGAAGCCAAAGACCAAGGAGGACCAAGAAGAAATTGACGACGATGATGACAAATCGATAATGGATCGGAACCACGAAGCACACATCAAAGAACGAGCCGCTGCTGCTGATGACGACGATGATGATGAACAACTCGATGATAACAAAGTTGACGTAACGCCTTGAAGGATCAGAGGTAAGTGTACTCAAGTCTCGTTGAGTCTTTGCTAACTTTCAGCAGTTCTACTTAGCCTCAACTGCAGTACTCTGCCCTCTTTCTGTCTGGCTTTGTTTCTCTTGCTGGTGCATGGATTTCCGCTGTATGACTTGTTGCTTCCTTTAACACTGCTCACTCTCGCTTGCTGCTTGCCTGTATGCTTATCTGATATGCTCTCGTCTTTCTCTGCTTGTAACTTGTACTGTACAATATTTCGCAGCGTTAATAAATTCGGATTCCTCTCTAATACATTGGCGATGTCAACTACAAGAAAGTATGAGGTGAGGAACAGGTTAGCTGTTGTTATGGATATTGGGTATCCACTGATTCGGTGCATGAGTCAACACATGCCCGAACTCGGCCTTCTCGGTCCTAGTAGTGATTCGCTCGTACTTTCTCTTACTTTCTCTATTCTTCGTATTGATACTAGAATATTATGGAACATTATAGAATAATAATGACTCTAATCTTTCCTTAGTATATAAACTCGTAGGTAACATTGTATTAAAAAGCTTTTACCAATCTACCACTTCAGGACACCTTCACTGCGTGAACCCTCAGCTACGCCTAGCGCTTTCTGATACCAACCCGAAGGTTACGCTTAGCGCTTGCCTTCACCCACGACCCGTAATAGCTTCGCAGCTTACAGGCTTTCTATATCGGTAATTGCTCCGCGCTTACCGGCTATTTCCCTCAGTAATTGCTTCGCGCTTACTGATTTCCTTTATTTCGCAAACCGGACCTCTCAGGTCTCCTCACGAACCCTCGCCGGAATCCATTATATTCCCTAACGACGTACATCATTTCTAATTAATCATACCTCGCTTCGATCATCACTCCTCGCCTCGTGCTCGCATCTCCGGATTTCGGCAGATCCATAACATTGGTGGACACATTGGGACCTGAGTATAGGTTCCCGTTTGTTATTCCTTAATTGCTTGCAAAACAACATAGCTGGTACCCCATTGTATTCATCGAAGTCTCCTTAGTTCTTCTGAAATGACCTGGCGAAAACCTTCATTCAGTCCTGACCCTGGGAAATATGATTCTTGTCGTGCCTGTGGGTACTACAAAATGACTCGCCATCAAGAAATATTTGACCCTATTTCACCTTGGGAAAAGCACACCTGCGGTACACGTTCTAACCCCAGCAAGACAACGGTTACTAAGCGCACCCGTATACGACATCAGCCAGCCCTTCATCGCTTCGATGGGACCATTCCTGCAGGAACCTTCAGTAAGGACGAAGTAATAGCACTCACTATGGGAAATACCATACCTACGTCGAGGCCCACTCTCGAAATTCAACATTCAACATTGATGTCACGAAGGAAAGATGCCATACGGATCCTCAAAGGTCGATTCAATATTGATCTCGATGAGGCTTGGTCTGTCAATAAAGAACAGTATGAAACTACCTTCCAAAGCGAGTTTCAGCTACTCAAAGACATGTTGCAAGAGACGTGGGGTGTTGAAATACCTGACGTTGGTCCCTGCGTCTGCGTTGACTATCGGAAATACAAAAAACTGCAGAAAGCGTTAGCCAAACGGAAACAGAACGCCCTTCGGTCACTCACAGTACATGGACAAGCAGACATAAAGTGTCCTGAATGGAATCAGGACCCTCGCATCTTCATGACATTGAACAATTTTGAACTGCACTCCTTCTGCTATAGGGCTTTGGTCGAAGATTTTCTTGCACTGATTGATGACTGTGAGCAACGCAGTACTTCCACACAACGGTTAAAGCAAGCCTCCCCACTAATAGAAGAGCAAACACGAAGGAAGTCGGGCATTCATGCCAAATTGCCATCTTCCACCAAAGATGTGCACTCTGAGACATCGCAGAAGCCCAAGTCTGCAAAGGAGATACTCGGAACTCAGACAAGCTCACATCCGAAGGACCCTACCATCATGGGGCACCATTTGACGACAGTCAAAATTCCCGACTCAGACAGTTGCAAAGATTGCGAGAATAGGTTGGAAAATTCAGTAGTCCAACACAATTCTCAGCTATATACAAAGCTGCAACGGGATGATGGTTATTCAGGGAATCCACGCGACTGTAAATGTGACTCACCTACCTATGAAATCCTGGTCAACTACAAGTCCTGCTAACAGATCTCTCGAAATATCCCGGACAACTTCGACACCTCCTCCCACACTGAAGGGTCTTTCTGCCATTGGTTTGAAGCCGTCGAAAGGGGGAGGGAATCAGTGTATACTTCCAGAAGGAATCGCTGGCTCAGACACAGCAGAACGAGATGGAAGCTGCAAAAGATGAGAACTATACCACGCTAAAAATATCGACACCTACAGGTCAAACTGCGAAACTCCCATTCAACCGTGAACCGCGCAAATGAGCCAGGCAATGTGTCGTCAAAGGGCATATCGAGAAGTAAAGAAGGGCCTCAATCCCAGCAGAATCACTGAATCTGCTAGCATTCCCAAGCTCGACGACGAGACTTCCGATTGTCATAGTACTAGCAGCTGTAAACTGGAGGATGTACCTTCCTCTCTGGTACATACAGAGCGAAGTCTCCAAACCGAAGACAATCAATTTATTACTTCGAGTAAGTCGGCTGTAACCCTATTATCGGTGCACCTCCAATCAGCTGCGAGCCGCACCTCTGGTCCTTGCGACCTTACTACAACAGCAGGGATACAGAAGAAGCCTGAAACTGAACGCGGTGATTCCCAGCCAAGTTCAAGACGTTCGAACATGTCTCTCGATACATCCGTCGTGTCCTCAATCAATCCTGTTACGTCAAAGATTCCTTCGGCTCTTGGTGGTAAGCTATCAATAGGAGAAGGAGACCAGTACATACCTCTTGAAGCAGATGTGACTTGGGCACAGAAGAACGCGACGGATGCTACGAAGGAGCGGAACCATATGGGGCCGAAAATATTGCCACCTGCATGCCAGATAGCCGATCCAATTAAGAGGAAACCCATCGTATCTCGAGCTGGAGAGGAGAAGAGGCTGAGCAGAAAGATAAGACGAGCATTGGAAAAGGAACAAAAAACAGCTGACCAACAAGAACTGGTGTCCTCAGAAGTCACGGAAAATGAACGAGAGTCAAAGCGACTGCTCTCAGAATATCCACAAGCAGCCAAATTCAATATATCGTCCTCGAAGCACAAGTTACCGGAGAATTCTGACTACAATCAATTAAATCGGAGCATTCAGCTCGGAACCAGTTCAAACGACTCACCCTGCTCCATTATTATCATGCCTATTATATCCTCTTCTATCACAGCTCCTGAACATACCCAAACCAACCTTCTCGGGTGCTCAACAGACTTAGCGCTGACCCTGCCATCTCCGGGTGTTGATACAAGTGACATTGGGTCTAAACGACGTGGTAGCCACGGATTAGCAAGTCATTTCGGCACTTTGAGCATGGCTGTAGAATTTCTTGCTGATAGAAACCGATGCTATCAGGAAAGTCAGCGCATCGGACTAACAAGGGAATTTAAAGATCACATTTGGGATCCGGGTATAAACATGCGACGCACGGTACAAATGAGTATCACATTGGACCTAAATGCAGGAAATGCCACAGTGGAATTAAAGCAAGGCCAAAGGTTGGACATAATCTCGAGAACGAATGAATCAATGGCAGTATCGATGAAACGGCGAAATGATGGGAGCCATCATCAATATCATTCCCGTTTTGGAAACAGCTTACCGGCATCGGAATTTGCCGATTACCCTTTTGATCATCGCGCAAAGCTTTGCTCCTCTATTCATGCATCTCCTGAACGAAAATGGGAGGCCTCCGGTGACGGAAATCCTCTCGGATTTAATATAGGGGTTAGTCCAGGGCATTCCTCCGCACACTCGGCTAGTCAAGTCCCAAATCCGTATTTCAACCTGATCCTCAATTTATCTAGCGGAGAAATGCCTGCACGCAATGCCATTTCCGAAAATGACGAACCATGCCCTCCATATGTGCAAGGTGTGGGATAAATTTCATTCCCATGTACTTGGAGTTACAACCACGACCGGCAGCCACGGAACAATTCAAATCTACAACTCGGTTCATTTCTTCTAATTCCTTAATTTACCCCTTCGCCTCGTTCAGGCATATGTAGACTGGGGGGGCTGTTATGGATATTGGGTATCCACTGATTCGGTGCATGAGTCAACACATGCCCGAACTCGGCCTTCTCGGTCCTAGTAGTGACTCGCTCGTACTTTCTCTTACTTTCTCTATTCTTCGTATTGATACTAGAATATTATGGAACATTATAGAATAATAATGACTCTAATCTTTCCTTAGTATATAAACTCGTAGGTAACATTGTATTAAAAAGCTTTTACCAATCTACCACTTCAGGACACCTTCACTGCGTGAACCCTCAGCTACGCCTAGCGCTTTCTGATACCAACCCGAAGGTTACGCTTAGCGCTTGCCTTCACCCACGACCCGTAATAGCTTCGCGCTTACAGGCTTTCTATATCGGTAATTGCTCCGCGCTTACCGGCTATTTCCCTCAGTAATTGCTTCGCGCTTACTGATTTCCTTTATTTCGCAAACCGGACCTCTCAGGTCTCCTCACGAACCCTCGCCGGAATCCATTATATTCCCTAACGACGTACATCATTTCTAATTAATCATACCTCGCTTCGATCATCACTCCTCGCCTCGTGCTCGCATCTCCGGATTTCGGCAGATCCATAACAGCTGTCAGTTCCCATCAGATCCGGTCTTTCTTACTCGAACAAATAACCCTGGTAATATCAAGCGAGACCGTAGGAGAACACACAGAACACTATAGAAGGGCCCTGTTCGCACTCAGAGCATGCCCAGAACCAACGATATGGAGGTCAAAGGTCTGCAGTCCTCTGTTGTCGACAGCCGAGATCTGTTAAGATTGTCCAGATCGGGTCAGGACTTCTCGATCTTGGGCGATGGTATCGTTATGACCAAGATCGTATGGGTCAGGTTTTGGCGATGGTCCTCACTCAGACCCCGGCTATCTACTGCTTTTCTGTAAATGTAAGGCAAGCTGAGACGGAACTTTCAGAAACGAAAGGAGGGAAGATAAGTGCAATGTGCAACATAATTAATGTATGATAACATAGTAATATTAGCTTTAGGTGATAAGAAACGTAGTGTGATGGAATAGGAAAGGCGACCTTCAACGTACAAATATCGCAGTTATAGTGTACAAAAATTATCTGCGTACAGGTACTTCAGGAGATCAGCTAAAACAGGTACCCATTTGACACACACCTAGTTGTCTCTCCATCTCCCAGTACTTTTATGCATCCTTATGGGTGTACCTGCATCTACTCGTACTTGTTGCTGTACTGTAACAAGCCGTTCGCAAGTACTTTTTGAGAACGTCCGTGTTGGGCCCGCAAAGATCCGGGCATTGCCGAGACGTCGAACCTGCCGCTGATGGCGCATTCACACCAAGCCTAGAACTTGTATGGATAATATAAGTCCATGCCAATGCAGTAGCACCCTCGGAATATATATAATAATCAATGACTATACAAGAATGTTTTAGCAAAATAGAAAAGAAGTTTACAAAACTCGGAATTTCGCTTCCAGTCAACTTCCAGTACAAAGCCAGACCCAAAATCTCGGACGTGTGGTCGCGGAAATGCAAGGCGAAACGTCAATTGTGAGTAAGCGGCAGAGGTTTAATTAAAGACGTCCATAGGAACAAGATTTGCGCACGCAAATCAATGGAGCTTCAAAAGAGGAGGGAAATCGGAGAGGTAAGAACGAAAATTTCAAGATTTTTGCGAGTGGGCTGGAAATATGTGCAAACAATGATGTGCCCACGGCCACGGATTATGCAAGCGGCGAGGGGTTTGTCGTTGGGTGATAGTGTCCATCTGGATCTGTAAATGTACTTGCGAACTTGAAGTAGTGGCGGATCACTAAGTGGTTGCAAATTGAGACACATGTATCGCTCAAACGGGAAGTGGCTGTGTGAGCCTAACCCTGACGGTGAACAAGCACCAGCATCGAAAGTAGTGCTGGGAACCATCAAAAGTAGTGGTGTCCTCCCTACTGAACAAAAGAATTTTTGTACAGTATAACGCCCATATACAAACAAATTATTGGAAACCTTGCACCAGCAAGTACTTCATGACACGGTGATCTCGTCCACTAGGTGTCTAAAACAAGCACCCTGCTATCCAACATGGTCACAGATCTGAAGCAGCCTCCGTCCTCCTGTTCTCCGGCGCGTCAGCTCCCTTTTCGATATCCACATCGCCCTCGGGCTTGCAACTACCAGTCATCTCTGATCCACTGTGTTCCAAGTCAATATCGGAAGATAACTCGCTACCAGGATTCATACTTGTCGAGTGAGCTGTAGATCCAAACCGTAAGGAAGAAGCGCCGTTGCTTGCTTGCCAGTCGTCATCAGGACGTGCATTCCCCGATGCTACGCGTGCCACGATAAGCGTGGGTGAGATCGACTTCATAATAGAATGTCAGTATCGAGATTCTTTCACGATGATGGGATAGTGGCAAACAGTTATTGCGATGTAGAGACTCGGCGGGTAAAAAGATGCAACGGCGTTAATATCGAGTAACACCATGCATCCTACTAAGCCAACGGCATGAAGTGAGGCAGATTCAACTAGAATCTCGACAACTCGGCGGTAAACCCGTGTACCTGTGCTGTCGTCTGTATATTTCTTGACTGTCAGGATACGATAGATTATGAGTGTGGTGCACCAAAGGGTGGTTCCTAAGGAGAAGGAAATGAACATCATCATCCAGAAGATTTCCAGCGATGTCCCGGGAGCAGTTGAAGCAGCGTGTAAGCCTCCTTGGAATGCGAAACCAGCACAGACTACGAAGGGAAGTTGATGGTATAATAAGCGAAAGCAGTTCCGACGCCTCACCTGCTTGAGCCAGAAAAAGTAGTATTGGTGGTATAACAAATGACCAACGGCGGCCCCAGATAATCCAATAGCGCCAGATCTATATAGTCTGTAAGGGTCAGTGCACAATGAAAATGAGAAGACTAAATATCATAACAGACCGTGATACCGTCAGCAATGCCAGTATTTATACCAAACCCGACTACCGATGCATGGTATAAGTTGTGAATAAAGTTAGAGCTTTCTTTTCCTTTCTCGATATAGTAGATAGTGTAAACCCAATCTATGGCCACATAAATCGTGGCGAAGATATACAAGCATACAATGAAGAAAGCCATGATGATTCGTGCTTTGGGTCGGCATTCTTTGGTCGAGACTATTGATGTTTATATAATGCACGGTACTGAAAAATCGGGGACGAACACACATATTGCCCATAAAGCGAATGCCATGATGCAAGTATGGATACCTGTTGATATCAACCCGCTCAGTCAACGTGTATATGCATCAATTTGGATACTGACCGTGCCCGAAGACTCCCAATAATGCCTGATTCAACTCTGAAATTAATACTTGTTCGTCTGACATGGTGAAGATTTGGAGAGATTTGTGGATTGAGCTCGATGTCTCCTCTTATGTAGTATGACAATGAACCTAGCCCGCTGGCCGATTGATTGAAACTAATGGGCATTACAAATAACATAATTGCGGGGAGGTGAGGACTTCTTACTAAGTAACACAGAAGTATCTGCTTCTGCCGGTGATTTTAGGGCGAGGGACGAGAAGTCTGACTTTAGAAGACTGAGCAAACAAATCGTCAAGCCTCCGTAAACTGCGCTGGTCTTGTCAACAGCAGCATAAACAACCTGAGCAAGTACTATTACAGTTAAAATGGTGACGTCACAACTTGCCTATACGTGTCATCTGGCCTGCCCAAATCTGACAAGGCTATGTGCGGAAAATACAAGGTAAAAGATGACACTGATGAATATATTAGTGATTGATCCTAGAAGTTCGGTATGTGACCTTCTGACGGAGGTAATACGAGGCAAACAGATAAAGCCCAAAGATTCACAGTCGCAGCAGTAAGCAGCCATCACACTGGCTAATAAAACGGGAGCAGCTGTGTAGGATCTCCAGGCCGTACGCGTGCAGGAACTCACCGTGAACATCACCATGATAATGGCAACCATCGTCTCCCAGTTTTGACCCATACGGAGCATCTGATGAATGAACAATTATAAATATTAATTTTTATGGTCGAATGACACTACGAAAGAATTTGCGGGCGGTGCTTATGAGTTTGATATGCACGGATCCAATGGAAATTATAGCTGGAAACAAACGTGGATGATAAATATATACGCTCAGAATAGGGTGGCAGAGCTCACCAATACTCTCGGTACGAAGCAGATCAAATATGGGTGCGCTACCGTAAGGGTGAACCCATCAGGTTCATAGGCGCCCACCTATACCTGAGAGGTTATCCACCTATCAAGGCAGTCCTCAATTCCGAATGTGAGACTGAAGACGGTTGAAGCCAATCTCAGCCGTCAGTACGACGCGCGATTCTTCCCATGAACCAGGTGATCAGCACCCGATGAAGAAAGAACACTCGTACAATGCGCAAGCCTTCTTAGTACCAGTGATATCGGCATGTATATCAATTGCATCAATACTTGCGGTGTGCACTGGCAATCCAGGCACCACACATTATATCCTTATACTTTGTTCTGGATGAAAACACTGCGTTGTCTTGGGAAGAGTTGCCGAGTCTGACCCTGAACGATGTCTGTCAATCGTCGCAAACAAGGGACTGAGGAAAATAGCGCACTTATGTGCTCTTCTCGCAGTGCGAAGCAAAACCTTGAAAATTTCCTTGGATTCGCGACGGCACGGAGGTATATTGTGTTGTAGCTTCATTCTAACTCGAGAACATGAATAACGATAAAGCACAATAATCGAAAAAAACCTGGATCAAAAAAGTCGCGTCAAATACCGGCATCATGAGCACGACGTTGGGTAGAGACCTACCCCCTTCAAAATATGCTAGAAAAACAGGATACTGTGCACGAAGCTGAGCGAAAATTTCCCGGACGGTGGTGGTGGTAAGAGAAGAAGCTGACACGACCCCGGAGACAACGCGACCGTCACCTTCCTAATCAGCACCTTTCCAGTTTTTTGATGCCTACAACCTTGTTAGAAGCTTTGTATTTGGCGCCTCATACCAGGAGAACAAAGAATAAGGCTACGGAACCTTGAGGACATTTTGATGAACCAGAGGTATGTCTGCACCGATTATTCTGAACCTTCACACAACGTGCTCGTTTTTGCTTGCAGGGCATATACATCTGTCAGTGGAATCATATCACTAGGTCCAATAGAGAGAATGAGGGATAGTTGGTGATAGTCGCGGTTCTGGCTACGAAGAAACGGAAAACGCGGAAAACTTGTCCCGGTATTCAGAGGTAAGAAGTCGGAAACAATTCCGGATTTTCCCGCGGTCCAACCAAACGGGCCGGATTGCCGCCATCGCGTCCACCTCTCACTGTGACTCAGATCCTCAGTAACAATTGGTAACAACTTGAAGAGCGGTGGCCTCCGTGTACACCGTGGTAATGAGCAACAGATTTACAGGCACAGTAAGACAAATTTATCGAGCTCCATGTCTCGTGTTAATTGCCTTCCCTTACGTACCGAGTTTTCTCTCAGGACAATTCTTCAGCTGAGGCGGGTTTGTCCGTCTGATTCTTTGCTTTTTTTTCGCCTGTGTTCTCCAATGAGACACAGGTCAAAACGAGATAACATGAAAGCAAGGAGAAGCCAGCCATATCACAAGACATCATCAATCATCAGCATAAGCGGTGCTGTGACATGGACATATTTTTTCACCGATAGTTTGCCGAAACGATCTCAGCTGCTCTTACGCTGTCCCTGTGAGTACCAATCCCTTCAGGCGTCCAACTAGAGCAGCTCACGACCCCGACCTGAGTATCGGCCTCACCTGCACGTCGTGTTTGAATCAATAAAGGAAAAATCAGAACTTCTCCCATCTCGACGGAATCAATACAACCCTTCTTCGAAGCTGATCACAAAATGCTGTATGTCAACGCATTAGTATAAGTAAATGCTGTTCTCTCAACGCTGGTGGCACCCCAAATATCGTCGTCTCCGCTTCCAATACCAATAGCTGATATTTCCTCAAGGCTGGGAGCTACACTGGGAGCGATATTCATCGGAGCTACGATAGCTGCAGTGTTCGTACAGAATCTACTTTCGACTCGGATGCTATTTATGCTCATCCCACGCTCTAGCTTTTACGGAATAACGATTTTGCAGACCGTCATGTATTACAAGCAAAACCCTAACGATCCGTGGCTCTTTCGATATGCGGTACGAGTCTCTTATTGAAAAATCCTCTTGTTTTTTAATAAAGTGTGTGCAGGTAGCCATACTGTGGTACGTTTCCGGGAAACAGGATGGCCTATATAAAACTACATATTGACACGATCCACAAGATATTCGATACACTTCATGTCGCCTTGAGCACCCATGCCCTCTATTTCTATCTCGTCCAATCGTTTGGAAACTATCTAGCCCTGTTCACAATCGTTTGGTATGTTAAACAAGGCTTCGGGGGCTATCGAGTTCTGACCTCACTTTCAGGAGCTTTCCGGTAACATTCTTTTCTGGCGTCATTGATCTAGATGAACTCAAGGCGTTTCCCGTTAGTTGCAGCTATTGTTCAATGTGCGCCCTAGCATATCATTCGGAAAGCCATGACTGACGATTTTCTCAGATGTTGATCGTCACTGGCGTTCAAGCGTGCGTCCACTTCCGCTTGTTTTCTGATGAACAGAAAGACTCAACACCCGGTAATGCAGATTATATGCAGTTAGGATATTGAAATGTTCGTCTTCGTTCTATGAAGTACACTGATCTCTAAACATTTCATGGTCTCAAAGTCGGACGGCATTTTCACGTAGTCATGCCATGGTTCATTGTAGGCGTTTCTCCACCTTTTAAATTGTGATACTCACCAACAGTGACGCCTGGTCTACAGTTCCTTGCTGTCGCAGCAACGTTTGGTAAGATTTCTCGCATCCCAATGAACGAAGAGCAATATGACCTGACCCCTTACAGGCACAGGACTCTGTAAGCCCCGTTCCTATGATTACCATGCTGGGCACTGATACGAGTGCGCTTTTCAGATGTGATTTACGATGCGTAGGTACCATGAAATCTATCACCGTTCTTTCGTTAACCACGTTGTCAGATACACTCTCAAAAGCTTTATGGATGTTTCGACTATCAGGGTAGGTCCCGCGTTCTTAATTCGCATAGGCGCATGGAATTCATCCTCGCCACTTCGCAGGCATCCATATACACGGACTTCTCCACTATCGCTGGGGCAGACTTCGTCATTGCAGGGGCAATGTGTTATTACCTGCACAAAAGCCGGTCGATGACTAGCTTCTCCAGGTTCGGCTTTCAGTCTAGGTTTTGTTGATTTGCTTATCTTAGATGGTCTACTTGTAGTACTACCCAGACACTTATAAGACTAATGCGGCTTGTAGTGGTATCTGGGCTGGCGACGAGGTATGGATCTCAAAGTATACATACCGAGCAAGCTGATCACAAGGGTACCTATCTAGCGCGTGCTCACTACTTACTCTCGTGTCGGTGATTAATGCCATTTATCATATGTTTCGATCCTTCCTCCGATCTGATACCCGTTTACAGTACATCGCCTGGCCGGATACTCTCATTTTCGTCGCAATCGACTTCATTTTGCCGAAGCGTTAGTATTCACCTCGGTTTTTTCCTGTGGTCTCATACTAAGTCCTCACTCGCAGTCTACATAAATTCTCTCCTTGCCATGCGAGTTCCAACCCTATCATCTCCATTTTCTCAATTTGCTGACTCCTTCCAGGCTCAACTCGTGCCAGACGTCGATGTGGTCCGCCGGAAAGGGACATCACGTTCAAGACCAAAAGATCATCAGATTTTCTCCCCCTGAAAGCGGAGATAATTCAAGACAGACGGTATGTACAGTCGTTTTGTATCGCAACTGGCTTACCTGAACCTTCCTTGGAGAATATCACTATACCTGGCCTGTCTGTGACCGAAGCAGATACGGTACAGACAGTACGCGCAGTGTCCCGTGATCGTACATTCCATTGACCTGAACCCTCTTTCCAGAATATCACTCTACCTCTCCCCGTAACAGAAGGAAGTTTTTCGAGTGGCATCGGTGATATGACATTTGCATAATACAGATCCCCCACACGGTTCCATTATTCCCTTTACAATCTCAAAACAGCTACATATTAGTGGGGTGGATAGCATGCTTTACTTACAATATAATGCATTCATTGATCGCAAAAATGAAATACATCTAAAATACAAGGCCTGCGACCGTTTACAGTCACTCGTTCCCATCGACATCGATGAACTAGCATCCAGCGATACCATATTTTTCCTAGAAAGGGTGAATCAGCATGGTGTCAATGATATAAAGCACAACGAACCTCCTCCCACACTTCCTGCGTTCTTGATCCTCCCGTATCGTATTGTCTTGTTCCTAGATAGTCTACTCTCTGCGCGCTACAGCGCGCTCTCTCGGGAACCACGAAGGAAATTCGGTGCATAGGGAGGAAGCTTAACAGTAGTCTAAGTTGCCACGGATCCTCGAACACCTCTCGCACAAGTCGATGTTCAGCTGACCAGACCACTGCGCCGATGCACCCGCAGCAATCGTGTCAGCGTCGTTCAATATCAGAGATCGTTTGCCAAGAATAGTCAGTATCCTTGTAGGAAAAATCGGTGTATATATCCAGTAATTAGTCTGCGCGGTATGCGGAACAGGTAAATTGGCGTTGAGTGACAAGAACATTAGAAGAATGACGCTTGGAGAGTGAAAAAGTGATCAGAAAGAGGTGCGATGGATCGTGACAATGTTGAACAGAAGCTGATGCCCTTCAAAGCAACGAAAGTAACACGTTATAGGAAGATTTCGAATAATAAAGACACAGACGTACCACCGGTTCATCGACAGTCCAAGCTCCCCAAGGTTCCGCTGTTATTATCCGAAAAGAAAGCCAGCCGCCGAGGTCCTAGAATGGCTGGAGAAGTCATAAGCATTCGAAAGCTGGAAAAATGCGTCCGGAGGGCTTGAAGGTACCCGTAGGTAGGTAGGTAGGCAGTAGGCAGGATTACGCGGCATCGTGGTGATGAGATGGGACGAGATCAGATGCCGACAAGATGCCGGTCGTTCTATGACATTGCTACCCGGGGTCACGTTGGCCTGTTCTCTTACCACCACCGTCCCAGAAGTTTCTTGCTCGGCTTCGTCCGTGATATTGGTCTATTGTGACGCTATACGAAGGAGCTAGGTCCTCAATACACGTTTGCTCGTGATACTGGGATCTAATGCAATTTTTTTGATCTAGTTTTCTCTTATTTTCCTTGTGCTTTATCATTTTTCGTGTTCTCGAGTTGGAATAGAGCCGCAATACGATATGCATTTATGCCATCGCTAATCTAAGGAAATATTTCAGGCTTTGCGCGGCGAGAATGCTGCATTGACGTGGCTTTTTCACCATTTCCCTGTTCGCAATATTAGGCGGTCACCATTCTAAGTCGGACTCGGCTACTTTCACTAAGACGACGTGGCGCTTTTCGGTCAGCGCCAGGTGCAAGGAAATCTCGCGTGGTGCTCCCTACCCCGGCCTCAGGCAGATCTGTCGGCCGAGAATAATGGTATAATGCAGGCGTCGGCAGCTTGCACGCTGTACAATGTTCTCTCTTTGTCGGGTGCTAATCATCAGGTCTACCTAGGAAGATGTATTTGTGTATGTGCTTGGACATCTGGGAGGCTTGGTATGCGCGCTATTCTGCCTACATTTCCATGTAATGACCCGACACCCTTTTCTCGGTCGTCGTGGTACACATGTCCATGCTCTCATCCCTGAGTTGTTTACAAAGATCGCGAAACCGAGAACGCGCTTAAGGCTGCGGCCAAAAGGGTCTGTCTTTTGAATTATAGTCAGTCAGATTATGTTCTTTCTCGTCATGTTCTAAAGGCTGGTAGGCCACAGACTTGACAACATCGGTACGGATGTTTCTGTAAGGAACACTGTTTCTGATGGCGGGAGTCAAATCACTGCTGTTACCGTTTGAGCAGAACATCGAAAAGGCCAGAGCGACATACATTTCTTCTGCCTCCTGCGGACTTGGGATACGGTTAGCTGGACCATATGGGTAGTCGACAACTACCTTTACCCCTAACTCAAGCCCGAGTTCATGTGCTACTTCGTCTCATCAATATACCCCGTCTATTCAACAGTTGTTCCGCAATAGTTTCTAGGTCGTCTCCTGCTGAGAAGCGTCCATCTATACGGCAAACAACAGGATTCCCGGCCTCAGAAGCAAAAGTCATTAACTGCTGTTTTCTTGGATGACCACGAGTAATAGGTCGAAACCGTTCGGCTGTTTACATGTATCATAAATTACGACCTATTACGACCGGTTTTCATTGACGGATCAAAGCGACTATTGTAACTCAGTTCCTGCACATGCTTTACTCTCCTTCGAGATGTCCAGGCTTTGAGAAGCCTGTGTGTTTCAGAGCAACTGTACTGTCGTCATTTCCCAGCCTAGTCATCCTATTGTCAGCCTGGAATCCCTCCTACTCGCTACATTTGCATCTCCCTACTTGTCGATTTCTGCAGCTTCTGGCGCTTGGACTCGGCATTTGGGAACACGCGCGGATCAAGCTGGTTTTGTATGTAGACTGCTTTCGTCCGAAGCGGCCAAACTCGCTCTTCCGTAATCCCGCGTTGTATGCTGGCGAAACATCATTTCATCGGTCGCCAGTGTTTCTGTCGTTGCCGTCTTGTAGTGTCTGTTTTTGGTCTGTGTCTCCCGAGGCTCCTCGAAAAACATATAAAAAGCAGAGGTAAGTCGACTCTGTGTTATCATACAAGCATCTACTGAATTTCTCAACATATCAACAATGTTCTCTCTCAGACAATCCGTTCTTGCTATCGCGGTTTTGTCTATTGGCATTGTCAACGCCACCACTGGTGATGGTACATGTTCCTTCGTTTACACCCGTTCCTGTGATATTAACAATAATCCAATGACAGCTACCTGGTACACTCCCAACGGCAACTACGGGGCGTGTGGTACCAAGTTGCAGAACTCCGACAACGTTGTCGCGCTCTCCAGTGCCAAGTATGATGCAGGCGCACACTGTGGGAAGCGCATCAAAGTATCCTGTAAGATTTATCAGGCTCTCGTAAATTTATCAGTCGTTGAACCGAGTTCTCTTGCAGACAAAGGCAAATCCGTAGATGCTACCGTTCGCGACCTCTGCCCTGGATGCGGTACCAACGGGATTGACCTTTCGTCGTCCGCATTCCAGGAGCTCGCTGGTCTTGATGTTGGACGTATTCAGGTGACCTGGAACTACGAGTAGATGGCGGTCTTGCATGGCTCGGGGAATGTTGATCCTTTCCGGTCTTCCAGCTTGATTCCGGTCTTCCAAGTTCTTATTGTACTACATCCTCTGTTGAATATATATGTCGGTTGATAGTCTCTCGTAGACAGACGGACGATACACGCCTATGGAGGGAGGGAGGGAGGGAGGTTGATGCGTTAGTCCCGTTCCAACATTTGAGAATGATTTACTTTGAAGGTGAAAGATATTACACAAGCCTGATGCATCCTCCTTGACCAGGTGACTTGGAGGGGGGTCAACCGTGGTTATCGACGTGTTTCCATGGGACTATAAAATCGAGTACTTGTCACGTGGTACGTGCGCCTTCCATATGTTGAACAATGGTTGATCGTGATCGCGTGGCGTTTGTTTCTTTGTCCCCACTATCATGCCGTGGCAAGCTGACCTTGAAGACGTCAGGTAAAGGTGGACCTTGAAATGCGAAGCTCTATAACATTTAGACTACTTGTCATGTCTTCTTGGAGCCACAGAATGGTTCACAGCTGTTACCCAGCACTGGTGCGGAGTGGTAAGCGTACCGACCAGGTTCCGATCAGGGATGACTGGGCCCACAGCCTTGGCATGGCAAGCCATGTGCTGTGTTCGTGACAGCTCATACCGTTGTGATCGCACGGTTGCGTTCGTCTCACGGAGTAGAGACATTTTCATGGGGTACATCGATATTAGTACATTCCAGCTTTTCCTGTGGCCCAACCAAGGCGGTCCGGGCTACCATCGCGCTTGTCCACCTGCCGCTAAATCCCCGGTAATAATTGCGGTGGCCTCTGTGGACATCGTGATGAGCAACAGTTTTACGGGCATGGTGAGACCAAAATAACGAGTTCCATGTGTCGTATTGATTTTCCTCCCTTACGTGCCTGCAAGAAGAGAATCAATCGGAATTCATAGGAATTCATATAAGGCCTTCAAGCGCCAGAGTAAGGAACCCCCAGTTTCTCGTGAATTTACTTATTGCTCCTTTTCACCTACATTCGCCGCGCAGAATGGGAACCTCCGACGCTATAAAAATCAAAATGAGCCAACATGAAAGCAAGGAGAAGCCAGCCGTATCGCAACGCATCATCAGTTATTATTATAACGGGTACTGTCATATTTCGTCACCGACAGTCTTCCGGCATGATCTCAGTTGCTTTTACGCAGGTCCCCGTGGGTATCAAGGAAATATGGACAATGCAGACCTTTTTCCAACTTGACAGAATCAATAACGGCCTTTCTTGGTTGAAGCTGATCACAAAATGCTGTATGTCAACATACTAGTATAAGTAATGCTGTTCCCTCAATACTGGTAAGTACCCCAAATGTCGTCGTCTCCGCTTACTCCGATACCAATAGCTGATATTCCCCCAATACTGGGAGCGACATTCGGAGCGGTTTTTATCGGGGCTACAATAGCTGCAGTGTTCGTACAGAATCTACTTTCGACTCGGATGCTGTCTATGCTCATCCCATGCCTTAGTTTTTACGGAATAACGATTTTACAGACCGTCGTGTATTACAAACAAAACCCTAACGATCCGTGGCTCTTTCGATGTGCGGTACGAGTCTCATATTGCAATTTTCTCTCGCATTTTAAAACGTGTACAGGTCGCTCTACTGTGGTACGTTGCCGGGCAACACGAAGGTTTATATAAAATTATACATTACAATCTGCAGGATATTCGATACGCTTCATGTTGCCTTGAGCACACATGCCCTCTATTTCTATCTTGTCCAATCGTTTGGAAACTATCTAACCCTGTTCACAATCGTTTGGTACGCTAACCAAAACTTTGGTGGCTGTCGAGTTCTGACCTCGGTTTCAGGAGCTTTCCGGTAACATTCTTTCCTTGCTTCATTGATCTGGATGAACCCAAAACATCTCCCGTTCGCTAGTTGCAGCTGTTGTTCAATGTGCGCCGCGGTATATCATTTGGAAAGCCATGATTGACGTTCCACAGATGTTGATTGTCACTGGAGTTCAAGCGTGCGTCTCCTCCGGCTTGCTTGCTGACAAACAGAAAGACTCATACCCCGGCAATGCAGATTATATGCAGTCAGAATACTAAAATGTTTGTCTTCATTCTGTTAAATATGCTGATCACTAAACCTTTCATATCCCTAAAGTTGGCCGACATTTTCACGTTGTCATGCCATGGTTCATTGTAAGTATTTCCTCATCTTTCGAGTTGCGATATCTACACATTAATACCAGTTCCTTGCTGTTGCGGCGACGTTTGGTGAGATTTCCTGCACCGCAAAGACCGAAGAGAAATGTGACTTGATCTCCTTATAGGCACAGGACTCTGTAAGCTCTCCTTCTATAATTACGGCGCAGCACAGCACTGACTCGAGCTTGCTTTCTAGATGTGATCTACGATACGTAAGTACCGCAGGATCCGTTACTGTTTCCTTTGTTGATCACATCGTCAGATACACCCTCAAAAGCTTTATGGACGTTTCGACTATCAGGGTAGGTCCCGCGGTCTTCATTCGCACAGGTGCACGGAATTCATCCTTATCACTTGGCAGGCGTCCATATACACGGAGTTCTCAGCTATTGCGGCGGCAGACTTCGTCATCGCAGGGGCAATGTGCTTTTACCTGCACAAAAGCAGGTCAGCGACTAACTTCACTAGGTCTGTCTTTTCAGTCTAGGCTCGGTTTATTTGCTTATCTTAGAAGAGCTACTTATAGTACTACCAAGATAATTATTAGATTAATGCGGCTTATACTGGTATCTGGGCTGGTGACGAGGTATAGATCTCAAGTATACATACCGAGCAAGCTGATCGCAAGTGTACCTACCCTAGCGCGTGCTCACTACTTACTCTCGTATCGGTAATTAATACCGTTCATCATGTATTCGATCCTTCCTCCGATCTGATACCAGTTTACAGTACATCGCCTGGCCGGACACTCTCATTTTCATCGCAATCGATTTCATTTTGCCAAAGTGTTAGTCTTTACACTGTTTCCCTCTACTCTTTAAGACTGAGCCTCCCCAACAGTGTACATAAACTCTTTACTCGTCATGCAAGTCCCGCCCTACTGTCTTTATTTCCAGTTTGCTAACTCTTCTTACTAGGCTCAACTCGCGCCAGACTTCGATGTGGTCTACCGGAAAAGGACGTCATATTCAAGATCAAAAGATAATCAGATTTGCTCCCCCTGGAGGTGGAGATGATTCAAGACAGATGGTATGTACAGCCGTTTCTGCTACCACAGCTAACTTACTTGAAATTTCTCTGGAGAATATCACTATCACTGGCCTCTCCGTGACTGATCAGGATACAGTACAGACGGTGCGTGCAGTGTCCCGCAATTGACATTCCATTGGCCTGAATCTTCTTTTCAGAATATAACTCTACCTCTCCCCGTAACAGAAGGAAGTTTTTCGAGTAGCATTGGTGATATGACATTTGCGTAACGACTCATCATTCCATTATTCCCTTTACAATCCCAAAATGGCTACAAATTAAAAACGGACAGAATGCTACACTTACAATATGATGATACGGAACTGCTGATATATATTTCGCATTGAGTATTAGTATTCACTACGGTGTTCGATAGTGAAGTCGACTGCTACCTGACCCACACCTGCGAGAGAACGCCATTCGCAGTAGATGCCAATGCTGACCTTTTAATTGATGTTCAAAATCGTTTCTGGCGACGAGTACTATGGCGCGTCTAGGGGAAAAGGTCAATGATTGTCCCGCTTTCGGGAATAAAGCCGCTCCGTACACGACGATATCTTATTCTCCTTGGTTACTTCAAATATAAAGACTGGGACGAATATGCAATGGCTGCTCTTGGAAGCAGCTGAACCCTTGTGATGATGGGGAAACTTCCTAGTTCATAGATGTCAATATTGCTTGAATCTCACGCTTGAAATTCCCCTCGATGTCACAGATCCTGGAAATAGAGAACTAGAGAAAAGGGGTCGAGCAATTAATGGAAAGACGAATCTTAAGCGAGAGTGAAGAGTCAGAGAAATTATTATCATGTCCACATAGACGCAAGGAGTCAAGGAAGAAGAAGTCCCCGATCACAATAGCACTGAAAATGCGGACATGCCTTGAAATCATTATCCCAAAACACAGATGCAATGATCTCCATCGCACTTTCCGCTCACAAGCTAGCGGTTGAACGGTTGTGGTGAGCGACGCCTCCCTCAATCGTCTAGTATGTCGAATGTGCCTTGCTAATGTCACCGAGACCCCTGGAAATGGTTCCATTGCACGGGAATATGCCCGGAAGCGACATTGCTGAGGATGAAGACGAGAGAACATGTGTGGTGGAAAAGGTGGAAGACTTACATCTGAATATTTGGAGTAATCTCGCTCAAGTGGCTCCCCCACATCTCTCCTCCCTTCAATACAGCGTTGCTGAAATCATTAGTACTAGCGGATAGTGCATTCATTGAGGTAACGGCAAAGTTCTTCTACCGCGCAAAAGCACCTACAAGCTTCCGATTTACCGACCCCATTGAAGGAGTGGCAGCCCTTGATGGATCTTAGGTTCGACCCAGCAGCGTAAGGCTGACCGTGAGATAGGTCTATGTTCTGATTGGAGACATCAGTAGATAATTAAGTACGATTGTTATGCTAGAGTGTTAGTATACCGATCCTGTATTATCTATGCCCGGTACCCCTCAGTGGACTGCGCGCACACCCGCATTCATCATCGATGAACCAGCTTCCGGAGGGTCTGTATTTTTCCTAGAAAGACCAATCAGCATGATGTCGATGCTCTGAAGCACCACCAACCTTGTTATTGCATGTATTAAGGTGAGCGAAGCCCTGCCAAGTGAATTGAGAGGGAGTGGAGCAGCACATCTCAGCCCAGTTACCCCGGGGCTCTTGATAGTTGAACATGCGTGCTCCAACGCGCGATAAAATATTGTCATAGAGGGGTAGGCACGAATGAGACAACGGGATGTACCATTTTTCGGGATCCATAGCAATCCTAGATGAAGGATGCAGTTAGCCACAGGCATGGTTTTGCATGTCAGCAGCAAACTCTTACCTTCTTGTGATTGTTTTGCATGCTCGTTCGTTCGACGTGACGGTCTAATGTCCAATAGTGCTGACGGTACCATCTTGGGCAGCGAAGCAAATCAGCACCTACTACAACGTGAAACTAATTAGCGTTTGCTTCGACTTTCGGAGAATCAGATAAACGTACCTGCTTCTCCTTCCGGAAATATCTGGATGGCCATACATGACTCCATCGGTATCGATCTTCTTACATCCTCTTCTCATAACCTAGACACTATGTACCCGCCAGCTGTCAAGCGTCAGGCCAACCACACGAGCCCAATGCACTTTCTACGTCCTTCTGCAACGCATTGTTCTGCACCTGGATGGTATGCTCTCTGCGCATTGCAGCGCTCTCTCGGACAGGACAAAGGAACTCAACGCGCAGGGAGGAGGACCACGCGACGAGGACAGCAAGAGGAGGGAAGAGAGGAAAAGGCAGGACAGAGAGAGAGCGGATCATCAGAGGGAGGACAGCCGGCATATGAGGAGGACACAAGAAAGAAGCCAATTCTCGATGTCTCAAGCTCAAACTCAATTGCGCTACCCTGCATCCGTGGCAACCGTGACTGCATTGTTCAATATCAGGGATCATTTGTCAAGGATAATCGGCACCCTGCGGTGGAAAAACTGGCGCATATATCCTGTAATTGGTCTTTGCGGTACTCGTAACGGGTAAAATTGACGTGGAGTGAACAGAACATTGGGAGAATGGCGCTTGAAGCTTCTGAAGAATGAAAAGTGATCAGGAGGAGGCGCCGTGGATCGTGACGATGCTGAACAGAAGCCGTTGCCCGTCGAAGCAGAAAAAGACTAAAGTAGCATGTTATAGGAAGGTTTTGAATAATAGCAACACAGACGTACCACTGGCCCATCAGCGCTCAGCGCTCAGCAGCCTAAGCAGCCCAAGGTTCTGCTGTTTTTCTCCGAAAAGAAAGCCAGCTGCGGAGGTCCTAGAGTCACTGGAGAAAGAATGAGCACTCGAAAGCTGGAAAGATACGTCCGGAGAGCTTGAAGGTATCCGTAGGTAGGTAGGATTACATGGCATGGTCCATCGAGGTGATGAGATGAGATGCCGACAAGGTGCCGGCTCTGACAGTCACGGGCCTAAGATGGCCTTTTCTTTTTTGACTCTATATTTCGAAACCGCAACCCATAGTCTATGTACAGAGACGCGGCGGTGCTTGTTCGTGGCCAGCCCCAGTGGCTACAATAGGTGTACAGAAGGGTTTTCAGTCCTTCAATGGTACAGTTTTCTCGTATCTTTGTGTGTTGAGTCATTGGTGTCTAGGGAGGGTCGTCGCCACCGCAACTTAGGCTACGGGGCACAGGTTTGTGTGCATGAAGCGGGTTCCTTTGGCATTCTCGGAGTCTTCGTTATTGCTATCCTTCCTCTTCCACTTTTCAACCCCCAGGATCTTCCCCTCGCTCCAGGTCAAAATCTCCGAGCCAGTCTTCCAGCGCAAGTTCTTCCTCATCCAACGTAGGTCGCATGGGCGGCCGTTTGGGGTTGCCGGTCTTTGTAAATGCACCCGATTTCTCCAGAAGAAGGCGGCGAAGAGAGCTGTAAAGGTAGGGTTGAACGATGCCAGGGCTTCTATGCCTTCTTTCGTTCCCAGGATGTCTGGCAAGTATATGTCTCTAGAGACCTTGCGTAGACTTTCGCGGTGTCCATCATACCGAGGGCATTCTCGGATGATGTGTTCTCGGGTTTGCATATGCTCTCCGCAGGGGCACTGGATGCCTTCCTGTGGGACAAAACGGCTGTAGTACTCGCCTGTGAAGTAATATCCGGTTTGGCACTGGATGAGGCGGCCAAAAACTTCACGCTTCCCATGGAGTTCACGGAAGTGCTTTGTAGGTTTTGGGGAAGGTGCTATATGGTTGGAGGGTGCGAAAAAGCCAGTCTTTGGGCTGTTTTTCCATGCCCTTGTCCATTCTCTTCTCAGCTTCTTCGGCCTTCGGAGAGCGTTCGATCTATTCCCTGCGACTTTGCGCCTAAGATAGCCTGACGGCACGGCAAATTGTCGCGCCATCTCCGATTTCATCTCATCATTACATGGCACAGTACCTTCAGGCACGCCAGATGCAAGGATACAGGTAACCTGGCAAACCGTCTTGATTATATACTCGCGGAACTCGTTACAGGATACAGGTAAGTGCACTACGAAACCTCATCCTCACCACCATCTAGTCAACCTCCAAGCCGAACTCACGACCGACCAACCCAAGTCGAGCCACCCAGGCCGTTGCAGAACTTTAAGACCTATAAATGGGAAACTCAAAATCAGTACTCCTCTCTACCTAACCACCACGATAGATCGGAACAGGGTAAAAGATTTTTAGAATGGCATGCGCCCACTTTACGACCGTGGCAATAGCCTTTCGACTTGGACTAGCTTTCTTAGGAATTCAACATCATTAAGATGACCATACATGAGCCCGAGATCAGGTTCGTCGCGGCCATCACGCACCGTCACAGATGATCAGGCTAGCACAGACTGAACTCTGTATACACGGGACTCGGAATGACCTTGACCTGTATGTCAGGTTCTCGTTACACATCGCACTTAAATCAAGTACGATGCAGATTTCCTCCGAACTTGACGGAATCAATCAAACCCTCTTCGAAGCTGATCAAAAGAAGCTGTACGCCTGTGCATTAATACAAGGAACGCCGTTATCTGACTACTTACTGGCACCCCAAATGTCGTCGTCTCCGCTTACTTCGATACTAGCTGATATTCCCCGGGCCCCGATGCTGCTAGGAGCAACACTCGGAGCGATTTTCATCGGGGCTACAATTGCTGCAGTGTTTGTACAAACTCTATTGTCGATGCCTATGCTTATGCCACGCTCTAGCTTCTACGGAATAACGATTTTTCTGACAGTTGTCTATTACAAACACAACCCTAACGATTTCTGGTTCTTTCAATATGCGGTACGAGTCTCATATTGAAAATTTCTCTTACATCATGAAACATGTATAGGTGGCCCTACTGTGGTACGTTGCTGGGCAACACGAAGGCATATACAAACCCATACATTGACACGATACAATCTGCAGGATATTCGATACACTTCATGTCGCCTTGACCACCCATACACTTTATTTCTACCTTTTCAAAACATCCGGAAACTATATCGCCCTGTTCACAATCGTCTGGTTTGTCAACCAAAGCTCTGGGGTCTGTCGAGTTCTGACCTCACTTTCAGGAGCTTTCCGGTAACATTCTTTCCTCGCTTCGTTGATCTGTATGAACCTAAGGCATCTCCGTCAGCTGCAGCTCCTGATCAATGTGTGCCTCAATAAAATATCATTTAGAAGACCTTGATTGACATTTTCTCCAGATGTTGATTGTCACTGGTGTTCAAACGTGCGTTTCCTTTGGTCTGCTTTTCAACAACCAGAAAGGCTCAAAAAATGCAGATTATATGCATTTAGAGTATTGAAATGTTCGTCTTTTTTCTGTGAAACTGACACCGGTCTCTAAACGTTTCATGCTCTCAAAGTCGGTCGACATTTTCATGTAGTCTTGCCATGGTTCATTGTAAGTGCTTCTTCCTCTGTCGAGTTGTGCTACCTACATACGTCAATAATATTGATATTTGACCTGCAGTTGTTTGCTATCGCAGCTACGTTTGGTGAGATTTCCCGCATCTCTAAAAACAAAGAGGCAAAGCGACTCAATCTTTTTATAGGCATAGGTCTCTGTAAGTCCAGTTTTTGCAATTATGATGCAGCACTGATTTGAGTTCGCCCTTTAGATACGATCCATGATATGTAGGTACCATTGGATTCATTAGTGTTTCTTTCTTTGATCACATCATCAGATATACCCTTACGAGCTTTGTGGGCATTTCGACTATCAGAGTAAGTCCTACACTCTTTATTCACACAGGTGCATGATTCTCATCCAGCGTAGGCATCCATATATATGTATTTTTCCACCATCATGGCAGTAGATTTTGTCATAGCTGGCGCGATGTATTCTTATCTGCGCAAGGGCAGGTCGACGGCCAGCTTCACCAGGTGTGTGTTTAGTACTAAGGTATATCTATTTAAATTTGGCCTGAGGGACGTCTTACAGTACTACTAAGATGATTACAAGACTAATGCGGCTCGTGGTGGTATCTAGGCTGGTGACGAGGTAATATGGATCTTAAGTATGCCTTGCAAGCTGATCATAAATGTCTCTAGCGCTTTTTCCCTCTCTACTCTCGTGGCGGTGATTAATTTCGTTTATCACATCTTCGGCTCTCCCCAATCTAATTCCGGTTCATAGTACATTGCCTGGCCAGATACCCTCATTTTCGTAGCGATCAACTTCACATTGCCAAAGGGTCAGTATTTCAGTACATTTTTCCCTCTACTTTTCAAGACTAAGTCCTCATCGGCAGTCTACATAAATTCGTTCCTCGCCATGCAAGTCCTGCCTTACCGTCTTTATTTTCCCACTTTGTTGACTCTTTTCTAGGCTCAACTCGCGCCCGACTTCGACGTGGTCTACCGGAAAAGAACATCATGTTCAAGACCAAAAGACAATCAGTTTTACTTCCCCTGTCACCGGAAGCGGGACTGATTCAAGACTGACTATGTGTATGTGCAGTCTTTTCTGCCCCACATCTAGCTTACCTGAAATTTTCCTGGAGAATATCACTATCCCTGGCTTGTCTGTGACTGAAGCAGATACGATGTAAACAATACGTGCGATGTTCCCTGATTGACATTTCCATTGGCCTGAACCTTCTTCTCAGAATGTTACTCTAGTTCTCCCCGTAACGGAGGGAAGTCTGTCAAGTAGCGTCGGCGATATATCATTAGCTCAACGATACAGATCTCCCACGCCATTCGTTTCTTCCCCTTATAATCTCAAAATAACTGTTATTTATCCAGTTCCTTTACGTGCGATATAAGTTAGAGAGCGCCGGAAGCGGCATTGCATCAGTTTCCGTTTTGGATGCATCAATACGGGTGAACTAAAGTCGCACGTAAGGTGTTATCAGCTTGTAGCCTAAGTATCGGTTCTTCACCGGCAAGTCCTGCTAAATTAGCTTCGCACCCTTCCTACGTTCTTCATCTTCCCACACTGCGCGTCCTCCTTCGCCTGGATGGTCTTCTCTGTAGGCATTACGAGACTCTCGGGTCCGGATGCTCATCGGCATCCTCCTCCGTAATGCTTACTGCCGACATGCTTCCTCAAACTTGGTCGCGTTGTCTTCTCTTTCTCTCCGTTTCGTCCTCCTATCGGTGTATTCTTCAGGCGCCAAACTTCCTTCCATGCTTCCTCATGTATCATGTTCGACTGCTCTCTCCTGATGTTCGCTCTCCTCCTTCCATTGGTCCTCTTCTTCAAATGCCAGTCGTCTCTCCTCGTCCCTCTTGCTAATGCGGCTCTTTGTCGAAGACCAATTAAACATCCACCGCCGGGATATCCAGGAAAGGATCCGCCATTTCGAAGAATTGCAACGTTTGAAACAGATTGAGTACGAGGACTCGAAGCGGAAGTTAGCGTATGAGCGGGTTGTTGATACGGAGAAGCGCGGTGGACCGAAAACTGTGGTACTGCTATTCAGTGTTAGTGTAATCTTCTTAACTATCATAGAGACACACGCACCATTGCAAGCTGTGCCGGGCTCGATAATAATTATCCTAAGGTAAGGAGATTTTCACTCCCGCTGTCGCCAGTTGTGTAATTCCTCCGAAGTGTAGGGATCGTTTGTCGAGGATAGTTGGTATTCCACGTGGAAGAATTGGCGAATGTATCCTGTAATTGGTCTGCGCAGTACGCGGAATGTGTAATTTGATGTCGAGTGAACGGAAAGCCGGAAGAATGGCGCCTGGAGGATAGAAAAGTGATCAGAAAGAGGCGCCATGGATCGTGACAATTCTGAACAGAAGCAAGTGCCCTTCAAATCAACAAAAGTAATGCATTATAGGAAGGCTTCGAACAATTGAGATGCAGACATACCACTGATTCATCGACAGCGCAAGTTCTCCAAGCTCTTCAGTGGTGTTGTTCTGTTAATATAAAGCCAGTTGCCGTGGCTGAAAAAAACTCTGGCAAACTAGAAGCCATAGCCATCCTAAAGCTGAAGATATGTGTCCTGCGCGCTCGAAGGTGCCTGCGGTAGGTAATGAGAAATGAGATGCCGACAGGGTGCCGGTCGTTCTCCGACTTTGCTACCCGGGGTCGCGTCGGCCTGTTCCCTTACCACCACCACCACTGTCTTGGAAACTTCTTGCTTGGGTTTGGCCGCGGTATTGGGCTATTCTGGCGTCATCCAAAAAAGGTAGGTCCTCAATCGACGCTTGGTTGTATTGAATGTGGAATCTGACGCAACATTTTTTGATTCAGTTTTCTATTTTCGGTTTCGTTGTTTACCATTATCCATGTACTCATGTTGGAATTGAGCTACAATACGATATGAACTTGTGCCATTGCGAATCCCAAGAAACCTTCGAAGCTTTGTGCTATGAGAAGACTGCATAGATGGGACATTTTCGATTTCCCTGTTTAGACCGTCATCCTTTTAGTTCGGACAAGGCTACTCTTCCCAAGGCGACTCGGCGTTTTTCGGCCAGTACCAGGTGCAGGGACATATCGCGTGTTGCTTTCATCTTGGATTAGTCCGCCAGCCAAAGGTATTGATATACAACACAGGCATCGGTAGCTTGCGCGTTGTATTGATGTATGCGCGCCTACCTGGCACATCTGGAGGCTTGGTATGTGCAGTCGTTGGTTTCAGGTTTCCATGCAATGACTATTGGTTACACAGGTCGCCTGGTCTGAACCGTCATGCGAGATTGACCAGGCTCCCTACGCGCTCGGCAAGCATGGACGTATTTCCTGTTCACAGTCGATGAGGTATCCGATGCTTCTTCCTCTGTGTATTTCTTCAATTTTCCGGGTTAACGCTGACATTTTGAAGGTACAACGTTTCCGTGACATACTAGTGAGTTCTTCCTTGTGTATTCGATACGCTCATTCATATTGCTCCTCAGTGTACCCACACGAGGTGTTGATTTCGGTGATGGCTCCGTGTACATCACTGTCGCAATGCAAAGCACCACTCTTCGCTTCTCCGGAATCATCACCAATAACATCGGCCTACCAGCAAATCATCATAAGCGTGATCGGAGCTCTTGGGGCGCTACCTTGCTAGCTGGATACCTCATCTAGCTTCCTTTTATCGGCTGCCATGGTACCATGTCTGTATCAACAGGTTGTCCCACACTGCTTTTCTCCGATTTTCGGCTAACTAACCCGCTCTCTAGTCTTTACAGGCGTCCTCATCCTCGCATCGCCCACAGCACGGACTTCTAATGCCTTGCGCGGATGAACTGTGCCTATAGCTTTACGAGGAACGTCATATATGGCATCCTCTACGTCCTCATGTCCGAGTTGTTCCCTAGTAAGGTTCGCGGTATGGGGAAAGCGTTTGCGGCAGCGGCTAATGGGGACTTCGAGTTATGGTCAGTCGGACTTGACTCATCTTCTTCATATATCTGAATATTGTCAGGCCCTGATTATCGCTTTGTATGCGGATTTGACGACGTCTGTACCGATGTTTGTTTCGGGAGCACTGTTTTTGATAGCGGGGTCATACCGCTGCTGTTTTCGAGTCGAGGGGGAAAGACGGCCCCGTGAGCCCACGAGATTACTTATGATTTCAATTTCTTGAAATAGTGTGTAAGCAAGAACCGATTGTTGGTAGCTCCTGATACTTATGTTTTGCTTCTCAGACCGGCTTGGACATATATTATCCTACACGATGATACAACTCAATTTATCATATAGCCAAGTCATGGATCTGAGGTCTGTTGTCCGGACGATTATCAATCAGCATTCAGCATAGCTCAGGAAGGGTACAGCATCTCAAGCTGATGTTCACGATCAACTTCTTGGAGTACGTTCAGACGCACCTATTCCAAAGGTTCGAACATGATATGTGCGTTGCATCTTCGTTGCATTGATCGGGATTGTATCATATCACCTCCGCTGCCAATATTTCCTCCCATACGACTAATACAAACGATGGTCTTTGAAGTGATGGTACAGCCTACTCAGTTCTTGCGTCGATGCCTAACATAGCTCTGTGATGCTTTCCCCCCTTTATAAAGGCGAGTTCGCAACGAATATATGCGAACCTCTACGCGTCGCCATGTTTGCCAATGAAGGTACGCAGTATCTCTACATGCTAGTTTTGACTGACAATGCTCTCTAGACCGTGCGATAGAAGAGATGACGAGCTTCTATGGATACACCCCTAACAGAGCAATCTGCATCTTATTCCTATGTCTGTTCTCAATATCGACGAGTGAGTGACCCTTTTCATTGAGTCAGGATTCATGTGCTGATTATCTGTGGTATTGGTAATTCATGTCGCTCAAGCCATTGCCTACCGAACTTGGTAGTGTTTCGGTACGGTGGTTCTTTGCGGCGCGTCTCTGGTCGAGTTTTAATCCTGGATTGAAGGATCCGTTTGGGATGCAGTGAGCCAGCTGTTCTTCACGCGATGTTATGCCCTAGCTGATCTTGTACCGCTAGGCTGATGTGCACGATATTGGCGCCGACACCGCTGTTGACCGCAAACTTTGTGATGCTGGGGAAGGTAATTCAGCGTCTAGGGACGCAGTACAGCCGATTAAGCCCAAGAGCTTGTACGTTAGTTTCTTCTTTATAAATGTTTTGCTCATCGCTTGACTGTGGCGCAGATATGATCCTGTTTCGTACATGTGATGTCATTTTGCTGGTACTACAGGTGTTTGGAGGAAGTTTAGCTTCAAGTGCGGTATCTCATGGTACTAATCTGGAGAAGGTACGAGCTGTTGCTGGGTTTGTTTACATTTAGCCTGCTCATTTCTATCTCCAGGGTGGCCGCATCATGCTAATCGGTGTTGCATTTCAGCTAGGTGCGTTTGACTCTTTTTATGCGACATGGAGACAAATTGATGCATATTTCCAGTGGTGATAACTGTTTATTCACTCTTGGGCATCGAATTCTTTGCAAGATACCTTATCGATGCAGCCATTCGGACTCCTGGACCAAAACATACACGAGTCGAGTTAACGAGGGACTTGGAATGTTTGATTGCAGCACTCGTATTCAGCACCATGCGTCTGTTCGTTCGGTGAGTTCTTGCCACATTAGTGCCTTCAGATTGCTGAGCTGTTTGCAGAGCGGAGTATCGAGTGATAGAGCTCGAGGAGGGCTGGGGCGGGAGAATCTTCACAACGGAGGTGTATTTTAGTACGTGCTCCGGTGTCACAGCTCTTACTGTGATTCTAATAAACGAGACAAATGTCCTCGATGGAGCCATGATAATGCTGGCGATATCCACTTTCAATCTATTTCATCCTGGGAAGATCTTCCGTACAAGGGAGCTCCGGTACGTCGGTCCGGCATATTCGATGAAAAAGAGTAGGTACAGACAGGGCCCGTGATTACTCCCTAAACGGTTTCATCAAGCCCGGATAGATTTTCGAAATATAGAGCCCCAGCTTAGTCCAAAATCTGGACAAATCAACCCCTCGGTGCCAACAGCTTGCATCGAAACTGAACCTGCTCCTATGAAACCCTTTGCACTTTGGCAAAACGTGATTTCATCTCAGATTGCCATTATTATTTCTCTTCGGCCCCGTAATGTCCATATTTTGTCCGTGTCCTTCGAGGCACTTCAAAACGCGCAAAACGAAGAGTTGTTTTGACCTTGTGTTAATATACACGCAGCTACTGAAATTCTCAAGATATCAAGAACGCTTTCTCTCAGATCATTGGTATGGTCAACGTCCTTACCAGTGACAGTACGTGTACCTTACCTTACAGTTGTTACTGTGTTATTGACAATGGCCCATTGACCGCTATCAGTTACATCCCGACGGTGGTTACGGGGTATGTGGTATGCAGTTGCAAAACTCTGACCGCATCGTCACGCGGTGCAGTACTACATATACCTGAATCACACACCGGGGAAGCGTATCAGACTATTCTGTGGGATCTCTCTCGTACAATTTATCAATGGTTGACCGGGTGCTCTTCTAGACAAAGGCAAGGATGTCGATACTACCGTTCACGATCTCTACTCTGGATGTGGTTCTAACGGGATTGAGCTTTCGTCATCTGCATTCTAAAAGCTCGCCGGTCTTGATGCTGGGCACATTCAGGTGACCGAGTAGATGATCATTGCTCTTCGGTGGCTAGGGGATTCAGGAATGGTGATCCTGTCTTAATCCTTTCCGGTCTTCCGCTTGATCCCAATGATCCCCATTATCCTAGTCCTTATGGTGTTACATCCTCTCTATTGAATATATATGTCGGTTGATGTGTTAATTCTGTTCCAACAATTGAGAATGACTTCGAAATTGATGGATACAAAAGGGATGCCTCCTACTTGACCCGGTAACTTGGGTCCACCGTGATTATCGACGCGTTTCCACGCGACTTTACATCACACAGCTGCCAGACATTGGAAACAAATCGAGGCTTATATCTGATATGTAATGCCGAATACCTGTCACGTGGTACGTGCGCCTTCCATATGTTGATCGTGATCGCGTGGCGTTTGTTTCTTTGTCCCCACTATCATGCCATTGCAAGCTGACCTTTAAGTAAGACGTCAGGTAAAAGTGGCTCCTGAAATGCAAAGCTCTATAACATTAATATTTAGACTATTGCGTCTTCTTGGAGTAACAGAATGGTTCATAGCTGTTACCCAGCACTGGTGTGGTGTGGTAAGTGTACCGGCACCAGGTTCCAATCGGGGATGGCTGGGCCCACAGCTCTGAGATGGCAAGCCATGTGCTGTGGCCATGATAGCTCATACTGTTGTGATTGCACGGTTTTGTACGTCTCGTGGACTCGAGACATTTCATCGGGTACATCGATATTGGTATGTTCCGGCTTTTCCTGTGGCCCAGCCGAGGCGGTCCGGGATGCCATCGGAACTGTCTACCCGCCGTGAGATCCACAGGAAAAATACCTGTGGCCTATGCGGGCATCGTGGTGAGCAACAGCTTTACGGGGACGGTGGGACAAAACTGGCGAGTTCCATGTGTCGTATTGATTTTACTCCCTTAGGTGTCTGCAATAATAGAATTAATCAGAATGCATATGGGCTCGCCAAGCACCAGGGGAAGGAACCCCCAGTTTTCTCAAAGGGCAGTTCTTCGGGGGCATGTTCATCCGTTTCATTCATTGCTTCTTTCCACCCGTGTTTCCTGTGCAGAATGAAGGCATCCGACCCTATCCAAATCAAAACGAGTCTACATGAAAACAAGGACTCGGTGAAGCCAGCCACATCGCATCGCATCATCAATTATTATTATAATCGGTACCGCTACATGGACTTACTTTTTCGCCGACAGTTTGCCGGCACGATCTCAGTTGCTCTTACATGGACCCTGTGTGTACCAACGCTTTCAATCGTCCAACCTAGGATAATCCACTACCCCGATCTGTATATTGGTCTCGCCTAGACGTCATGTTTGAATCAAGTATGGACGAGAACTTTTCCCAACTTGACGAAATCAATAACAGCCCTTCTTCGAAGTTGATCGCAAAATGCTGTATGTCAACACATTAGTATAAACAAGTACTACTGTTCCCTCAGTAGTGGTAACTCCCCAGATGTCGTCCCCGCTTCCGATACCTATAGCTGACATTCCCTCAAGGCTAGGAGCAACACTCGGAGCGATTTTTATTGGGGCTACAATAGCTGCAGTGTTCGTACAGAATCTAATTTCGACTCGAATGTTATCTATGCTCATTCCACGATTTAGCTTTTACGGAATAACAGTTTTGCAGACCGTCGTGTATTACAGACAAAACCCTAACGATCCGTGGCTCTTTCGATATGCGGTACGAGTCCCATATTTAAAATTTCTCTTGCATTTCAATGAAACATGTACAGGTCGCCGTACTGTGGTACGTTACCGGGCAACACGGGTTATATACCAAGCCATACATTGACACGATACAATCTGCAGGATATTCGACACGCTTCATGTCGGCTTGAGCACCCACGCCCTCTATTTCTACCTTATCAAATCATTCGGAAACTATCCCACCCTGTTCACAATCGTTTGGTACGTCAACTAAAGCTTTAGGGTTCGTCGAGGTCTGATTTCACTTTCAGGAGCTTTCCCGTAACATTATTTCCTTGCTTCACTGATCTGGATGAAACTAAGGCATCCCGCATTAGCTGCAGTTGTTGTTTAATGTGCGCTTCAGTATATCATTTGAAAGCCGTAATTGACGTTTTTCCCAGATGTTGATTGCCACTAGCGTTCAAGCGTGCGTCTCCTATAAGTTGTTTGCTGACAGACAGAAAGACTCAATTGCCAGTAATTCAGATTATATGCAGTCAGAATATTGAAGTGTCCGTCTTTGTTCTGTTAAATATGTTGATCTCTAACCGTTTCATGTTCCCAAAGTTGGCCGACATTTTCACGTAGTCATGCCATGGTTCATTGTAAGCATTTCTTCACATTTCAAGTTGCGATACTTACTTACCAATATTGACATCTGGCCTACAGTTCCTTGCTGTTGCAGCAACCGTTGGTGAGATATCCCGCATCCCGAAGAACGAAGAGCAAGTGACTTGATCTCCTTACAGGTACAGGACTCTGTAAGCCCTCCTTCTGTAATTATGGTCCAACACAGCACTGAAATAACTATGCTTTTTAGATGTGATTTACGATACGTAGGTACCGTGAGATCCATCACCATTTCTTTCGTTGATTACATTGTCAGATACACACTCTCAAGTATTATGGGCGTTTCGACTATCAGGGTAGGTAGCATATTCTTGATTCGCACAAGCGTACACGTATGGAATCCATCCTTGTCACCTGGCAGGCGTCCATACACACGGAGTTCTCAGTTGTCGCGGTGGCAGACTTCGTCATCACAGGGGCAATGTGCTTTTACCTGCACAAAGGCAGGTCGATGACTAGCTTCTCCAGGTCTGTCTTTTCAGTCTAGGCTCGGTTTGTGTGCTTATCTTAGAGGGGCTACTTATAGTACTACCAAGATAATTATTAGACTAATGCGGCTTGTACTGGTATCTGGGTTGGCAACAAGGTATGGATTCCAAGTATGCCTTGCAAACTAATTACAAGCGTACCTACCCTAGCGCGTGCTCACTATTTACTCTCGTATCGGTGATTAATGCTGTTCATTTCATGTTCGATCCCTTCTCCGATCTGACCCTAGTTTATAGTACATCGCCTGGCCAGATACTCTCATTTTTGTCACAATCGACTTCGTTATGCCAAAGCGTCAGTGTTCAACTCTGTTTTATGTGTGGTCTCATACTAAGTCTTCTCTGACAGTCTATATAAATTCTCTCCTCGCTATGCAAGTCGTGCCCTTACCTTCTCTACCTTCTCAACTTGCTAACTCTTCTCCCAGGCTCAACTTGCGCCAGACTTCGATGTGGTCTACCGGAAAAGGACGTTATGCTCAGGATCAAAAGATAATCAGATTTGCTCCCCCCCCTGGTTCTGGAAGCAGAGACGATCCAAGACAGACGGTATGTACAATCGTTTCTGCTACCACAGCCAGCGCATCTGAAATTTCCCTGAAGAATATCACCATCCCTGGCCTGTCTGTGACCGAAGAAGATACAATACAGACGGTACGTGCAATGTCCTGTGATTGGAATCCCATTGACTTACCTTTCAGAATGTCACTCTACCTCTCTCTGCAACCCAAGGAAGGTTTTCGAGTAACATCGGTGATATGTCATTTGCTTAACAGTTCGTCCCACATTGTTCGACACCCTCCCCTACGATCCCATCATGGTTACATATCAGAGGGAGCGGAAGCAGCATTCCTACCCAGTGCATCACTTGCGACATAATGATGTGGGATCCTTGATATATATTCTACAGAATTTTCATTATTTAATCGACAGCAAGAAACTTGCTTTTCTATCAAGCTTTCAAGTTGCAGTACAAAATGATAAAATGATTCAAAAATCTAAGGCAGGCGACCTCGACCATTCGCAGACACTAACAAACGCTTACCTTCTTCTTGTTAATAACCGTCATATCTTGCAAGTTAATTCGCCCCACGTTATAGTCCAATGTTCAACGGTGCCAATATTTGGCACCATCCTAGACGGCGAAGCAAATCGCTTCCCCAGCCTTTGAAAAATCAAATAAACGTACCTGCCTCTCCTTTGTACAAAAGTATTGTGTGGATACCACGTACTGTATATCTTTATTTTTTTTACCCTACTGTCAGCATCTCATCAGATACATTGCGGCCATTATGGAGCCATTAACTTGGACTGCGCGAGGAGACAGATATTATTCAGACTCATGGAAAAAGAGCGATAGAGAACAGGCCTACCCACTTCGGAGACTGTGCATCGAGCAGAATAGGCAAGGCGTATCTGATATCACCATCACTGTAGATCGGCGGAGCGAAGCATAAAAGAGGCGGTGGTCGCGACTAGGATTTATGATTCTGGCACCATTTTCCCACGCTCTCTTCCTTGCCCTGACCTTGACCTTGAATATGTATCTCTTTTAAATTTGTTACTCACTCAGCTCACAAGGAGCTTGTACTCGTCTGCAAGAACAATTTCTTTTCCCAAATATCTCGAGCATTCTTCTTACTCAGCGGTCCAATTCAAGAGCGTCGGACCTTTTCCGATGGACGACTAATCAATGCCCATTGGCCTTGATATTTCTGGCGGTGGGTTTACGCCTGGAGCGGGTACGTTTCCCTGCTTAGACGATGGAGAACTTCGTAGGTGGGATTGAACGAGAATGGAATTGATTAATTGGACCAAGGTGCGCCCAGTTCATCTGCTGATGTCACTTTTCTTACATGCGAAACAGACTCGAATATCTCGCAGACGCCTGAGCCTCTTCATATGTAGAGGTACTCGCCTTCTCAGTCATTCTTCAAGATGCATGCCGGTTATACAAAGAATAATGGGAGGGATCTAGGCCTGGATGGACGTGGGACCACAAATCTCAAGGTAAGTCCTCCTTCCATGCCTGTCCTATGCCTATATCCTTACCCTGATTCTAGATTTTAACATTGAATCTTTGAGTATCTGGACTGCATCAGCTGTATGCGGGCGTGATACCTATGTTTGCAGGCTAAGTCAGATAGCTCCCAACATCTAGCGAAAACGAAGCATGGCCTCTTTCTCCATGCAAATCCTGGCCGGGCGCAAAGAATTCAGGACGGTGTACCGTGCTACTTTCAATCCTGCCGCGAAGCGTCTTCGAGTCTACGTGCATAGCATGTCTGAACCCATCCCAGTCCAACGTGAAGGCTTCAGTCGTTGGCCAGTGCTCCTTCTGCCATTCGTAGGCAAGGGAAAGGGAAAGGGGGATTGGCTCGATCCAGGGTTGAAGACATGGAAGAGGAGGGTGTACAGGCTAGCTTGTATTACAAGGCGACACTGTATCAACTAGCGACCGCTTGTGTCTGTGGAAGACAAAGACATGGCACTCATGTATGGACGCAAGTTAGCGGCTATTTTGAGAGCATGGGGGAGAGCAGTGATACCAATTTCACGAATTTTAAGAAGCTGAAGAAGCTACCGCAGTGGGGGACGGGAGAAAGGCAGGACTCCAGATCTATCGTTGATATCATTTTCTCGGAAGTACGACATCCCTTTACGGCATTTCTCTATTCTCAGCTCTCCGTTGTCTTTCAATACTAGGCTTGCGTCTCCGATCATGCCGCTTTTTCTATCGCAATTCCTGTGCTGTTCGAAACGGATATTCCATGCTACCCTCAAACTCGATATGTTTGCGGAAAAGGTCAGAGTGGCGTATGTTTCGTTTCTTCTGCATCAGTATATAATTGGCTCTGACGATACAACATGCCGCGATTAGTCAACGACTGCGGTTCATACCGTTTACTTCCACCTCAAACCCGAGTTCATTATCACTTTCGTCCCGTTAATATATCGCACCCTTCGCACCCTTTTGACATTTGTTTCGCCACGGCTGCTTTTTGATGGTCTGCTTCCGTGATTCTTCCCTGTTTGCTATATTCGTATCTCCCTTCTTGTCAGTTGTCGCGGTTGCCTGCACTCGGACTCGGGATTTGATAACTTCTGCCGGATTAAGCTTGTCTTGCATATGGACAGCTTTCATCGTGAACCTGCGCCTGGGAAATGCTTTGTACGTTGTCGAAACATCAATATTATCCCTGTTTCATTTTTTCACGCATCTTAGTCCGTCGTCAGGCTCCGTTTTAGTCACCTTATAATGTCTGCGTCTCTGCAGACGTATAAAAAGCAGAACTAGTCGGACTTCAAGCAACCACCGGCACACTAAACTACCGACAATGTTTTCTCCCAGACAATCTGTTCTCGCTATTGTGGCTCTGTCTATCAGCGTGGTCAGTGCCTTCACCGGCCCCGGTACATATTCCTTCAGTTACAGTCGCTACTAGTATGATACTGACAATAACCCAATAGCCACCTTTTACGACCCCAACGGACTCATCGGGGCCTGCGGTAACCCTTTGCAAAATTCCGACCTCATAGTAGCGCTCTCCATTTCCCAGTACGCCGGAGGCGCACACTGCGGGACGCAAATCAGTGTATCCTGTAAGATTTCCCCCTCATATTCCATCAGCGATTGATTGAGCGCCCCTTCAGACGCCGGCAACTCTGTTTCTGCCACCGTTGCCGACGAATGCCCTACTTGCGCTGGCGACGGGATTGACCTCTCGCCTGCCGCCTTCCAACAGCTCGCCAGTCTTGATGCTGGGGAAATTCAGGTGACTTGGGATTTTGAGTAGATGGTGGTCCATCTTTGATGGGAATGTCGATCCCCCGTCTGTTAAATTTATATATCAATTTATGGTGACTGTTAAGTCTGTTTATTCGAATGCCGGTGCTAGACCAGGGGACTCTGAACAACCGTCTGCGCAATGGATTTCCCACGCCGGTCGTTGACGCGTTCCCGCGCAGCTCGTAATTCACAGCTGCATAATGTACTCAAGAGCGTCGTCCCTCCACTCGAAGAACAACGTGTCTTCCTACTCTGAATCCAACATCTTGCTTGCTAAAATTCCATCCTCCCATATGTCTTCTGTCCCGAGTCCCGTCGTCAGTTTTTGCGCTCACAAGCTGTTGAGTATAATTTCATGAAGCTATTACTTGTTTGTGATGAAAGGTTCAAGTATGCGTTAAATATATTGTAAATAGAGGTCCGTAACTGGAATGGGTTCTATGATTGTCAACTTGAAGGGTATATAGTCCAATGATAAGACGAAGAAAGCAATAAGCGGGAGCCCGAAAGATAGTAGCGAGGGAAATATGCTGGGAAATCCACCAGAGCTGACCTCTGAAGAGGGATGTGTAAGAGCGGCGAGTCTAATGGCGTTTGTGATGCATATTGAAAAAGTAAGTAGAAAAGACTGTCGGGATCTTCCAAGGATGGCTGCTATGGGAAAGCGACGGTCATTATGAATATGGTCGGGAAGTATAATAAGTGCAGCGCTTACATCAAGCAAGAAAGGTGCGAGACCAGTCCGTAATGCCCAGTTCTGCCAATCTCCGTACCTCATCTAAGTCATCCATTTGGAACACCGACACCTTCTCGAAGGATGTGTCTGGCAATCTTCGCCCGACTACCCAGAATTGCGCTCGGGCCGTCTCGTCATCATCAAATGGCTCACTGCCTAGCAGTGGGTATAAGCCTTCCGGTATTAAGTATTGGTGGTCGGCGACGAGTCTGAATATATGCAGTGCATTGTGGTTATCTTCGACGACCAACTGTCCTTGTCGGCACTTCCCTTCTTGTGGTTCATCAGCCAATCCCAGCACATAGCCAGATTCAATACAGGGTCCCTGATACCAGTCGGCATCTGATTCCTCCGTCCGCTCAACCCGCCTCAACCAGGGAAGACGAGGCAATGACAGCGCCTCAGTCACGGCTTGTCTCCATGACGGTCGCCAACCTTTGTCTCCGTTTCCAGGCTCGGGATACAGGAAGAACAATTCTGCCCGAAACCGCGCCGGCATTACACCCACCAGAGTCGTCCATGCATCCTCTTCAGACTGCATCTCATGATATGCCGGTATCTCCCCCGTCCCCAGAAAGTATGCCAACCCAGCAACTATATCCACCGGATTCGTCGACACCCGCTTAACATGTCAAATACGTCCCCTTCCTTCTGCATGCTCTGCAACGATGACATTTGCTTATATCTCACTCGTATCTCCCCTTCCACGATCCCATTGTTGCTGGTATCCCTTACAATGATCAAGTCCCTGCAGAACTCCTGCAATGTCCATGCGCGTCTGAACCAACTTCGATCGCTCTCAAAGCTGCATGTGTTCATACTCAATGGCCGTCCGAGCCCATTGAAGTAACATGCAGCCGTCTTACTGCGATACACCCAGCCGATGGTGGGCACGTCCACCTTCCACTCCTCCACGCGTAGATCCTCCCTCCATCCGCCCGCCTGCCTCAAACAGAGAACGTCCAACCATACATACTCTGCACCCAAATTGAGCATCTCGATGCGGATGAGGTTGAGGTTGACACCTTTCGGGATCGACACAGACCATCTATATCCGTTTATGGGTGTCTGCACATCCGCGCAATCCTTTTCTTCCATCCACGCGTGCGATATTGCCCGCGGCCATTGGTGTGCGATCCACCAGGGCACTACCCGATTGCTGTACAGGTGCCAGACGCGTCGAGGAGGCATCATCGTGGTGATGATTCTATTATTGGCGAGTACATCTTGTCGCATCTCCCGATCTCGTGCTTCGCAGGTGCGTAGGTGGTTTTCAATGGTGGTCAAGTCATTGTACCAGACTGGGCGAAGGTGCGCATAGACAGTGCCAAAGTCATAGCCCTTGGCGATATAGTTTTCGAGAAGAGAGGAAAGGGGACGGTTTTCCAGAGTGTACGACGTGCCGAGGATGGTGTTGAGCTTCTCTAAAAGTTCATCGATACCAATGTCGGCACAGAGAACGTTAGCCAAAGAGGATGGTATGACGGATTTTCTACCAGTATAGAACCGTTGTTTGAGCACTGGAATGGGCGATTCTGCTTGGCCGGTCTCGGTGAAGGCGGAAAGACCCTGAAATGTGAGATGTTGGTATTAGTTCAGAAAGACGTGATAATATATGTTTACCTGTTGGAACCGATTAGGTGGAATAATATAATCTCCATAACGCTCGAACCACTGCAGCCTATCCATCATGAGTTTTCCTAGTCGTGATAGAATGAGGATCTGAGTATTTGGCAGTAATTCAACCACGTACGCTATTAGTACGCTGCAAGGGTCCTCCAGGAAATCGATGTGGTGTAGTGTCAAAGGCTCAAAGCTGTTGTCGCAAGAAAGCTGTAGCCCAGTGCCCCTCATCGTCGTGGAAGGAAGGAAAACAGTAGACGCTGAATCAAGCCAGCACCGTCGAAGCATCGTACAGCCCAAGGATGTGATCAAGCCTACCGCCAGTACCTTATTTCTTCTCATTGACTAATCCCACGACTATGCCTGCATTGCTCAAGCCTCATTCAGAGGAAAGAAATGAGATCCAACAACACCTTTATATCCGGTACACCCGCACCACATTCTCAGATGCTATAACTATTCGGCTTGGTTTTCCATTTTCTGCAAGGATGATCACGGCGCCAATTTCTGGGCACGCAGGGATCACCAACAGATGGGATAAGCGGGTGTATTCCTCTGACTAGGGTAACATGGATGAGCTGAAGGGCTGCCACATCCGCATCACCTACGCCCACAAATAGCATAATCCCGTCATTAAACACCTCCCAAAGCAGTATCCCATAGGAATATACATCCCTCTCTGGTTGGCTCACGTACTGCCTCGAAGGAGGCGGTGCCTCCGCCAGGGCTTCTGGCGCTCTGAAGTGAACTGTGCAGCATATGCAGCTCTCGACGTAGAAGATGAGAACATTGTCCACTTTAACATCTGGGTGAACGATTTCAATCTGATGCAACGCCTCCAGACCAGCTGCCATTTTGAGGCTAAACTTTGTCTTCAGCTCCCAAGGCATTCCTTCGCCGCCGTTGCTAGCTGATTCTCGCAGCAATGACCCTAGAGAACTGACAGGACGAGCAACAATAAGCCGCGGTAAAAGTGTCTCCTCGCCACTCTTCTGAAGACAGACGCCAAAGATCGAAAGGACATTTGGGTGCAACAAAAGATACGACATCACCCTAATCTCATCGAGGACCTCCCGAATGAGCGAGCTAAGAAGAAAAGTATCTTCATGTACGTTCTCGTGAGGTGCTTTGACCGCAACCAGGGTTGAAAGAACAGTATGGTTTTGGTCAGAATTCCGCCATGATACCGAAAGAGGTCCTGGTTTCCTGAATATATTTAGAGATCGTCATGAGCACTGGCGGCAAGATACGTTAAAAGAGATCTCACCCTGAGACTTCGCGGCGGACGGCATGCAAGCGTATTCATAACTTCATTTCTTCCTTGACTCGACCTCTCCGTGGCCCATACAGCCTGTTCCTATGTAACTTGAAGATCCGTAGGCCAGCCCGCGTCATGGTCTGCCACCAAGTCAAGTCGGTCAAGCCCGTCAATTTCTCTATTCGCACGAAAAAAAAATTATGTAAGCCCAACGCGGGAAAGACAGGCACAGGTAAACGCACAATAGCTTGGAGAGACGAACTCAGACACCTCCAATTTCGGTTTCATGGCAAGAAACCACCGCCTTTCACATCACCATAACACGTCCTGACTCCTAGCTCGCCCTCAGCGCCTTCTCAGCCTAGATTATCGAGCAGTCGCACAGACAACTGCGCCGACTTCAAAGGAGATACCAAGATTGGGAGCATGCTAAACCTTCTGTGAGAAAGATATAAAGCGCCTCAAAAAATTCTCACCTCGACGTCTCACTGTGAGGAAACACCAATACACAGCTTCACCGTCGTATCCATGGAACACTTCCCATATAAATTCTTGAATTCCGGGCGCCAAGTCCTAGTAATTCTTCCTAGCTATGTAATGACGGTAAGCCTCGACGCTATACCCTAAGAGATCGGGCCACTCACTCGAGTGTAGTGGCCGATGCCAGCATCAATCAAGACTAGAACATCACCCCAACATCCTTCGATAAGAGCTTCTCAGATTTGGAGACCGTAATTGGAAACACGGAGCGAAAAATTCTGTAAAATATTCACGGAATGAAGTTGGCCAGAGAGCGTGAAAGGACAAGACGACATCACAGATGTGAAGCTCTCGAGATGACCGTCGTCGTCGAAAGAGAAAGGATCATCGGCTGCTTCGGTCCGACTTCCGGCTTCTTGGTCACGTCGGCTACTCTTACCACCACTACCATCCCGGAAATTTCCTGGTCAGCCTCGTACGCGGTATTGGGCTATTCTGATGCCATCCGAAGGAGGTAGGTTCCCAATCAATGTGTGCTCGTGGTGCTGGAATTCTGACGTAACGTTTTCTGATCCAGCTTTCTATTTTGTTTTCCTTGTGCTTTACCATTATTCGTGTTCTTGGATTAGAATGAGCTGCAATACGATGCGCTTATGCCATTGCGAATCTAGAGAAATCTTCAAGGCTTTGTTCTGTGAGAAGACTGCATAGACGTGGCATTTCTACCATTTCCCACTTGCAACATTGGAAGGTCATCAGATTTAGCTACTCTTCCCAAGGCAACGCAGCGTTTTTCGGACAGCGGTGGGTGCAAGGAAATACTGTGTGTTTATTTTTATCTTGGATTGGCCTGCCAGCCAACAGTATTGATATACACGCAGGTGACGGTAGCTTGCGCGTCGTACTGACGTATGCAGCTGGTATATCTGGAAACCTTGGTGTGTGCAATCCTCGGCTTGACGCTTCCACATAATAAACATCAGCTATGCAGGTCGTTTGGCCTGTGAATCGTGACTACTCATGCGAGACCGACCAAGTTCCCCCGTCCGTGCTCGGCAAACCAAAGATGAACGTATTTCCTGTTCACGACAATTTTCGCTAGTTTCGCGCGTGCACCTTCTCCTATTCCTCAGCCAGTTTCCATGATCTAACTCTTGGGCGGTTTCACACTCATTTCGTTATCTCAGTTCCGCGGTAGAGCACATCTCAATCCCAGTTGCATATCGGTTCCCTGATAATTTCCGATTCCCTCGAGCCTCTGAGCTGGTATAAAAACATCAAATACTCTCTGCATAATTTCATTCAATAACCCACAAGTCTTTCGAATACTCCACACATTGACAATGTTCTCTCTCAAGCAATCCGTTATCATTGCATTGGCTTTGTCCACCGGCATGGTCAACGCACTCACTGAGGAAGGTATGTATTTCTGTTGGAGTGTTTTCTGCTACTGTACTCATAATAGCTCTAGCCACTTGGTACACTCCCAATAGCGGAATCGGGGCCTACGGTGCGCCGTTGCAGAACTCCGACCACATTGTCGCACTCTCCCAGCGACCAGTACGGTGGAGAGGCACACTGCTGAAAGCATATCGGTGTTCACTGTACGTTTTACCCCTTAAATTTGGGCCGTGCGCTGACTGTGTAATTTTTTAGACAAGGGCAAGTTCGTAGACGCTACCATCGAGGATCTTTGCCCTGGTTGTGGTCATAATGTGATTGATCTTTCGTCGTCCGCACTCCAGAAGCTCGCTCCTCTCGATGATGGGCGTATTGGGATCACCTGGAACTAATCTTTCAATCCAGTTTAGCGTAATACTATGCAACTTTTGCTATCGGAAGATTTTTGAATTATGCATTGCTTGGGGTGATCATCTGGATGTCGGAGAAAGCCCTGGCACCAGGTCTTCTGTTTCCATGTGAAAATTGTTTTCTGATGGTGTTCTCTGCAGCTGCGACTGACGAGCTTTTCAAAATACATTGAATCGGATGAGAACCCCAGGGATTTGGTCTGGAAGGGACTTCTCGGGTCCTTGGAAGGACCGCCGTTGATTATCGATAAACGCCGCCCGTTCGCCCAGATGACTATACCGTGATCTATCGAAGCAGATTTGTACTGTTTTGTCTTGTGACTTCTCATAGGGATGAACCCAATGCAAGCATCTATTCAACGTTAGATTGGTGGAAGGACACACATTGACCTTTGCCCCTTTCGAGGTCGTAACTGACGCTTTGAACCTTATGGCAAAGATACAGTGCTTGTGAAAGAATTAAATCCTCGTGTTGAGGCCCGACGAACCCGAGTCACAGTTGCGAAACCATCAGACTGGAAGCAAGGGACGGGAATGCAGATTCTTGTTCGGCTCTTAGCCTTGATAACTTCATCGAAACCTCCGAAACTATAACTCATCGTGAATCCGGCTACTCATCTGTTTACAGCTACTGTATTGTTTGTCCTGACCAAGCGGAACGATCAATTGGTTCGATCCTATTACACCGTAGGTTCGAAAAGCTCCCCCAAAATCTATCCCTTCATTATTGTCTTCCGAAGGGACTTGTCCGTCATAATGTTGCGGCGTGTGATATAGGTCCAACGGTAGGTTGTTCTGATGATATTTCCAACTGGTCTAAATGAAGCATATGCGCCTTCTTGTGAAATTCTTCGTTCTATTAACGAACATAAACCTCGGCCACTGGCCGAAGCCAACTCGAAACCCTCGGTTCCTCTGAAGCTTTCCCTCTCCGTCGTTGCCGGACTATCGCATCGAAACCTCCTTGTAACGCAACGGTGTTAGCCTCTTGGAAGGCTCCTAGTCTGGCGTACAAACGTCGTCCAGCGCCCATCTGTGTTTCACCGCCCGGTACCCGCGTGTGCGTCTACTGATGCTTTTTTTCCGTGCAGAAAACTCAGGGATGAGGAACTACTGTGGTGCCGTGGACGTTCTTTTACCAGGTCTAGGGCATGGAATAGATACATACTAGCACTAGCATTACCACTAAAGCGCACTTGTACCTGGGCACCGAGCATACTATACTGTATGGATACAGTACCCTCTTGAGCTCATCAACAACATACAGATGTACGGAAAAAACTGGTGAGCGTATGGCAGCACGCACTCTTGGGACTTCCTGGATCTTCATGACGAATGTCGGGTTGGATGGGAGAAGAAAAACGTATAAAAGCCTCATCTCATAGAAGCCACCTTGTCGTTCACTCAAGTAAACTACACAGTCACTCGAACATTAACCCTTCAAAGATCATGTTCTCTCTCAAACAAGCGGTCTTTACCGTAATTTCACTTTGTGCTGCCACTGCCACTGCTCAGGCGTGGTACGGAACTGGTAAGAAATCAAGCTGGTGTTCGTTCAATCGCTGATTTGCCACCATTGTTGTAGCTACTTGGTATGAGCCTCAGGCCACCGGCAATCCTGGCGCTTGCGGTGCATATAGCCAGAACTCTGACTCGGTTGTGGCACTTCCTCCCAGCCTTTACGCCAATGGCGCTAATTGCTGGAAACACATTGGCGTTATCAGTATGTACTTTGATGCTGTTTTTGTTGGATATTTGGTCTGAACTAGCTCCAGACGCGGCCAACGGCAGATGGGTCGATGCAGTCGTAGTCGACTTGTGCCCTGACTGCGAGAGCAACCACATTGACCTCTCTGTGGGTGCCTTCGAGCAGCTTGACAACCTTGATACGGGTGTCATCGATGTTACTTGGTACTATGAGTGAACGCCAGGACGTCACCTCGGAGGTGATTAATAGATAATTTCCACTAGACTCGACTAGATGGGAACCAATTGAATGTAACGAGCGACTCTGTACCATGTACCATTTTTACGAGGCAATTCTGTCTGATATATCTTTGTTTCTCTGGAAGCTAGGATTGATTCATGAGGGTTATTTGCAAATTGTTCAACTGAAGTCGTCCATCAACTCCCGTCTTTCTAGTTTGTCCTCCTTTGTAACTGTCTACCAGTAGACCAAGTAGGTCACTTCCCCCTTGACGTCCCCATTTGAGGTTGTTAGAATCTGAGGTTTCTCAGTGGGTTACTAATAGCCTCTCTCACCGTTGTAATACTATGTAGCTTTTGCTACCGGGTTGTCTGTTGAGCAAAGATGTTTTTAATTTTCTCCCTTCTAGTGACGGGGTACTAGCCCCCAGCCTAACGGACCAATGGGCCCGACTTTGTCGGCTGCCGGAGGTCGAGTACGATGTACACGTTCTATATTTTTAATTATGCATTGATGGGATGATCAACGAATACTCGATATTTGAAGTCGACAAATACTCTCGGGATATAGGACCGATGGAGGCTTCTAATATTTCCAGCCCACAGTGATAATTTTATGACAGTAGTAACGAATAATCTGAATAGTACGTGACCAACTCGAGCAGGGCCGGAAACAGGAACACTACGTTAAACGGCCTTTGCATCGGTGTCTTTAGAACTAGTGTGGTCCCAATCGGGGCTTGACTTTGATGGCATATCAACGACTTGATGTGTATCGGTATCGATAGTAATGACCAGGTTAGGCTAGTGAAACTGAAGTTAGTGCCATCATTCTCAAGGCGGGGTTGGGACGTACATCTTGAGCATCCTGTATGCGAGGCGTTAAACTCGAAGCATGTAGAATGGTAACCATATAATCTACGTACACGCCTCATGTTTGTGGATCTTAATTGGATGTTCGTCGGAGGAACTGTTGGACCAGACTTGGACGACGTATAGACTTCTGATCCAGACTCGGATGGCCGTTGGTTGAGGCTCGACAGCACAGAGTTAGTGTACACTTCCGGAGGTATGTCAGCCAATCGCCTTATTCTAAAGGTACAGGCACACACACACATTTTGGCTATTATCAAAGTCGTGGAGTTCTATCATCAGTCTGCATAACCAAGGATGAAAGTGCGTACAATGAGAAAACTGAACAATATATGGACTCCAGTGTTAGGCTAACGGTTATGGTTAATTAGCAAGGTTCGGTGATTGCGATCGAATAATACGTACCGATGCGATGAATAGGATGAACTCCATCAATGCAGACAATGCAGTAAACAGGCCATTGGCGATGGTCACTGGAATATTGGGGTCAGAACAACTGGAAGGTATGGACGAGGAGTAAACCATACACCGAACCAATTTATTCACCAGCATTTCTGTCCGACGGAAGCCACCGAAATGTTTACGAAGCTACATGCGGCGGAATTTTGTCAGGAAAGAGACGGGAGGAGTGAACCAGCGAATTACATGATGGGTCAGGATCAGTGCTGTCATGACATCGACGAAAGCGCTAGAAACAAGCCACGGGTAGATGATGGGATCTAGTCTGTGGAACTCAGCCATCGATGTGACCATTGCTAGAAAATGTTCGTGAGCCATTGGAATTGTTAGAGATCTTCAGGATTACTCAAGCCAATGACCGTTCCAAGGGTGCACACTGCGGAGAAAATTATGACGTGAGGGAAGTCCACCGTAAATGAAGCAGATAAAGGTCTCACGTCCACATGTTATCGAAGAGGCTGCTACCAATGCTCCGAGCCATACCTAGATATGTATTCAGCCCAAACACCGTCGCACACGATGTCTTGAGGCGGCATACCTTTCCTGTAAGAATCTTGACCCGCCTAGCAAAGAACAGCTGGCAAGCAGTAGCTATGATAGCCTGTAACAAAGGACTTCGTGTCAGATGTGTTTGACAGATGGTAAAATTATACGAACGATGCACATGGGGTCTAGAATGTGACGAGATAATTTATATGCTGAGCGAAAGGTTAGACTGCCACAATTTCTCACCCATTATGAAGACTATTTTCACATAAATAATAGGCAGTAGCATATAATGAGAACGACTCACGCCAATTCGTAACGCCAAAGGCTGCTATGTTGCCTAAACAAACGCCATTCTGTCAAAAGATGTCATAGCGAAATATGCAAGAGCACGCACCAAAGTTGTTAACGACGAGATCATACTTCCGAAAATCAGCGATTCTGTCAATACCCGGGATATCTGGAATCCCTTACGATCCACCAAATTGCGAATATGGTACTGAACACGTCGAAGTTAGTAATATGCAGCATGTGTAACAGAGAGTGACTAACCTGATGCTGTCCATTATGAACAGAAAGTACACCTTTGTATAGGCGTACCGTCAGAACGGCGAAAATTAGGATCATACAGATACGCACAAAGCATCTCATCCAAGTTGGATCGCTGGAATGACAACTTGTTGTTAGGAGGCGAAACAAGCAGGGAAATCGCATTGTACGAACCTTCGGAATCGCGTCGAGTAATAATATACCTAAGAAGAGTATCCCTCGTGACTGCATTAGATGACAGCGAAAGATATCTCACATACCTGAGTGACCATAGACCCATAGAGCTGTGTTCGAAGCTTTGGTGAGAACGCGCTACGTGGAACAAGCGCCAGATCAACGAACCATGCAGCTCACGAAAACCCCGACCTAGGCGAGCCTACGTGTTAATGAGTGTACATTGAAAATTGTATGTTACAACTGACTAGAGCGGGCCCGTGAGCTGTAAGAACCCATAAGCAACATATTCTGCTAATGAACAAAAACTTACAGATAGCGATCGCACTCGTCATAGCAGTTCCAGTGGAAAATTCAGAAGCAGATCAGAGAGGGAAGAGAAGGATGCAAGTCGTATGTGCGTCAAGAGAACTTGAACAGGGTCATGCACGTCTTTTTAGACTTGAAATTCCGATGATATCCGCCTGAATCCTAGACAGGGCGAATATTGTGGCGGTAACGGGGATCAGAAGAATGCATCGCAGTGGCAGGGCTATAACTGGTTATAACGAATCTAATATTCTTAAGCGATCGATGACACATGGTTCATCCTGACCTTTGGAGATCCGGGAATACATCTCAGCCGCAGATGATGAAGTCACAACTATCGTCTCTCTGCTTGCCAATGATTACCGCCCTCCACACTGAAAGACCAAGTTCCACGGTTTGAACTGAGATACATCTGCAAATGTACACATCGCCAAGGATCGTGTGGTGAAAGACAAATGGCTCGAGGTTTGATCCTTGACTTCGAACGCAAAATCAATGATGGTGAATGGGGTGGCCGTTCATCTCGGGCTATGGATTCTTCGCGCGGACAACATGAAACAAAGGCAAGGGACGACATATGCTTTAGGACAAATTTGACCCTTCCGATTGAGATACATGAACACTCAAGCTTAAGGTAGACGTAATCAGAAGCCTGTGATCCCAAGCTCCTCAGCAATGATGGCCGCCGCCTTCTCGCCAATCGTCAGGGCAACGGAATAAGTATTCTGAAATGGCCTGCTATGAGTATGGATCGGGATATTAGAGATAGTCGAAACATACGGAGCTGACGTTCGCTGGGCAATGGAACAATCTGAAAGGTTAATGAGCTGCCTCTTCCTCGGCGTGACAACGGTGAAGTACATACCTGCGACTTTGAGACCTTGGGTACCGTATACGTTCAGCTTGTTGTCGACAACGCCCCCATCCTCTCGCGGTTTCATAGCACACGTACCCATAGAGTGGAACGTTGTGCCGGCTAGCAACACTCTTCAGTCGATAGAAGTTATCAGAGATTCTGGGGACCGTACAAGTTTTTCGTATCCATGTTTCGAGGGCTTTCTCGTCATCCTCATTATACTCCAGTTTTGGCGCGTCAAGCGGAACTGGCTCCTTGCTTTCGGATAGACTTGCCTTACTGCCTGTGGGAAAGGTAGGGTGAAGTGGGGCATACTCTCCTCTGAACGACGGAGCACGACGCGCCAGTTCTCGAGTGTATTTGTAGAAGAATTTCAAAGCCTGCACGTCAGCGATGCTGCAACAATTAATTCAGTAAGAAGTGATAGCAACAAGATAGATCAAAGAACATACTCTTCGAAAAAAACCGGATTTGAAATCGACTGGGGCACTAGCATCATCCGCTGATGTGACATGGACGCTGCCGCGAGCAAGTGGGTATGCCTGGTGTAGTTGCACAGTGTGAACTAAACGATATTGGAAACGTAACGAAAGAGCTTACATGGTAGCCGACCATTGCGAAGTAGCTCTGAGGTTCAACCAACGCCGAATTTCCCAAGTGGCTGCTCGCATTTTAGTACGAACACGAACGATCAAGACCCCAACTCACAATCCCATGAAGACCATCAAAAAAGGAACCTTGTCCGGGGCATTGGCCAAGTACTCGTTGTACCGCTTGAGATATTCAGGTCCCATGGACGCAGCTTCATGAGGAAACGGACGGAACTTGATGCCAACATCAACGCCGCTATGAAGGCCGTTCAGTGGAGGTCGATGGTTCTGTAGCTTGGTAACCTACTTCGAAGCCAAAGGCCCTGTGCGAGTCTTCTCCCATTCCTCATTGGCGGCTGAAGAAATGCAATGTTCAATGGGGGAGCACACACTAAAGGAAACCAGAGACCCTACCTGCCATAGCCTCAGGCTCGTTCCTATTTATTGGGTCAAGCGTCTGAGCCTCGGGATCTGCAACGTAAGTCGCAAATACCGAATTGTGATCTTAAACAAGGACATAAGCCACAGAGCAGGACAAGAATATGGAACCTACCCTGATAATTCTCTCCAACTCCGGGTAAGTCGACAAAAGTCTCGATGTTATTCTTCTTGAGCACCTCAGACGATCCAATACCCGAACGTTCAAGAATACCCGGTGAGCTAAACGTCCCAGACGATAACAACACCATGCGCTTTGCACGAACGACATGGTTGTTTTTGTCAGCGTTCGGCAAGAATCGTTGGTTCCATTGATACTCGACACCGACAGCACGCGTCCCTCTTTAGATACAATTGAGGTTATTGAGGAGAAGACCACCGATACACACGAAGAGAAGACGTACTCGAAAATAACGCAATTTACGTATACGTAGGTCGCGATGTGCAGATTCTTATTGTCGGACTGATTGTAGAGGAAGTTGTGCGCAACATCAGACCGCCTAAGACTCAATGAATATTAATCCCCATTGAACATTAAAGATCGCTTACTTCCCATCTCCAATCCACCTTGGGGAGTTCGCCGATAGGTTAACTTGTGTACTTACAGGGTTAGAACGAACTCACTTTTGGAGTCTCTGCAGAAGGCATGATGGTTCATAGGGTAGTTGAACTGAAAGACGGCGAAGAACGTACGACAAATTTGTTGATAGTTTTGAAGTCATTAGTATCGTCGTCGTCAGTCCCTGCTCTTTCTTTATCGTACTGCCTTGCCATATCTAAGTACTCCTTGGCGTACGGCTGATACCAACCGCCATAGCCGACTTTGATAGGACCCTCGTAACCATGCGTAGGATCATCAGGCTTGATCTCGTATGTCTCTGTCTGCAACCGAATCTCTTAAACTATTGAACCCCTTTCATCGACTAAATCAGAACCATACCTTCTTCATCAAGGGAAACAAATCGACAAAGCCCCACCCTGGATTCTGTATCAGAGCTATCAGACTAAGATGGATAATATCATTATAGATAGAACTTTACGTTGTATATTTCCTCCCAGTCGTCGTAGTCCGAAGGAAAACTCCGATTATACATCGTGTCTACACAAGAATTAGCAAACGCCAACGGCAAACAGCAAGACTCACAGTTCGTGGCAGACCCTCCACCGAGACATTGGCCAGTAGGAACTACAAGCAGGCGGTTGCCTAGAGCGTCTCCCCCATTCTCCATATGAAAGCGCATAGTGCTTGTCTCGGGAAGAAGATGCTGAGAGTTCCTGCCCGGCTGAACATGGTCCAGCCTTATCGTACTAAACTCAGACTGCACTCACCGGAGACGATCAGAGTACCTACATATTTAGTGTATGAGGGCCGCATTCCAAAACGAGGATCCTTAAATTAGGATCTGTGGCAGCAAGACGACCAGCGACAACGCCTCCAGAGGTTCCGCCTGCGCGTCAAATCAATCTGAATCGTCGCCTAGAGGGAAAAATACACGCAAAAGTCATACCTCCACTAATTATGATGTCATACTCATCGTCAATTGTAGGAGGAATGCCTTTGAGGGTAGTGTGTGGGTCCATGGGAAAAGGCGGGACAATTTCTTGAGCTCGACTCTATTTATTGAAACGTCGCTTTGTTGGGATTTGCAACTTCAAGCCTATGCCAGAAGATTCCCGAAGCTTCGGCTTACTCATTTGTCATGATACTTAGATATATTTAGTTACTTTTGGTAGAATATTCTAGATACTTTGTGTAGTATATAAGGAGCTCATTAGGAGCTCTAGTAGCTAACAATTCAGTATTATACCTACTGCAAGCCTCCCACTGCAATAATTCCAACACGCTTGCAGGGAACGGAATGTTGGGGAATATCTGCCTTTGATGGTGTCTAAAGAGAAATACAGGCTAATCATCTTGTCTTCTGGACCGGCCCTGCTTCAGGACAACCAGAGAAGATGAAACGTCGAACCGTTGATTAGGGTTGAAAGCCACGTGCTGGGTTCGGGCCGCTCTGGACCGTCAGGCTTCAAAGCCACAACTTCTCTCACTCCGTTCAACTTCAACGATGCGCAGCCCATGCCTCGCGGAATGCTACTTAGCTCTCACTGATTGAAGCCCCCCGATGAAGATACACATGTCCCGCCCATGCTCTCTTTGTATCAAATTATTTCAATTTTCCCGGCTATTACTCGGTTCTCTCCGACCCTTTGGGAGCATCATGGCTGGGTAATGTCTCTACCATTTACGAACTGTATCCGCAAATCAAGGTCAGCGAAAGTCGGCCAAGGGTCAATATTACTACTTATTGACCATATGTCAGTAGCTCCCACGTGGCCTTCATGTAACAGCAATCGGAATTTTTCTTACGAAGAGCGTTGAAGAACAAGGACCACGACACAAAATAGCTCATTCCTTGGCACGGCTGTTCTCGATTGCTGTAAGAAGTCCTATCACTTTCTGTAAGCGTTCCGATCCTTTCGTATGAAGGAAGTTAAAAATATGTCTATCGTACTAGATCGTACTAGCACATGGTCCTGCATTGGTGAGTGGATCCAAACGCCCACATGAGGAATACGCCCTAAAGGAGTCTCACTGGCAGGATTTTTTATCAACTATGTGAGATACGGGACACACATCCGACACTTCGCATTCTTCCGACGCTTTGGGCGCCCAGATATATTTCTTCCATTCTTTTGGGGCCTTTCAACGTATGAGGTTGGTGTCGTGTCGTGTCATCTCATGTCACTTTCCACTGGCTGAGCTTTCAAAAGCCTGTCCGGGCGTTGCTCTTTTGTGTACACCATGGGAATCTTAATTACTCATCCCGAATGGACGAAGGTTCTGTAAGCCTTGCCAGCTGATTTCGTCGACATCGTTACCCTCGGGTACCATTCACGTTCTTTGTGGATGCAACGAGGCAAGACACTATGTCAATCGGCTTACTTCCTTGATTGAAAGTCCTGAAAAAATGGTAATGGTCTATCGTTACTGAGGGGTGCAGCCTCGCGATCAACAACTTCAGTTCGTACTGATGCTGGTTGTATAAATTGGGTCACGTTTGGGGAGCTCAAGCACATGTACACTTAGCAACGCATCTCAGATGAGTAAGCGACTTCTCCATGATGGTCCCGTTTTATTTTCCGACTCGATTTTCATTTACACCTTCTTCTCATGAATACGGTAGTTCTATGACGATTCTTGTAGAGGAACATACGGGTACTTTTATGGCCGACGCCACCTTGATGCTGAAAAGCGATCAAAACCGGACTTGTTGTGTCTACGCTCTATCCCACAGGTGCGAGTCCTCGCTGCGAAGACGTCACGATACCAATCACAATCTTCCCATTGGTAGCTCGGCAAGTCGTAGTATCTCCAAGTTCGTTGTGCTCGTCATTTTCCCCGTTTCCTCGCACTTGTCACTGATGGTTTATTCCTTCTAGTATCCGACAACCTTCAAACCGGTGTTGAAAGAAGGATAACCGTGTAAAATGAAGTATACCTATTGCTTGTAGAGGTCCTCATTTGGATTCTGTGGCCTCTTTGCTTTTGCTTGTACGTTCCAGTGCATTCTACAGGGAAATCCTTATACTTGTACTTACTCCCTCGATCCTGTAGCTTCTGCGCTCCGTCGGCCCACCGACGTTCGCGCAAGTCACCGGATCTTCAAGGGCCAATGGAACTATTTATAGGTGATGCGAGAGGGTTTCTGTCGCAGCAAATCAATGCGCAGTTGTGCGAGTAGAGGCCAGCAGGCAACTATTGTCGTAAGTGTTGCGAATTATTTCCACATAGGTTCTATTTTTACACCAGTTTAGCGACAGCTATTAATAGCGCTAGGCATCGACGTATAAAGACTCGACGTGGTTCTTCCAGATATCGTGTGCTTCCTCGTTATTCAATGATGTTTCCGGGGATCTTTGTGGTTCTCCTTCTATTGGGCTTCGCTTCGGCAACAGTCCATCATCTTTTTGTTGGAACTTTCTCGACCTATGCAATTTATGCCTTGGAGTTCGACGACGAGTCCTACTCGCTGACTCTGGCTGCGAACATCACAACACCCAGTGAACATCCGTGGATAAATTTGAGTGTAGGTTCTTATGTATCTTGGGCTGTTCTCTTTTTCTAACCATACTCCTTCTGAAGCATGATCGGAAGAGTCTTTACGCAGCAAGCGGCACCGAGTACGGTTACTTCAATGTAGTGAACAGCACCAGCATCACGTACAATGCATCCGTTCCCCTTGACAGCAACTGTATGTTTTGCAATGTACATCGATTCTATGACCTGACCTCCAACCCTGATCAGGTTCATCCACTCGAGCCATATACATCACCTCTTCCAAGGTCGAGCCCTACACTGTATATGGTATGCTCCTCCATCCTATCGGTTTCTTGTTGAGTTTAAATTACGGGATCCAGGAGTACCCTTTGGTGACTGCGGAACCGTTATACCGGCCGACTTCTCTTCCATTACCCAAAACTACACCTTCACATTAGGTTCATCTGGCGTTCACGGTCTTGCTCTCCTCCCCAATAGCACTTATCTCTACGCCGCGGACGACAGTGACAACAAGATCTGGACATTCGGCGTCGACGTCGCAACCGGAGAACTGACGGATGTTGCAACGTTAGCTGCGCCTTCCGAAGGAAACAACCCCAGACACTTGACGGTCCATCCCAATGGCGAATACCTATATGTCATCTTAGAGGTAAAAGCGAACGAAACGTTCTTCATTCAATACTAAACTTTTCTTTCAGGAAGCGAACGAGGTTGCGCAATACAGCATCGACTGGCAAACCCATCAACCAGTTTACTCTAATGTATCATATTCTCTTCTTCCACCTGGTAAGCCCCCAACCCATCAATGTCTAAGCAGCCATACCCATACGTATGACCCATATACAGGCTCCAACGTGAGCACGCACTGGGCTGACGAAGTCCAAGTGTCTGCCAATGAGACTTACCTCTGGGCGACCACCCGGTCACGCGAAACCAACGACACCGGATATCTTTCCGTGTTTAGCCTCAATGAAAACGGTACTATCTCTGAACAACTCTTCATTACCCCCACCACGACCTCAGGGGGCTCCGCCAATGCTATAAGTCCCGCAACCTTCGCAGACGAGTTCGCCGCCATCACAGACACGTCTGTTGGATTCGTCGAGATTTGGCAACTATTGGACGACGCGTCAAATGCCACGGTGGTGGCTCACATTGACTTGATCGACGGAGGGTGCTGCGCAAATGCAGTGTGGTATGATTAAAAGGTCATAATCGTTTGGCTTACATAGACTTGGCGGCGGGCACCGCGATTAGTGTCTTTGCTTAAGTGTCTCAGAGCGGGATTGACGACACCACAGCCAACTCCATTATGTATGGATGAAACGTACCGATCTTCCAGAAACAATTCAATTCTCACGTCAGAGACTCCATACGTATCCAGTGTGAATCATGAACACGTTGGGGCAATCACGCTCGCGGGTAACAGATAGCAAAGCGGTACAGAAATATCGTTCCTTATACAACTTCCAACTGAAGCGTCGAGGTTTCAACGACTAGCGGTGTGATGCATAAGGTAGCCGATAGGATATATAGGTAATAGATAGCCGAATGGTAGTAGCGGATTGCAACGGAGAGCGATGAGATAAGAGAATGTTGACCTTTTAGCTTTTGTGGGAGAAATGCGAAAACACGAGAACCGACTAGTTCAATGGAAGATACCCATATGTTGCTTCAGGTTGTCTTTCCTACTGAAAGATTTGTTGCAGCCTTCATGTGGACATTGATGAGCTAAGGAGCCGTTAGAACCGATACCAAAGGGAAGACAGGTTATGTACGCACGCTTCTCGCACAAGTGCAGACTCTTGACATGTCTCTTCAGATGCTCGCCTCGGACGAAACATTTTCCGCATCCTTCGTACGTGCAAACGTATCGCCTCTTGTTCTTGTTGGGAGCACCCGCTTTCTTCACGCCAAACGGGATGGATGGGAGCACCGTGTGAGACTCGACTTCAGCCTGGTCGTCTTGACGGAACTCCGAGGCGACAGGGACCTTCCTTCCGCGACTTTTCTTACTTCCATCCGCAACGAACTGTAGCTCGTCTCCACTGTCGTCTTCCTCGCCAAAATACTTCGTCGACCTGGTCGACCGAGCTCTCTTCCTAGGGTTCGAAGGTCCTGGACTAGGGCGATAGACCGAGTCCGCATCCGAATCGTCGTCGTCTTCATGATAGGAGAATTCCGATCCTGACCGCGGTGAATCGCTCGGAGATTCCGCGTAAGAGTTAGAGGGTGGGGACGCCTGCAAGTCAGACTGCCATTTACGTTTGTTCCTGGACGGCGAGAGGTCCTGATGAGAAGACTGTGCGCTCCCTTTCGCGAGGTCAGGTCGCTGCTCCGGAAAGGACGGAGAAGATGTTGAGGACGATGAAGACGATGTGAGGTCTGACATATTAACGAAGATAGGCGGTATCGATAGTTGCCAGTCGGAGTCCGGCTCCAGTGAGGTGGTGGGTGTCGCGCGAGAGTCTAAGGGAAGTTCCGACAGAAATGGCGATGGATGACCAGAAATGAGGGGCGAGTTCGCCGTTGACAGGATATAAGGGCTATGTCCTTCAGTGGAAAAGTGGTCGTCTAAAAGCGTCCGCGGGAAAGAAGCGGTGTTTGGAACGGAATCAAAGTGGGCGGGATAGTCGTATGGATAGTTTTGAGAAAACGAAGCAGCTGAAGCTTGAGTTGGAGTTTCTGCCTCATATTCCTCATGCCAGGAGGAAGGGACGCTCTCCATCTGCAAAGGGTGGAAGTCAACATACGGATAGGCATCCATCTGCATAACGGTAGTGGTGGTAGCTGGTGGAGGCGACTCGAGACAACAGAGGAAAATTCCGCTCTTTTTGAACAAAAATTCCACGAAAAATAGGGGAACCTCGATCATGTCTTATTTTTGGCGAAAAACATCCTGATTTGCCTGAGATTCCGGTCCCAGATCCAGGAACATATCCGAAAAGTGCATAATATATTTCAGGCGTCGTAAGACGGCTGGAACTGGGGCGCGTCAATGGAATGCTTGAAGAAGCCTAGCAACGACATAAGATACACCCACCTGAGGAATTACCGGTCACCAATAAATGCATGTGGAAAGAGTAGAAATAAAACAATTACTTTTTGAGTCAATGCTGTTGTTTAATAGGAAGATTCTTGAGTTAGTGTCAGTGAGTCATAAGGGCGGGAAGGAAACCGGTGTTCCTTTTTGGGGATAGCGCCTCGGGAGCACTGCCACAAGCCTCTTATTCCGCCTTCATCCGTTCACCCGTGATTATTCGTCTTGGCTTATTCATCCTGTTCCGAGAAATAATTATCTGGAAATGGAGGGGACATTCTCTATGCAGCCCTGCGCCTTCCTTTCGATATCTTACGACTGTAGTACGCTCTGTATCTTGAGATTGTGTGTCTAAGATCTGCTACGCCGTTGCATTTCACAAGCTCATCTCCGCAGTAGAGCTGTTCAACTTCTATGAACTTACAGGCCTTTACCCTGAAACCCAAAGATATGTTCAGATCTCAAGTTCAGTATTCCTTAGATGTGTGATCTGGCCGAGACTGTGATTAATGTCCTAGTCCATAAAATATACTCTGCTATGAATCAGAAGATAACTGGCGTGGCCCTCCCAGAATTTGGAGTAGAGGATACTGATCCTCTACCAGGCGATGGAATGTCACCTCGAGGATCCAACAGATACGCCACAAGAAACTTTCTCCACGATGTCTTAGACGGAATAAAATGACCTGCACCAAGCACTGGTAAGACTCTGCTAGAAACCTAAGATCATAGATCTCACCTCCATCATGTTCCTCAACGCGTTTGTTTGCCGAGACACCCAAAAGGACTTTCGTCCATTCTTCGAGTACCACGATATCGTTTTTCCCGATGACATGCAGTGTCAGCGTTGTATACGTAGGGTTAAACACAAGATCTGCTAGCGGATCCGTGATCCTGTATCCTGCGATACAGACGCAAAATTGGCTAGGCGCGTAGGATTCAGGTCCGTTACCGCACAAGGGACGGAACTCACAATGGAGGATGAGGAGACTTGCCGTCAACGAGAAATGGAGGGTATGATTGAGGCTTTTCGAGCTGTTCGAAGTTCGTAAATCAATGACCGTAACGGAATCTACCCAGTGCATACCAATGCAGAAAGAAACGCTGCTATGGCTGCGCCTTGACTGATAAGAACATATTGCAGCTTTTCTTTACCTTACCAACATTCTGACGCCTACCTGAACCCAAATACACCCTAAACACGTAGAAGTTCAATCATATATATCTTGGTGATGACAGAAGGCGACTTACATCAAACTTTCTCTGTTTGAGAATATCTCTGAGTATCATGAGGGATTCTTCCAGTCCGATGGCTCTAGTGAGATCGCGATACACGTCATACCACCTTCTAGGCTGGCCATCAGCGGGATCAAAGGCTCCCAGCTCAGTTTGTGACCCGTTGACACGTAGATCTGCGGGCTGGATGATATGGGGAGCGTCGACAAACACTTCAGTAATATAGCTTGGTGAGCTTGTAAATTTCATAGCCATGCACACCGACCTAGTTCGATATCCTTGCCGCACTGTTTTCGAAAAGCTCCGAGCTAAGGAAGCATAATGTTACCAGCGGCTTCTCTCAAATTTGATTTTGCAAAAAAAAAACTAACGCGTTTGCTGAAGATGGTTGCATTTTGGGCGTATCTGTTCCACAGAGATGTTAACCAAACGGGCATAGTAATGAAGCTTAACGAAATACACGTACCCATGAAGCACTAAGATAGACCGTGGCATGATAAGTGGAGGTTGAAGGGAGAAGAAGCCGGACCGGTTGACAACCTTAAATACTCACACGAACGCCACGCCTGTGAAGAAGTAAATTCATAACGACCCTCTTCGCTCAATATGCACGCTACTAAGCCAATTCCAGTCTACATCGCGAAGAATCCTTCCATTTTTAATATGTATATATAAGTACACTTTGCGGACCTACATGAGTACATATACGCTCAGCTATCGATCCTGCTAGATCCACAAAAAGCGAAATAAATCAGGCTACCCTAGAAATATCAAAGCTGGTGTCACTGGGCGGCGGCGGCTGGACAACGGAATGAGGCCGACTCCCCACTGGGTTCTGGACCTGCATACTGTCCTTCCCAGTCCTCAGCGGCGCCTGCTCCAGCGTCTGATGGATCTGGTTAGGATACAGGCTATATGCCGGCGGGTTCATGCGGTTGGCATTATGCCCAGAAAGACTCACGCTCCCTTCATTGCTACCGGTCTCATGAGAAAGCGACGAGATTGAAGTCGCGTCGATATGATACGACGTTCCGTGGTCCGAAAGGGAAGCAGTGAAAGGCGTGATGATGTCCTCTGGGTTCAGGGACATCCCCTGTGATTCTACGGTGGTGGGAGACATGAATGCGGATGTTCCATGAATAGAACCAAAGTACGATCCATGACCCCCAACGTCGCTGGAGCTCGAACGCGAGTGCAATGTTGGTCTGTTTAGACTTTGTGGACTCAATGGGGGAGGCGGGTTCATCATGCCCATTATGCCACTGGAGTGGAAGGAAGTGGGATCGGACATTTGAGTCATCGCTGAGTTGGATCTAAGGTGTAGTGTAGATCGTGTGTCCCCGCTTGCGGGTCCACTGGTCCCAACTGTACCTTTAACAGATGCACGTCGACGATGACGTCGGAAGAGGAAGAAAGCAATGATTGCTGCGAGAGCTAAGGCGGCTACACCGCCTACAACACCTCCGACGATGGCACCGATAGGAGTAGAAGAGTTATCATTGTTGGCGTTGGCATCATCCGAAGTAAGATCAGAATGACCTGATGAGACGTGTCAGTTCTATTTTTTTTTAAATTGCGGTCAACTACAGCCCACCTTGAGAAGACAGATTCTTGGCATCTAAAGAATCAAACCGTCCATCGGGCCAATTCAGAGCTACAATGTGAACATATAATGAGAAGTCTCCTCTTCGAAGCAAAATGACCAAGTCACTAACGATTTTGGGTGGCCCAGTACGGAATAGAAGCCGATGGGGGAAGTTCAAAACCTCTATCGTAAGGATAGAACCTAAAAAAAATTTATGAATGGAATCTTTAAATTCGAATTCCGAGGAGATCTTACGTGGTCGTGGACAAGTCGTCATTGGGGCATTCAGTTTTGTAGTAGGCCCAGCTAATGACATTTAGCATGGTTCAACTATGTTGATGGAAGAGAAGACGTGCTCACCTCAGAATGGAATTCACGTTTCCCTGGCATACTGTACAAGCGCTTAAGAGGTTATAAACGGACCAAGAACTGCGCTCGAACATAAGATAAGATAATTGAGAGATATAGCTCTGACGTACCATGAGCACGGTGTCGACGACATGGTACCGACATTCGGAGGATCATAATGAGAATTGGCCGGTAAAGCCCATACACCGTAATCTGCAACCGATCAACACATATTAGTAGCCTAAAGAAGCCAATATCGACGTACGCACCGCCAGTCAAACAGGATCCCAACAAATACGATGCCAGCAGACAAGGACTCAAACCAGACTCATTGTCGGTCCAATCATAATCACTGGAGCAAGTTGCATTCGTCTGAGGCCCTCGTGGGAGTATTGAAGCTGATGCAAAAGCCACAGTCATCAGAATGACAATAATGAAGTGCACAGGCAGACCCATGTCTGTGTACGAATCCTGTCCACTGCGCTGCTGGAGGGTAAGCAGAAGAGACGCCCTGACTCCTGCAACAATGATGGTGGGAATATCAGATTGCTCCGCGCTTAGACCAAGGGTACCGGAGTCTGACATGAACAGCGTGGGCTCCATTCAGAGAACCGCATACGTGATGTCATGTTCAATTTTGGCTCAAGTAAGAAACCAGTCAACAGGCCTGGCGAACCAATTTTAATAACCTGGGAAGGGGCAGGCAAAAGCTGAACTCGCTCACAAATAAGTTTACTCGATAAATTCGGAGAATTTTGGGGAGCCGAGGCCTTGTTTCGTACTAAGTTCATGTCAACATTTTCGGATATATCGTCCCCCCACTCGGCAATTTTAATGCCCTGAACACGGGGTTCAGCCCGTGATGATCAATTGATGAATCATTTCATTTTGAATTCCAGAGAAAGCAATCTGAAAGTCACAGCATGGTGTTGCTTCATTTGAGGTTGCAAGTTGGAAGCCGTCTTGTCTGAGGTTGCTCCGGAGAATTCCGTAGCATTCCCAAAAAGAGAATTGATCGGAACAGGCCGACTCGGATTCATCTGCCGAGCACGGTCTCTCAACCTGTGACTTGACTGCGGTACAGACATCCGGTAGCATTCCTATAAAACGACAGTCAGCATGCTTGGGAACTTGAGGGATAGAATGTATGTTTTTAAGGTTTTTGTCTGCATATGAACATAACCTTAGCCATGTGCTAGATCTTTCTGGGCCTGACCTTGCGTAGAGAACGGGATAAAGACGAATTCTTGCGATTGACCAATGAGAACGAATACCTTCCGATGTCTACGCTAGAACTGTTCAGCCGATGCACCCGAACTTCTCACGTCCATGTACGGCAGGACTTTTCATGGCTTCACCCAAAGCCCGACCCCACTTCGCGCCCACTCTAGAAGTTCACATATTTTTGGAACGTTTTTCTCCGATTGCGGGTCAGGTGTATGACTTTCTCTCCGCTATCAGAGAGCCTTTCGGTTGGTACAGATGATAAGAAACCTGCATGGCAAGTGGGGCGATGCGTATTCTTTGATCTGATTTCCTTCGCGAGCAGCTCTCTACACTAATACACTCGTTTTAGTCCACTGTCCAGCTGCAAACAAAATATCATTGAGGTGTGGAGGATCAATCACCGGTACCGCGTAACTGATTTCTCCACGAAGTCCGTTACCGGCTTTCAAAAGGCGCGACTTTCTGGGATTCCTTTTCTCGTGCACAAGTAAGACCTTTACATTCAATCCCTCTATTGAATTCTGTCCCTGATTACATCTTCTATTTTAACTTCAGGCATACTTTAAGCTACGGCAATGTTATGCCTGTTCTGAAACATAACAAGTACATTGTCGAATTTAGTGATGCCGCAATCGGTATTTGCTCTAAGAAAGTATCATTCGGGAGTACCGGGTTCCTTCTGCTCAAGCTGATACAAGGCAATGCTATCGAATTTGATGCATCAAGATCAATCAAGCACCCTGAACCGAACCTCTTACTTATATTGACGGTGTTGATGGGGGTGAGTAAGATGGTGCGCGCGCGCTTCAATATCAACACATCAGAACCCTCTTTTCGTTGATATTCAGGTTGAAGACGTTTTACACGTCTTCTGGGTCGACAAATAAGTATATTGAAGTTCGTCACACGGCATCAATATTAGCTGCCTCGTGGCATTAGTTTGTCCTCCAGTATATCGGAGAACACTGCTGCGAGCCCAATTAACCAATGATCGAGGAACACGACTTTCAATTGACACCGTTGACCCCAACTTTGATATCGACTGGATGCTAACAACTGTGATCGGACCGCGGCAAGAAACAAGTCTCAGTAGGATGTTCAGAAATGGGTAAGAATTCCGTGATCAATTGACCTCGGATCCTGATTTTATTCACCCTTTAGTCGCGCCCGTTCAAGCAACAGTACCGCCTTTCGGAACAGGAAAGATACTGCACTGCTCCGCTGCATCATCATTTGGTTCTATGCACTTCCTCACATGGTCAATCTATCTTGGTAGTCGAAGAATGACTTGACACGTTCCACCATGCAGTGTATCTGTGATGCAATGGTGGAAATCATTCGTACAATAGTTCAAACCACCAGTACTCAGATCGCTGTGCTCACTAATGACCAGAAGGGGAAGGCAAGCATAGATGTCTCTCTATCGTCGTAGACCGTTACTGATATTTTGTCGGCGGTTTTCAGGAGACATGGCACCTCTTTCGATGATAGCGAACACTCATACTCAGTCATACAAGTCCGCGAAGATGATGGATTTTTTGACGTCCCGTGAATGAGGTTTCATGTCGACGGATGAGAAACTAACGAACCAACACGCGTATCTATTGCGATGCTTCGGAGGTTGTCGCGAGCGCATTGCAAGTTCGGGCCGACGGGCAAACATCTCCGTATGCCCCGGTCCAGGACATATGACACTCATCTTCTCGTATCCTTTCTAATACACTTGCCTAAGAAGATGAAAACACCTCAAACCTATTTTATAAGCCCTAGACACCATGAGGCTAATCGGACGTGAGTTGATTTTGATACTTTGGTATCTGCGCCCAGTTACGATCATTTACTGCTTAGAGATCTCGCAACTAGAGGCCACATTGCGAACGTTCGGATTCGTCTAGACCGTTGGTGTTCATGCGTGGACTTCAACTCGGACTGAGGCGCGCCGAAATTTTGGGCCAAGCGAGTCAAGAATTCTCCATCTAATAATTACGAGAACAATCCCGCGAAAGCGCGCTACTGTACGGCGAAGACCCAAAACAAGTTCCAGGCTTGTCAGATCCTGATCAAGTACCACGAGGATCGAGGCGCAAAGATCAGTGCATTCCTGATAATATTTACGATTTGAACGTAGCCGTTCGCTCTGATGATGCGATTGCGATGCTCATGATATCTGTTTTGTATTACAGACTTACATCTTGGTAAATGATATATCTACAGCGGAACTGTATAGGTATTTCTTGGTTCTAACGTACATCAGACTGACAAGACTTTTTTTGTCCAAGGTCCACATTCATCCTTAGGCACCTATGACTGGAATGGTTTCTGAGGCGATATGCAGGTCAGAGATATATCAATCAGTCATCCCGAAGCGATGCATGATCCAGATCACTCAGTCCCATTTCGGATCGAGTCGGCAAGCGACGCAGCGCTTGCGCTTGCCGATTACTCTTTGCCATCACCTGGCGGCATTTCTTTAGGACGCATGTTCCGAGCTACAGGGACGACGACACAGGTTCTACGTTTTTTTTAAAGGTAGTCATGAGATGCTTTATAGCACGCCGCGCAGCACTGGAAGTTCCTTGTACAAGGTTCTGCACTTACAGCAATTATGCTGCTCGGCAGGATCGATGTAACGGACAAAGGTCGAACCGATCTCGGCTCTTCTGGCGACGAAGGGTGTGAAATCTGGTACCGGGATCTGAGTTCTCTCGGGGCTCTCAGCGTACGACGGGATCTCTAGGCGCCTTGAACGGGGGTCCAGAACATGTCGACTGTAGAGCAGAATAACTCTTCAAATAAGACGTACGGCGACGCCTGCCCCTGTGAAGTGAAATGAGCAAGCAGGTGAGGCCAGGAGACCGTAAGGAGGATAAAGTTTAATGTCAATGCTACACTTTCGAGCTTCACATGTGGAACATGTATATTTTAAGAGTACACATATTGTTCAACATATGCACTTTTTTATGCTTCACAGTCCTTGTAGCAGAAAACTACAACGAGTGAGTGGATCCATGGGTAAACCATGATCACACAGACACATGGTAAAGAAGCTGGTGCACTCACCGAATTAGATACTTCAAACCGAGTCGGACCAAGCAGCGTCATGGACATGATGCCCGGCTCGTTCTTTCTGTCAGCCATTTTGCCTGAGTGCGGTTCAAGTTTAGCAGACCCATGGTTCACAGAGGCACACGATCCTGAGGCATGTGGGTCATGAGAAAAAATAGCGGGACCTTCAGCAAGGAACTAGGCGCACGACCCACTGCAAAACGACAGGTAAAGGTTTGAATTACCCTGGCTATCCTCACGTAATGATGGTCGATCCGGTCTCCGTCGATCTCGGTGTAATCATCAAATCCGGGGCAACTGAGGTCAGCAGTTGAGATACTTATAAGTATCTACGACGAACTTTTGCCGTCGTGAGTGCCGTTGTCATGAAGCTAAGTGTTCGATCTTACAGGAGAACCCCATCAAACAAAGAACGGCCCTAGGTTTTGTTGATCAATCTCAGGTCAATACAGTCAGTACGTGTAAATCTCCTTCAAGGAATTAGACCAACTTATCCAATCGAGGTACAGGAAATAAACTTTAAGGCAGGCATCTACTCTGCTAAAGCCTCTGCCGTAACTTGTCCAACAGCTACGGTCCAAGAATGGCATGGGGACCGTAAGATGACAAACATGAAATGGATTCGAGCATCAGTTATCAGATTGATGTTCTATCGAATGATGTTGGCGCAGAACGCAACATGAATCGGCACTTTGCTGTACTGCCGGTACCACAAGAGCTCTTCAGATAGAAACGGATCTGTCGACGCGAAGCATCCACAAGACACTTGTCCAACAGGACCCAGAAAGCTCGAGCACGCAGATACGAAATATATCTTGGTGCAGAACGTAAGTTTCTAGACCAAGTACGTACTGTACAAACGGGATGGAAATTTTCGGGTAATGATAGAAACGCTACGATTTCCTATGTCGCGAACTAGGAGCGGAGTAAGTTCTTTGATTCACTTCTTTGGGGTTCTGTGCCTTGCGTGGAGAACGCACAGAGATGCAACAAGATAAATAACACCGAAATGAAGATATAATAACTTGAATACAGATGCCGCGTCTTGTTAAGCCGTCACTCCCCCAAATAGGGATTAAATGCTTCTAAATCCACAAGGTTAACCTTTCGCCCAGGACCTTAACAAAAAGCAAAAATTAAGCATTCAATTAACAAGCCGACGCACACCGACAGACCTGAACTGCGTTTAACAATCAGGAACCTCTTCGTATAACCAATACCTCCTCAGCCTACCATCATACTCATCTCTCACGGGCTCTACATCTCCAAATCAGCCAAAAAAAATATTATTGTAAACGAAACCGAACCCACTCACCATTCGACAACTCCACACTAATAATCCCCGCGGATGCCAATCGCCTACAGGACTTCTCAATAGCCCCCCTAGCCGCACCGACGATCATAAAAGGCGTGTTCCTCACAAACGAAATCTTAAACACCACCCTCCGCAAGCTCGAGAACTCCTTCCTAGTGAGGGCCGCGTCAAGCTCGATCCACGGCTCCTGGTACGATAGAGTGGAGAGCTCGCATGCCCAGTTGATCACGATCAGGAAGGTCAGAACCTGTAGAGGGCAAGCGGTAGGTATACTCTGGAAGACGTTGATCCACGCTGGTAGGACCCCTTCGGAGTAGTTTGAAAATGAGATTGTCAGAGACTTTAAGTGTCCGGATATCGATTGGCTCTCCCGGCTGATCTGAGAAAAAGTCAATTAGTTCGTAAGACACGAACCCTCGTTAGAACCGGGCATACCACAACAACACCTCCCCACGCTAACATGCTCAAGCGTATCCACCGCATCCCTTAGGATCACCCTAATCCCAAACATATCCGAATCATCACAACTATCCCACTGCAACACCCTCAACCTCCCCAACTCAAAAACACACCCACTCATCGCAAGGAAGCCCATAACGCTGATACTCTCCATCAAACCCACATCCAACTCGTCCAGAGCAATCCTCGTCGTCGGGGCACTCAGGCTAAAACACCCCAACGAGTCATCCTCCGCAAGGTTCCCACTAACCGACAGACGCTTCAACCGCGGGAACCGTGCGAAGAACCTCGCTGCATCGTCATAGCTCGCGAACCTACACGACTTGAGATCCAAAAACGTAAGATTCGCATTCTCCACCGCTGAGCGCAAGGTCGGGAATCGAACAGGGGCTTTACGCCATACAATCTTGCTCAAATGCAGTCGGCGGAGGTTCGCACACCTGGATATAATCCCCGGCAGGACCTCGCTATACACGGCCCAATCCTTGTGGATCCGTGTCCCACGCTGAATGGAGAGTTCATGCACGAGAAAGGGGATATCCGGGGATGAGCCGATGATCTTATTGAAAGCGTCTACGGAATTGGGGCCGAGGGAGATTTTCCGGAATATGTACTTTCGGGATGGATGGTAGAAGGAATGGGATACCAGTGAGCATGCGCACAACGCCAGCCGGTCGTCTTGCAGTTCATCTATGATAAGATCCGCCAGTTCTTGAGGTAGGTCGACCATAGCGGTGGGAGAAGTCAGAAGATGGACGTCTCTCTGGAGAAACAGTGAATCAGTTTTATTGATTCAGAGAACTGAAAACGTACTCAGGGTAAGCGAGTCAATTTGAGTCAATATATAGGAGGTCAGAGCTGAGGCGCTAAGGCCGAGATGAGGGAACAGTGGATGTCTTACATAAGCCGGCGGGATGCATCGGGCTTGGAAAGTGGTGTGAAATGAGCGAACCCTCCATTACGGAAAAACATACAGTACAAATACAAATATCTTACAATCACTGCTCATTCACGAAAACACCAGCCATGCCCATACCAGATCCGATACACATACTGGTGATGAAGATTTTATCATTGTACTGCTTCGCGATATTCAAACCTGTTGCGATTTGTCGCGCTCCAGCTAGATTTCATCAATATCAAGACACTCATGAAACAAGGCGAGAACTCACTGCAACCAAGCGGGTGACCAATGGCAATAGCACCTCCATGCCTATTCACCTTCTCAAACGGAATTCCCAGCGTCTGCACGCTATACACAGCCTGACTCGCAAACGCCTCGTTAATCTCGAAGAAATCAATATCCTCCTTTGTCAACCCGGTCTTCTCCAGAACCTTGGGAATGGCATATGCCGGTCCGACACCCATAATACGGGGAGGAACACCAGTAGCAACAGCAGCCACGAACTTTCCAACGATAGGAAGTCCGAGGCGTTGAGCCACAGAACGACGGGTAAGAAGGACAGCGGCAGCACCATCAGACACCTGTGACGCGTTCCCTTTGTGATCCGTCAGCTACTCCGCCTCTTACCAAAGCCAAAGACAAACTCACCAGCATGCGTAGTCCCATTCTTCGCAAACGCAGGCTTAAGCTTAGCCAAGCTCTCCGCGGTGACACCATCCCTAATCCCATCATCAGCTTCCACGACAATCTCATGCTCCTTCTCCGTCTTGGGATCCACAATCTTCACTTTAATGGGCACGATCTCCGCTTTGAACTTTCCAGCCTTGCTGGCAGCAGCGGCCCTCCTAAACGACTCGGCTGCAAACTTATCCTGAACCTCCCGAGTGATCCCAAAGTCCGAGGCAACGTTCTCGGAGGTAATACCCATGGGAATCGTACAATCCGCCGCTTCCTGGTTGGACAGCACGACTTCGGAGTACTCAGTCATCGCGGAAGGACCGTACCCAAACGTCATCGACTCGACCCCAGCACCTACATTCCCGTTCCCGTTCAACCAACTTTAAACCACGAGGAGAGCCAAAAAAAAAACGCACCGATCCCAATATCAATCTGCCCCGTCTTAATTTCATTCGCGATTTGGTTCACGGCGCTCAACCCAGAGGAGCACTGCCGGTTAACGGTATTGATACTCGTCGTATTCGGGATTCCAGCATGGAGAGCAGCCATCCTCGCCGCGCTAGCTCCTCCAGAGGGAGGCAACACGTTTCCCACCGCGATATCCTCGATGAGCTTCGGGTCGAGGTTCACCCGGGTATACACGGCTTTGAGTACACTCGACAGGATCTCTTCAGGTCTCGTATCCTTGAAGCCGCCTTTTCTCGACTAGTACGAAAAACAAAAATAAGATGATGAACCGGGTGACGTAGCCCTTCGTACCTTGGTAATCGCAGACCGTAATGCGCTGACGATGACAACGTCATCAGCATTCTTTTGTAGGGCAGCAGTTCTGGCTTTGGAAGGCATGATGGTCGTGGTAAACAATCAAGAGGAGAGTTACCGACCCAAGCCTGAAATAACGCGGGGGAGATGTCGGTTTATCACATGTTAGGACGATGAGTAACCGGCTGACATCATCAGTATACCCGGTAAAGTACCGGTACTCCTTGTTTTTTTACTGTGATTTACCTCGCGGACGCCGGGCGTTGATTGTCGTTTGATTTGGCGGTTGACAGTGCACGTGTTTTATGGAGTCTCGCGTAGACAAGCGCAGACGCCACATACACGATGATGGAGGCGAGGATTTCAATTAAGCCACTGGGCTTTCTGATGAGAAACCGGCAAGGCGTAATTGTCGTATTGAAGGTCTTGGTGAAAATAGGAAACGCCGCATACTTCAGATAGGTCCTGTATTGTGAGAGAAAAGCGGAATAAGCGATGTTAATTTTTTTGATGCGCTGCTCGGCTTGACGTCGGCACACTAAACTTTACCGTCGGTATGACCAAAACAGGGTCGATTGCCGACTCGCAGCCATCAAATTACTTTATGATGGCTCACGGTACAGATCAACTGTTTATATAAGTGAGGATGAAGTACATCTATATGTCATTTTACGCAATTTTACTGTTTTACTGCCTTGCGCTTAATTACCTGTTGGTAACAACTCGGCAACTCGGCTCCAACCCACAACTCCCACCAGCTACAAAAGACACTCCATGCATCGATGCACACAAACCTGTACCAATGCAAACGCCACTGCGGCCAAATTACGTCATCCTCTGTCTATTCTTTCACGGTACAATACAGTCCAACCATTCCTCGCTTGCATCCCTGTGAGAGAAAAACCCAAGCTCAGGCACAACTCTAAAGATACATTCCATTCCAAGCCCACTGCTGTTATCCCGTCTACACGGGGCACGGGCAATTTAATCTCCAGACTCGCGTTAATGACGAAGACGAATCCCATGGCCATATGTTGCGCCACGCCCGTACCTAGTTTGAGGACATTGCGGCGTTGGTGGTAGAGTCGGGACAAAAAAATTTTGATATCCCAGTATAGTCAACGAGCGGCAATCCCAGGCTTTTGCCGCCGGTAGCAAATCAGCGCGCGCCTCTAAACGAATCCTCCACGTCAACTCAACGCTCAAACAGGAAAGCCTGCCGCCAAAGGGGACACCTTACCAGGATCCATCACTTTAGGTTTTGGGCGTGAGTAGGCATAGGTAATTGATGACGCAAGTACCGTAATACTAAGGTCAGGTACACCCAATACTGCGCCTTCCATCCATCCCCAAGAGCTGGCGAGGGTCTCGCAACTCACTCGAGTCCCAATCCACGGCATCACACCCCCACGCGGACTCCTTGATGCACGGATCCAGCACAACAAATTCGAACCACTCCAAATTGCCCAATCAGATTTCCATGATCCGTCCTCCAAGCTCGTCGTTCCGTTATCTGATGGCTGAGTTGTGAGCTGTGATCCTTTTATAACACATCAGCCCTTTCAAGAAAGTTACCCGTTCCCCCCCTCCCAACCCATATAAATAGGGTCCACTCCCCTGCGCGCGTCTATTCTTCAGAACCCGGGAAGAGGAGTGGAGTGGAGTGGAGTTGCGGTAGCTTTATGGCTGAGGGGGAACACGGCATCAGAACAACAACACAAGGGACGAAGCTGCTGTTTGTTTGAATTGATGCCAACACGCATGCGAGCTATGTATAAGTGACGGCATGCCCTGTAATCTCTTCGGCAACACGCAAAGAGAAATATATATACCCACCTCACCACACCGGCCGGACCTGCCTTGAGTGAACCAAACAGCGGGATGTGCATGTGCTTTCGGGATGTTCGTCCCGAGGAGGGAAGAAGGGAGAGACTCTGTGTGCTGGCAACAAGGAATAGACAAGTCGCGTCCTTGGTCGTCCTTGCGGATCATCACCCTCGACCGCGACGTCGATCAAGATCGATCGCATAAATCAAGGGATTTTCTGAAATAAAAAAGAGAAAAAGAAAGAAGGCATCATCAGGGAATCATTTCATGTGGGAGGGTCGGGTAAGCAAATAATATTTCAGAGATACGTAGACGGAAACGAGAGGGATACACATAACGAAACGAACTGACGACCAGGTCAACTGATAGCAAGAAAATCGACAGCGAGAGAAGGGGGAGATATAAATAATGACAGGGACAGGGACAGATAGAGAGGGACAGGGAGGACCAGCGGGTAAAAAACAGACTGTCTTTTTTCGTAGAGTATTGAGTATTGAGTATCGAGTAACGGGGGGAATAGATGATAATACATAGCCAGCAGCATCAAGCAACGACTTCCTGCTTGGGAGGTGGGCTCGGCTGGCGGCTCACAGGAGTCGAGATGGACTCGCCACCACCACCACCACCCTGTCCTTGCCCCCTCCTCTCGTCCCCACTGGAATACGACACATGCAACGGGGGAGGCGGGCTATAGGAGCGTTTCCCGCTGTCAAAGGGCGGCAAAGTATGTGAAGGCGGAGCAGAGGAGTACTGGTAGGGCGGGGACATGGGCGCGATCTGGTTGGGAGGAGGCAGGGGCGCGGGGGACCGGCTCCGCAGTGCGGAGGACGCGAGGGGGCCGCGCTTGTGTGGGAACTGTTCGGGGCGCGGACGGGAGTGCGTACGCTCGAAGAGACCGCATTTGTTGCAGAGCTGCCAACGGCGGGTTATTAGTTAGTGTTTAATGGGAGGGAGGGAGGAAGGGACACGTACAACTTTCCCCGGACTGAGATTCGACCGGCGCCAAGTAGACGTATCCGTAGTGCAGCAATTGAAGCACCGCCTCCTCACACGATCGCTCAGCTTCGTCGCCGCGTCCTCGGTATACATAATCGAGACGTTGTTTCCACCCGGGATGGGGTAGGGCAGCGCGAAGGGCTCCCTCACCGGGTTGAGCGTGGGGATATTCGGCATGGGGAGGTGGGTGTGCTGATTATGGTAGTCCCCCGAGGGCTCGTACCGGCGCGGCTCGAACGAGGAGTGGGTGGAGTAGTAGCTCCCCGTGTCGCGCGGAGGGGGGTAGTGCATGTTGTGGTGCAGCCGGGAGGGCTGGTAGACGGAGGAGTCTTGGTGGTGGTAGTACACCGATCCTCCTCCTCCGTGCATCCCCCCGCCGTGAGGCGGCGATCGGCGGGCGGGCGGGGTGGATACGGAGGAGCGGTCCAGGGAGGACACGGATGGGGAGGGGGAGTGCGCGATGGCTGCGATGGGAGGCGGGGAGGGACGCCGGTGGAGATCGTCGTAGTGCCTACGGTGACTGGGAACGGAAAAAAAAATTTGTCAGCGAATCCAAAGGGAAAAGGAAGGCGAATGAGGAAAAGACACGTACTTGGACGACATGGGGTACGGCTCTACGCGGTGCGGCATGGACCCAGGCGGAGGCAAAAAGTGGTGGTGGCGGTCAAAGGAAGAAGACGAGGAGTAAAGATGGTCCTTCTTATCGGACTTGAACGATGATGGGTACTATGATAGCAGATCATCAGGGCCGTGATTGGGCACAGTGAGTGAGAGTGGCGGCTTACTGGGTTCTGCTTACGGTTCTTGTCTTCGTCGTCGTCGGGGTCGTGGGCGGGAGGAGAGCGGGGAGGCGGGGAAGCGTCGAGCTGAGGGTCAATAGCAGGAAGACTCGGTGGAGGAGTCGACTTTTGCTTGTCAGAGTCGCGGGGATCCCTGGGGGTGATCTAGGATCAGACCAAGCAATCAAAGAATATAAGGAGGAGACGGACCAGCCAAACACGGGACTTGGGGGCATAGCTTGGGATGTTGATGGAGTGCGTCAGGAAAGAACCGTGCAGCAGGACATTCAGCGCTTTAGAAGCCGTGAATAATCAGAAAAAGAATCCGGTCACAAACCCAAACCCAAACCACCCAGTAGAGGGCAGTTCAATTGATTCCGTCAAACGAACGAACCAACTATCAAGATCCAAGCAACCAACCCCGCGTTTTGTTGTGTTTTTTTTTTTTGCTCCCTATGGTTCAACCCCCTTCGCTCATTCGCTTTTCCTTTTTTTCAATCTCCGCTCCCAATTAGGAACTTTCAAACGCCGCTTCATCTCCGCCGCGGTCCAATCTCCGCGAATGGATCACACGCTGGTTCGGATATCTCCAATCACCGAACTGGCCGTCTTTTTACATCATTCACCCCTTTTGCCGAACGCGAATGACTTTTGACAATGTCATTTCATCGGGATCGCACCTAATCACTGTGACCCTGGCCATCTGTTCCGTTTGATATCAATCCCTCTCACTGTTGAACTATCTTAGATTTTGAATCCCTCTGTATTGAATCCTGAACATGAGAACCTCAAGCGCTTACATCCAACCTAGGCGCCCCCTCCATTCCCCCCAAACAGCCGGTCCATTTCTCATACTAAAAAACTCCCCAACAATCCCATGAGCACTGCCCAACCTTGATCTTCTCCCGCATCACTTAACGTGTAAATCACACTCCCGTGGAATGATCGAAACCTGATTTCCATCACCACCTTCAATGAAACCAACAGAGACATAGCCTCAAGCACGGATTATCTATCCCTTCCCCCAACAACATCAGCTTATTTTGGACACAGAACCCAACTTGTTTCAAACACAACAAATCTGCCGGGAAGCCATCAGCTCGCGATGGATGGCTCATAACTCACTCGGTACGCTTCGCATCTGATCTTCATAATCCACCCATCAAGTATACGAATACAGTGCATACATCCTGCCTCTGGCACAGCAAGTACCTTTCTAACCATGTGCAAGCGACACAGGACACAGGCTCCCCTTCCGATTTTCCTCCCAGCGGCTAATCCCGGTGTGAGTTTTGCGTATGTGTGTATTCTTCCATTTCTTGATGGCACTTGTGCCTATAGTATACCCACGCTTCCACGCCTACCCGCGAAGGTTCAGGTTCCCCCCGCATTTATACTCACTATGAGTAAACCGCTGTACCAACTCCCGGAGAACGCAAACGCAAACACTCACAGTCTGAGTTAATCTCTCGCGCTACAAGATTATTATTTTATCCATACAGCACCACACCCAACCACACCAACCAATCTCGCCTCCCGCCTCTATTCGCTGTCCAGTGTCCAACGCCACACATAGATTAAAGATCCTACGCCACGCAAGAAGGTGAGGGGAGGACACGGTCTAGACACATCTCAGTCCAGACCAAATTTAATGAACGAAAAAAAAACCACAACAGACAAGCGCCTACTAATTACCCTTCTCATGCTAAGGGTTATTATGTTCTTCCCCCGGCGATCAACCAGCCCAGAACTCAGGTGAAGGGTGGTGCGAATCAACAGGATCAGAGGCCTTTCTCGTCGTGGGGTTTCCCGATTGTCGGGTGCCTTGGGGGGGGGGGGGGGAGGGTTCACTGGTATATTAAAATGGGGAGAGGGAGAGGGAGAACAAAAACCCATTCGTCGGTGGTTAAAATACCATGTATATGTTCACCCCCTCGGAATATGCACATTGGAGAATATTAAAAATGTTCATGTCGACGAGAGAGGGGGGGGAGAAAAAAAATTCATTCGTCGGTGGTTAAAATATTATGTTCCCTTCTCTTCACCCAGGGCCTCGGTATATGTACCGTACGTGAATCTGACATTTCAATTGGGACAAAGCGAATCCGAGGAGGGAAAACCACCAGTACCCGGCTCTCGGACCGGACCACTTATCCATCATGTCAACACCATGGACGCGCACCTCCTCCTCCCTACCTTCTGACCGTATCAAACCCAGGAACACCCAGACTCAAAGTAAATCTTCCGGAAAACAAAAACAAGAAGCACCCATTCCCAAGAGCAAACCCCTCCTCGCCCTCGAATCCCTCCTACGCGCACTCCAATCCACCACCACCACCACCCCCGCCCAAGACCCCAAAGGCGGGTGTTTCTGCCAAGGTAAGGTAAACCCTCCCTCTCCCTCTCCCCATCCATCCAATAACATCGCTCACCAGCAAGAGAACACCCCCTCTCGCCCTACACCCCCACCTGCCCCACCTGCGGGCTCGTACTCTGCACACTCAACCTTCCCCAGCACGCGTGTCTCTCCTGCCGCACCGCACCCCCTCCACGCAACAGAGATATCCTCATCGGGCGCCTGCAAGGTGAGATCGTGGACCTGACGAGAAGGGAAGAAGAGGCGCGCGAGAGGGCAAGGGAGGAGGCTAGGGTCGCTGCGGGGGCGTTTCCTTCTTTGAGCGGAGGGGAGAGGAGGAGTACACCACCACCACCACCCCCGCAGCAGCAGCAACATAAAGTCCTCTCACTAAACCGCAAAACCAAAAAAGTCACTGTCTCGTCGTACCCCAACACACCAGCCTCTTCGCGCCCAGACTCACCTGCACCCGAGGAAGAGGATGAGCCCCTACGCGTGCCGCCGCCTCCCGGGGAAGTGGTATATGCCAAGCGAAATGTGGACCGGGGGAGGCCGTATGCTAATTTTGGAGGGGGGGCGGCGAGGTACGAGAAGGGGAAGAGGAAGGGGAAGGAGAATGAGGCGGGACCGTCGTAGGTAGCGCGCTTGAGATAGAGAGGGAGGGGATGAGGGACACATGTGCTGGTTCAGAATACATGTTCTTATTTGGATAGTAACGACTCGAAGCAGCTCACAAGGAAGTGGGAGGGTGCGAATGAATGAAGGAAAAGGCACGCTCGACAGAGGCAGGACCTCCATAGTTCACGCGCACACGTACTCGCCACAAGAATGTAAAAAAGAACAAGAACAAGGATAACCGGTAACCGCCCAGCGAGAATTTTCAAAATCATATACAAGGTAACTAGATACAAACGCGGATGGACTCATGAGCACGAATGAATGAAAAGGCACCCTCGACAGAGGTAGGACCTCCATAGTCCACGCTTACATTCACATTCACATTCAATCCCTTCCCACAAAAATGCACACCAACCAACCCAAGTGGATTTTCAAAATCACACACTCGAAAAAAAAAAAAAACACAAGGTAACTAGCTACAAAAGCGGATGAGCGGGTGGTTATGAGAAATGTAGATCACGAAGCTGTGCGTGCAGATCCGGTACGGTTTCAGCTCGACCTGGAAGGGGAGGCCCTGTATTTGTTTCGGGGAGGAGGGGATCATGATGGAGATGTGGATGTGAGATGCAAGGTAGTAGGGAACAGCGGTGTGGCGAGGTCCATCGGTATCTCGTCTTCGAGCAGGGATACTTCCACTTCCGGCTGTAAGAAAGCAAAAGTTAGATAGACGGGGGGAGGGTTTAGGGCGTCTCACCTTCTCCCGCGGTGCTGCCAGTGAACCCGCGGACTCGGAGACCTAAGCAAAGTGAACAAAGAAGGTTTAGCGCAGTCAGTCGGTAGTGCCTTACAAGCTTTTCCGACTCTATCAACTCCCGGAGTCTCTGTCGTTCCGCTCGGAACGAGTCTACCTGAGCTGCGAGTTGCTGGATTTGGGCGTTTAGAGCTTCGATGGGATTCGGGGGAGGGGATCGGAGAGTCTCCAGCTAACAGACATCATCAACAACCTCCACTATCGCGCAAGAGAAACGCACGCACCCTAGCATTCAATCCCCTCGTATCCATCTCGATCCTCCTCTGCCTGCCGCACGTTGAGCTCTAGCACCCTCAGCGCTTCTTCCTCCCCTATCTGCATCCCCTCCTCCTCCCCGCACCCCGACCAAGACTCCTCCAACTCGGCTTCACGCAGCGCAAGCTGGGCTTCCAGCACCGCGATGGTGTTTTGTGCGACCCTGGTCGTCCGCGTGTAGGCTTTTCGTTCCGTGGCGAGGGAGGTGCTGAGGGATTCGATGAGGGCTGCGGCGTATGGAGGTGTCGTGGGGGGTGCTGGGGGGGTCAGTTCTGCGGGGTCTATATACGCCAAAAAGTCAAAAATCAATCATCAACCATCCCATTCTTAGACTTGGCTGAGCAGAGACTAACCCAGGAGACTCGTCATTCTCAACTGGCTACACGGCCAAGCAGCGAAATCCTTCGAAACGGAGACTACCAAACCAAAACCACATCTGAATAAGTTTTGGCATTTTTTTCCAACCTCCCCCAAGAAACAACTCACCTACCTCGATCCACCAACTCATTCACCACTTCCCGCATATCATCTCGCTCCCTCTCCGCATCCCTCACGCGCTCCTCACACACCGCCAATTTCTTCCTCAGACCCTCCGAGGCCCTCCGCTCCGCCTCGAGTTCCTCCGCGTGCGTGATCCGTAGAGTGTCGAGCGCTCTCTGTGTGGCGATTAGCCTCTCGTGGATGAGGGACGTTTGGATGGTGCGTATCTAGAGCGCGGGTGGGTTAGTTAATAAGTATGTAAAACATAGGCGGTAGCTTGCCTGTCGATCCTTCTCGGAGGTAATAGGCCTAGGGGTGGATCTCTGGGGCCCCATATACGTGTACGTATGCGATCAGGGAAAAAACGTGAGGGTTTCATTAACATTAAGCGACGCGAGAATCGTTGTCCATCGCAAAGGGGGAGGAAAGGAGTCGGGAGTGTTTTGTTGATAGGTTCCAAACACTAGCACCGCCACCATCGTAGATTTTTGATTCCTCCCCTGTCAAGTTGACTACGAGCTGATGCATGATGACGGTTATGATGGCTGCCTTCTCTTTAGCTGCGCCATCATGAACCTTGTAATTTAGGAAAATTAGTTGGGAAATTTTACTTGATAGTAAGACTTGTGCCGGAACATTAGTTAACGAAATACAAGGGACGAACCTAAAAGTAATCACGCGTCGCTAGCCCATGTCCAAACCACCGATACCCGCAAGGAAGAACGCTCCATAGGAACTCTTCTGAGCGTGAAAAAACCACACTACGCACCGAGATACCCGTTCCAAACCGTCTCCGCCGGGTCGTGACGTCTTATCCCACCAACAGCAGGGACGTACTTTCCAAACGCGTGATCGGACTCAGCGTCGCTTGGAGGTCTCGGAGTCGTTACAATTTGTTCCGGTCCATAAAATTAATTATAAAACGCACTAGACACGGCTCTCAGAAAGATCCGGAGAAATTTCCCATGCTAGAACCACACATCGTACCTTGCTTAATGAAGGGGGCAACTTAGTGCTATTCAGTTTTTTTATTTTTTTCATGATGGCGGAGATATCCCCCCATCATCAGGTCAGTGGGTATTGGAGATCCCGGTGGTTCAGTCTAGATAATGGGTTAACCCGGCCCTTGCCAGATTCTGGAGCAGCTGCTTATCACAGAAATCTGATCTTTTTAATTTACGTGAGAATTGTCCGGTGTGCTCAGGAGTCAGGGTGGGAGGCGGAAAACGGAAAACAAACTTGTTCACTTGCACCGTGACCCGACTCGACCGAGGTTTCCTTTTGAAGAGACGGTTCTCAAATCTCTCCTTGCCCTTGCCGCATTTTGAACGAGGCCTGAGGTTTGTAGCTAGTGACTTACAGGACCGGGCTTGGGCTTGGGCCTGGCTTTCAAATCCGCAAGCCCGAGCCCTGAGCCAAAGCTCGGACTTGGGCTTTGTGAACTCAAAACCCGAGCCCGAGCCCTTGACACCAGGGCCAGGCTTTCGAAGCACTATTTGTAGTCTGCAGCCGTTTACTATTTAACCTTCTGATTTCCCCGTGCATCGCACTGATAGCTAGCAGAGAACTATTCGAGCCTATCTCTCCTTTGTACTAGTAAAAAATAATAATTCCCCAGAACGAATGAATAACTCATTTTGGGATGCGAGCGCCCGAATCAGACTTAGGGCGGAGGAGACCAATTCGGCCGAACCAACTTCCGAGTCCTTCATATAACGACGCAAGGAACGTTACGGGAAGTTACTAGCTCCGTCAATAACTCTGTGTCCTCGGATATTCCACTCAGTCACTCTTCTTTACTACCCGCCACAGTCATAGACTCAGTTTGTTTCCAGATCAGTGCCACATTTCATTCAAATCAAGTCTAATACGTTCCAACCTCCATTCGTCGATCCCTTGGCTTGAAGCTACTTGCAATCTAGCTGAGCGGGGATTTCAGGCTACTTATCACTTTTTTCGCTGAACTTCTATGTTGTGCCAGAATAGATTGATGATTGATGTACCCTTTCACCTTTTCCAGGGGGGAAATTTGACCTTGTCTAGCGAATGAGAACCTCGGGATAGCCTCTATTACGCAGGGTACTCAGCGCCACACCACTGAACAGTATTACCCCCGGTAGATAAGACAGGCTCAACTTAGCTCTAAATAGCTGGTCTATGTTTTCAGACCCCCAACGCCAAGAGACGTATTATAATCAGAACCCTCTCCTTCTCCCCACCTGACCGCTAGTAAATCAAGTCCCCGTACTGCATATAGGCATGACCGCCTCCCTCGATCGATCGTGGAAAATTTGATTTAGGATCAAGGACATCAAATCTAACACCGAGAAAGAGAAATAGGATCGAGGAAAACCACTGACAAATTTTATTTATTTATTAGTATCCGACTTTAAATTCCCCTCGACGTCAACAGCCACAACTTGCAGGCTTTACATGTATGCTCACCAGAATCAGACTTGAAAGTGTTAAGCGAGATAGGAGACCTCCAAGCCCGATGCCATCAGCCCTGAGATCATTTCCGGGGAATCACATCACATCACTACTTATCATAAATGGAGCAAGCAACACAAGCGTGACACATTTGGAAAAAGCACCCTGCCCTTTGAACATCTAACGCGAAATTCGTTGGGATCGTCTTATGCTAGTGGCAAAACTTCGAGAATCCAAGCTACTTACTCACGGAATAAATTTACCTCAGAAGCAGCAGCAGGAACAAATTAGTTCACCCAAATTAATATGGAGACAGGACAGTAACGGCACGTAGTCAAGTATCCACTCCATCCATCAATACCGCCACCGTCGCGCCAATCCACGAAAACGGAGAGGAACATGTTACATTAAGTAATGAAAGAGAACGATCTGCGCCGACGTCATTGGCGCTTAATTTACTGACAGTATAGCGTACTCCCTTCGTCGGGAGAGAATAAGCCTTGCACCGAGTCAACATTCGAGGAGCTCATACGTGCAGCAGTAGTTGTGTGGCGTAAGCATGCAAGGTTCTATCAACACCCGCTAATTGACTCATCAAGATCGAAGCTAGAGAATCCGGGAGTCCGAATCAACGGACAATGACGTGCGCAGCGCAGCACAAACGCACAGTAATTCGTGTCCTGAAAAAAAAAACATCCATCCATCCATCTGCTCTCGTTAAACTATAACCAGTACCTATGCGGTCCTTCAATCGGCGTCAAAAAACGTCATGCCTCTGTGCAAGTGATTAGGTCGGCTATGGCATGCCTGTGAACGCTTCTCCAAAAGATCCAGGCGCCATGTGCACCAGAGCGAGGACGACAAACCCACATTGATTTCCAGTGTGCTTCGCTCGCTCGATGCTAGACGCCGACTTTTGCCCTGCCTGCCTTGCCCTGATACCGTAAACGGCAAAGACTGCCCAAAGATGTTTTATATAGACGATAGGCGACGAGGGTACGTTGAACCCAGGGGCTAGTTATCCGGGACTTGTACAGCTTGAGAAAGACCCCCTAGCACAGCGCAGTGTTCATTCCCCAAACAAGCGCCGCACAGCAACAACTCGAATCCCCGTCTCTCCAGAAACGGGCAAGGCTGAGGGGTTTACCAAACCCAGCGCTTAAACCTAACAGCCTGAGCAGTACTACCGTAAGATTCGCTGAAACCGAAAATGGGACACACAGAGAGAGATCGAACAGCCAGCCCATCCATCTAGAGCTCGAGTCGAATCGCGAACTGGGATAGAAGCAGGCAAGTGAACCAACTTGAAGGGATGTCGGAATGCTACTCGTTAGTGGTACCGATCAAGAACGGTCTAGCCCAAGAACGATGGACGGAATCAGTCATCAGTCATCATTCATCATTCATCATCATGATCTACAGTACTTAGTGCGTTGCAGAATAATGAATTGGAGTCGTTGGCGTACCTGTACCTTGGGCCGTGTGTACGAGACTCGCCGCAATAGGGCGTGCTTGGTATAAAGTTAAGTGGAACGCCACATCACACTATCATGATCCCGAACATCCGGATGCTTTACTCGGAGGACGTTGAGGACGTTCCGTCTATCGGAACAACATAATAGAAACGGAGACCGATAGCGATAAACACACCTAAGGCGTCACCCTCTTTTCTCCATCAAGGTACATGCTCGAAATACATCGTATTCGTGGACTGATAGCGGTACAAGTAGTATAATTAAATATGACTCAAGTCGATAAATACTTAGCAGCAAGGGAAGTACAGTGGGCAGGGTAAATACAGATGGATATCCCGTTCGATAAGTGGTAACATGGATAGAAGTGTAAAGATAGTATAAGCGGGATTTATCCCACTTGAGGTCCAAAAGACATGTAAACAGAAACGAATGGAAGACTTAAAAAAACATGCCGATTAGAAGACCTGGATGCTTGTGGGTGCAGGTACACTTACATTCTAGATATCAAGCAGGGTCGACGTCCATACGCCCGCTGCCCTCAGCCTCGTCTTCTTCGTCAAGACTCATGCTGCTCAAGGGAAGCCGTACGCCAGGGCTGGGCGAATCGACAGGTACCGTGGGCGTGCCAGGAACATCGAAACTATCTCGCCGTCTCAAAGACGGAGGGACGACACTCTCCCTGCCGGCATCTGTTTCTTCACCTTCAGCAGCCCCACGTATACCTACAGTTCGCAGCCTTCCAACCCAAGCGTCGGCACGATCCAAACTATCCTTCACAACCCCCGTGACTCCGCGCATCATATCCAAACTTTCCGTCGCCAGCGTGAGTATCCGCTGCGCCGCAACCATAGCTGTACCCGTGGTCATCCTCCGATGTCCATCTTCAGATGCCATAGTGCGGGGATGAATACGTGGAGAGGCGGTTGGTGATTGCTGGGGAGAGGCAGTGACAGAAGCGACGCCGCGGTCTCTCTTGGGTTGATGATGCCTTCGACTCCTTCCCGCAGAAGCAGCAGCTACGCTTTCCCGTTCGTTTTCGCTTCCGGGGGCGGCGCCATTCCTCATTGCGGCAGCCCATCGCTTTGGCAATGTGAGAATGAAACCTTTCACGCGCTGACGGGCTGGCTCTGGTAGCGAAGCCCCACCAGCGTATTTGCCCACGACATCAACCACCTGTCGAACCGTGTGCACGATGTCTTGACGTATATGCGCGAGGGTATGCATGTGAACTTCTGACAATGGAGCTCCCTCGCCGTTTTGATTTGAAAAATGGCGTTCCTGTAGGGTTGCAGTAAAGTTTCGTAGAACGACAATTTGGGCGTCAATGTGAGCGGTAGCATACTGGGGCAATGTAAGTATCATGTCACCAGAAATCATTAGAAGTTTTCACCTGCAACCAACTCAAACAATATCGTAACCGACGTAGACTTTCTTCGCTCAAGGCTGCACTTAACCCTCCCGCTTCTAGCAGCACAGTGTGCCATCTGCTTCTCTGGGCAACTTGTTGCTGATCCCCATCCTCCACTGGTGCTTCAGGCGTCGGCGTAGGGGAACGCCGCTGATCGTAAGAACTCGTACCTGTAAATCTTTGTAAATTACGGAGGTGGGGAAACAGGGAATAGTTTACTGTCTATCCACATCCCCACGCGCTTTGCATCGTCGCCTTCGGCTGAACACGACATGCTTACGTCTCTGTCTGGCGATGGCGATTCTTGACGCGTGTTACTTCGCCCGCGTCCTCGTGGACTTTCTCCATCGCACGATGGCCGACGATACCTGTCCAGCTGAGAAACCATAGAGAAGAAGAGTCAGTGAACTGTTCATCTCGATGATAAATACAAGAATGAAACGATTGGACATGCGTCGAGCCCCTGGGCTTTACAAGATCAAGCGCCCGCACAGATGGAACAGAGTCGCACGCTGTCCTCCGACGTCCCCCAGGAAGGGGCATTCCGAAATCGGGAATGATGAAGGCTGATCAGAGTAACATACAGCATGCGCTGCATGACGATCAATGTGATATGCAGACTAGGGCCATAACAAAGGACCTTAGCATGTCCTTCATCGATTACGCGGCTCCCAATAATGAATAGAAAGATCAAGTCGTTCCCGGGATAGCCTGGACCATTTCGTTTTCAGGACAGCATTTTACAGCAAGTTTCGAAGTGAAAGAACAAATGTTCCAGCTGCAGATTTTGCGAGTCTGTTGATTGGCAGCATGGTCTGACCAATGGATGGACGCAAAGCTTGACCAATGTTGCACCGTCAATAGATGACAAGCGGAAAATCAACATTGAGAACAGCCTTTAGTGTTTCTGACGCTTCGAAACATGCTGCAACGGTCTGAGAATAAAAGTGATCCAGGGTCGTCCTCGGTACCTGAAGAAGTCCTACGGATCGCAGAGGACATGTTCCATCGAGTTTTGTTCACAACAAGTTTCGGAACGTTAGAGAAGGCATCTGATTGTGGAAGATTGGACGCGTCCGAAGCAAGGATGCAGAACGCGTTCCACAAGTCTGATGCGGGAGGGCGGAGTTGCACCAGCAACATTTCACATTTAGTGAAAAGAAAGGCCCCGAATTGAATAAAGCTGGGATCATCTCTAACGCTTCGAAACTTGCTGCATCCAGCCGGTGGAATCCAGACATGCTAAGGCCCTATGCTTCGCCCATGGAAGCGTACCCGTATCCGCAGTGTACCACACGCGTGTCTCAATGGAATTCCACTCACCCTGTCCAATTGCCGACAAGCGAACTCGTCCAGTTGTTCAACATTCACTGGTAGCCGGTCAATGACGGGCTTCGATATCGTCTTCACACCTGATTCCATCATCTCGGCGCCATACTAGCAAGACACAGGGTCAGTAGCAGCACCATACGAACAGTGCTTCGTGACGCACCTTGACGACTCTCGAGCTAGCCTTCCCCTGCTCGTACGCCCTCAACGCGCTGTTGACCAGCGGCAGGTGGGACATCCGCTTCACAAACTCGGGTTCCAGCGCCCCTCCGCCTCCGTACATTTCGGTATCGATAGAAGAGATCGTCGGGCTAGGCAGAGACGTCGGCGGCTGCGACGTAGAAGCCACCGAAAGCGCAGGAGTAGCTGCAGACTCTATCCAAAAAATGGCCGTCAGAAATCAGGCTACAACGTGAGATAAAGACTCACGAGTCTCTCTGGGCGACGGGTGCCCGTTTCGCATGTCGCCAAGGGCCTTGACGGCAATTCTGACGTTTTCATCTTGGTCGTCGAGCAGTGATGAGCTGCTGAGTGAGTCGGAGGTAGCCATGGGAGAAGGAAGAGAAGGTGGTGGGTCGTATTTATCTCCAGGGCATGTGAATACGAGGAGAAACACGTGCCGTTTGAGCCTCGGCCTTTTTGCAAATGGAAACCCCGCAATTAATTAATTAATATTTCCCGCGAGACAATTCCTCGATAAAAAGTCGCATGGGGGACACCAAAGACGTACTGGCACATTTCGCGACGGGAATGAACGAAACGGCCATGACATCGCACAAGTTTGAACGGTTGACAGATGGAAAGGTGAAAGAAAATTCGGTTACCCCGCGTTACTGACTTTCTCAATTAAGGTTGACAGATTTGCCCCGGCAGGTCACCGAAAAGAAAGAAAAATTTATCCCAGAGGTAAAATATGTACTACTGCTACAACATTGCTGGTATACACATTACAACACCATTTACTGACAATTCCGATGAGAAAGGTCGTTGAAGCTGGTCAAGTAGGTATTCCAATCGTCCATCCTAAAAATGATACTTGAGACATGGTTGCGGCCAAAGGAAACCGAGAAACATACTCAAACGTATTGGGAACACTGTTCCACATAGCCATAGCACGGTCGTCCGTCGTCCACATGCCTGCCATTCCCTCCGGAATCGGTTGGGAATCGTCCGCCGTAAAGAGATCACTGCTGTCGTAATAATACGTAGCCTCCGCCGCTGTTGGCATGCCAGTAGGATTGCCCCGTCCAAGTTCTGCGCTGTTCATGGGTAAAGGAACATCATGAAGTTGTAGAGACTCCAGAGGTACGTCTAGCCCAAAAGTCTGCAGCGGAACCGAGTGTTCGATAGGCCAATCGAAATTTGACACGTCCTGCGGACCATCGGGCAAGGGGTAAGGTTCAGAGGAATACCCAGAGCTTTCGGTGCTTGTTTGCTCTTCATCTTCATCCTCGTCTCGCCCTCGCTTGTTGCTAGGGGAGGGCGTGTTGTTGGGCAATGGTAAATCACCCACAGATGCCAGTTCGTACAGGATATCCCTAGAAAATATGAGGATAGCCATTAACGTCTGTGTGAATAAGATCGTACCATAGTTGTCCAGCAAACTGCCACCTAGGACCACCATTAGTATACAGGCATTACTATCGGAAGCACTGACAGACCGTGAATCCAAACTGCGCAGAACCTTCATACACTTGTGGACGTCGTCCATCTCCTTGTAAGGGTCCAAGGACAAGCCTGAGCGTTTCCCGCCCCAAATGTTGAACAGAAGAACAATCCCAGCATCAAATGCCAGTAACTGCCGAAAAGGTCAAAACGAACAGAAACAGTATAACAAGAAAAGGACATACACCAATGACAGGGACTACTCCAGCGCGACGACGCTGCAGGTCTGCAATATGTGAAGACGCACGAGCAGCGTTGGTACATATCGCAAGTGAAGGAAATCGAAAATTTGAATCTTGTGACTTTGTAATAAACGGCCGGTGAATTAGTTTTTGGAGGTGATAGTACAACATATACAACGACGCGGATTGATTGAAATGAACTAGATTGGCGCGATTCGGATCCCATCGTACTGCATAACGGTGAACAAAAGATCAAGGACGATACAAGGAAGCGTACGATGTGCAGGGATTGTATCAATCCATTTGTTAAGTGCTGAATCTAGATCTGCAACCACCTCAGATTCCCAATTCGGGTCAAGAAAACCAAGCAAGACTCTTGACTTCTTTATCGAGTACTGTTCAATGGTCAGCATACCATCTATCATTTAGAAAAAGGTTCACGTACGATCGTGCGCAGACAGAAGGTCAACAATCGACTGAGTCTGAGGCAGCAATTGAAGTATGATACCACGGATGGTTTTCCAGCTGGCTGTTTGAAAGCCTGGTTCGGGTCAGCGGCTTCCCAATACTCATCATCACATTCGGTAGGGAGGTCGATGTCGATTCTAATACTAGTCGTGAGCAACATGGCAACAGGGAAAGTGACAAATAAAACCCACTCTTCATCGCCCAGAGCGAGTGGCCGCCCCATGAGAGAACTAATCAACCGATCCATATAAATGAGACTCCTGCCATGGAATTGAGGAGAGAATCGGTAGGATGACGAGAGAGAAAATCCTACCAAAACGCCCTCTTCCACATTTCAGCCTCGACAGTATTGGGTGCGTTGTTCGCCTTCCGTCGATGGCCGCCCGCATCCTGAGCCAACCGAATGCCAATCCCCACGATAGTCCACGACAGCTGAAATACCGAAGAGCCCATCAGAAACTCCGAAAAGAGCTAAGTCATCGATATAAACGCTGTGTAGAAGACGATAACCAAGGTGACTCACACAGAGGACTTGCAAGTCGTACAATGACGGCGCGCCTAATAACGGTTTGCAATTACGAGTATCCATCACTTGATGAACCCATTTCCAACCACTGGACTGCTTCGACTCCTCTCCTTCGACCAGAACGCGCGGATCATCCGAATACCTCGATGACACAGCACAGACTAGCAAGAGCAAAGAAGCAAGCATGTGATCCCGGAGGTACTGTTTCTCTCTAATCAACTTTTCGAACGTCGGTCGATGTAGGAGTGGGACGAGGACATTAAAGCGTTCAAAATAGATGTCGACCAAAGACCATATAAGATCATCAGGAGGAAATGTGAATCCTGCACCAGTCACAAAATGATCAAGCTGGCCCGTTTTCCAAGGACGTGTCTGCCAAAACTCCGGCCTACCGCGGGGGAATTGGAAAGGATCGTTCTCTCTAACCCCATACTTGAGTTCCACGGCCGATTGGATCAACTGGATGCCACTTGATTTACCCACGTATCGAAAGCCCATGGTTTGATCCTTATAGTGTTCTGAAGCTTGCTCCAGGAAAACGTGCTCGGGTTCTATAAGGTATTTGTGTTCTATTTCGGTGGTGAAGTCCTCAACGGTGCCGGCGCGTTGCGGCAAGTCATCACGGTGCTTCCAGCTAGACTTGTCGTCTAGAAACGCTTCAAGCTCCTCTTCCGGTAGCATCTGCGCCGAAAATTCAGAATCAACTTTGATGCCGAAAAGTACACTTACCGCATGTAAGAGTTTCTCCATCTTCTGTACCTTGGTCTCCAGCTCAAGTACGTACCTGATGAAACACAGTGAGCGAGACTCGTCGAAGATTTCAGAAGCCCAACAAACTTTTTAGACGGCCCTTTTTTCTATCGAACGATTCGTCAAAATACCACATCTACGTTAATCGCATGCCCGTACATCGGAAGATATAAAGTCACCTTGGCCTCCTCAAGATAAGTACAGGAAACATTAGCAGCGAGGCATATCGAGCATCGTTGGTCGGCCATGGACATTGCGTCGCCTAGGTCGATACAAAGTCAATCCATGTTGGTAATACAGCACAGGTAATTCTCACATCTAACTATAGCACAGCGTGGGTTAGCTAACGTATTATAACAACGAAATGATTGAAACACGCACTTTTCTTTCGTCTGCACAAGTCGCACGCTCTCTGCACCCGCCGTTTCTTGGTTCCCCCATTTGTTGTCACCTTGGCGCCACCACTGTCGCGCTCCAAATCGTCAGCCATAGTCGTATATGTCGTTCAAGTGTGCCTAATTCAGAAGGAGTATTTCGAGGAGCATTGGCCGCGGAAAATAGACGAGTTGATATAGTAAAAGTACAGGTAACAGCGCCGTTTACTCAGCATCTTTACTGAAACTCCTATCTCGGCAGGACAAGGAAAGCGATTCCAGCGGTGCCACGTCTTCGGCCGGACTGCCTACGTAAGCAGATCTGTGCCGAAGATAGCTCCGACACATTCTCAATTTGTCGTTATGACCAATTCTACTGGCTAGTACGTACCCAGAGCCTAGTCGGGTGTTTGACGCGAGGACTCTAGTGTGTCGCTAAGTATTAAACTGGTCGTACTACGTGCGCACGCTGCCGCAAATCGCGTATTTGGCTGAGGTATGATGCTACTCCGGTGATCGCAAATTGGCTCTGCCAGATTGTACTAGTTCATTTCTTCACGAGCTATTACTCAAGTTCAAGCGCGCCTGCTCACTAGCATCATGACAAAGCCATTTAGAAGATTGCACGTACAGTTTCTATGGTTAATTCTCGTATATTTCTAACTTTTTCTGTGTTCAATTTCAGGGGATTCAACAGAGAATTCGCAGTGAATCCATTTTTGACTCAATGATCCCACCGGCCAGGATCACTTCGTCGTCGAATTAGACTATCGGTGCAAGGGGCATTTGTACATATATTGCTTTGACGTCAAGCAGTAGGGCCGGCGGAAGTAATATGACGAGTTCAAATACGTCAATACGAGCGTTTAAGCCTTAAAGGACTTACGACGCCCTTCTTTTATAAAGGCGTATCATGTCACTAGTGCAGCCACTGAGGTATACGGCCCCATCTCTTATGAAAAGCTAACTATCCTGGGCCAGGTTAATTTTTTGACAAACACAAGCTTAAAGGGCACTTTCTGCAAGTTCGGGCCGCTTACCCACACAAATTCATTTGAGATATTTCCTGGTTAGTACCCTCTATTCTCATTTTCAGGGTACGCTTACTCAAATTATTTTCTAAAGATACACGTATTCGGGGTCTCTGGACTGACCGGTCGCCGGTTATTAGAAGCGACTTGGATATTGCAAACGGGTCTCGTCTGGCCTAATTCTATCCCAAGCGGCGTCAAGTTTGACCTGTTTCGTGTTATCTGATTTATCTGCAGGTTCCACGCAGTTGACGGAGATGGTAACTTCAATTTCAGCACTGACCGATTAATAGAACAATGAGACTGACTACGAAAAACAAGGAATGCAAACTTCTTGAGTCCTTTCATTTAACAGCTCTTCTCGTCGCATTGGTATCAACTCCTCGGAACGGACTCATCTACGCTCTACGATTTGTCGGCAATGGGGAAATCTTTCCCAGTCATGCTCTTGTATCCACTTCTAATCGCATCAGAGATCTGCTCGTCCTTCGCCTGCTCCAAGGCGGATTCATTCTTCTGTTGGCCCTGGCCCAGGAAATGCTCCTGAACAAAGTCGACACCTGCAATGAACGCGAATCTTTAGTCGGCGATCCCAACCGATCTTGCCTCTGACACGGTATTCGCACCTTTATCAAGGAAATCTAAACAATCAGGTCAGACATCGATATACAAGCGTAGATGCAAAATACACTTGCCTTCTTTCTTCTCTCCAGCCTCTCCACCTCCCAAAGCATTGTTCAGCTTTCCCATCAAGCCACCGCTACTCTCCACCTTGTTCTCCGATTGTTGCTGGCTGCCGTGGGTAGCGTTGTCGAGCTGTTTCTTCAGGAAATCCATGATATGTATGGAGGAAAGGAACCGGTGCAGCTTTATGGCATCAAGACCCTGTTCTCCATGCCAAGCCTTGACGTCACCACTGCTCAGGAACCGGACCTCTTGACCCAAAAGTTAGAACGATTTTCGCTGATGTAGAACATTGTTGTCTAGGAATCGGGTTCTGAGCTTAGTGGCTGGACGAGGGCTGCTGACTTCCGAACGAGGTTGCTGATTTTCAACATCTTATTCGTTCGCGAATCGCGGCAGGCTTGAACTTTGCGGCAGTATCCGTCTTGCGTTGGAGAATCCTTGTACACGCTCTATTTCTGACTGCTAGTGTGTTGTTGTAATTTGATACAGGACACTTAGATCACTGGCGTTCATGGGTTCACGGGCTGTTCAGCAAGAATAAATATTATGTAGTCGCACCTTTGCTTTGGGTTTCTGTCGGTTGCCTGCTTGAACATTAGGCCAGGCCAGAATCCGAAAAATTTCAGAAATTCATCCAGGGGAGCAATCTGACTCTTGGCCCAGTGTCTACGATGTACGCTCCATGAATCGTCCCGGCATTCGGCCCGCTACCCCGCAGACGGGTAGATAGCGGGCCTTTACCCGGAGTACAGCCACAATTTCCCTTCCTCCGCTGACGTCGATGCTCGCGCTGCGACCCCTGGCGCGCCACGTTCCATTATTGAGTCGGCATACAGGCAGAATAGCAGTAACTGCTCGCCTTGCCTCTAGCCCTATTCGACGGTTCTCTTCACAGCAGCCTCCCTTACCGTCGTTTGCCAGTACGGTAGAAACCAGCAACTCGTTCACCAGACGCCTTTTTTATCGCAAGGATGGTACACCTAGGTCGAAGAAGCGCGGAGTCTTCATAGGTGCATAACTAGGGTTCCTTACATATCACGTTTACCCATGTTTTAGCGGTACAGCGATCGGTGCAGCTACTGTCGTCGTCTTGCTCTCAGCATTTGAGAAGTTGTTCGTCGTTTTGGAATTCCAGAGCGTCGTTGCTTGGTCGTTCGTGCAGTGCTTTCGTGTTGACAAGGAAAAATACGCGTCTCAGGATTTCTCCGATTATAAATCGACCGTCGAGTACTTCCGTGACCTCGTGCTTGTTCTGCTAGTGAATCACCATGAGGTTGACCAGGCTGTCGTCAATCTTGCTTTTGAAAAGATTGCGTTGTGGGAGGGGGAGCAGAGGGAGAAGGTGCACGGAGCATTTCGTCGGGCTGCGGAGGATATTCATAACCTGTTGGCTGGAGGAGAGGATGTGTTTGAGCTGGATTTGTTCGAGTTGGGATTCACGGCATTCAAAATTCTGAACAATGCCCTTGGAGAGGCTCTCGATGGCGCAGACGACTCACAGCTCACCATCGTTCTCAAAAGTACTCCCGTGGATAAGATGAAGGATTACGAGGTCATCGGTTAGCCTGATGGTAGTAGTGAGTACGCCTCAACGTGTTGGGCGCTTGATCTCTAACTAATTGTAACTCAGATAGTTGTTGGGTTAGATGGCCAGAATCCCGCTCTTGTTTGCCTGGTATAAAGACTGAGGCTCTCAAGGAAGAGGACTCTTCTCCCTGAAAGCGCGTCAATGCGTTGGGATAGAGGCATATCCACGTCGAGCGGCCTCCGTCATAACATTATAGGTTTCCCGAATATCAATCCAGTATAGCCTGTGGTAATCAGTCACCAATGCATGATTTCAATCTTTACCTTTGGTACTGTAACGGTTCAGCGTGGCATCATGAAATACCGCCTACAAGAACAATGGACCCTGGAAACAGCGTCCTTGGGCGTACGTCCTGGTCTCTCAATGAATCTTTGACTCAAGACGTCCCAGTTTTTGAAGAACAAGCCAATCAGGTTCGATGATTGCATATCTCTGACAGTTCCCTAATGGTTCCCCCATCCTGAACCCAAGCAGTATAGCGTCCCACGCCGCGGACCCTCTTCACAAAATTGTTTGAACAAAGAGGTCCGGAAATTTTAGGTGAAGACGACGCGATGCGAGGGTGTAGATCGGTAAGCCGCCGATTTTAGCGCGAACTCCGTTGATACAGGTTCAAGTACTGTACAGTTCATCATGCTCTGGAGGAACGCAGCAAAGGTGTTATATCTCTTCTACGAAGGTGACACCTTCCCTGGCCACAGCGCTTGTCAATGTGCAAAGTAAAGATCCAAATTTGCATCAGATATAAAGCTGAGTGTCGGTCGTTTGATGAGCCTCAGTAGGGGTGGCTACAAAATGATTTGTCTCGTCGTCCCCACTCAATGGGGTAGCCTGAAGTAATAATAGCCGGTACCGTTATTTATCGAGAGAGTCGGCCAGAAAGTTGTAATCGATAAATGGAGAAGTGTACGCGGAGTACGAGGGGAGGAATAGCGTAAGCTCGGCTCTATAATAAGTCTCGTGTTCGTTCAATTGTATCTGTTTCTTGAAGGACCTTTCATTTACACGAGCATGATTATTAAAACATACACTTCGCTATAATAAGACTGTCGTAAAAATTGTAATAAGCCGGGACAGAACGTCATATATGCACCAAGGCGGAGTAAGAACGACCGCAATCAAGATCATTACCATGAAATTCGTGCAAGAACCGACGACGGGTGCCTCCTGTTCCACCACTTGCGTGCCTCATCAAGGAAAAGCATTACGATACCATATCTAAAGCCAAAAAGATTTAAGATCATGTTGCACGGTTTACAGAAGAAGATGACTTACGCAATCGGCAAGAAGTAAAACTCGACGTCAACACCGCGCGTCAAAAGGACCTGTTGGAACCAGGGGATGTAGGAGAAGAAGCTGCGCGGGTTAATTAGTATAGATCTGAATATACTTTGGAAAAACAGACCAAGCAAGTATAAGTGCGGCAGCCATAGCAGGGAACAGGAAAATATTGCGCGTTTTGGAATTAAAGGGATTCTGTTGGAACAACGACAGTCTTCGTGTGCGTGTGGCAAGTAGATTGAACCACTGCATCATAACTAAATTGTAGAAATCTACAAGCTGTTGTTAACGAATGCTGAGAAAAACCAAAATTTGGCCGTACAGATAGACTGCGCTCTATTTGTGAGCTCGCTGACCAGCTTAGGGTTTGCGTCATAACCTCCATACTTGAGCCACAGAGCGGAAAACGGAATACCATGCCGTTGGAATCCAAAGTAAAACGCTCTAACGTTGATATTCGACTTAGAGAAAACGGTGATATATATATCGAAAGACGCACCCGACCATGGATGTTGTTGCTTCTATGATGCCTAGAAAGAAATAGGCGTGCAGTAAAAGTCTCCAATTGATCATGCGGTCCTTTTTGCGATCGCGAGGCGGGCGTAATAATAGATCTGCTTCAGGTTTCTCGTTCACCATGGACAACGCAGGAGAAACATCCGTGAAAACACAGATGATGATCATCTGGAAACTGTTCAATGCTTGCGGGACCCCAGTGAGTACATTCAAAACAACTGGCATGAGCTCTGAGAAACTACCTAAGTCGCAATAATCGTCAGGCAGAGGGTTACAACAGGATCAGTTTGTAAAAACATACCGGCAGGCAAGAGGTACAATATTGACTTGCGGAGGTTCTCAAAGCATAGACGACCATACTGAATTCCGGTGATGATTGCAGAAAAATCCGAGAGCAGAATCAAGTCCGCGGCCTCCATGGCGACTTCGGAACCCCCAGCTATGGCTACCCCAACGTCGGCTTGTTTCAGGGCCGGAGAATCATTGACTGCAGAAGAAAATGTGACGTGAGCAAAAGTAGCATAAGTTATAACTATTAGGCTTTACCTCCATCGCCTGTCACCGCAACGGTACATCCTTCCGCTTGCAACTTTTTCACAATTTGCAGTTTCTGCTGGGGAGTTGTTCGGGCAAAAACGATCTCATCAAAAGCAAGTGCCTGTTTCCACTGCGATTCAGTCATGCCGATGAGGTCAGAGCCGCTCAAGACAAGACTTTGCATTTCCGGGCATGAGCGTTTATCAATCTCGCGCTCATACTCAGCCACGGACGCTAGAGACGCGTCGTGTGGGAGGTCCTTAACATGCTTCACTTTGTCCATTGGCGTTGTGATAATTCCTACTTGTTGAGCGATGGAAGCAGCAGTAGAGGAGAAATCGCCTTCGGAATTGGATTTAGTAGATGAAACGTCTATGATGCGAAAACGGACCTGTAACCATTGCAAACCGAATTCCTGCCCGGCGTGCTGTAGCAACCGTGTGCTTGACATCATCTCTGGGGGGGTCTATCAATGCTACCAAACCTACTACTGTCAGGTCAGAGTTAAGGCCAAGAATACGATCTTCCATAGGGAAAGAGCCAGATTCGACAAAGAAGTCCGCCGGAAGTTCGGCGCCATGGATGATCTTCTTGACCATAAGTAGAACGCGTTGGCCGCTTGATGCAAATTGCTCCTGTGTCGCCGACAGACGGTCTGCGAGTGAATCGTTCACTGGTTCGACCGATCCCTTCGAATCCATTATGTGGCTACACCGGCGCGATAATATCTCAGGAGCCTATTGCTTTTAGACGGTGATAACAATGATAGTAGGACAAGACGTACCCCTTTGACCAGTAGAACATAGTCCGATAGCACATCAAAGTTGTCAGTGGAAGAAATGGGCATTGATGTAACCGGTTTCTCTTGGGGAAGTGCTTGTAGAAGTTTCATGGCAAACTTGTTCTCTGTAAAGATCATCAAAAATATCGAACATGGCTGAAAAGGAGAGACACATACTCGAGTTGAAGGCAAGCTTTGCACGTTCTATCCAACCTGCTCTGCTGTCTTCGATAGGCATGATGGTCTCTGAAAATCGAAGTAAACCGGTATCTAGATGTGTTCCGTGTCAGTGGTAAGCCCAAAGCCATATTCAAAATACATACCCGTAGCGTCACCGTGAACCTTCCGAATCTCTGAAGGTAATTCCTCATCTGCCTCTTGGAAACGCGCGTCGTTACAAATTCCCGCGACTGCAGCCAAAATCTTAATACACTCCCCGGTGGGCCCATTGTTGACTGCAGCCATCCTTGCTTCTGAGGCGGTTAAAAGCTCGTCCCCGACAGCGACGTTGACCACGGTCATTTTATTCAAAGTCAAAGTCCCTGTCTTGTCTGAAGCGATGAAATTGACACATCCTAAACTTTCAACTGTACTGAGCGACTTGCACAGGATGTTAGCTTTTCGCATGGCGCCAGCTCTAGAGGGCAGCTGGTAAGACTGACTAAAGACTACAATAATTATCACTCACATCACCGTCAGTGAAAGCGTGACGCAAATAGGAAGACCCTCTGAAGAACACTAAGATTAACAAAGAAGGTCGCTGAAGGATATTTCTTACCTGGAATAAAGGCAACAGCAACGGAAACTAGGTCAACGAGTAATACTGGAACAGATATGAAGCCCGGATGGTCGCGGCGAAGCCATGTACCCCACAAAACTAGACACAAGAGTAAGCCCGTGGATGAACAGCCGACAAATCACAGTAGGCACTTACTGACGACAATGATATCAATGGCAATAGCCAAACTACAGATAATTAGTACAATGCGAAAGATCTCAGACTCCAGCGAAGTTCGCCCCGGACGTTCTGACGCGGCTTGTTTCGCAATACGTCCAAAGACGGTATTGTCGCCAAGGCACACACATACACCCAGGCCGTCTCCACCGACACAGAGCGTTCCCTGAAGAGCTATATTGCGAGATTCCATGACTAAACATAAAATTCGTCAACCTTCACATGGATAAAAAAGTCAAGTGGAACTTGCTTACAGCTGGGGTTGGTCCCTTCGACAGTGGCGGGAACAGCATTACTTTCTCCGGTCAAGATGGACCTGTCGAATTTGAGGTCGGAGGATACTTCGACGAGTCGTAAGTCGGCAGGTACTTTACATCCCATGGTGACATGTACTATGTCTCCAAGGACAAGCTCGGGGGCTGGGACTCTAACTGGGGCGTCAGAAGGTGCAGGTCATCGAGTGCCGCCACTCACTTCAATGTGCGACCATCTCGAGTAACTAAAACGTCCAAAGGCAACATAGCGGCAATGGAATTCATGGTGCGACTGGTGGTAAAATCTGGGGGGAAATAGATAAATGAATCGACAAAGCTATTCGGTCTTCCGTACCTTGCCATGCATTAAAGACAGCCTGGATCATAATAACTATCAAGAGCACAACGGCGAGGGCCAAGTTTGCAGTAGCAGGGTTCGGGTCGCCTAGAGGTCTCCTACGTATCGTTGTTAATTTGCGTCATTGGCGCCAGAGCATAGCGAATGAACGAACCAAGCGAGGAAGCAAATGATAGACGCAACGAATAACAGACTACCAAAGCCTTGCCAACGCGAAACGTTAGTCGTCGGAGAGCATCGGAGGAGAGAAATACACACCTCCGAATATATAAAAGAAAATACGCTTTGCGAGGATCTTCGGCGGCGGAGTGATAACATTCTTGCCATTTTGCGCCAAACGCCGGGTAATCATGGGGCTATCTAAACCAGCTTTCTCGGACACCCCAAGGCGGGTGAGGACCTCCAGAGCATCGAGCTCGTGCCAATCTAAATCCGCAATTTCTACGAGAAGGAATGAGTAACGGTGTGTAATAGATGTGGATCAGCCTACCCTTGACTATGGTCTTAGCTTTGGCGTTCACGCTACCCTCCTTGGTCTCGTTAACATTGATACTGTGGAATGGGTCAGCGAAACGTAAATTATATATGATAAGAAAATAACCTCAAAGTCCTGAATTCTCCAGGTATTTTCGCTCCTATATTGACGCGTTGGGAGTAGACACTGGCACTGCGGTCTAGCGCCACACCACTATGGCGGGAGCGAGTCTCCACGAGGACATGAGGAGGCTCTTCCGACTCTTTGTCGGTAATTCCTCCAAGAGATTCCGCATCGAACTGCAGAGGACTTTCACCGGGGATTTTGGAAGCCATTAAGAATGGAACCTTGAGCGAGTTTCCTGCCGTTATCTATGGATTTAGCTTTCCGCGTGATCTGAATTTGAGGGAATTTCGCTTAGTGGGAGATTGGTACCAAGCAACAGCAAAATTCGCGCTGCTCTATATGTGGATGTGTGGCCGCAAGTTCATCACAGCCTTTGATGTGTAGGGTCCCGGTGCGAGTTCTACAATGCCAAAGGGTTTGTGTAATTCAGTTTCTTAGATAGCAATATTACCGACTATCCCAGAGATGGCCTAGATCAGATTCAGATTGACAGCAGGAATCAGAATAACAATGGTCCTAGGAGCGTCGTCGCAATTTGACGCCCCTGCAGTGCAATTACTTTCATCAGGTGTTTGATTGCAGGTCCTTCGAGCCCACGGAAAAAGCAAAGGGTACAAAATAGGCGGCCACACGGGGGGCCATGAAGACGAAAGACGACATAGCTGGGGAGAAAAATGTGACGTAGAAATCTGGTGCTTGGTCCTCGTTACCTTCGAGGACAGAGGTAATGTAGAGCCATCTGATTATATCCACCGATGCACATGAGCAAGCATTCATCAATCAACGCGAAGCCCTTGCAACCGTGTGCCCACTCATAACGATCCATTGGTTTTCAGGAGCGGTAAATCCTTGGTACGCCGGTGCTACCGTCTGAAGTCAATTATATCCACGGTACCATGGGTTAATATCGTAACAGCAGAGCCAAGCAGCAGCAAACTGGGCATCTTCTCCGTACTATCGGGCGTCAAGTTGGATAAACATATATGATGATATCCAAGAGATGCTCACCACTACTACAGGAGACGAACGTGCACCGGATTCAGATGTCAGTCTTGAGCAGAACGTATCAAATCAGCTCCCTCAGAATGCGAAGACAAGAGCTTAATCTTGACGGAAAGGTCGGAAGGTGGTATGTTCACGACAAATAAGCATTGAAAGCCACAGATTCGCGAAGGAAAAGGTGTGGTTAGGGTCAAACATCAAATAAAGGCAATTTTTATGAAGTTAATATAAAATTAAATAACTTCGGCAGCTCGGCGCCACACCTCTTTCATTCCGTGCCGTCCCGGCTTTGTTCCGGCTAGTAGCCATCTCCTTTCATATCTTGCTCTTTTGCGAACGAGTTTGCAAAGGAGGTGCGGGAAGCTGTCAGAAAGTTCAATTTCGGTAATACTGACTATTAGCACCCACCTCTAGAAATTATACTTGAACTTTGCTACAATTCTTCCAGAAGCCATCCGCAGCACAAAACAACGTTTACACATTCATTACGATCCGAGGCAAGATTGGTACTACTATTTCGGACAAATGTCTGCGCAGGGCACGGTGGCTGACTGCACAACGAGTTTCAAAAGGGAAATACTAGATCCCACGATTACAGAAAAAGGGGCTGTTCAGTAGTATACAGACTGGATAATCGCGAAACATGGCAACATGGTGAATATCCGCTAACCTGGGCCTGGACCCGAAGCGGTCATCACAATAGGCAGACGTTGCTGAGGGCTCCTGGACAATAAATCGGGATTATAATCTGACATCGAGAAAATCGTAAAATCGGACGCACAAGCTTACTTCGAAAAAATGATCCGCTAAGGTGACATACTCGGGGTCTCCAGTCAGACCAGGAAAGATCTTGCAAAACTCCTTCTTCAACAGCGTGTCTTCAGGATCTCTGTGATAGAAGCGAGTAGCCAGGCCTTCGTTGTTGAGTGGGACCCACTTCGATTGAGTAGCCACCACTAGGCGTCGTCTCTCAGGTACGGAGTTATCCTCGCACGAAGCCACCAAGAGCCTTTTTTTCGTAAGATAGATCACTATTTTAGCGAACAGAGAGATTGGAGGGCAGGCTGGATGAGGAGGGGGATCCATTCTGGCCGACATAATTTTCACATCGGAGTAGGTGTAGCTATAGCCGCCGATGACCTGCATTTTGTCAGTGCGGTCATCCATGCTGGGCTGGTAGTTGCTCATTTGCGAGATGTAATAGGGGTACCGGCAGCCAACTATGATTCATCTTCGATCTTCGGCAGTCTTCGGCCCGAATGTGCCGTGGGCAAATGGTTCAAGTTGTCTCAATTTTCGCAAATCTCTACTCAGGCTGGAGAAGTCGTACATATCTTCGCCAGCAAAGCCAAGAGATAGCATCAAGAGTGATCTTACAACGGTTCCAAAGGGAACGTCAAGGGGTAACAGACCTACATACTAGCTCTACTAGTAGACAAAAGCTCAAAAGGAGGACAAAAGAAAGACGGGAGTTTTGGTGGACGAGTTCAGTTGAACATTTTGCAAATCATCTTCATGAGTTAATCCTAGTTTCGAGACAAACAAAAATATATCAAACAGGATCGCCTTGTAAAAATCGTACCATGGTACAGAGTCGTCTAGTCTAGTCTAGCAGAAATTATCTATTAATCACCTCCGAGGTGACGTCCTGGCATTCACTCATAGTACCAAGTAACATCGATGACACCCGTATCAAGGCTGTCAAGCTGGGAGAAGGCACCCTCAGAGAGGTCAATGTGGGTGCTCTCGCAGTCAGGGCACAGGTCAGTTACGACTGCATCGACCCATTTGCCGTTGGCCGCGTCTGGAGCCAGTTCAGACCAAATATCCAACAAAAACAACATCAAAGCACATACTGATAACCCCAATGTGTTTCCAGCAATTAGCGCCATTGGCGTAAAGGCTGAGAGGAAGCGCCACAACCGAGTCGGAGTTCTGGCTATATGCACCGCAAGCGCCGGGATTGCCGGTGTCAGGCTCATACCAAGTAGCTACAACAAGGGAGGCAAATCAACGATTGAACGAACAACAGCCTTCTGGTTTCTTACCAATCCCGTGCCATGTTTGAGCACTAGCAGTGGCAGCACAGAGCGAAATTGCGGTAAGGACTGCTTGTCTGAGAGAGAACATGATCTTCTGGCGAGGGTTGATGTTCGAGTGAGTGTAGTTTACATGAACGAATGTCGATGTTGCATCTACGAGACGAGGCTTTTATACATTTTCACTCCTCCCATCGGACCCGACATTCGTCATGATGATCCAGGAAGTGCCGAGAGTGCGTGAGGGAATACGCTCCACCAGTTTCTTCCGTATACTTGCAAGTTGCGTGAGGTCAAGGCGGGGGGTGCGGGGTCCATGCAGCATAGTATGCTCGGTGCCCAGGTACAAGTGCACTTTAGCAGCAATGCTAGTATGCATTTGCTCTATGCCGGAAACCTGGTAAAGGAACGTCCACGGCACAGTCGTCCCTCGTCCCTAAATCTTCTGCATGGAAAAATATCAGCAGAAGCACGCGTGGGTATCGGGCGGTGACGGGCACATGGGCACCGGAACATGTCTGCATGCTTAGCTGGGAGCCTTCTGAGAGGCCAACACCGTTACGCGACAAGGAACTTCCGATGTAACACTCCGGCAGCGACGGAGAGGGGAGAGGAAAGGCTTCAGAGGAACCAGAGGTTTCAAGCTAACTTCGGCCAGAAGTCTATGTTCGTTAATACATAGATGGAGAATCTCACAGGAACACGCATATACGTCATTCAGACCAGTCAGAAACTTCATCAGAACCCGTCGTTGGACCTATATCGCACGCCGCAACATTATGACAGACATGTCTCTTCGGAAGACAATAATGCAGGGATAGAAAAATTTCGGACCTCTTCGGACCTGCGTTGTAATAGGATCGACCAATCGATCGTTCCGCTTGGTGAGGACGAAAAACAGTAGCTATGACTTGCTAGATAGCCGGATTTACGGTGATTCGTAATTTCGGAGATTTGGATGGAGTTTTCAGTGTTAGGAGCCGAATAGAATCGACATTCCCGTCCCTTGCTTCCAGCTTGATGGATAGTCGACTATGACTCGGGTTAGTCGGGCAAATCGGGCCTCAGCCACGAGGATTTGCTTCTCTCATAAGCTTCGTACCTCTGTCATAACGTTCAAAGTATCAGTTACCATCCTCGAAAGTAGCAAAGATCAGTGAGTTTTCTTCCACCAGTCTACCGTTGAATAACTGCTTGCATTGGCGCCATCCCTATGAAAAACAAAACAGTATAAATCTGCTTCGATAGATCACGGTATAGTCATCTGGGCGAACGGACGGCGCTTATCAATAACCAACGGCGGGCCTTCCAAGGTCCCGAGAAGTCCCTTCCAGACAAAATCCCTGGGGTTCCCATCCGATTCAGTGTATTTTGCCAGGAAAAGCTCGTCAGTCGCAGCTGCGAAGGAAACCATCAGAAAAAAAAAAATTCACATGGGAACAGAACAGACCTGGCGCTAGGGCTTTCTCCGACATCCAGATGTCAAACAGCGATGCTGCTTCAGTGGGCGTGAGGCCATCCGGGACTTGTAGTGGGAGAAGACCCGAAGCATATTTTCGAAGAGGACGAGATTGCTTGTCGTAAGGACTCGTAGCCCGATCATTAAAAACATCTAGCTCTAGACGGAGATCCTCTGAAAGAGGATACTGGGTGTCAGTGGAGGTTATAGCTCCCACAACAGCTCCCCTAGCCTGAGAAAGAGTCAACTACAAGAAGTGATGAAGAAGAAGAAGTCATACAAATGTTCGCCTGCCTGACGCGTATTCCATAAGAAGGCGAGGCATCGAAAGATGGTAAGAGCGGATCGGCATGAAATGAGGATCGCGATACGCGGTGCGGCAATAGAGCGCCTGGAAGTCGTCGACGGCCAACAAGACAGGATGTTGTTTTTGCTCTCCTAGCTCGGAGAAGAGCTCATCGAGAATGGCAGGCGCGATGGCCTTGTCGGCAAGGCCGGCCTCGATAAGTGTGGTTAACGGGGAAGCTGCTTCAACCTTTACTTTCTCAAAAGCGTGAGTTTTCTGAGTCGGAATGGAATCCAGACGAGCTCTGTTCACAATGAGGATACGCCGGAGCGTTTGATGTGCGTAATTGGGCTGGACATATGTTTGGGTTCGAAGGTCGTAGGTGTGCAAAGTCGTTGAGTTCACGGTGCTGACAGCTTGGGAAAATTGAGCGGACGAAAACAGAAAAAATTGGAGCGGGCCAACCTCTAGGCACGTATATGACTATCCAATCCTGCGCATGACAATATTGGACGGACTGAATTAGAAGGACACTCTTCCCGGTTCCGGCCCGACCAGCTGACAGGAGTGTTAGAATGATAGAACGCTTTGAGAAGCAACTTACTGATGACAACTCTGTGCCGTTTGCTCCCTTCATTCTGGGCGTGTCCATGGAGGATACGCACCATGTCAACCGTGGATTGTCGTATTATTGAACAAGGACGCGACAATATTCGGTGCTGGAAGTACATGAGAGCGTGCTGATATCTTAGTAAAATGGAAACGAACCTCGAGAAGTGTGGGTTTGGGCGAGCCATAATACCGTACCGGGTCGTTTTCTGTTGGTACAAAGAGGGTAGCCTGGCCAATCATGTCCTGTCGTATCGTCTCTGGTCCAAAAGGAGGATAGTCAAGCACTGGTCGGCTTCCAGTTTCAAAGAGCTCGTGCTGAAGTTTTGATTCGGGCATTGGCCGGAATATCTGGCGGAGGGAATCAGTCCAAGCATATGACGATATGGTAGTGATACATACCCCCTGGCGGTGGTCCCGACGAAAGAGCTTGCCCTTGTCCTTGGGTCCTTTCAATTTCCATGACGCTGTCCCTCCTGCGATGATACTTGGGTGAGTTTTTGCGCGAGGTAGTCGTGGTGATACTGACTCGCTTGTGGGACGTCGGGAATGTCCGCATAGTGCCGTGACTGCATAAGTGCGATTCCATGGTTAATAAGAGGCCGGTACGCGGAGCACGACGTCCCTGCGCGAGCTAAAATTGCCTATACATCGTGAAGTAGAAGAGTACAATAACAAAGGACACAGACATACCGGTGCCATCGCCCCCCAAGACTGTTGCCTATAAAAAACAGTCCCGGTTATCCCTTCCTAGTACGAAATGGAGAACTGAGTAAATATGCCGTGTCGACCACACGGTCGGGAGGATGTCGATGAATTCGGGACGATAAATTTCGGAAACGGACATGCTGTCACATAACACGTGATATTTTGTCACAAATGTTTGCTTTATTTGTCAAGACCCTCGACGTATTTGAAATTCCATAAATATACTCCACTGGCTGCTGTGCTGAACTTCGTTTTCACCGTCGTCGATGCCATGGAGGTGCGATAATTTCTTCTTCTGTGTAACATTGCTGATGATAGATCCTCAGTCGGTTCTGGACTTTTCGCGGGACTTCGATGTTTCCTCTTTGGATAAGGTTGTCATGACCTTCTACTCCGGCCAAGGCGAAGACGTGCGTACCGTGGCGGTTTTCGTGTCGAGCACTGAAATGGATTTCGATTTGCAGGCAAAGATTGCTCAGAACGTGCTAACACAGTTTGAAGAGCATCCGGATGCATGGACCCGCGTACCCGAGATCCTGGAGACGGCGTCGTTCCCCCAAACCAAGGTGCGCCATCGATTTCGTCTCCTATGCCACCCAGCTCATCTGGCGTAGTTCATTGGACTACAAATATTAGGGAAATTAGTATCAACGCGGTGGAAGACTTTGCCAGAGGGACAACGGCAAGGTGCGTTGACTAATTCTTCACTTTGAATCCATGTTCATTTCAGCAGGGATACGGAACTTTATCATATCAGCAACGGTCAAGGTCACATCGGATGAGGCACTACTACGGAGGGAGAAGTTATATGTTAATAAGCTCAACCTAGTGCTCATTCAGGTAAGCTTCGTAGGCACCTTTTGAGCGTTATTAATGCCACTTAGGTTCTCAAACAAGAATGGCCCCATAACTGGCCCAACTTCATACCTGAACTTGTCGAGTCGTCAAAAACCAATCTCACCTTATGCGAGAACAATATGACTATCCTCAAGCTTCTTTCTGAAGAGGTGTTCGACTTTTCTGCCGAACAAATGACCCAGGCGAAGATCGCCAATCTCAAGCAGCAGATGTGGAACGAATTCTCGGAGATTTTCAAGCTGTGCTCCGAAATCCTGGCCGAGGCGAACAAGGTATCTCTCGTTAAAGCCACGCTAGAGACTCTATACAAGTTCCTAAACTGGATTGCGCTGGGATACGTTTTCGAGACCCAGATCATCGAACTGCTTATCAATCGTGTAAGTCTTGTCGTTGCTCTGCGACAGGTTTAAACTTACTTGCGCGGCAGTTCCTCGAGCCACCCGACTCCCGTAACGTTACCCTTAGATGTCTCGCAGAGATCGCGCGTCTCCCTGCATCAGAGTACAACGACCGCGTCATCTTTATCTACACCTCGGTCATGGCTGCTGTGAGCCGTATCATCCCAATACACGCGAACATCGCAGAAGTGTACAAGAATGCCAGCCCCTCCGACGAGGAACTCGTGTTGAACTTGGCACTCTTCCTTACCAATTTCTTCAGCGAGCACCTGGAGCTTGTCGAGAATGATGCCCACAGAGATATCCTTCTTTCTGGGCACGCATATCTCGTCAAGATCTCTGCCGTAGAGGAAAGAGAGGTGTTCAAGATCTGCGCAGAGTACTGGGCCAAACTGCTTTCGGGTCTCTATAACGAAGTCACGGCCCTTCCTATAGGCAATCTCAGTCTGAGTCTCGCCGGAATACCGCACGTTCTAAGCGACCTCAAAATGCGGAAAGACATTTACGCCGAAGTTCTTTCGAATTTACGCCTAGTTGTCATCGAGCGTATGGTTAAGCCGGAGGAGGTGAGTGGATCTTCACATGTCGTGCGGTTATGCTAATTCCCTTGCAGGTCCTTGTCGTCGAGAACGATGAGGGTGAGATTGTTCGAGAACACCTCAAGGAAATCGACACCATAGTCCTTTACAAGTCGATGCGCGAGCTTCTCATCTACCTTACACATTTAGACGTGGTGGACACGGAAGCGATACTTACGCGGAAACTTGCTAAACAAGTTGACGGTACCGAGTGGTCATGGCAGAACCTCAACACGCTTTGCTGGGCAATTGGCTCGATTTCTGGAGCTATGAGTGGGTGTTGGTCAAATTTTATACCTCACCATGTACTAATTCGCATCTTTCAGATGAGGATACAGAAAAGCGATTCCTGGTAACGGTGATCAAGGACCTCCTAGGTTTGGTCGAACAAAAACGAGGCAAAGACAACAAGGCTGTCATCGCCTCTGACATTATGTACATTGTCGGGCAATACCCCCGGTTCCTTAAGGCACATTGGAAGTTCCTGAAGACTGTCGTGAACAAGCTATTTGAGTTTATGCACGAGACGCACGAAGGTAACGTTCATCGTCTATACATGTTTTCTGTTAAACTGATTGAGTACAGGTGTACAGGATATGGCCTGCGACACCTTCATCAAAATCGCACAGAAGTGTCGACGACACTTCGTCATGCAACAAGCGGGCGAGAAAGAGCCCTTCGTTAACGAGATTTTGCGATCATTAAATCGCATAACAGTGGATCTTTCGCCCCAGCAAGTAATGCGAAGTTTATCCGCTCTTCTTTTCCAATGATGCTAAACTCTATCTAGGTCCATACATTTTATGAAGCTGTCGGGTACATGATCGCCGCGCAGCCTAATAAACTTCACCAAGAAAGGCTTCTGGCTGAATTGATGGATCTACCTAACACTGCCGTGCGTGTTCAAACACTCCTTTCTTCTGTGTAATTGACGCCGTTCCTTTTTAGTGGGATACATTGATGGTCCAAGCAGCCCAAAATGCCGATGTTCTTTCCAGCATGGACAACGTGAAGTTATTTTCTAATGTTCTCAAGTCGAACGTTTCGGCGTGTATATCTGTGGGGCCATTTTTCCTGCCCCAGATTGCCCGGATATTTGCGGATATGCTGGGACTTTATAAGGCCGTCAGTGGAATCATCAGCGAGACCGTCGCTCGAGAAGGTGTGCAAGCCCATCTGTTCCAGGGCCTCAAATTGACCTGTCTCACCGTTCAGGTGCCATCGCTAGCAAGAAAACCCATATTCGCCACCTCCGTACAGTCAAAAAAGATATCTTGAAACTGATGGAAACCTACATCCAGCGAGCTGATGACCTCGAGTCAGTTAATAACTCGTTCATCCCACCATTGTTAGATGCGATCTTGGGTGATTACAATCGGAACGTACCGATTGCTCGCGACTCGGAAGTGTTGAACTTGATGACTGTCGTGACTAATCGCCTCGGGGTGTGTAATTGTCGCATGTTGTCCATCTTCGAATTATACTGATTCCGTGATACAGCAACTGCTGACACCTCAAGTGATACCTATCATTGAAGCCGTTTTCGAACCGACGCTGACTATGATAACTGCCGATTTTACCGAGTTCCCGGAGCATCGCTTATGGTTCTTCAAGCTTCTTGAGGCCATCAACAGAAACTGCTTCCCCGGTAAGTTGATGTCGTAACTATCTATCGCATGGACCGACTGACATTCCCGAAGCCCTTCTTCAGTTGCAACCGGACCAGTTCAAGATGTTCATGAACAGCGTGTTCTGGGCTATCAAACATACCATGCGTGATATCGCAGACGTTGGCTTGGGCAGTACGTAATTTCATTTAGTTCATCACTCGCCGCGCTGCTGACCTTCTGCCCAGTGCTCAGCGAGCTGATAACGAAGTTCTCCCAATCCCCACCGGAAGTTGCAGGGCCCTTCTTCCAGCAATACTTCACGACGATCATGCAAGAAATATTCTTCGTGCTCACTGATTCGGAACATAAGAGCGGATTTACCGCGCAGGTGGCGATCCTGGCGAAGCTCTTCTTGTTCGCTAACACCATGCTGGAAAAGGTGCCTCTGTTTGAGACCGAGCGGCTCGACACAACGAATAGGATTCTGCTACAGGGGTACCTGGCCAATCTGCTTGGAAGTGCGTTCCCTCACATGCAGAAGGGACAGATTGTTGAATTCGTTGGCGGGTTGAACGAGTTCTACAGTGACGGTATCAAGTTTAGAGGGGCTGTGAGGGATTTCCTCATTCAGCTCAAGGAGTTCTCTGGGGATGAGCTGTATCTGGATGAGAAAGAGGCTGAGGCACAAAAGAAGGCGGATCAAGAGAGGCAAGTGGCTATGAGTATACCTGGGATGTTAAAGCCATCGCAGCTGGAAGAGAAGGATGAGAATATATAGAATTTGAAGGGTGATGCGGTATCTAAGTTTCTTGCTTTGTTCTTGCTATCAATTTGTAAATATGTATCCTTTCGTTTCTCCTCCTTGTACCGATGAACGGCCATTAAATGTAATTAATGTATCTTGAAACGAGTTATCGTATGTGGCTCGCAGCGTCACTGTTGTTATCGTGTTAGGGCAAAGACCTCACTAGATCTTGGTAGCATCATCAAGCGATACGGAAAGCACTAGTTGACGTTCGATGCAAATTTTAGTAGAAAATAATATTACAGGAGACGATGATGTCCATGCATTACGTTCAGCAGCAAGGATCAGGAGCACAAGCAATCGTTCATCGACTGACCGTGATGAGACTCGCAGTAACAAGTGCCCTGAAATTATTCTAGAGCAGAATCAATGAGGAAGCAGTATCTCGAGGAGAAAGTGAACTTACATCCTTCGTATACGCCTCCAATAGTCTTTGCGTCATCTCTTTGCTCCACCCATATTCAGCCTCCATCTTCGCCTTCAACACGGAAGAAGCAGCTAGGTACTTTGAAACTCGGAACTTGTCTTCTTGCGACATAGTATTCCAAACCGTTACCGACTGCGGGAATGGATATTTGGCCTTCACACCCACTGATACATCTCCTTCTGTTTTAGGCACGATGGGCCCGGGAGTATACATGCCAGTGGACGGCCAAGGTGGGGTGGCTTTCACCGGAAATGAGGCGGGATTGCTTCGTCCCTGCAACTTCCGCCAGGGAGCAAGTCGGACTTGGTGCGCCTCGCGTTCTCGTCTGATGTCTTCGTTCCACGGTTGTATGAGGTAACTATGCACAAAACGGTTGTAGGAGAGAGACTGGAAAGGGGGAAAGAAGAAACAAGTGTCAGTAACATGTTGTATGGCCCATGTGTCGCGCCTTCAAGTAGGGCACAAGGCTGAGTTGACAGGTAGACCATTAGATATCAGACCCACGCCTGTCATCCTGCAGCACTCTTACATATTGAAAGAAAGTTACGGGTAATCACTCGCCTCTATTTGTTCCGCGACAGTGGATTCTTGTGGTCCGTTTTCGCAGCCAGGAAGGTTAGCTTGCGTCTCGTCAAAAGAGTAGTACCGTCCCAATGCATCGTCGAAATATTCTTGAGCATGCCTATCATATATTCGGCTAAGATTTCTGGAATGTTCATCTTCGAGCTCAGCAGTGCGCTCTGCGATGTACTTCATATCTCGTTCTGATTTCGTGAGGTCATCTTCCATCGCTTCTAAGCTATGACTGTTGGGAAGCATAGGATATGAAGACGAAGATCGAATGGCTTACGACGGAATTTCTACACTTTGGTTCGCCACGGTGTCGGAAGCAAAAGTATCTAATCTTTCAAGGCGGCCTTGGTCTCGGAATTCTGCCCGCTTGGTCGGCAAAATTCGACCCCTCGAGGTTGGGGGCAAATACGGATTGTGGGGAAGATCAGACATATGTTCCTGTAATATTATGCAGGATGTCGCCCTAATATTTCAAGGGAACGACAAATATCGACCTTTTTTGTGCGTAAGGATGTTGGTTTGGCTGGCTGAGACGAATTTGAAATTGAATCTGGTGGCTTGTCGGACCCCGGTCCGATGCTCTCTTCTCCCACGCCGGCTGCATTCAAAGCTGGCTTCTGTTTTTTGTGCAATCGGCTAACTACTGGGCACAAAGTTTCATTTGTTATCCTCTCCAAGGTGGTTATGTATACTATAACTACTGATTCCCGTTCCATCCGGACATGAATGGCAGGTGTAACACGAACCTGGAAAACGGTGAAAGCCAAGGCCCAAGGCTTCAAGTACGCAATTTTTTCCTTCCGACTGGTGCGGACTCGGGATATCCAAAACTCACTAGATTATTGTGATGATACTTGTGGGCCGTAGTGTCGCTCAACGACTGCGAAGTACGTCTTTGCTTCTAGTTCAAACCGTCTGCGTCCGCTTTCTTCGTCGTTCCGTGATCGTAAACGCATTCAGCTGTCGTCCCAAATCGCAATTTTTCAATAGTAGCTCTCTAAAACCAGGCTTACGGAGAGTATATGCTGGATTCCTTCTTTTCTACTGTTGTTGCTCTATACCCAGAGATTACCTGCCCCTTGTTGTAGTCTCAAGTAGACCACTACGTGGGTTTCCAGGTATGTAATCTGTTGATGCCATCAAATCAACTAAAATCTCAAGCCGCCTAGTTTCTCAACCTTCGCATTCCTTCTACACTTCTTTGGCTGGATGTTGTTTCATGCACTGTAGAATTATAACCCTAACTCCTTGCTGGGCGTGCGAGAGGTCTTTATCATCTTGTAATTTCCGCTCCCCTCGAAAGTTTGTGTACATATAAGAACAGGTCATATCATGCTTTCTAGTTTCATTCGAACATCCACCGACTCCTTCGAATATTCGGCATACCAATGGTGTTCTCTTTCAAGCAATCCGTTTTTGTTGCACTGTCTTTGTCCTTTGGTATGGTCAAAGCATTCACTGGAGAAGGTATGTTTTTCTACGCTGTCACGGATGCCGCCCTTGTTCTCACATAAGTTCCAGCCACTTGGTACACCCCCAATGGCGGATCAGGGGCCTGCGGTGCTCCTTTGCAAAATTTTGACCATGTCGTCGCGCTCTCCAGCGACCAGTACGCTGAAGGCACGAATTGCGGGAGGCGTGTTCGGGTTTACTGTATGTCCGCTGCCGTCGTTCGGTTATCAGACTAATAGAACCCTCGCAGATAGAGGAAACTTTGTAGATGCCACTGTCGGCGACCTCTGCCCTAGTTGTGGGCCTAATGGTCTTGACCTCACCTCATCGGCGTTCGAGAAACTTACAAGTCTTGATGATGGTCGCATTTTGGTCACTTGGCATTATGAGTAAAATTTGGATCCGCGTCCATCCAGTGGGCGTAGTAAGGCCAATTCCTTCTTTTCCAATCTGCCCCATTATTATCGTATATTGGTCTTCTGTTGCGCCTTACTTGTATCGATAAACGCTGCAAACGCATATTCAGTACAATGACTTGACCGATCGACAAGATGACATCTCCATTCCCTGAAGAACTCATATCCCCAGGATCTCTCGTCGCCAACGTTTCCATTCAGTTTGCCTGTATAAACTGAAGCATTCGCTCCAGCGGCGATCGCTAATCTCCATACGTACTTGCGATTCGATGTGGTTATCCAGAGTGACTCGACACTTTTTCTATATCCTTCTATTGTCTTTATTCCACTGCAGTCCACTCATGAGGCGTCTTGCGATGACGACACTGGAAGAGAATGATAATGTCAATTCAGAATGTCTCGAGTATCCAGAAGAAATCAGTGATTATTTTATTCTGTACAATAGAAACATCACGTAACAGCCAAACACATCTAGCTGAGCCTTGAGCGCTCGAAAACATAAAGATTGTCCAAGAATTCACGTACTAAGTCAGACGCTCTCGTCATGACATGTATCTCTCTACAATCCGCTTCGCTCAATACCACGGCCCGTCCACCACTTGGCCCGTGTTGGCCACACCGACGACAAAAATTCCGTCGCATCGTCATTCTTGAAGTATATCCACCTGAGCTATAGCCTCTATTATCTTATCCGAGTCTTCATCGAACATATTATCAGTCAGGAACTGTAAACTGAGGGTTGGGCTCGAATTGTAACTTGAAGACCCACTGCTATTGCCAGGTGATAAATCGTAGGCTCGCCGGTGCCTTCGATCGCCACCGATGTGTCGTGTCTCGGGACAGAGATAGTTAATCCTCAACCTTCGAATAGGACTTCCCCTCAGAGAACGTCTTTCTGCTAGATAATTGACGTGTGGCCGGTATATATCACTGGCTTCTGGGCTACCCTCGATGGACAGCACCCTTAATAGAGGGCAGACGATGTCCAAGCCACCGTCGGGCTGCAATGCCCTGACAATATCCACTGATGAATTCCAGAGCCACAATTCTACGACGCTGGGAAGACATCGAAACAATGGTTTCCATGCTATCCGAGGTGTCTGGGGGTGTTGCGATCTGGTGCTCTTGTCGATGCGTAATATCTGGACGTCCCTGACACCGTTGAGAACAGCTCTATACGATCGAGCTAAAGCCCGTACGTGATCACAGAGGTATACAGCAGCCCATCGACAAGGGCGATGACATACTCCAAATTCCTACTATCGGTCTTCGAGAAGGAAAGTCGCCATTCTGTAACCCTATTAACGCTGGCTGCAAAGGCTGATACAAGGTTGGATATGTCGCAGCTTGTATCTGACGACCAATATTCCACGCCCCAGAGATAAACTGCAGCCTGAGAGGATAATATCAGATGTGAAATCAACTGACTAATATGAGGCACGTTTTCCGGTTCAGTGACCCCATTGAAAGGTGCGAAGGTTATTAAGATGTACTATGCGATCTTTGCTCAGCTCTCGGTCGTCATTATTTTCCCAGCGCATGGGACCAGTATCAAAGAAGATCAGGTCCTCCGGCAACGGACACCCTTCTAAGAAATCAAGGAATTCCGGAGTGGAATGGCGCTGCGAAAAATCGGCGGATTGGCGACGGATGGAAACATGTGTAAGGCCGCGAAAATAATTTGCAGGCCATGTAGAAAAGCTGTCGAGATGCAGCATTTGCAGGCTAGGCATCAGTGTCCGTCAAAGAGAGGCATCAAATGCGAGCCACCAGTGCCATAGTGTTGTTGACATTCGAACGAAAGACTGACAAGATTCGGGGCAGCCCCGGAAAGGACTTGAAATATCGTCGATACTGACAGTTTCTGCCAAAACGAGATCGAAATATGGAATTCACACAGTCTGTGCGAGAGACTAGAAAGGCGCTCGATGGCACTTAATGGAAAATCACGTCTATGGAATCCCAGAATGATTGCGAGGAGAGAGGAAGCATCAATCTTGTCCAGGAAAGTGAACGAGATCGTCGTCTGTGATATACCACATAGGGGCCAAAGAATGCACAATATCCCCCCACCGCCGGCAAACATGGAGAAGGGATATCCAGCCTTGGTTATGCTTGCGACACAGCGACATCGCTGGACCTGGGTTAGGAAGAAAACTGGGAATGTCCAACTTGGTCTCCTTTAATATGAAAGAAAGAAACTCCATAGGAAGCCGGTTTATTGGCTGGAGATCATTGTGTTCACACCGAACCATGGCCGATAATTGTTGAAGGCTTTCATCAAGTTTCTCTAACTGAGCACTATTATTCTGTTGCAAAGATGCGGAGGCATGAGTAGAGACATACCTCTGAAACAGATCGTAGTCTGATACGATGCTGTCAGGCGATCTCGACCTGGAAATTTTACGGAGGCTTATCTTTGGTTAATTCCATATCGTAAGGCTTCGAGCAACTATTTCTCCGGGATATGCGCTCCAGTCGGCGGCATAGCGTAAATATTCGGCTAAGAAAAGAAAAGACACAAAATGTCGTGGTCTGGAGGCTGGTAGTGAACGCTGTCCGCGTTGATGCTGTCGATTTTTCCAATGTGTCAATATCCAGACGATTTCACAGCCTGGTAGAAGAAAGCAGGTTAAGAAATGAAAAGAAGGTGGCGGTTGGTTGATAAATCACAAACAGCCCAATATAGCAACAGGTTTGTACCGGTTTTAGTCTCCAATTGTAGGGAAGAATTGAATGAAGGGTCGTAATACAGACGTTCCGAAAAACCTTGTCCACGGTTGCCAAACAAGGCAAGTAAAATAAAAAAATAAAAAAATGCAAGAAAATTGTGAAAATAGCATGGTGCCTTCATTCGTGAGTATAATGTATCATAAATAGATTCGTTGAGGATGTACGAGGTGTATAGAGGTAATGTAACAGGTATGAGGCCAATAGGTCAGTGGTAGGACGTCATGCATTCATGAGCGGGGTCTGTGCTAGCGGTAATGGGAGGCAGCGGCAGAGCATTAGAGTGGTGTGGGAGGCTGTGGAGATGTTTTCTCCCTTGTAAACAGTAATAAGTCGTTCCAAAATGAAAGTGGATAACTTCCCTTGAAGATGTATGTTTAGCATACCAGCCACCGCGCCCTCTCCAAAGCTTCCCAGTCTACAACGCCCGAACTCCCACCAGCCCAGTCCTAACCATGAAAACTGACGAAATAAAGCCAGGATATCCAGTTGCAGGTGTCTTTGTCGCAGTGAAATGGTGCGGGCGGACTATGGCGTTGTGGTGCAGGAGGCCGGGAGCTGTCGACATCCAGACTGTGGCAAAATCACGGCGGCCGCCTGCTTGACTGAATGCAGAATCGTTCTTCAAAGCTGTCTTGTCTTTTCTTGTCTCTTGAATGACGATGATGGCAAGAACGAAGGTGTGACCGGCTGTTCGGTGCGAGACAGCCTGAACATGTAAATCTGGCGGCGCTCACTAGTCCTTCATCAGTCAGATGCTCTTATTTCAAGTATGATCTTTACGACACACTGCAGCACCCATGGATCATTAAATTTGTATCTTTCTACTAAATAACACGCACAAATGAAGTCTGTATGCTATTTCTACGATTTTCTTGTATTTATCTGATTTTTTGATTTTACCTGCCCTTTTTGGCAGTGTGGACAAGGTTTTTCGGAACGTCTGTACGTAGAAAATTCACCAACATCAAGCATAAAAGAGAGGGTTCGAGGGTGATCGCATATTCTTCCTCTGCAATACAGAAGCCATGGCCGCGTCAAAGTTGTGGTATCTTATTAAATAAAGCTGCAACACTAATAAAAAAACGATGACCTCCTGGAGGGCGCAAGGATGCTTCCCGGGACCGAGTAATTAAAGTCGGGAAACCTGTTTTCACCTCCGCTTCCAGGAGAAGGAAGCGGGGACCTGTAGCCAAGCGCCCGTGCTAATTCCAGCTGACTCTTCAAGTACCCGATATGATCATGTAACTTCACAACGTGCTCAGTAAACACCATTGAGTCGTCTTCTGGTAAAGACTCCTTCAAGTTCGTTAAGAACTCATAAAATCCCCCTAGGCTGTTTCTAGCCGGTGGGTGGGCAACAGCGCGATTTCGGGGGATACGACGTGGCGGTAGCATCTCCTCGGGGATGTAGGAAGAAGAGGAAATCGAGTGTTCCGTGGCTTCAGGACCGAGTGCGTACGCATAAGCCTGAGAGTTGGTAGTGGGGGATGGCAACGCACGCAAAGGATACGTTATATCCGTCGTGATCTCATGCATCCCCCTTGGCCTGCTTTCGGACGATGAATATGGTACAGGTCCATTTTCTTGGCGTCGGAGAGACAGTGATATCTCCTCAGAATTGCGAGGGGGATGTGAGATTGAACGTTCGATGGCTGAAAAGCCGGGGGCGTGGAGCTGAGAGTCGCTGCCGGAGGATGGCGATGTAGAGTCTTCTGGGGGCGGTTTGAAGCTAAATGGATCAGCATGAGATTCTGATGTTCCCCAAATGGAGCTCCGGCTGTCGTCCCTGGGATCACTCACGGACACCTGACTTCTTCTCTTGTCAATGCAGAGATATATGGATATCATCACGACAAAGACGAAAGAGAGTGCCGCCGTGGCCGCGGAAATGATCAAGACAAGGTCCGAAGTATGGGGGCTTCCGAATATACCGCTGTTGATAATCAGCTACTTGTCAGAAACCAGATGGAATACAACGCACCGCCCCGGGTCGCCTGTCAGAGGAGGTACTGGATCCCGTTTTTGAACTTCATAACTGAAGGGTTCCCCGACATGAAAGATGTCACTTTGAGAGAATGACGACCGTGCGTCCGACTGTTGTCTAATCAATAAGCATGTTATCCTGACGTCAAGGGGTAATCTGTAATCGTGGAGAACTTACTCTGAGTTTAGAAAGGCCATGATGGAATAATTGCTTCGAAAGAAATCAGTGGTGACCACTAATGACGAAAGTGATACTGACCCAATATAGGCAAACGATGCATAAAACACGGTGTCTTTCATAAAATTGGTGACGCTCATTGAAAACTTTGACGCATCTAACCGACCCTCATCATTCAGGAAGGTGCGTAGAACGAAATTTGATGGATCGTTATCAGAATACAAAAGATGGATCGATGTGTTCGCCCCAATGAGCACCCCGCTTGGAACAGTAATGCGGAGAGAGCAAGATAACTCAATGAGCATCATGCTAGACATCGCACCAGGCATTGAGTAATCGGCTACGAGCTAATACATGTTACTCACAATATAAATATCCAAGGCATCTAGATAGCCGGTCAAAAGGAGCGAGATATGAAAAGAATGTGAGGTGACAAAAGAATGTTAGGGGAAGGGAGGGAATTAAGAAGAGAGGCCAGTGGGCAAGGGAAACGGGGACACCCAATAAAGTACCCGATGCGAGGACGAAGGTACTTGTAGGATACAGCAAAGCAACCAACGATCCATCTTCATCTATTGACATAGCAGTGGCCGATTGCAGAGAGAGCGACAATAGATATCATCTGAGTAGCGTCGCAATAGTTACTTGCTTGATCTCCCAACTTGGCATATATAGGAACTGCACAGCCATGAACGTTGGCGTGAAAACGGCGGTGAGTGACATGACCATAGCTTCTTGGAACACAAGGTGCATTATCTTGCGTACAAAGACTTATATCCGGAAGAGGACTTTGGCATTTGTCGCGTCAGGGGTCGGGTGGCGATATTCTGCTTCTACGTGGAAAGTCAGCGAACAATCAAAAACGAGGATATAAGTCGCCTTTTGCAGTCAGAGCAGATCAGCATTCCGCGTTGCTCGGTCAAGCAACATGATCTGCCGGGCATCCTGGAAGAGAAACCGACAACAAGCGTTAGCTGATTACGATGGATACGCTGAGCGAGGGGACTGAGTCGGTTATTGTTGCTGACGTTCAACTAATATAATCATTTGTCAGACTGGAGGACTGCAATGGTGAGCGGATGGGTCACCTTTATCCAAGAGGCTGAGGTGAAAGACACAACTCGGAGACGTGCGCCCCCTTAGGGGAAGTGCCTATCATTGACACTTTGGGAATGAATATACCCATCGTCATGAGGTGAATTTTGATGCACGGTCAGTAAAGGAGACTTTTCAAACCACTTGAGCCGTGTGCACGGTGGTTCCTGCTAGGCTGTTTCGGGATTGAAAGTCTATTGAAGATCAACGCTGAGCTGAGATGAGACGAAAAATTGATACTCGCTTTATACGTAACTGGGTGTATAACCAATGCATCCCGACTCTGAACGAGTCTAGGCGTCCTAGAGTGCTCTAGCGAAGTCGTCTAGCTCATCTATGTCCAGCATTCATAGGCCCACGCCAGGATTACGTGACAACAAGGCAAGATCTATCGAAATGATGACTTCAAAACCGGACGAAGGAGATCACAAAGATTTACAGTTAAAGGGAATCATATAGGCGGAAAACCATCAAAGAAAGCAGCCGGAAATAGGGCTCCGAGAACGATACCAGGTATTGGGCGTACAGGGCGACACAACGAATGGCGAGTTTATATTCGTCCTGAACCAATCTCTTCATCAGATAAAATGTTGGATTTATTCAGAAATTTAGAACAATCCTGCCCAGGAGGAAGAGAATGACGCACAGACAGCGCTCTCGTGGTTTACATGACCACTGGGTAGACCCATCAGGAAACCGGACTGCACAATATTTCGGAATTTACGGGAAGGTTCCTGATATCTGATCATCGTGATATGCGCCGTTCGATATTGGAATGATTTGTTGAGTCATGCGCTTGAGGGAAGGAGAACAGACAGCATCGGACGCCACGAAATCCGGTGTGAAAGACCTCAGTCCAACGCCATCAGTTATGAGAAAAAGATACGGAATCAAATAACACAAAGTAATCACCGCCTCCGGGTTCAGTGTAAGCTCCCTGTATCAATCATGATGTGAGTGCTTGAAATGTGAAGTTATCGTTGGCCGTAGAGCTGGTTCGGCAATTTCCGTACGGACGGCATACGGGCCGCACGCTACTTTCTTGACTCGAAGGCACTCTCGTTTGTACTCTGGACCGGTTCTCAGCCAGCGCAGTATGACTTACGGGTACAGGGATCATACTGATGCCGTAGCCTGCTATCATCCTGGTGCCGGTTAGCACTAAACTTTCCATTGTTGGAGTTTCAAGTGTCGCGCATCACAGCGCAGTTGACGTCGGGATCATCGGTTGTCAGGGTTAGTCAGGCAAGAACTCGTTTATTACATCCTGTTACTTCTATTAGTGTACACGGTGAGTAGATAAATAGGTAGTCGAATGAAGACAACCCTCGCCTGTTTGCGAGGGTTCCCTGCTATATCCGGGTGAGCGGCTGGAGAATTACCGCTTATCTCAACATCCATCACATCAGAAACGGCGGCCTCTTCAAATAATCGGGAACCGACTGAAGGAGAGGACCAATGACCTCCGGGTGCAGTAACTATCCTGAACTCCTGTCAAATTCCTAGAAATTCAAACCTATCTTCTCTAACCGCTAACCTCAGCACTACAAGACACTTCGCTCACCTACGTTCCATTTTTTTCACGCTGTGGCTATTCGCGCACCTGGAACGGCACTTACCTTGCCATGCTCGAGGAGGAATGCCCGATGAGCCCTAGTATGCCCGCTTTCTGTTGGACCTCTTTTCTGATTGTGCTAGTCTTGCTATTTTCGCTCTCTTTACTGTCCTTTCGAGAATCCGTGCAGTATTCACGCTGGAAAAATTCCATTGTTGATTTTTCAACACCTTCGTCTTTATGGTTGCGATAGATTTGTGGCTATATTATCGAGAAAAATCGCCTATCACCCACCGGACAAGGTCCGCTTCTGTGTTCTCCTCAACACACAGATGCTTCTCGAAGCAGCGGGCGGCTATCAAAGGGTTATGATGTTCCCATGAACGTGCTTATATACGACATCTGCGCTGCTCTCTCATTCTGATACCATCCAGATGATTTCCTTTGACTTCAACGTTGTTTCTCCCACTGATCTGACCGGTATGTCCTTTGAACAAAACATCAGCATTATGGCAAACGGCCCTTTTCTCTCAGGTGCTCAGCTGGACGAGACGGTCGCTATTGCTGTCAGAGCCTACGATACTAGTAGGTTACGAGCCTGTGATAATAGGTACGGGAGGTCTATATGACTTCCTTTTCAGATCCTTCTATTCGTGCGATGGCCGGCGGAAACAAGGCTCTGTATGATCATTTTTTCAGGGCTGTAACTCGCGCGCTAGTCCTAGAAGGCAAGATATGGCTCGCCACTTCAGATGGCAAGATCGTTGGAGTTCTCGGAGGCTTTGGACCCGGGAGTTTCCTTTGGGCAACATCAATTTACTGTTTCATACCCTCGTATTGAGTATTAACACATTGATCTATGCTGCGTATCTAGGGAAGAACAACGTGCCTTGAGGTTTGACGATGTCTATGCTAGGCTGACGGAAGAAACTCAATATTGGTGGCAAAACATCGTACGCATAGTATATTGGGCTTCGACTCGGTATAAACTCAATATTCGCGCCTGCACAGTATGAGCCACGGATCAAAGAATTCATGGATAACGCTCTAGGAAAAACTGTATGTATATTGCTTCGGAGTTATTGATGCATTTGACGCCATATATTTAAAGGCAAAACTCAAAGATTGGATGATATCGCTTTTGGCGGTCGATCCGCCATACCAACGCCGCGGAATTGCGACGGCCATGTTGAAGCATATGACTAGCCAGGTAAGCCATGAAAATCGCAACGACCTTCCCATCTCCGGGCTGAGAAACTTCCTCAGGCGATCCAAGACAATGCAATTATGGTTGTTGGCGCAGATATCAATCTCAATGTGGGTACTTTTCCTCAGAGTCCTAGGCCTACGTGACAAATATCTTTAGGTTCGCATTTACGAGAGTTTTGGGTTCGAACTCAAGGGAAAGGCTGTTCTTGCGAGCTCTGTCAGGGGGAAAGCTATCCGATTTTCGCTCTGAAGAAGGTACCTTGAACGTTGCCCACGGGCGCAGACATCGGCGATGTCATAGATAATCAATCTATACCCCACACTCCACCTAGACCTAGATCCAGGATGAGTGATGGAATGCGAATTATATCAGCGATTCAGTTTTCGCACGGCATTGGAGGCATCCGAACATATACAGAACGAGAAAATGAACGCGCGTGACATAAGTATTCATCCAAAGCGATGTCCACAGGTGACAGTCTGTCCAGTGGAGTCCTATCAAGTCCACAACCAGTCCAGGTCGCGTTTTAAAGGACCGAAATCCCCTCCGTACACCTACTGTAGCTACTGGGGCTGGCCACGAGCAAGCACCGCCGCGTCTCTGTACATGGATTATGGGTTGCGGTTTCGAAATATAGAGTATAAAAATAAATAAATTAAAAAAAGGTCTAGGTCGCGTTGATGTCACATGATCGAACATCCGGCCATTTCCGGGGAATTTCGGATTTCCGCTTGCTGCGCCAGGTCTTTGTTTCATACAAAGACTCCTTTGTCCTTGCTTTATCTCGCGGCGAGTTTGGATGACAGCTGTGCTCTTACATCTCTAGGTCTTCGATTCTACAGTTCTGCGAACCTGAAGTACGTGTTTATGATCTCCACATCACGTCGCTAGATCCACATTCCTAGGTATTAGCAGCCCATAAGGCCGAAATTATTGAAAAAACCCTGGGAGGGAGAGGGTTAACTTTTTTGATAAAATCCTCTTAGTCTCACATTTATTGATGAAATTTTCAATGAACAGATGGGTGCGCGGGTGCAGGCCGCTTCCAAAAACAGATTGCACTATAATTATAGCGAACAAAATTTTCTTCCCTATTCTGTTCTGTCGGGGCACTTGTTCCTACCTTCCGCCGCTGCCTTATCCGCAAATGCCGCCCTCCTGCCATTGCCTGGGGCCTCCTCAAAAATATTGGGCTCAGAAAATATTATTTTATGTACTGATACTGCTTCTATGCCTATCTTTACCATATATTTAATTGAATGCGTCATGTCAGCATGGTTTGCCAGATGCACTTACCACAGGAACTGTGTTGCCGATGACTCGGCTTGATCAGCTTAGGGCCGAAGTCGATTTCGAGAAGGTAATGATGGAAGGACAGGACTAGCAACTACACTATGGCTAATACTACTAGTACTTCCAGTGAGCAAATGCAGACATCAAATTAATTTACTTTTTTAATGTCAACACGCCCAGCGCAAACGGCTCGAAAATGACTTCAGCATTAAGCCAATTCAAGCTGAGATATCGGCAACACCATGTGGGAATATATCTATTGGAATTATTGCAGTGGGAGGCTTGCAGTAGGTATAATACTAAATTGTTAGCTACTAGAGCTCCTAATGAGCTCCTTATATACTACACAAAGTATCTAGAATATTCTACCAAAAGTACTAAATATATCTAAGTATCATGACAAATGAGTAAGCCGAAGCTTCGGGAATCTTCTAGTACAAGCTTGAAGTTGCAAATCCCAACAATATCATTCCCAGTTTGGTATACGGTTTGGAATTCGGGATAGCAGACAATACATTGCACTTATTCAATACATAAGATGATAATAGAAGTAATGAATGATTGCTCTATCTTGTTTATTTCTCTCAATGTATGGATAGCTAAGGACAAGAAGTATCTTGATGTTTTCCGGAGTTTTCCGACACACCCCTAACTCGATCACAGTAAGCAAATAGGTCGAGGTTGTACAGTCTCGAAACTCTCTCCATGCTTGGAAATATAATTCATAGAGTCTATTAGCTTCTGCAATTCTCTAATAATCTTCTCTGCACATACTTTCTATCCTATGCTAATGTAGACATGAATTATGATCTTGTTGTGCTCTCAAAAGTATGCAAGAGGCATGTGTAAAAGGCATACCTCACAGTACATGCTCAAATCTAGTTACATTGCCTAGAGAAGCACAGTCTATAGTTATTTAGAGTGCTATGTGTCAAGAAGTATACCTGCCCTGATGAAAATATACCTCAGTCAGACCAAATTGCACCAGATGAGATTGTGTGTGTACATATTCTTCATGAATTCGCATCAATGAGAAAAGCAATTACAAGGCACATACAGGCAGATCGCCATGGATCGGACACCTGTTTTGGATAATAGAACACATAAAATTACATGTTCAACCAATATTACCTGTGGAAAGGCTGTACATACCTGTGTACAAAGGATGCATCCTTGAAATGTCCTAAAATGCGTGATATCCACCATAAAAGGCAGATTAAACATGGTTAGGATAAATTATATACAATAAAAAGTACACAAATGTATACTAGAGCATTCTTATAGTATATTCCGTTAATTTTCAGGGCTTAGGAGCAAAGGATTTGAGCAGAGGATGCATTCCGAGCATCCATTCCGCTCGCTCGATTGCTTCGGTCCAGTAAACCGTATAGTGATCGAGTGGCTGTACCCCTTCTTTTTTCTTCTGACCTTTGGTCTGACCGTCACCGTTGGTTTATCGTGTAGTCGCCTGCCTGCCCCCGCTGTTTGTTTGAATAGAATAAAAGTATGTTCCATTACTTTCAATGCTAATATAAGTTTTATAGATACTTTTGATCCATCTGGTGGCCCCCAGATGGCCTGGATATCGTGCATTATCCCCCACTAGCCTGCGCGTAAGCCCTCCTCAGCAAGGCAGCATAATTTTCCTCCTACGACTGATGGAGAATTGCACTACCACCATCACTGTTTGACTACGACACCCACCAATTCCTGCCGCCGCCATTCAACCACATCCTGTTGCCGCCGCGACCCAACTAGCATCCCCCACATCGAAATCAGGGCCAATCGCCATTCACCACGGCTGACCAATGCCTGAATGATGCCGCATTCGCTCGAGAACTCACAATCCGCTTCCATCTGCCGCCAGGAAGGCGTATAGATGCAAAGCCAATGACCATGACGACCAGGACGACGGTGATGGTGTGAGGGATGGGGAGGACTCGAATATGAAGCATGACCATGCCAAAGAGCAGGCTAGGGATGGGGTAGAAGCAGGGTATACTAGGGAGGGCGGGAGGGCAGGAGGGTACAGGCGGGAGGGCAGGATCAAGGTCGGGCTGCTGACGGTGGACGACAGGGACGGCGCCCATGCCATTTGAGGCATCACACGAGGGATCAAAGGCGTCGCAAATGCACCCAAGCTCATGGCCATGCGACTGTGGATACCCTCGCCGTCGCCTGCTCCATCCTATCGAACATCGGGCTCCCGTGCGCCGCCCAGCTCACCCACTGACCCTAACCTTGTGTATCCCCCATTCTTTTGGCGGGGTAACACGGATCTGAGGTCCATTTACTTCCTCGACACCATGGCCATCGTGTACCTATGCCCTATCCCAACGCCCACTTCAATTTCCCGCTTGTATCACCTCCCTATGGCAATGCAACGATCACCACGCCATCGCCATCAATGCTTCTCTCTGCATGAGGCTTCATGGGTGATATCGATGCCTACAGCCTACTATGCTTGCCCGTACTACATTTTATTTGTATTTTGTACACTTTATTATATATAATAAATATATTCATTTTCCTTAATAATAATACAAAATTCTGAGATGGGATGTACTCCCGCGAGGCAGAAGTCGGGAGGTCCGGATCCTCGTGGGAGAACTTCTGTCACACAAGCATCCGAAGAAATTATTATTCGTAAGACCTGTGGGGGGAGAGGCTTTTATTAAAAATCTGTCGTCTGTAATTACAGGTGTTTTTTCAAAAAACCGGCCCTATCCGTTGGTATTAGAAACGCTAACGCCATTATATCGTAGGGTATTCATATCATAGGTTTATGCTATTAATATGTGACTTAACGACCGATGTCTGCTTAAGTCCCCTCCCTAGGTCCAGCGAATGTTCTCTGCTTCCTTCAACCTTCCGCACAGCGGGTCGATCTGGCGATATTTGGAACCCCGTTAATATTCCGCCTTGCTAGTACCGCGTGTTTGTGTGGCTATCTGTGAGAAGCGTTGCTGTATGGGATCTTGATGCACCAATTTTTTTTCCCATGAGCAAATGTACCATTTGATCCGTTCACTCCTTGTGTTTTTAAGCTTTTCGCTCGTTTTGGTTGCATTGTGCGACTGTCTTTCTTTGTGAGTTAGACATGCGGCTGGTTCTCCAGATCTCTGATAAAAACCTGAATGGACTGACGCCGTTTCATAGGGTATTAGTATTACCAGGTTCCTAGGTGTTGCGAAGATCTCACGACTTGAAGATCAACCAGGACTGGTATAAATACACCAGTATTAAGAGGCAGCTCATCAAAATTCACCCAGCATCATCGGCCTCCCAGAACTAATATCACACTTTTCCTTGACAAGCGAAGTGTGAGCATTGCACATTGTTCTAAAGCCTATGCTTCTCGCCAATCAGTCATTTTTTTTTTGCAGCGTTATCCTCGATCTTGACGTTATACTATGTCTTCTGAGCCAAAGTATACGAGGCCTTACATCGTGCTCTACGACACCGAAGGCGGCAACGGAACGTATCATTGGGCACTAATTGTCCATAACCCTTGGCTTCGGCTTTCTAGCAACATTTCCGCGTACGAAATCAGGAGGGAAGGAAATTACTCGTGGGATCTGAATGTAAATAACCGCGTGAGACTACTTGAAAGTAGCACATTGCTATGCCTTGTCGAATTGCCGTACATCTCTCCGTCTGTGGCTCGTAGATTCTTTGCAAGGCAGAGTCCATCACAGGGAGTTACTCCGCTCCTTCTTGGGCAGACTGATTGGAACGGCGCCCAATGGGTAATTCGCTGTCTTGACCAGGCGGTTCAACACCAATACTTATACTCCTCGCTACCCGCTTGCCAGTCTGCTCATATTTTATACCGGTGCATCTTATATTCAAAGGGGAAGAGATTTGAAGATGCTACATATGGCCGACTCTTCTTCGACCGCATGCGCTCTTATGAGATTCTGAGTACGGTGATTGATGGGTCTATGTTCTTGATGTCAGATTTTGAAAAATTTACCTGTCCTGCATTCAGTCACACTACCCACCGGTCATGACTACTTAACTATCAGCCTTGCTTGCATCTATGGAGCGTAAGCTCCTTGCTTCTGTTCGTATGGAAGTGATCTATTCTGCTACCGACGGACATGATCGCCCATCTTTGCTCTGGTACTTGCTTGTGCGATAATACACACCTATGCGCCTGCATCATGATGTTTGGGAATAATTCATTACGCTGGTTTGTATATCATTGGCATGAAGATCCGAGTGGTTGCCCAAGGAGAAGCAGAATCAGAATCAGAACCCATACATCAGGTCATTCCTTTGATCTTCACCCGAAATCAAGATCATCGCGGGAGCGGATACCCGAACGCAAGGGCTATTTGTCGGTACGGTGAATACTCGAGCCCGCTTCTGTCGCTAGTTGTTCGGGACGGCTGCTCGTCGCGCAATGCACGTCAGGCTGCCTTCCTTATTTAGATTTCGAACTTGTGCCCTTTTCTCTTACCGCCATCTCAAGCAGGCCATTGGCTCCGTGAGTCATCTGATGTCTCCGGTGTGCTAACACTATTCAGGGTTTTATCAGAATGCCCCAAATGGAGCTTCGAGCTACATCCAGTGACTTAGTTGGTGAGAGGCATCCGAGGTAATTGCGGACGTTTCATTTATATTTAGCAGGGATGTCTGGAAAGAGCCCAGTTCGACCTATAATCGCAGTAGAGGCTGTAGCTCGTAAGCCTGTGCCTTCATTTGACAAGAATCATAGTCATACCTAGCGAACAGATTCTTTCATTTGAATGGAACACGTACAGGCACTGTGTCGCGACCGTCTGTATCTAGCGTTACAAAATCAATTTGGCAACCCCCTCGTAGCGGTTCTGGGGCGGTCTCAACTCACAAAAAGTGTCAGTGCTGGTCTTTATATCTGCATTCTGTAAGCACTACTTCGCTTCATTCGAGTGCTCGTATTCACACAGTACAGTGTACTCCGTATCCGTCCATCCTCTGGAGTGCTGAAGCTTAGGAGAGAAAGATCCGGGGTAAAGAATATGAGCTAGCCTGCTCTCGAGCATAGTTCAACATCATGGTTTCCTTGCGACTGATGACTATCACCCGTCATCAGTTTAAAATGATACGGCGCGAGTCTTCTTCTACATATAGGAAGGGACTAACACTACTTGCGCGTTCTCCATCACCGCACCCTCTCTTCAGCCCTCTGCTTTCGTCACTCCATGATAGCACCCTCGGACGCGGGACTCTCTGATATGGAGGTTCGGGCTTGGCTCGACGATTCTTTGAATTCTTACATCGTTGGGTATTACGTGCACGGTAAGTGATCAGAACTAAACGTCTTTGGAGATATGTCTTGACAGTAAAAAGGTGTTTATACCGGCCTTTTTGGAATATCAATATGGCTAATCCTAGGTATGAATGGTGGTGATCTAGCTCTGAACTCATTTTGTACTCTTTCTCCTTAAGCTGTTAAGAGAATCTCCAAGACACGAATATACATGGGATGCGTAATCACTGCTTTATACATCCTTTCTACAATCGCTGTGATTGCCTCGTGGATCGAATTCAGCGATGCTTATGTCTTTGGAATGTCTGCCCGAGCACGATACGATTTAATGTATTCATCCACGTTGTTGGAAATCATAGGGTGTACAGCATCAGCTCTGAACCTTATAATTGCAGACTGCACTATAGTACGGGTTCTTTACCTCTACCGGGATTACTATTCTTAAACAATTTTCCTTTAGATCTGGCGTTGTTGGGTTGTATGGATTCACAATTGGAAGGCAGTGATCCTTCCGGTTCTCCTTGTCATAAGCGAGATAGGTACCCCGTTTTACTCTTCATTTTTCAAGCACTTATCACCTTTGCAGTCTGCGGAGGTATTCTTTTACTTCGTCAGTTCACCGTGTCGTCGTATGACAACATTGTGCTAAAATGGGCTCTGGCCACCATGGCTACAACGTTGGGAACTAACATTCTATGCACCACTCTCATTGTCGCACGCATTATTCATGTTGCCAAAATGCATCGCGGTGTTATGGGCAGCATACGGACTTATCGTGGTGTTATAGGGATCCTTGTTGAATCGGCTGCACTGTATTCCACCATTTACGTGGTCCTGATGATACTCTATCCTCTCGAGGGTAATGGATATATGTATCCCCAGATGTTGGTTTATCCCATCACCGTATGTCTCATCACTTCAATTCGCATCGTCTTTTACTTCACAAACACTTAGGGTATCACACCTACCTTGATAATTGGACGAGTAGCCTCTGGACAAGCTCGTGCCGAGGACTCTTCACATGGAGTTCAATCTTCTTTACACTTTCAGACACCTCGTGGAAGCACTATTGAAACGATGACGGACGACTTAGATGAAGATACAATAAGCTATCAGAGAGATATGGAAGGAGCTACACCTATTACAGGGCGGCTTGAGTCATCTGGTGCCGAACTTGTTTGAAACAAAGGGAGAGATAGTAAATAGATCAGCGCTGCGTAAATGTAGCCACCAATGAACTGCTCATAATCACAGTGGCGATTGACTATCTTGTCTAGCTTGAAAAGCACAATCAGCTCTGTTGGATAAGGCGGTGAATTGGCAAGCGACAGGGAACCCCTGAAGGCAAATGCACAAGGGTGTTCCGCTCTACATACAGACTTTTATATACTTTTCAAAGAAACTACTAGGAAGCTCATGGAAATAAAGGAAACTCGGCTGAGTAAAGAACAGTACATATGATACTTACCAATCCCGATAGTGAGTCTGACGAGTGGGGGCGCTTGCGGTGATCCGCACTAGAAATATCACAAGCTCTACTTGTACATGGACAGTCGAAGACCACCGGTTGGTCGTAGTCATAGAAGAATTCGGTCGGCTACGATGAAAAACGGTTTCACCAAATGACCTGAGAGCAAATGTATTGTATTTCAAAGCAGATTTCAGAAGTGTAGTAAGAATATGCCAACGTACTTGCTTTATGTTACATATTGATGATAAATTGTGTCGTATTCTACATTGAACGGAATGGCCCTCTTGTGGTTTATCTTTAATCATACCGATATGTCTCCTATCGCTGGTTTCAGGTCGCTGAAAGTCGACGTCGTCCAAAGGTGAACGCTATTCGGCCACTCGGGAGGCAAAAACGTCGTTGACTTCTGGTCATACGAATATTCGACATGCTCAATATGCTCGCAGAGTTGATCCTCGTCGTCCGCGATCATATCGACAAACGTATTATCGGGAAACGGTGAAGGAACAGTCGCCTCTGATGAATCCGTTGGCGGTGGAAGGAGCTGTTTTACCTCTACACTCTCTAACGGACTTCCCCGCAGCTTCCTCTCCTTCGCTAGCTCGCTTATATAGAACGCCTGGATTGCCCCGGGCGGTCCCTCGATAGACAACGAACGGAGTAAAGGACACATCACGTGCCCCTCCGTCACATCACCACAGTTATCCGGTTTGAGAGGCCCGAGAATAACTCTCGACGACGTCCATAACGTAGTTGGCGGCTGAATGCAAAGGTCAACGAGACTAGGCAGGTGTTGGAACGTATCGCGCCACAATGCTGTCGTCATCGCGGGGTTAGTGAGCTGGTCTTGTATACAGAAGGTGCGAACTTCGGATAGAGGGAAGGTGGAGGGTATCTTCTCGTAATGGTCGTGGGAGAAGATGCCGTGAGTGTAGAGAACACCTTTGGCGACTGCGATGATAGTGTACATCGTGGATGGCATACATGAGAGGCGCCATTCGGTGATGCCGTTGAGATTCTTCAAGTTGGAGCGGTCCGAGGGGAGGAGGCGCGATAGATCTCCATTCATACTTCCGACGGCAGGATCGTCACTCTGCGTAAGATCCGTCCAGAAATACATATTGGTGTGTGACGGGAGCGATAGGTTTGAAAGTAGTCGTTTCACATGAGCCAGATCACTGAGCTTTCCCCAGTGCAGTTCTCGGAGTGAACTGAGCTCAACAAGCCGATCGGGAGGGGGTGCTGGTACGTCTTCTTCATCCATGCGCGAGGGCCCGGCGGAAACCATAGCAAGCACCTCTAATGCTGGACATCCCTCGAGAAAGTCAAGGAATTGTGAGGTAGTAGGACGGGCGGACTGTGGTACGGGTTGATGATGGAAGCAGACGTGCGTGAGAGAGGTGAAGTAACCACTGGGCCATGTCGAAAAGTATTCAAGACATAGCTTCCGTAGTTTCGGCATTTTCCCATCGAATAATGCCGGAAGATGACTCCCTGCATCCACGGTTCCGAGTGTGTCGATGGTCAGACTGACAAGCTCTGGAGCAGCTCCCGAGGCCGAGAGCGTCTCAAATACGGTCGGCGTCGAGTGCTTCCACTCGGATAACCGCAAATGCAGCTCGCGCACTCGGTGGATGTGAGGGGATATCAACTCGAGATCTTCGCGGGAAAAATCTGCTTTGCGCATGCCAAAGAAGACGGATAGAGGAGCGGGCGACGAGCGCGAAAGAAATGTACCGGGAATGATATAGTTGTCGACGGTGGACCATAGAATAGGTGTGGTATCTATGATTAAGCGCCAGTGCTTGCACACATCACGGAGAGAAAGCCAGTCCCGGCTACGACGGTCGTAGACGTTGTTCTCGGGAACAGGAAGGAAGGAAGAGAGGTGCTGCTGATTTTCTCGGAATATGGCAATGAGAATCTCGATGGGGAGCTTGTTAACGGCTTGCAAGGCATTACGAGCGCTTCTGACTTGTGCCGTTAATGAGACAAGCTTGGTTTCTAGGTCATCCAGCTTGGTTGCAACTTGCAGTCAGAAGATGATACACGCCAGATTGATTTATTACTCACATCCGACGAGCGCAGTTCCTCCGAACTACAGAACACAGGGATAAGCCATTCTGAATATAGCAAATAAGCGCCCAAGAAAGGCTTCTTACCTGTGCAGTATTCTGTATGACAAGGCATCCACAAGTCGATGAGCACTATAATTGACAGCAGACGGTCCAAATATGACATATATCACGACTGCACAGAGCACTGTGAAGAGGTGGCTCGAATCGAACATGGGTGACGAAGAACAAGCTGGGACAATCCAAATTTGGCAATGAACGCTTGGGTCTATTAATTACGGTAGCTATTTTTAAACATGCGTCTGCAGCATAGTATACGCGTGGCAGGACATAGGAAACTTTTAGGGTTCGCCCTGGCTACCTTCGGTTACGAGAATATTACCGAATCTGAACCCCTGACTTCAGACATTACCCATACCGTGAACTAGACGCATCTGACTATTTGCACCCGTAGTCTCTGTGGGCCAAAGATGAAGTCAACAGCACCAAAAGAAGGGCGCCTCATTGTAGGCAGGCACTAATCGCATGAGTCCTGATAAATTCCGATTCCCTGTGGCCACCGGCATCCAGGCACTGAATCGGAAGATTTACGCAAATTATCAGGACCATTTTCTTTCTATCTGGAAACCCGGAACCGCCTTGGTTGGGCATCCGCTCATACAATACAGCTGCCAACCGAAGCATCAAAGGAGCCCTCGTCGACAGCTTCGAGATGCCACCCTGACAGCCATGGTTAACCTTATCATTTCTTCACCTTTTAGATTGAGATGTTTGGTACCGGCTGATGTCGGCACAGTAAAAGGAACCGAGGAACCGAGAGACCGAAAGGTTTATGTGTCGAACATAAGGGTATAGTCCGATACAAGTTTTCATATTTGGCTGGAGGTAGACACTATTACGCCCATAGAGGTAGGCAAAAGGGTATTGTGAATATCGTACAAGTCAAAGCCCGGGAAATGGCTTGGCACGGTACATTTAAGTTCGAAAGATACACTTTTACCTTCAGAACGACATTATCAAATTAATTCTCCAACAGCAGAGTCACCGGAAGCTCACCGAGAGAGAAGAGGGAGCTCAATCAACCAGCTCCCGTGAAGGCTATATGAACACCGCCGAGCTTTTACGCCGCTACTCTCTCTCGTGGCTGGAGCTTGGCGCTTCTTCAGATTCCAACACACTCGAACGCTCTCGTCCCTTGCCTTTAACGGAAGTCGATCTACCACACTCCCGGTGTACCATAACATCTGCTGTTGTCGTATCTGCGGAGCGCGTGCGAACTGCACCATGAAAGTCCAAAGGAGACTGGGGTCTATGCCAAGACTCTTCGGGCCGAGCCTGCCCTGAAGCAACTCGGGCTATGATCATCGTAGGTGCTATGCCCTAATAACTCATCAAAACAACAACACGAAACGGAAGCGAGGAGACGTACGGTGATAGGGTAAACCAACGCCTGGGCGAACATGTATCCGTTATTGCTGAGAGGGTAGAATATCGCGAGGAGCAGGTAAGTGATCGAATACAGCGCAGCAGATTCTACGAGAATCTCTATCACGCCACGATACGTTCGAAGACCCAAGTCAAACATGCCGCGCTGTCGTCTTGTCACACGGACGATTCGGGTGATAATCAGAGTCGTGCACAAGACGTTCGTTCCTAGTGTCGTGGCGATAGTGGCTACAGCCCATTTTGTCACAACGGCATCGCCCGACGACACCGTGTATTGATGAACGACAAGTTTGATCCCACAAACTGGAAGAAGGTAATGAGCGTCTGTTCAAATGATACAGAGGTCGACTCACATATCCCGCTCACCACGAATATAATGGGCAGAGCTACTATTTTCCAGCTTTGACCCCATACGACCCAACAACGCCAAATCTACGGGAAGGAGATGAGCGATAGCCTGGGAAGATGCAGACATACGTACTATCGTACAATCGGCAACGAGGACATTCAGAGCTGAGGCTACGGCACTCGTGACCTCTAACGACAGTGAAGCGCTTAGGCGACCATATCGAGACTGGGCAGATGTGCCATAGACCAGAGCGGTTCGCAGTTCAATCCATGAAACGGCGATCTGGATCGTACAGAGAACGTACAAGGTCGTGATCAGGCATCCCATGTAAATCCGAGTTTTTGAGATGGAGCTGGTAGCTAAACAGAATTAGAAAATGAGAAGACCTGTCAGTAGGAAGAAGATGAGCACCTAGAACCCATATAGATGTCGCATAGAGGCCAGTATAGATACCTGTTGGGCAGGTCACAATGAGTCATGCGTCAGAGCGCGTAGTCCAGATCGACTGACCGTGAATGAAGAACCCAAAGACGTAGGAGTTGAGAGTTCCATCGAGGTACACCTGTATCTCTTCCCCTGAAAGACCGTCGTCTATGGAAGACATGTCGACGTGACTAAAACAAAGGAGGAAAGAGGATCTCCGCCGTCGAACAGAGTGAAGGCCATCTTATATGCGAGGCACCGTTCGGCGCACCGGCAATACTGACGATGGAGGGGTTTGAATTTGATGAGGCGGGCTGACCGCCGCGAAAAAATCATTGTGATAGATCTTTGAAGGAAGACTGTCCTATAACATGGGAAATCAGCGACAATGATCGACAGGCTACCTCGAAGCTACGAATACCAGTGTGGTTTGAACTAGTATGTTACAACTGGGGAGTGTTCAGACCTGAATGCTACCAGTGGAGTCAATATGAAGCATCGGATGTAGAGCGAGATTTTCACAGAAAAGGTAGTCCACAAAGTGGGATTACACAAAAGGACAAATGATCATCTTGACATCACAGCTCAGTATCGATACATTGATGTGCCTTTCTGTTACAAGTTGACATCGCGTATACAGATCATGCTAAGATGCACAGAAGCATGAATGCATGATCCTCGAGGCTCGACGGTAAATTGATATTGGATTCAGAGCCAACCAATCAATGTCGTGCTGGTCAACGCATGCTCCTCGAATGTGAATGGATCTATTGATTATCACCAACTATTAGACTTTGGTATAAAAAAAGTGCCCATACTCACGACCTGCAGGGCATGCTCTTGGACTGGCTGCTCTCCCAAGTACCGGTGGCGAAAATGCCGAGAGCTGGTTCGGACCGGTAGCTGACAGACAGCCTCAGACGTCGACGTCGATTAAGCATGTCGCAGTGCTCGTCTCCGCTCAATGAACACTCACCTCCCAACGCTTTTGTCATGGTGAAACCGGTTTCAACGCAGACGGCGTATTCCTTCTCGCTCGTCTGTTTAACATGTATGCACGCTTTAATTTTGCTCTTGATATTAATCGCTATAGAGGACATAGGCGTAGGTAAAAAAAAATGAAGTGAGGTCTTCTTTTCTCCAGCATATCTGCGTCCCATCTCAATAACAATCCAGTGGCATAGAAGTAAGAAAGAATGACCAAAAGGGCGAGAAATCGTAACCTTGTACCTCATATTGATACCGACGTACTGAGAGGTCCGACCGAGCTTCTGCGACATGTCTATTCTGATTGCAAGTGAGGAAAGGGACATCAGCAGGTGAATTGGACGCACCTTGGCCCAATTAATCAGTTCCGTGCTCATCCAATTCCACCTGTCAGGTTCCGTCGTCATCGAAGCCGAGTAACATGCTCATTCCAGAGGGAAATCCATCGCCAGCAGCGTCAAGGTCAATGGGCTTCGGCGTCGCAAATGCACGAAACATCGGTTACTCGTCCACGAAGAAAGGTCCCCATTGCCCGCTGACTTTTCGATTAGGTCACCGGGCGCCGGGCGAGAGGAATGCTTGAAGTATTTGGAGGAGACAAAATCTCCTTGCAGGAGAGTACGAACTCTCACTACGAACTGAGCAGCGACAAAAAGGATAGGTAGCAGATCGAGGTCAAGGTCAGAAGCAAGAAATGGAGCGTGGGAAGATCGGGCATTGCAGGCTTCACCTCAACCACCACCTTCGTTTATGCTTCGCTCAGCCGACAGACGATAATGGGAATATCGACGCCGCCCCGTTCTTCATTGCTAGAAGAAATATAATTTCTGGGCAGGTACAGTATCTTCTCTCACTTGTTGCCCTCCGGTCTTAATAACCTCTTTCTGCTCATTCAGTTTGACATAACAGTCGGCAGTCACAACTAAACGTATTCGACGTGATGCCAGTAGTAAGGGCACAAAAATGAAGTACAGTACGTCGTCTCAATCTCGTTCTTGCATCCTGTTTCCAAGAAGTCTAATGTGCAGGAATAACTTTTAGGATGAACATCAAATTCGTGGTGGAGGAGGAGTTTTTAGTGGTGACGGCAGCAGCAACAGCGATGCGGCTAGAATGGAGATCTCTTTGGACCTCCGCCCGCATACATCCACCTCGCCGGCTCGCCTTGTTAGAGAAGAACCCTTCGATGGTGTGTACCTCTTTACTGCGACTGACAACGTTCCGCTAATACAGAGTGGTGACATCGTGGCTAGTTTCGATGACTTTCTCTGGAATGACTCTCGATCATCGCTTCGAGCGGGAAGAAAATTTCACACGGCCAGTGAGCCTCGGTTTCGCCCATGCGACTCAAATTATATCGATGAGCAGCAGACCCCTCACCCCTCTATCACTGCCTTCAAGTGGTCATATACTCGTTCCTCTGCCTTCGGGATAGCATTGAGAACCACAGGCGGCGATGGTATCAACTACAGCCCTTAATCTTCAGCTTTCTTCATCGGAGGTACGTGCTTTAACATCGAGTACTAGCGTGCCCGTGCTAACATCGACTCCAGCTCTGGTTACGCCCGAGCTCTCTGTCACAAATGGAATATTTTATCATCATTTTCGAATGGTGGCATAAGCTCGTCCCTCACGACTCGTCTCACTCCTAGCAGGTGACTAACTCATGCCGGTCAAAATGCAAGGGAAATAGTAGAAATACAGATGATATTTTGACTTAGAGTAAAATGCGTCGGCTTTACCATTAAGGGAAATCCCGACTTATTTTACTGTGGGTCAGAGTTTGATCTATTATCCATTTATTTTCCCAGATTTTTGTCCGACCTGAAACAGTCACTTACCAGGAGTGGATCTCATTCGTAACCGTACTTAGGCATGGTCACACGATGAACGTAACGGTCGTTGATCTACTACAACTTAAGTCATCGGAGGGCGATAGGCGCTCCAGAATCATTTCAAGTTAGGCGCCTGCACGTGCGAAGCCAACTGGATTCAACTCCGACGTGTGGCTTCTTTGCTTCCACCGTCGTCGCCCCCCAGTCTGAATCGATCACTATGGATCACTCTGACAAGTACGTAGGGTGGTTGGATGCTGCCGTTTCACTGTCGCTGATATTGTACCGTCAGTCCTTGGTCATCTCCACCTCCAAGTTACAGTACCTTCCCAAATAACCGTCCAGGTACTGATCATGGTACTGATCATTGTAGTGATCTAAGTCTTGACTCTGATATTCCTCCTAGGTCCAAGCAATGAGCGGACACCACTAAACCAGCCAAAACCCAAGAGGATTAGGAAGTGTTCATCTACCTTGAATGTCCTGATCGTCCTCCTCTTGCTAGTGGCCTTCACCTGGCACTGTGTCAACGACTACTCCAACATCCATCGCACGGACGTCCAGGAAAAAATCCGCCAACGTCAGGAGTTGGAACGTTTAAAGCGGATCGAGTACGAGGACGCTCAGCGAAAGCAAGCGCATGAGCGGGAGGACGAAGAGCGGCGGAAGGTGTTTGAAGAAGAGGACCAATGGAAGAGAAGAGAGAGGGAGAAGCAAGATAGAGAAATCGAGCGTGAAGAAACTAGGCGGAAGCTGGCGCATGAAGAAGAAGACGATAGGAGGAGGAGAGAGAGAGAAAGAGAAGACAAAGCGATTGAGCTCGAGGAAAAACGGCGGAGGTTGGCGCATATGAAGGAGGATGAGCAGCGGCGGTTAGCACACGAGAAAGAGGACAGGGAGAGGAAGGAAGAGAAGGGGAGGTGGGATAGAGAAATCGAGCAAGAGGAGCGCCAGAGAAGGTGAGATCATTGGCAGGAGGATGAACAGAGACGGCGGGAGCACAAGGCAGAGGACAAGAGGAGGAAGCTAGAGAAGGAAAGAGAAGAAAGAGCCATCCAGGCCCGAGAGAGCCTCGTAGCGCGCAGAGAGCATGCCATCCAGGCGAAGGAGGATGCGATACGGGAAGATGAAGAACGCAGGAAGCGCGCAGGGCTAACCTGGCACGACTTGACGGCGGAGAAGCAGTGTTTGAGTTACGAGACGAGGATGTATCACGCGGAGCTGGTAAACATTCCCTATGGAGAGGATGCAGAGAGTTGGTGCATGAAGACGGTTATCGACATCCATGGAGTCACGTACGACCATCCAGACTTTTGCACGAAGGAGAGACACTGGGTGCTTTTTTATCGATTTTTCGAAGGTTGCAGTAGGCGCTTATTTGCTTCGCTGTCTAGAATGGTGCCATTAGTATTGTTGGACATTGGACCGTAACGTCGAACGAACCGACGTGCAAGACATGGTGGAGTAATCACGAGAAGAAGGTAAGTATTTACTACAGATACATAAAATCATGCATGAGCCGATGATCCTTTCTCTAGGGCTGCTATGGCACCCACAAAATGGTACGTCAAGTCGTCTTATGCCTTAACTGATACTAAATGTCAACTCAGCGTGTTGAAGCACAAATGCTCAACCATCAAGAGCCTTGGGACAACTGGGCTGAGATGTGCTTCTCCACCCCCTCTGAATTCGCCTGGAAGAGCTTCGCTCACCCTGATACGTGCGAGAACAAGGTTGGTTATGTCCTGTCGCGCACCGATTTTGGGTGTCTCGCTGATTGCTTCTCTTTAGGGTAAATATGGTATCGTTGGAAGCTGGTTCATCGACGTGGATGAAAGCGAGTGCCCATGAACGATCAGGTTAGATATTTTTTGTTGTTTTTTTTTTCTGTTTCTCGCTATCGATCGATCATTGTAATGAACAAATTGTAGAATATATATCAACGATTCCAGCATTACGTTGCAAGCAATGCGCCGGGTAGGAATGCTGCTTCCGCTGCTCTAACGTGTAGCCGTTTTGGGATTAGAGAATAAGGTTGGCGACGGGTTGACATCGCGTATACAGACGATGTTGATATGCGCAAGCATGATCCTCGAGGCTCAGCGGTAAATTGAATTTGGAGCTAACCAATCAATGCCATGTTGGTCAACGCATGCTCTTGGAATGTGAATGGATTTGTTGATTATCACCACCGATTAGACTTTGGTACAAAAGTACCCGGTTTTAGCACAGAAGGCGTATTCCCTCTCGCTCGTCTGTTTGGCATGTATGTACGCTTTAATTTTGCTCTTGCTATTATTCACTATAGAGGACGTAGGCGTAGGTGAAAACATTGAAGAGAGGTCTTCTTTTCCCCGGGATATTAAGCTGCGTCCCATCTCAGTAACAATCCAGCGGCTGGCATGGCATACAAGTGAGTAAGAATGAACAAAAGGCGAGAACTCGTGGCCTTGTACCTCGTATTGAGGGGTCCGACCGAGCTTTGCGAGATGTCTATTCCGATTCGCAAGTAAGGAAAGGGACAACAGCAGGTGAATTGGACGCACCTTCGCCTAATCAATCAATTTCGTGCTCATTCGAATCCACCTGTCAGGTTCCGTTGTCATCAAAGCCGAGTAAGATGCTCGTTCTAGAGATAAATCCACCATCAGCAAGGCCAACGGGCTCAGGCGTCAAAAATGCACGAAGCATCGATTACTCGTCAACGAGTAAAGGTCTTCATTGTCCGCTATCAGGTTACCAGACGAGAGGAATGCTTGAAGTATTTGGAAACAGAAATTTCCCATGTAAGAGAGTACGGGTTCTCATTACGAATTGAAGCAGCGACAAAAGGGTTAGGTAGCCGGTCGAGGTCAAGCTCAGAAACAAGAAATCGAGTGTGGGAAAATTGGCATTTGCAGTCTTCACCCCGACCACCACCTTCGTCTATGCATTATGCTTTGTCCTGCCGACACACGGCAATGGGAATATCGACCCCGCCCCGCTCTTCAAGTAACAGAATCTCTGGGTAGGTACGCGTCTTCTCTCTTGCTCGTTGCCCTTCAGTGTGAATAATAATCTCTTTCTACTCATTCAGTGTGAGGTAGCGGTCGACGGCCACGGACCAAACATATTTGGCACGACGTCAACAGTAGGGACATAAAAAAGGAGTACAGTACGTCGTTTTAACCTCGTTCCAGCGCCTTGTTTTCAAGAAGTCTAATATGCAGGAACAACTTTTAGGATAAACATAAAATTCGTGGGGAAGCCAGTGGATTGGTGACCGCAGCAGCACCGGTGATGCGGAAATGGATGACGATCTCCTTGTTTTGGACTACCACACGCATATATCTACCCCGCCAGCTCGTTTTGACAGAGAGGCGCCTTTCGATGGTGTGTACATCTTTATTGCAACTGTAAAGGTTCCACCAATATAGAATAGTCATACCGTGACCTATTCCGTCGGCCTTCTCTGTATCGACAGAAGAAACGCCTCTTGACCATCGCTTTTCGCCGGGAGAAAATTTTGCGCTGCGCTGTCTTGGAGGCTCGTTCCAATGTTATACTTCGGGATCCCCCGTGCTCTCGCTCTCGATGGCAGTGTACCTTGTCCTTATATCCAACTGCCCGTTAGACTTCGGCTCAGCTCCTCCGCATATATTCAGCCTGACGCACCCGCGTCGCGATAATACGCTCACAGATCTTGCTCTTTCCTGGACCCGTCACTTTTGGAGTCATGCATCCTGACCTCGGTTTTGCCTGTACGACTCAACCGATGCCGATTAGCATCCAGGCGATGCATTATCATAGACTCCGGTTACTGGCTCTATCACCGGTTCTCAACTGGGCATCAACTCGACCATCTGCTTTCGGGATGGCATTGGGAAACCATAGGTGCTGATGGGCATCAACTTCAGCCCGTCAATGTTTAACTTTCTTAGTCAGTGGTACGTGTTTTACATCGAGTATTCGCTTACCCGTGTTAACATCGACTCCAGCCCCGATTACGCCCAATATCTCCGACACAATTAGACACGTTTTCTCTGTCGTTCTTGAATGATTGTATAAACTCGTCTTGCACGATTTGTCTGATTCGTAACGGTACTCAAGCCAGTCACACTACGGAGAATTCGTCGAGCTACTAAACAACTTATGTCATCTAAGCGCGATAGACGCTCCAGAATCAATTTAAGTTAGGCGCCTGCACATGCGAAGCCAACTGGTTTCAACTTCCGACGTGCGAATGTTGTTTCTTTGCTCCCACCCTCGTACCCAACTTCGAATTAAGGCCTATGGATCAATTTGCCAAGTACGTTCGTTGATCAAACACCGCCGTTTTCACTATCGCTGATATTGTACCCTCAGCCCTTGGTCACCTCCACCTCCAAGTTACAGTACCTTTCCAAATGACCGTCCAGGTACTGATCATTGTAGTGATCTAAGTCTTGACTCTGATATTCTTCCTCCTAGGTCCAAGCAATGAGCAGACACCACTGAACCATCCAAAACCCAAGAGGTTCAGGAGGTGTTCGTATACCTTAAAGGTCCTGATCGTCCTCCTCTTGCTAGCGGCCTTCACCTGGCACTGCGTCGACGACTACTCCAACACCCATCGCACGGACGTCCAGGAAAGGATCCGCCATCGTGAAGAGTTAGAACGCTTAAGGCGGATCGAGCACGAGGACGCTCAGCGAAAGCAAGCGCATGAGCTGGAGGACGAAGAGCGGCGGAAGACGTTTGAAGAAGAGGACGAATGGAGGAGGTTGGCGCATGGAGCAGAGGATGAGCAGCGGCGGTTAGCACATGAGAAGGAGGACAGAGAGAGGAAAGAAGAGAAGGAAAGAGAAGGACGCAGGAAGCGCGCAGGGCTGATCTGGCACGACTTGACGGCGGAGGAGCAGTGTTTGAGTTACGAGACGAGGATGTATCATGCAGACCTGATGAACATTCCCTATGGAGAGGATGCAGAGAGTTGGTGCATGAATACGGCTATTGACATCCATGGAGTCACGTATGACCATCCAGACTTTTGCACGAAGGAAAGACAGGTGCGTTTTTATTGATTTTTCGAAGGTTGGAGTAGGCGCTTATTTGCTTCGCTGTCTAGGATGGTGCCATTAGAATTGTTGGTCATTGGACCGCAACATCGAACGAACCGACGTGCAAGACATGGTGGGGTAATCACAAGAAGAAGGCAAGTATTAGTTATAGAACGTAAAACTATGTATGAACTGATTGATGATCCTTTCTCTAGGGCTGCTACGGTTCCCACAAAATGGTACGTCAAGTCGTCTTATGTGTTACCTAAAACTAAATGCCAACATTTCACAGCGTGTTGAAGCACAGATGCTCAACTATCAAGGGCCTTGGGACAACTGGGCTGAGATGTGCTTCTCCACCCCCTCTGAAATCGCCCGGAAGACCTTTGCTCACCCTGATACTTGCGAAAAGGTTGGTTATGCCCTGTTGCGCGCCATTTTTGGACGTCTCACTGATTACTTCGATTACTTCTCTCTAGGGTATATTTGGTATCTTTGGAAGCTGGTTCATCGATGTCGATGAAAGCGAGTGCCCGTGAATGGTTGAGGTCGCCGGACTTGTATTTTGTCGTTTTTCGCTGTTTCTCGCTATCGGTCGATCATTGTAATTAACAGATTGTAGAATATATATCAACGATCCAACATCATGTCGATGCACCGGGTAGGGATGCTGCTTCCGCTCCTCTAACGTGTAGTCATTTTGGGATTAGAGAATAAGGTTGGTGACGGGCTGTCTCGTGAAAATCTTGGCCGTCCATTCTGATTGTTCTTAGATACAGAGCAGGGTTGTTGCAAGCGTGTCTAGTGATGCCGATGAGTGCGAGTGCAACACCCGTATAAGCCGCTTTTGTACGTATCATTATTAATGCAACAAGGAGTAGTGCCGCTTCCGCTCATAGAGTCAAGCAGCCTCACTGTGTAAATGCTATATCACCCATATTATCACTCGAACGGCTTCCTTCTGTTGCGGAAAGAGGCATACTGATATTCTGCATGGAGGTTCCAAGTCAGCTCATGGAATGCGATTTGCGGAACGTTACACTTACCGCCCCTGTTCCAGTCGCAGAGAAACCCGGTAGAGTGACATCCTGCAGGAAATTTTCAGTTCAAGCCATATGATGTCGGTCGGGATTGTTGCACACACCGTCTGTCCTGAATCGACTGCGCCGCTTTCGGTGTCGTGAGGCGCGAATCTGATCATCTTTCGGTGAACGTGCCGTCCCTTTGCTCCTGACCACATTGAGCTCTGGCGAGAATTGAGCCTAAGAAGGGTCAGAGAATTTAACGAAAGATGAAAGAGCTGGCTGTACATTGCGAGGAGCGAATTTATGTAAACTGTTGGTGAGAGTTTAATGTTAGATGGGAGGCAGACGGAGAAGCGGTCGAACACTGACGCTTTGGCAAAACCAAGTCAACTGCCGCGAAAGCAAGAGTATCGGGCCAGGCAATGTACTAGTAGGGACATTAGGGTTATAGGATAGGAAAGCCACAATATGATCGGCGGTTACTCACCGCCACAAGAGTGAAAAGCGAGCATGCGCTATGTAACGCATATGATTACTGATCAAGGGCTTGCATATATGAGATCCATACCTTGTCAAAACGCCCGAGATCACCACGAGCCGCATTAATCCTCCGATTATCTTGATCGTACTGGTATTCAAGCAAAACTTCAGACATGAGCGAGTCTATAACTGGGGATCAAAGGCACACACCTGGAGAAGCTAGTCATGGATCTGCCTTTGTGCAGGTAGAAGCACATTGTGCCGGCAATAACGAAATCAGCTCCGGCCATGGTAGAGAAGACAGCATATATAGATGTCTGCACAGGATCAAAGCCCCCGAGGCTGTCTTCATCAAGAGTCTAGGACCTACCCTGATAGTCGCAATTTCTAGAGTAGTAAAACTTGTCAAGGTGTATCTAGCAACGGAATTAACGAAGAAATCGATGATTCTACGAGTCTCACGGAGCTTACGTATCATACATCACATCTGGCAAGCATGGTCGAGTCAGTAGCCTTTCGTCGAGATCGTAAAAGCAATGCTCACAGAGTCCGGTGCCTGTAAAAGATTGACCAAGTCACTTCGTCGGCCATCTTTAGCCCGGAGGGATTTCTCACCAAATGTGGCTGCAACTGCGAGGAACTGAGAGGTAGATAGTACTGATGTCAGACTGTGTGCGTGGTATAGAAGGGAAGAAGCACTTACTATGAACCACGGCAAGACCATATGGAAATGCCGGCCGACTGTAACATGTGAGAATCAAGTTTCATTTAGACCGTGACCGGATTTCACGGAAGAAGACAAACGTTTCCATATTCTGACAGCATATAATCTGTGGTCTCGATGGCTGAGTCTTGCGGTTCATCACAGAGCAGATCAAAAGATACCCACGCTTGGACTCCACAGACAATCAGCATCTATCGTACAAGTCAAACACTTTGCGTCACTTAAATGGATCAAGACGAACATTTGCCAAGAACTGAAGCTAACAGGAAGATGAGACTCGTCATCTATCGCATAGGTGAACGAAGCAAAGAAGGAACGCTACCGGGAAGCTCCTTCGATTGAACTCAGAACCTCAGTGGAAATAAAATCTCTGAGTAAAACTTACGTACCAGATAACCCTCAACAGCGCGAAATAATTTCCAAACGATTTGATGAGATAGAAATAAAGCGCATGGGTGCTTAAGGCCACTTGAAGTGTATCGAGAATCCTGAAAGGACATACAACTTAGTACAATTTTTTTTTCGTTTTCCGGCATACCATAGAGAGACGACCTGTATACAGTCCATGCTGCATAAGGCACCCTTGGAGGGAGAATTTAGCTATAGAATCACGCACACCATATCGAAAGAGCCATGGATCATTAGGATTTTGCTTGTAATAGACAATAGTCTGCAGGATAGTTATTCCGTAGAAACTATAGTGCAAAGTGAGTATCGAGAGTACGCTTTGAAAGAAAGCATACGTACACAGCAGCTATAGTAGCCCCAATATAAACGGCTCCGAGGGTTGCCTCGATGCTCAGACTGGCAGGAGCTTCATCTATCGAATCCAGGATAAGGTGCGACATCGGGGGAGTCAGTGAATGCTACAGGGACATCACGGCACTTATATAGTATCCGGGCATGGTGTACATCAATAAGAATCGCGTCCGAAGACGGGTCTGTCATCCGGATCCCACGCAATTAAAACATGAGACGCGTGAGTAGAAGCGGTGTCATGATTAATTTTAACACCTACTTAGTAGTAGTGAAGGAATTTGCGCGCATACGAAGACCACTCCCATAACAGGCGCAGATCGTCTTTGATAATGATCAGAAGGACTCGGAGATACACCGCTGGGTCTGCCAATTGTGATTAATACTTAAAGGCTTGTGTAAAATAGCTAGTCAATGTATGAACGGCTTCGTCCGAGTGTGCAGGTAGAACTTTAGAGGTACGACAGTGGTATCGACCATCTACATCTCAGACTTGATTTCATCCGGGCGTTTGGGAGCAGTATATACTAGTATTTCAGGAGACCATACTAGGAATCTAGGATGAACTTGAGTCAGACTGTGCTAGCTTGGATCCATCTAAACAGTCCAAAGGACCTGGCCACAGAAAGGCGATACATTTCGAGGCTGAAACTAGGATAGAATCTCATCAAATCTCAAATACTTAGAACAGCAAAATAAGTAATCGTTGCTCACCCAGAGTGTCGTTTGACCATGCAGTCCGCATAAGTATGCACGGTCCATTTGTTTCCTGGTTTACCAGCCTTAAAAAAGCGAGTGGCGTCAGCGATAAATGAGTGGTAGCTGACGATCTCCGTGTTGAACCTTTTGGATGATATGAGTCTCGAAGATATAACATGACAAAGAGGAAGCAGCAGTCAAAGGGAAACTTGAAGATGGTGTACGCGTGTGGAGGGAGGCAAGGAGAGCAAAATGACATCAGACGTATGATTGTCGACTTGGAAGGCTTGAAAATCATTCATACACGAGTCGCCATGTACCACCACCGGAACTAGAGATGAAATGGGGAAAAGCTCGCACCGAAAAAGCCCGGGCCTCTGGCTACCAGTCACGCGATCCGGTCCGGACTCCGAATCTGGATTTATCCCGAGCGTCCCCGCTCCTGCCACCACCAAGAGCTGTGGTACGGCTGTGCTAAATGTGATTCTCCTATACTCCCTCTCCCATCTCAATTCGTATGGCAGAGTCTTTCTCGTCCTGGTGTGCCTCCGTGTGAGAATACTAATTAGTAATTACCACTTTCTGGAAAATATGGTATCAGCGTGCTAGTTTATCGAGGTCGACGAGAACGACTATTCGTAAAGTGCCACCAGTCTCTACTGTGTCCATGACAGAGGCCTTGCTTAATTTTACTATATCATTTCCTATTATCGACCATCGTAAAGGATAACCACTTTCTAGTGACAATGGCCATTGTAGTATGCGTAGTGGGGTATCAACGTTGGTTCCACTTCCGCTCGACTGATCGAACCGCACGCAGGTATAGGAACCAGATGAATGCCTAATCATTATGGAGAATGGTAGGACTGAACAGGAAGAGCTATATCACTACGCAAATATCATATCGCCCATGCTACTCGAATGACTTCTTTCGGAATCCGTCGTAGTTACGGGAAGAGGTATACTGATATTCTGAGAGGAATTTCAAGGTTAGCTAACGGAATGAGGGTCGCGAAACATTGTACGAACCGTGTCTGCACCAGTCACGGAGAGACCAGGAATAGTTATATTCTCAAGGAAACTGTCAGGTAAGCCAACCCCACCGAAGGGACTGTACACACCGTTTGTCGTGAATCGGTTACCTCACTTTCGGCATCGTGAGGAGCAAAACGGATTATTTTCTGGTCGACTTGACGTTCTTTTCCGACCGACCACATTGAACTCTTCCGGGAGTTCAGCCTGGGAAGAATTATTAAACTTACTCAGTAGGGATCAAAGGGCTGGACTCACATTGCGAGAAGGGAATTAATATAGACTGCCGGTATATCCTTGGTCAGAAAGCAAGCGAAAATGATTTAAACACACTGACGCTTTGGCAGAATGAAGGCGCAGATGGAAATGAAAATGAGAGTATCGGGCCAGATAACATACTATTAGGTTGGGAGAACAAGACGGCTCAGAGAGAGCTACAATACCATCGACGGAGATACTCACCGTCACGAGAGCAAGAAGGGAACATGCGCTGTATATCCTCATAATCAGCTCGCAAGACATCGAAAACACGAGACACATACCTAGTCAACAGCCCAGATATCACTACGACCCGCATTAATTTCATGATTGTCTTCGTAGTACTATGCCTCCAATTTTAGCAGATCCACCAAGGCTTATGATCCTATACGCACCTCGACATGCTAGTCATAGACTTGCCCTTGTGCAGGTAATAGCACATTGCGCCTGAAATCGTGAAGTCGGCTCCCACCATCGTGGAGAAAACCGCATATATGGACACCTTTCAGGAATAAGATCGCCGTCGTCGTGCCTGTTCGAATTAAGGGTTGTGGACCTACCCTGATATTCGAAATGTTTACAGTGCGTGACACTTAAACCCGGCATCTCGTTTATGGGTGGAATTTTCATATCTAGGCCGAGATCTTTTAGATTTGGAAGGAAAGTAGGCAATATACACATAGATTTGGATTTTTATAAATCACGTGACTTTTTCCAGATTTTGAGGGGGAAAACCCGATAGTAAGGGGCCAGTCCTATTGATAAATCTTGATGCCTCTCCAAACTTCATGGGATGTAAAGACTATCCGAGGATTTTACCGGAAGTGCTGGCACTATGGAAGCATCTCGCGAGGAATTGCAACAATATCAGCCGGATATACACCCATATATAGAAGTCAGGGTCGTCTCAGGGTCCAATTCCAGATTTCGGGGTGTCTCGAATTTTAAAAATAATATTGAGGGAAAAGTAATCAGATACGTTGAAAGTCCTTCTTATTACAAGTCGATTCCGATAGTTTTCTCCAAGAATGTGTGACATCACATGGCACAGTAGCGATCCCAAAAATAGTGGTCACGGGATGTCGATTTTGAGCGTCACGCACTGTACAAAGCTCGACAGGGTGTACCTGACAATGAAATCAATGATAAATGGTGATGGCTCCCAGGCCTTGGGTACTTACGTGTCGTAAATAACATCTGGAAAGTGTGATCGGGTCAGTTCTATACCGTGATTGGCGAAGCTATGGCTTACAGAGTCCAGAGCCTGCAAGAAAACTAAGTCGCATGCTCTTCCTTTAGGCCAACAAAATACTCACCGAATGTAGCTGCGACAAAAAGGAACTGCAAGTGAAATATCAATGCCGAGCCGACTTTGCATGGACGCCGCAACGAGGAAGAACGGCTTACAATGAACCAGGGCAAGACCACGTGAAAATGACGGCCAACTATAAAAGCACGACACATCAGAAGATTAACTCGACCGAATATTTGAAAGAACAAAAACAAACGTTTCCAGATTCTGACGGCATATAATCTGTGGAACCGGGATAAGTTGCTCCAACAATCTGAAGATCAAGGAGAGACACGCTTGAACGCAGAAAGCAACTATCATCTACAAACAGTCAACCAAGGATCACTAAATGATACCCGAAGACGCACATTGATCACGAACTGCAGCTAACGAGATTTGGGAAGAAGGGGATTCATATATTACGTGCACAGCAAGGAAGGAATGTTACCCGAAAGCTCCTACAAGCGCTATCAGAACCTGATAGATGGCCGAACATTGTATTTACGTACCAGATGATCTTGAAAAGCGTGTGATAATTTCCGAATGATTCAATAAGATAAAAATAGAGTGCATGTGCGCTCAAAGCAACATGGAGCGTATCGAGTACCCTGCAGATTGTAGTCCGTAAGGTACGCCTTGGTATTTAATTCTGGCTTGCGGGAAACGTACCATAGTAAAGCGACCTGTGCAAGTTTCAAAATGCATAAGTGAGTTCTTCTAGCGTGTGAGTTTAGGATTCTGTACCATGTAGCGAAAGATCCATGGGTCGTTAGGATTCAGTTTGTAATAGATAGCTGTCTGAAGGATGGTTATCCCGTAGAACCTAGAGCGTGGAATAAGTATTGAGAGAGTAAAGTCTGAAGAAGAGCACATGTACACTGCAGCAATGGTAGCTCCAATATACATTGCTCCGAGCGTTCCTCCGATGCTAAAGTTGGAAGGTGTACTAGCTGCCAGCACTGGAATACAAAGTGACGACATTTGGGGGTTAGTGTCAAGGAAGCAGGAGGTCACTTATATACCAAGGGACGGCATAGAATACTCGGAATCACCTTCGAAGATGGCCTGCCATTGAACCTTGTTGATAGGCAAAAGTTCCGGATCTCCAAGTCCCAATTCAAGTGCTAGATGCGCACTGAGCAGGAGCGATGTCTATGTCACTTCCATAGCATAGAATAGATCTTGATCACTAAAGGCTTGGAATGAGCGATGGTACGAGAGTAACTCGGAAAACGGGCAGCGTAGGTCCTCATTGATAAGAATCTGTATCATGGATATGTCGTGGGTGCGCCAGGGATAGATCGCCGTAATTCATATTACGTGTTTCCGTGTCTCGGGTCAACATTTGAAGATCAAGATCATGTACTGCTTGAGTTTGGCTTGAGTACTGAAGTCACGGCGCAAATGACTTTGTTGGGGGACGGGACTTCGCAAACAGCTGGAAAAATATAAGTATAAGTCACGCTAATTTTGAATTTCTACAACATACTGCAGAGACTGGAGTGTCCAAGAAGTATCTCGTAAAGTAACGAGATTGCTAGGTGTATCACTTTGAAACTTTTATGTATTCACATATGTTGGAGATCGAACTCGGTAGTATACCCGTACTATATTTGGCCTGCTTACTACTCGATTACGTGACATTTGGTACCTTAATAATGATATCCTCCGCCCGTTTGCCATCATTTCAACATCGACAATGGTCTTCACTTCCTGCACGTTCTCTTTATCGCTGGCTTCTATATAACATCACCCATTCAAACACTCAAAACCCTCACAACATCGTCTACACTCCCGCTCATGCCAATTCAACATCTATGCCTTCTCAAATAAATAACATCGCTGATAACCTCGCCACCTATGTTCAAACAACATTATTTCGTCCTCCTCCCGCTCCAGTACCTACCTTTTTTATGGATCATTTCGTGTTATATAATTCCATCGACGGTTATATTGAATCCAACATTCCATCCTACGTGTCTTCGGCCCTCACAGCCAACACCGTGGCTCATGCCAATTTCCGCCCTGCTACCACTATGCTTCTGCCTTTGTACGACAATTACGCTCCACCCGAACACCCTTACATTCGAGCCTCATCCGCGTACTCTGCCGTTGTACAGCTATACGCTCGCTCTGCCCAACTTGACTGCGCATACACAAGATTCCTTCGATTTGGAGATATGTCTCCACTGTGTCCTTGCCGGGTGTAATGAATTGGAAACAGTTCATCATGTCTTCGTCGTCTGCCCATCATTTAATCACCTGCGCGACGAAGCAAATGAAGCCATACACACCCATACCGCCCAAATACTGCACAATGCAGACGTCCCTTTATCCATCTGCGTACCTCTCCTACATCTCGTACACAGAATCTTTATGGACGGTAATCATTGGCCTCGGCATATCTCTCAGTACTATCTTGGAATCTTGCCACCACTCCCATCTGCGCTCACTGTAAAACGGTCTCCCTTCCAGAGCAGGCGGTTGCAGACACGATTCCTGCATACGTGGCACTCCGCAGCTATTCGGCTCGCAGGCAGGATATGGAGTGAGCACCAAAAGATGATCCGCGAGACACGTACATGTGGACAATCAGTGCCCCCAAAATCTAAACCGTCGACTGTATCTGTTCCTGATTTCTTGACCGATATTATACAAATGTCCTGAAAACAACAGTCTAGCTATCTTACTTTACTCTACTTAGATTTCCTCTCCTTTGGTCTTATTGACGAGTCGGCGAGGTCCACAGTAGTTTACTATTGTTTACCTGAGCTTGTATTAGCGGAGTCGACCAATTCATACTGTTTTACTGTTTTGCTTGTATTTAGCAGAGTCGACCAATAGTAACTGTTTCATCCTTTTGACCACCACGACGACCGCTTCTCGAGCTTCCTCTATGCCCATGTTCCTGATTTCCAACAACATATGCAGGGTCCATTTGTTCGTCCACGGCTCATCGACCTTGAATACCCATGACGTGGACGGCGAGCCAGTGGGATTACCATACAATATACGGTTCAGAGGGAAAGAACGCGGTGTGGACGGTGAAATCCGTCGGTTTGAATCTCAGGCGAGGCATCGTGGATGGACTGTCACTGAGAGAAGGTGACATCAGATATGTGATCGCCGTCGAACTGTTGATTGCGAAGCGCGTCGTGGGAAAAATCGAAATCGTCTTCTCGTCGTACAGACGTTATCATTCGACATCCATGCTCCGCTCAGCATGATTTGGGGGTTGCAGCTGTGCAGCCTTACCTGAGACTTTGATGACTTTCGACACCGCCTTCACCTGAAGATTTTCTCCAGTGACCAGTCCGAAAAATAATCCGCTTTCTAGATCTCAAAAATTCGCATGGGTCTGGGATCAATGGAGGTAACGACAAGCGGGTAATTAATCACACGTCGAAGGTCCAAAACGATGGCAACTTGTTGGGATAGGAACAGACGAGATGGTGTTGTACTGCAGGAGCATGTGGGGACCACGGTGCGTAAATTTACCCTTCATACAAAAAAATGGGCTATAGCTCACGATGACAATAAGGAAAGGACACGATGGGAGGAGAATCATTCTATACGTGGGACAACATTCATACATCCTGCGAATTTTTGAAAGTTCAACAGAATTCTATAGATTGCCATTACGGGTGCGTGGTTTCATGTTCGTGTTGTTAGAAGACATACGAATCCAATTTCTTCGCAGTGTCAGCTCGGGTCAAGTAGGGCTACCTGGCGCTGGAGACAAACGTTGCCAAAACGAGGGCGTTCCAGAGCCTCTTCAAGAAAACTACCTGCCTGTTTTTCGCTCTTTCCCTCGACCTGCCAAAAAAATTTGCCTGATGGGTAGAAGGGACGCAGACCCTGGAATCTCTCAGAGCACCAACGGCCGACATCGCTTATCCCTCAAATGAACGACGTCGCTCGCCACATCGTGTTACAAGCTTATTCGTAGTATGTCGTTTTTTCGGGGAAATTTTGAGTCGATCTTTACTCATGCAAAACCTGCTAGGAACCAACCAACTGAGATCTTTCCGAGCCTGTCAAAATGGCATACCGTTCAAAGTGTGCAGTCGTGTGATCGAACAGCGAAAGTTCCGGTTGGATCCTAGTGATCCTATTGCGAAAACACGGAGGTTACGGGAGGACAAGAAAGCAGCCAGGCTTCCGTAGCCTCTCGCATGGACATTAGCGGAACATCGTGACTTGTGGATATTATTTCACTCAATTTCCCGACCGTCCACTCATCGCGATCTCTTTAGATGTATTAAACACCTTCTGAACGCTCGTGGCGGAGGTTGGCAGGAAAAGCCGTAATTATCAGCACCAACAACGACGAAGAAAGCATTGAAGTCAACGATCCTTCTTCATTGGAAAGGGGGCGCCTGTGTTCCGGAGTGTGGCTCTTCGTTTGCATGACTGGAAAACTTGCTAATGAACGTCTTTGTAGCACCTTGCAACACTTCTTAACGAGTTTTTTTCAGTGAGGCTATGTCGCTCTTTTCTCCGGTCTTGCGGAACAAATCGCTGTATGTCAACGAGAAACCAATCAGTATGCTGTCCATTAGCTAACGCAGATGTTCAACCTCAGCCTTCCTCGGCGTTCGTGTTACCACTGCCTCTCTAAGACTATCCATTGTGTTCGAGGTTGTGGCAGGTATGCCATGTTGGCCTGCATTTCGAGCTAATGTTAATGATTTTGAGCTCGGATGTTTTAGCACAGCACGTTGAAGTATGTTCACGCTCGATTGCCAAGCCACGCGAAGACGTGTTCTGCACCCTCTCAATTCGCCTCGCAAAGCTTCGCCTACTCTGATTGTGGGAGAACGAGGTCGGTGATGCACTGTCGCGATCAAATCTCTGACATCTGTGCTGGTTTTTCTTCTCCAAGGCAAGTACGGGATTGTTAGAAGCGGGTTCATCGATGCCGATGAGAGCCCGCGTTTTTAACAGTGTGCTTGATCAGTTTTATCTTTGTTGCGATCATTAGAATAAATTATATCTAAAAAAGAACCTGTATCAAATGATTTCTATCGTACGTATCATTGCGGCGTGCGCTTCCGCTGTGAAGTTGGCAGAATATCTAGATACAAGTAAAAGGAACTACGCAAATGCCATATGACCGATGCTACCACTCAAACGGTTTCTCTCCATTATGGGGAGAGGTATATTGATGCTCTAACAAAAAGTTGCAGGTCAGCCAATGGAACGTTTGCGGAACGTATAACATACCGTCTCTGCTCCGGTCACCGAGAGACTGGGTATTGTGATATTCTCATGGGAACTGTCAGGCAAGCCAATCGCACTGAAGGGATTATACATACCGTCTGTCCTGAATCAGTTACCGCGCTTTCGGCATTATGAGGAGCAAGTCGGATTATCTCCTTGCAGACATGGTGTTCTTTTCCGATAGACCACATCGAAGTCTTGCGTGAATTGAGCCTGGAAGCAGCTATTAAATTTGATAGGGACAGATGGGCTGGACTCACATCGCGAGTAGGGAGTTCATGTAGACTGTCGATATCTTAGTCATGAAACAAGCGAAATAGATTTGAGTACTGACGTTTTGGAAGAATGAAGGATCCAATGGCGACGGAAATGAGAGTATCAGGCCAGAGAATGTTCTATTAGGTTGGGGGAAAGATGAGAGAGCACCACAATATCATCGACAAAAATACTAACCGTCACGAAAGCAATAAGGGCAAATGTACTAGATACATTCGTGGTAGGCTGGCAAGGCATTGTAAACATGAGATCCTTACTTGGTCAACAGCCCGGATATCACTATGACCCGCATTAATCTCATGATTATTTTCGTGGTGCTGTTCCTCTGATGTTAGCAAATCCACGATGGATCATGATCGGATACGCACCTGGAAATGCTAGTCATCGACTTGCCCTTGCGCAGGTAATAGCACATTGCACCGGAAATGGCGAAATCGGCTCCCACCGTACTGAAGGAGACAGCGTACATAGTTATCTTTCAATGATCAGTTCCTTGTTCTCATGTCAATTTGAACCAAGAACTTGGGAGATACCTTCAAAGTTGAAATTTCCGTAAAGCCCGAGAGGTTGAATCTGACAATAATATCAATGAAGTACACAGTACTTCTTCCCAGGAGGAGGCCTACATGCAGTAAATCCCATCTGACAGGTGTGATCAAGTCGGTCCTACGCCATAAATTGTTACAACTGTGCCACTTACAGAATCCAATACCTGCAAGATAGTTAAGTCGGCATGTTCTTCCTTTCAGGCCCAATGAAGGCTCACCAAACGAAGCTGCGATAAATAGGAACTGAAATATCAATGGCGAATCTCATAGTAGGTATTGCAAAGAGGAATAGAGACTTACAATGAACCATGGCAAGACCACATGGAAACGACGGCCAACTATGAAAGCACAACACATCAAAAGATCAACTTGAACGACATTTGAAAGAACGAAGACAAACGTTTCCAAATTCTGATGGCATATAATCTGTGTAACGGGAGTAAGTTGTTCCCATAATCAGAGGAGAGCAGGTCAAGGAGAGACATACGCTTGAACAGAGTTAGAAACGACCATCTAGGAACGGTCAAACAGTAAACTAGGCTCGGCGCTCAATGATACACTGAAGCGCACATTGAAAGTCATTTGCAGCTGATGGAATTTGGAAAGAATGATATTCATATATTGTGTGCGCAGCAAGGAAAGGATATTACCGGTAAACTCCTGCAAGCGATATTAAAACTCGATGGATGGCTGAATATTGTATTTACGTACCAGATGATCTTTTGCAGGACGGTATAATTTCCAAATGATTTGATAAGATAAAAGTAGAGAGTGTGTGTGCTCAACGCAACATGGAGCGTATCAAGTATCCTGCAAATTATGGCATATCAAGATATATCCTGATTTGTTCCCGGCTTACAGGAAACATACGATAGTAATGCAACCTGTGCACATTTCAAAATGTATGAGAGGTCCAGCACCAGAGTTTAATATCCCGTACCGCATAATGAAAGACCCGCGGATCATTGGGATTGACTTTGTAATAGATGGCAGTCTGCAAAATACTGATTCCATAGAGCCTAGCGCATGTAATTAGCACTGAGAGCAAATTACAAAGGAAAGCATACCTACACTTCGGCTATGGTAGCCCCAATAAATATCACTCCGAGTGTTGTTTCGATGAAGGATGTATCAGCTACCAGTACTGGGGTAAGAGACGACATCTAGGAGTTAGTATTGAGGGATCATGGCATCACCTTTATATGAACGGATAGCACAGCCTTTTGAATCACCTTTGAAGATGGCCTACCGCTGATTCCTATTGATGGAGAAAGATTTCGGATCCCTCATGCTCAAACCACGAGACGTGACAGTGCAGTGAGCAGGAGCAATGTCTGTGTCGGCGCCGTAGATCATGTACTCGTTCTTCATCAGAAACGTATTTGGATGGGGAAAAATAAGAAAGTAACTCGGAATATAGGTGTAGGTTGTCGTTGGGAAAAAAAAACAGGGTTGTCTTGCGATACCTACCATGAGAGACTCGGAGATACGCATCCTCATGTATCCTAGTACGTATCGTGTCAGCATTCGATGATCATGATCATGTACTCCTTGATCCTTCTTACAGCACCTGTTAATAGTCTTCAACAAGATTCAGTTCAACCAAACCATCCGAAAGGGCCGAGACAGATGGGTATAAGAGCTGCTATTCGTTGATTATCAACTGGACACGAGTCTCGGATTTGCAGAGACCGGTATATCTCGTAACAGATCGATTCTCAATACCTCAGTGAGGTGGTGGCAGCGATAATCCCATCAGACACGTGATTGTGTTGCGCAATGCTGCGGTCTGGGTTCCCATCGCTCTCCCATATCGGTACAACATCCAGTACTTCGACAGAAAAGGCATCAATTCTACCATTACGTGTATATTTGGAGGTTGCAACTGCGCAGAATTAAATGCTGTAGACTTTGACGACTTTGGACACTGCCCTCTCCTCTTAGGATCACATCTAACAGATACCGAGTGCCTTAGGCATTCTTGCATCCGGAAGATATACGATTGTGCCTTCAAACTGATTGCGAAAATTCCCGTGGGTCTGGGAACAATGGAAATGGAAGCAGTTCTGACGACTGCCAGCTACACGTGAATAACGATGAGTCAGCAGTCGAAAACTACGCTTTTTCCCTCAGCTTTCCACAGCACATTGCGACACATATTGAAGAGAATACCATTCTTCAGCCAATGTCTCTGATGATTCCCAGAATTACTCACGCGAGCTATACTTCGCACACCGACGACTGTCGTTGTTGTTTATCCGTCAAATCAACCATGACACTTGCCGCATTGTTTACGGGCTGTTTTGTAGTACGTCATCCTGGTTTTCAGGATTTTGAGCTTAATTCTCATGCACAGGCTGGTAGGAACCGACTCCGCATTGGTGATGCTGCGGATAGCAGTGCTGCTTCTGCTACTCCGATCTGTACTATGCAGAAGGATAGGACCCAGTCATCGGCGTAAAGTTGAATGACATGAAAGAACCATATTCTTATACAGACGTCATATCACCTGTACTACTCGGACGACTTCCTTCCGTTACGGAGAGAGGTACGGAAATATTCTGAAAGGAAGTTGTGGTCAGCCGATAGAATGGGATCGGGGAACACCGTACGTACCGTCCCTGTTCCAGTCAGAGAGAGACCAGGTATTGTGATATTCTCGAGGAGGGTTCCGCATCAGTCGATTGAATATCAGTTGCTGTAAGGATTGTACACACCGTCTGTCCTGAACCAACTGTTCTACTTCCGACGTGGTAAGATGCAAACTCGATTGTCTTGTCGTCAACAGGTCGTTTTTTTCCGACCGACCACATTGAACTTTCACGTGAATTCAGCCTGGAAAGAACTATTGAATTTAAAAGAGAACGATAGATGCTAGACCCACATTGCGAGTAAGGAGTTTATGTAGACTATTGGGCGAGCACTCAGTCGTAGTCAGGAAGCGGTTAAGAAATAATCAAAGACCTACGCTTTGGTAGAATGGATGTACCGAGGGCCATGAAAATAAATGTCTTTGACCAACCAATGTACTGTAGGCTGAGAGTATCAGAAGGGAAGGACGCAATACTGTTGAGGAGCGCTCACTGCCACGAGAGTGAGAAGGGAAAAGACGCTAGGTATGCTCATGATCAGCTCATAGGGTACTGAAAACACAAAATCATACCCTGTCAACATCCCAGATATCACTACGACTCGCATCAATCTCACAATGATTTTGGTCGTACTATCTCTCATACTTTAAGAAAAAAACATTCATACGTCTCAAGGTCAGTGACAACGCACCTGGAAAAACTGGTCATTGTCCTGCCCTTGTTGAGGTAGAAGCACATTGCTCCAGAAATGGCGAAATCGGCCCCCACCATCGTGGCGAAGGCGGTGTATATGGATATCTTGTTAGAAACAGATCCTTGTCCTCACGTCCGCTTGAATTAAGAACCTAGGACGTACCCTATTGGTTAAAATGTCTGAAAGGCTCGACACAGTGTATCTGATAATGATATCAATGAAGTAAAAGGCAATATATCCCAGGTGCTTACGTGTCGTAAACTGCATCTGGCAGGCGCGAGTAAGTCAGTACCACGCCAACTTTGCGAAAGTGATACCTACAGATTCCTGTGCCTACAAGAAAGCCAATTCGTCATTACGAACCCCCTTCTTCAGATTACAGGAAAACTTACCGAACGTAGCTGCAACAGCAAGGAACTGCAAGTCAGCTATCAGTACCGGAACGCTTTCTATGAAGAGAAAAGAGCCAGTGGCAAGCCACGTACAATGAACCAGGGAAACGCCAAATGAAAATGACGGCCGACTACGAGAGCATGATGAATTGGAAGAACAGTTCAAGGGCTTACTCGGAGAACGAAGACGTACATTTCCAGATCCTCACAGCATACAGTCTGCCGCACCGATATATAAGCCATTCTGATCATCCGAGAGCAGATTGAGTGAGACGCACGCTTGAACTCCGTAAGCAATTAACATCTAGAAACAGTCAAACACGACTCGCAAAATGAATGACAAACGAAGATGCGCACATTGAACACAATCTGGAGCTATCAAGGCGAGAAGACTCGTTAATTGCACATCAATGCAACAAGGAGAGATGTTCACCGGAAAGCTCCTTCGTGTGAGATCAGAACAATGATGATCAAACAGGCTCCGATTTACATACCAAATGACCCTCGACAGAGCAGAGTAATTCCCAAATGATTCGATAAGATAAAAATAGAGTACGTGGGCGCTCAAGGCGATGTTGAGTGTATCGAGTATCCTACAATTTGATGGACGTCAAGATACAGTTTGGTAGCTTGCTGGCAGCATACCATAGTATAGCGACCTGTTAAGTCGTATGAGAAAGGTAGGAAGGGAGAACTCGGATCTCGTACAGCATATTTATAGACCCACGGATCGTTAGGGTTTACCTTGTAATAGATGGCGGTTTGCAGGATGGTGATGCCATACAAGCTAGAAAGTGGAATAAGTCCCAAAAGAGATATCTGAAAGGAAGCATACGGTACATTGCAGCTATGGTAACACCAATATAAACAGCTCCAAATGTATCTACAACACTCAGGTTAGGGGGGGTGGTGAGCGGGGGCATTTCTGGGGTCAAGTGGGGAGAACGTTAGGAATGAACAGCACACAACTTATATATTGAGGAAGGACATAGATTCAAGGTTTGAAACACCTCCAGAGATGGTCTGCCGTTCATTGAGAAAAGATCGGAATCTTTATCTTCGGTGCAAACATGAAACGTGCACCGCATTCGGAGCGCTGGCGGCGACGGCGTTGTGCGGTCCGGACATGTCGTGATCACATGATCCAGAGGCGTGATCACGACGCGACGCGAGCCTCGAGGTTGCTGAGGTTGATGCCGCACGCGAGGATTTACAACACGAGACCACTACTTAGCCCGGATGCTCCTTTATGGAATAAGTGATTTTAACACTGTTAAAAGGGTTGTTGCTAACACTATCATTCAATAACTAACCCATAGGCTTTGACGGGATGTGGAAAAACTAGCAATTGTCATTGAAATGTAGGTCATATAATCGAATTAAATAGGACATGTCATTACGCAAATGTCATACCACCCGTGCTACCGTTGGAATGATCTCCTTCCGCTACAGGTAGAAGTATACTAATATTCTGCAAAGGAGTTTCAAGTCGTTTAATGCTTTACAGTTCACGGAACGCGCTACGCACCGTCTCTGCTCCAGTCATGGAGAGACCAGGGATAGTAATATTCTCAAGGAAATTTTTCATATTAGGCTATTGAATGTTGGATCGGAAAGGATTGCACGTACTGTCTGTCCCATCCCACTTCCAGCACTATGAGGAGCAAATCTCATCATATTTTGATCAACAATTCGGTCTTTTCCGACCGACCAGATTGAACTTTTGCGCGAATTGAGCCTGGGAAGAACTATCAAATTTAAACTAGGACGACGGACTTTAGACCCACATTGCGAGTAGGGAATTTATATAAACTGTCAGTGAGGGATCAGTCGTAGTCAAGAATCGGGCAAGAGATAATCAAAGACCCACGTTTTGGTAGGATGAAGGCACCAACGGCAATAAAAATGAGAGTATCCGGCCAGACAATGTACTATAGTAGGTTAGGAGTATAAGAAGTGTAAAGACCTAATATTGTCGACAGAAACACTCACCGTTATAAGAACAAGAAGGTAACAGATGCTAGACATAGTCACAATCAGCCCGCCAGGCATATAAACACGAGACCCATGCCTTGTCAGAAGCCCCGATATTAGTACGGCCCATATCAGTCTGGCAATTGATCTCGTAGTACTATTTCTTCGGCTTAAGCAAAGTCGTCTCATACCATATCATCAAACGCATACCTGGACAAGCTAGTCATCGACCTGCCCTTGTGTAGGTAAAAACACATTGCGCCGGAAATGGTGAAATCGGCCGCCACCATCATAGAGAAGACAATGTATATTGATACCTTTCAAGGGTCAGATCCATGTCTCAGAAAATCTATCAAATCGAGATCCTAGCGACCTACCCTGATCCTTGGAATGTCTAAAAAGTTCGCGAGGGTGTAGCTGACAATCATAATCAATGAAATAAATGATGACGACACTCAGGGTACTTACATGCTGTAAAGCATGTCTACCAAGTGTGATTGAGTCAGTCTTACGCCGTAGTGATGGTAGAAACCATGCTTACAGAAACCTGTCCCTGAAAGAGAATAAACTATTACACTCTTCCTTCTTCAGGCAAAAGGGAGTCTCACCGGACGTGGATGCTACGACAGCAACAAGCTAGAGGTCCAACGTGAATCGCGTTTGTGCTGGTACCGTAAACAGGAAGAAAAACCTACAATAAACCGTGGCAAGACCATGTCAAAATGACGCCCGACTAGGACATCGTCAACGTCCACACGAGGGAGACTCATAGCACAAAGACAAACGTTTCCATATTCTGACAGCGTATAACCTATGGTGCTGGCGGCTGAGTATATTCATTCGTCAGAGAGCAGGTCGATAGAAGACGTACGCTTGGACGCTAATATTGATCAACATCTGGAAACAGTTAAATGAGGCTTTACGAACAACAAATCAGACGTACGTCGAACACGAGCTGCAACTAGCGAGGAGAAGGAGATTCATGCACTATGCAGAAACGAAGCGATGAAAATTGTTACCGGAAAGCTCCTGTATCAGAGGTCAGAACTCGATAGATGGCCAAATCTCCGTTTAACGTACCAAATAACGCTCAGCAGAGCGAAATAATTCCCAAAGGATTTGATAAGGTAGAAATAGAGTGCGTGAGTTGTCAGCGCAACATGAAGCGTGTCGAGTACCCTGCATAGTGTTGGGCATCAAAATATAGCTTGACGCACACCCTCCCCTCGCCGACAACGTACCATAGTATGGCGACCTGTATATGTTTTAGAATATACGGGAGACACTGCTACGAACACTTAGGAGGCCATACCATGTACCGAAAGAGCCACGGATCATTATGATTCAGTTTGTAATAGGCGGCGGTCTGCAGGATGGTTAGTCCATAAAAGCTGGTATAGCGTGAAGTGAATATCAGGAATAACTTTAGAAGGGGAGCGCACATACACCGCAGATATAGTAGCTCCAATATAAATCGCTCCTAGTGTTGTTCCCATGCTAAAATTGCCAAGGGGAAAACTAGCAGCGAGTTCTGGGGTAAGCGACGACATTTGAGGAGTGAGCGTTGCAACGTTGAGCTTCGGGGAATGTTATGACACTTATATACCAGGGCACGACGTGTAGCAGCTGAAATCATCTTCGTGAAAATGATCTGCCATTGATTTCTATTATTAGGAATACGTTCCCGGTCCCTAGGACACAAGTCAAGCACGAGAGATGCAGGCAGGACCAATGTCTAAAACACATAGCACGCACTTGTAGTAAGTAGTACGGGTTTCTGGAAGTTGAGGATACTGACAACACGTCCAGATCCTTGTTGATAGTGATCAGTTTTACCTTGTGATGTACACCACGAGGGATTCGGAGATAGTTCGTTGGTTGGATCAGGGGTAGATGTCGTTAATTTTAGATGTATGAGAGCGGTGGAGATCTGATGACATATCATTATCACCGCTCGTTGTCAATTGTGCTTAGAGAAAGACCTGGCTGTACGGAGGAAGACCCTGCGCTCGCTCTTTGTACCCTGTAATGCAGATGGCGCCATCAACTATAACATCCAGTTGTATGCGGGCACCTATGATCACGGAAGACTTGTATTCATTTTCGGCCTGCCATCGCTGAGCTTGCGAATGTATCCTGGCCGTTTTTGAGGATGATATAACAGGTAACTAGAGTGACTCCGTGGGCAGCGAGCTTGGCACAGTAAATAATCTTTGGCACAGGCTTTGGTCGAGTTTGTTCGTTTTCCCAAGATGAATTCGGATGAATGCAACCCGACGGGGAAGTATTCCTGGCCATAAGTCTACTTTTTGTCGAGATTCGAAAGACTGCTCAAGTTTTTTAGTCCCATGTTCTGATTCTTCCGCAAAAGCTCTCGCAGTGTGGAAGTAAAACATCTAACATCAGTCTGCCGGCAGAGTGCGAAAGAAAAGGAACCGTGGGAATGTCCGCCACGGTTTGCTCGCCGGGACTCGCCGCGCCGTCGTCCCTTACACCTACTATCACAGCACGCCTCGGACTGATCGCTGCTTCAAATACGATGCTGATTTTCGCCAACACTACTTCTTTGCTGACTGGGGATCGACGACGTATGAACTAAAACCAAAGCGGTGAAGGATCGACTTGCGGCTACGCACTGAAAATTTGAAATTTGAAAGAATAGTAAACAACTCGACCCACCACCGTTCGAGAGATACTGATGATATGACACCTCGCAAAGAGTCTGCTCTGGTCCAGAGCAGATGGATGACATGGTGCCAGCGGAAAATTCACGGGACTGACTAAATTCTGCACTAAAGGTAAAAAGCGTTTTGAGTGGCGACAGCGGGACTGGACCCACCCTCAGGAAGTAGCGCTGCCTGTTTACATTCTGTACACCATGCATAGGTGCATATAGAGACGCAGGTGACCCTCTCTAATTCTCCGAAGGATGTAGTGCTGATTTTCTTTGTATTCCAGGATGTTCCAGCCGTTGTTGTCCGACTCATCCACGACTAATGATCATTTTTTGTTCTTCAACTCTTTTAATTATTTCGCTGGATGGAGTACGGAACGTCCCTTCGCATTGTTATCTTTAGTTACCTGACGCAAAAACTGACAATCTAAAATCCTACATGTTTGGTCATCGAAATCCGCAGAATATTTGGGCTTGGACTTACTTCGTTATGCCTTTGTTGCCATTTCCCATATCGCGCGGAATCTTGGGGATTGGTATCGAATCTTGATATAGGGAGGACGCGTTATCGGTTGAGCTTGTTCATTAGGATGAGTAGGAGTGCGTGCATCGTCCATCCACGAAATGTTCTGTATCAAGGTGAATATGTTTTGTTTAGTAGCAATGCTGCTTCTATTGGTTCTGGATCACATTGAATATGGAGAAACTCGCAGTTGTCATTGGATGCCGGACATGTAATCAAACAAAACGTTGGGCGTGCCATTACGCGAATGTCATATCACCTGCGCTACTCAAATGGCTTCTTTCCGCAGCATGGAAAGATAGATTGACATTCTGAAAAGAGAAACCGGGTCAACGAATGAAATGTCTAATACAGAACTGTGTACGTACCGCATCTGTTCCTGTTCCGGAAAGACCGGGTATAGTGACATCCTTGTACAATGTGTTAGGCCAGTTTCCGGTTCGAAGAATAGTACACACCGTCTGTCCTGAGTCAGCCGCCCCATTCTCAGCGTCATGAGGAGAAAAGCGGATCATCTTTGGGTCAGCATAACGTTGTTTCCCGACCGACCACATGGAACTCTTGCGGGAGTTCAGCCTGGACGCAACTACGTGTCAATTTTAAAAAGGATCAAAGAGCTGTACTGACATCGCCAGCAGGGAATTTATGTACACTTGTCGCGAGCTTCAGCCAGGAAGAAAGCCTGAAGAAACTCAACCACTCACGCTTTGGTAGAACGAAGGTGCCAATTGCGAAGAAAATGAGAGTGTCGGGCCAGATAATGTACTGATAAGTTGAGCTGTAAGATTTAGAGAGCCACAATAATCTCGGGAAATGCTTGCCGAAATGAGAGTAAAAAGAGAGCATGTGCTACGTACGCACGTTTAGCTTACAGGGCAATGCATGTGTGAGAACCATACCTCGTCAACAGCCCGGATATCACAACGATCCGCATTAGTTTCACGATTGTTTTAGTAGTGCTATAAGCAGTCCGGACGAGATGAGGACATACAGAGAGCTTAAGATAGGAGACTAACCTGGAAATAGTAGTCATCTCGGTCTTTCCTTTGTGAAGGCAGAAGCACATCACGCCAGCAATGATGAAATCTGCTGCGGACATGGTAGAGAAAACCGTATATATGCATGGCTTCCGAGTATCAGATACTTCCGTCTATCTGAATCAAAGGTATATGGCCTACTCTGATGTTCGAAACACCCAAGAAGCTTGAGAGGGTATATCTAAGGGCGATATTAATTAAGGTCGACTGCAAAGACCCTCTGGGAGGCTTACGCATCATAAATCACATCTGATAAGCGGCATGTTCATGTTAGTATCCGGTCGTTATCAGAGAGGCGGTGCCTACAGAGTCCCGTGCCTTCGGAAGATAAAGATAAGTCGCTTGGCTCCCCTACTTTCAGGACAGAGAGGTCTCACCGAACGTAGCCGCGACAGGGATGAACTGGAGACCAAATATCGACGTTGAATGTATGTATCATGAAGAGGAAGAAACACTTACGATAAACTGCGGTAAGACCATTTTAAAACTACGGCTGACTATGAGAGCACGATACATCACAAGATCAGCCCAAGACCTGGAGAGATCTTAGAGAACGAAGACAAACGTTTCCATATTCTGACAGCATATAATCTGTGGTGTTGGTAGATGAGTTTCGCAAGTCATCAGTTACCCAGAGGAGACGCACGCTTGGACAGCAGAGTTAATCAATACCTACTGGCAGTTAAGCGCCGCTTGCCAAAAGCATAAAATGATCCTTACATTGATCAAAAGTTGCAGCTAATAGGGAGAGGCATAGCATCAAAAATCAGCGAGGCGAGGAAAGACCGTTACCGGAAAGCTCCTACAAGTGTCGTTAGACACGAAAAAAGTAACTTTGATAGACGTACCAAATGATCCTCGACAGCAGTGCGATATAATTTCCAAATAATTCGATAAGATAAAAATACAGCGCGTGGGTACTCAACGCAACGTGGAGCGTATCGAGTATCCTGAAAATCGTAACGTGTTAAGACACAGCATATATCTCCTCAGTTTGGGGGTAACATACCATAGTAAGGCGACCTTAACGGATTTTGTAAGGTATCAGAGGGAGAGAAATCGAATGCGAGGGGTTAGGATTCCGTACCGAGTAGCGAAATATCCACGGGTCGCCAGGATTTAGTTTGTAATAGACGACGGTCTGCAGAATGGTTATTCCATAACAGCTAGGGTGCGATGTAAGTATAAAGGTATATTCCAAAGGAAAGTACCCATACACTGCGGCTATTGTTGACCCAATGAAAAGCGCTCCAAGCGTCGTTGCCAGCTCGGAGGGAATATCAGATATCGGTATTGGTATCGAGGGAATCGATGACATTTCGAGCGCTAGTGCTGAGGGAATACAAAGTCACTTATATCCCTAACGCATGACGCACGGCATTTTGGAATCATGTTCGAAGAAGGCCTGTCACTGATTCTTGTGATTCCGTCAGAAAAAGAATCGGATCCATAATACTACTATGGACAGTTCCATGAGGTCGCCTTTGGCACAGGTTCAGCACTGGCGCTAGCACCTCAGTGACTGTCAGAATCAGTTGAGGAAACATAAGGAATGGATGCGAGAGAAAGCGGTGTGAGCAATGTTTTCAGCCCATTTCGGAAGATTCCGACATATTTCCCAGCGTCTCTGTTCTGGCGCCTCTGGCTGCAAGATGCCGGAAATCTCCTTGATCCACAACAGTCCCTTAGTTTGGGCCAGAACGTATGACACTCAAGGTATTTTGAGTCATGACCCTTAATATCTGCGCTAGAAGCTTGGTTCAGTCAAGGTGGTCAGTGATTGTATTTTTACACCATTGAGTTTTCATTAGCTTGTGACGCCTCGGAGCCTCCGAGGACTACAGTATCGTCGAGGATTCTTCAACAGTTCTTCTGACTGAGAAATAGATGCTGTTTCCCAGCCGGTACTGATGGTTACATCCTTGATCTTTCGTGTCACTGAGCATATAGCGGTATAGTGAGATTCTGTGTTTTACCACGAACGATGGTAGTATGGAGCGGAGAAACTGTCCACGGGACAGAACGAGATCAAAGATGTTACCTTTCACAGACATAGGGAGCCAGGAACTTCAAGGCCAGTGGCAGTAGTAGTGGGAACGCGAGGGCCCATGAACCATCGAGCCGCCCAACCTGGCCTTGATTGTCTTGCTACATCAAGAACTGCGATCACGATGGGCTGTTACAAAGGGCCTGCCGTCGGCCGCGCCGCTTGGCTGTGTCAAAATCCCCCTAGGCCCCCGGGCGATGATCTGCTCCGTTGCCGACGAGATGGGGGACGAAACAAACACGCTGCTGGTGCGAGATTACCCATTAACTTTCGGCGCAATGATTATCGTGAAATGTAATGGAACAGCCTTCGCCTCAAACCGACTATGGTCTAGGTTTCAAGAGGTAATAGAGGTCGAGAGAATTTGGATGAGAATTGCTGTTTCAGCAATGAGTCGGCAGGAATACATCGTCTCCGTATGACCACAAGCGCCAGTGGTCCAGGGGATAGTAATGCTGCTCCCGCTATGACCCGGAATCAGCCCGTATGGTACGCGATACAATGCTACGCAAATGTCGTATCAGTCATACCGCCAGTAGAATGAATTCCTTCCGTAACAGAGAGGGGTATGGTGAAATTCTGAAGGGAGTAATAGTGGTCAGTCAAATAGATATCGATGGTAGCATGCTATACGCGCCGTTTCTTTTGAATCAAACGCGCCGATACTCGAATCGTGAGGTGCGAATCTGAGTATCTTTTCGTCAACAGGATGTTCCTTAGTCCCAGACCACTCCGGTCTGTCGCGGGAATTGAGCCTGGGAAGAATTAGCATAAGAAAGGATGGTATGGCGGTATTCACATTGCGAGCAGGGAATTTATATAGACTGTTGATGAGAACTTAGTCTGAGACAAGCAAAAACAAGCTGAACACTAACGTTTTGGTAAAATGAGGTCGACCGCTACGAAGACCAGAGTTTCAGGCCATGCGATGTACTGTAAATAGGAATGAGATGGGGGAAAAGTCACGCATAGGACAGATGAAATCAATCACCGCCACGAGGATAAAAAGCGAACATGCGCTATGTATGCTTGTAATTAGCTTTCATGGCACTGAATAGATGAAATTGATACCTGGTCGCCAAGCCGGACATTACTACAAGCCGCGTTAATCCTACAATTACCTTGGTCGTGCTATAAATGGTCCATCAGACTCAAAAAGTCCATATAACACGAGATCAAGAACACGCCTGGAGAATCTAGTCATGGACCTGCCCTTATGCAGGTAGAAGCACATTACTCCAGCGATGATAAAATCGGCTCCTGCGACGGTAGAGAAAACCGTATAAATGGATACCTGCCAGCAATCAGAGACGCACTGACGTCCGACTCAGAAGCCGAGAACCTACCTTGATGGTCGAAATGTCCACAAAGCTTGATAGGGTGTACCTGACGGACGATAAAATCAATGTAGGAAACGGTGATAGCTTCCGAGGTGCTTACGTATCATAAATTACATCTAGCAAGCGTATTTTCAAGTGAGTTCAGTGCCGTATTTACAGAAGTCGCACTTACAGAGTCCTGCACCTGTAAGGAATTCAAGTCATTCAGCTCTTGCTTCTCTGGGTCAAAGAAATTTTACCCAACAAAATTGCGACAGGGACGAACTGAATGTAAAATGTCAACACCGAACTGTGTTTGAATGAGTATCATGACGAGGCGCCTACAATGAACCGTGGAAGGACCGTATGAAAGTGGCGGCCTACTGTGAGACGACGATAGTCAGGTTTCATTTGAAGAAGATTCCAAGGAAAACAAACGTTTCCATATTCTGACGGCGTATAATCTGTGGTACGGAGACCTGAGTCTTTTTGATTATCAGATAGAAGACCGAAGGTGACGCACACTTGGACACCAAAGATGATCAACATCTAGGCGACGGTCAGAGGCGGTTTGCTCGGAGGATATATTGAGACGCACATTGACCAAGAGCTGCAACTAGTGGGGATAGGAGATTCATACAACATAGATACATGAAACGAAGAAAGTATTTACCGGAAAGCTCCTGCAAGTGTGGTTAAAACTCGATGCATCCCAAGGTTCTGATTGACGCACCAAATGATCGTGAACAGGGACGGATATCTTCCAAAGGATTCGATAAGGTAGAAATAGAGTGCATGGGTACTCAAGGCAACATGAAGCGTATCGAGTATCCTGTAGCGTCAAGATACACCTTCACATATGTCCCAAACTTTCTAGTCACGCACCATAGAAGGACGATCTGTATACACGGATGAGAGAGGTCGAACGCGAGAGTTTAGGATCCCGTACCGCATATCGAAAGAGCCACGGATCGTTAAGATTTTGCTTATAATAAATGACCGTCTGCAAAATTGTTATTCCATAGAAGCTAGAGTGCAGTGTGAGCGTCAAAGTAGGTACCCAAGCAAAGCGCACATACACTGCAGCTATGGTCGCCCCGATATATATCGCTCCAAGCATTGCGCCGATGTTCACGCTAGAGGGAGTATCCTCTGTCCGTATCAGGGTAAGCGGCGGCATTGGGGGTACCAACATGGAGGGGTGTCCCTTCATTTATAGCCTAATGCATGGCATCCAGAATTTTGGAACCATATTGAAGAAGGCTTGCATTGCATTGATTCCAATTGATTTGGTCAAATAGGGAAAAGGTCTAGATCTACATCCTACGAGGTATTTGTAACGGGTGGGACAGATATCCGGTCGGAGGCACGTTCTGCCACAGTCAAGATGAGTGAAGGTATTTGTATGCGCGAAGTTAGGAAAGGAACTGAAATCATACGAACACATGCAGCTGGTTTCGAACAAAATGTATATCCGTCCGCGGGGTTAAGCTGGTCGTGATCAACATGGTTCCGTCATACGCGTACATCCTTGAGCGCAAATTGAAAAGGGAAATACATTGCCAATGGAGCCGAACTCTGGACAATAAAGTACTTGCCTATGGAGTATGACCATGAGGATCGCACGACCATAACGGACAGTTCTTGCTAATGTGAATGTGACAGTTCATTTCGGATGAGCTCTACGATAAGGTTTATTATACCTATCAATGCTGTCTAGACATTTCGGTACCGCTTAAACGACCTGTGGACAGTTTGGATCCTGTATTGCGAGTCAGCAGAGGATCTTTGACTTTTATGTCAGAACGGGTGATCGTACCACTCCCATTTTGTCCGGGGTACAGTTTCTCCTTGTTTTCACATCGGCTCGTCCAGCCGGAGGTTCTGATACAGCGCAACTGAGGGTAGAGGTGAGAAAGATAAAACGATAACTAAGGTGAACGCACCTCTCTACCATAACAACAGCGTCTACGAGGCAAATGACGATCATTACCCTTCCGTTCAAAGAAGCTTGTTACGTGCCTCAATCCATGGATCTACTGTTGCGGTTCTTGAGGGAGGAAAGTCCCTGGAAGCCCGTGCGGCATCTCTGCAGAGCCAGTAACTCATTATCACGCCGTTCGTCCAGGTTGCCCTTACTATAAAGAATCACGAGAGAAAGACGGCTTTCAATGACCTGCACACCTAGTACCCTCCGCGGGCATTCGGTCCCAAGATGATACTGTCCTTTCTCTAAGGGTGTGATCAGCATGTCATGACTTGCACAGTCAAGTATGGCGACAGACCTTATACTCACGCGCACTGAGTAACGCGACACGCCGAAGGGAATTCGAAGTCGACGAAAACGTCGCAGACTCTATGTACTCACTTCCTTGATAATTTAGTCTTGCAAATTTCAATGGTATATGATGAAGCGTTTTTTAACAATTGAGAAATACAGTGCTTCGATGTACCCTTCTGTGCGATCTATAGCTGAGAAAGAGTACCATGAGCGTGAGGATGGGCTTATGTAGCAAGAATAGCGCACCTATTAAGTATCGCGTTCCTAGTGCCCTTTCAGGTGCCATTACATATTATGTACCCGTATATATGCGCGCCGTTTCGATGCTGTCGCTGGTGCATTCATTAGCATGCCTCTTGGATCAGGAGAAACACACGCACTCAAGGATATATTCGATGGTTATCTAAGCCATCTAAAAGGCCGCGAGAGAAAAACTGCCGGCAAAGAGCTATCATCGGTCACGCGATACTTGACGTCGCCAACTTGAACATGAGAGCAAGAACATCGTAGTGAGCTGCTGAAGCGATGCCATTGGCTTTGACAAACATCTGAACCATTGCCGCCTCAGGTCGCCGTATACGCATTAGCGCGTTCTTGCAAGTTTGTTGCTTAGCTCGCCATCCTACGGCATCTGACAGGGTATATGTAAAAGATATTGATGCGCTGTGGTCAGCTAGAAGTCATTGCGGCTGTCGTCAATATTAGAACATCCTTCCGGCTCCGAGAGGAAGATAACGCACTGGTTTGGAGTCTTCACCGCTGCAACCTATGGAAATCCCAGTCACGGATTTTCTGTCACTACCAACATCTTTCAGCTGTTCACCATCATTTATTTTTGTTGTTACATATGCTGACGACTAAATATGTTCAGCAACGAGCGGCCGTGTGCGGAGAGCATTTGAGATGATGGTGGATGTAAATTATCCTGTTTTCCCACGATCCGTTTCGGAGCCGGTACTCTTCCGAGCAGTTCGGCCGATTCGGACCGAAACTTCAAGCTGTATTTACTGTGTTCACTCTTGCCAAAAATATGTACTGCTCTTATTATAAATATGTGCTACTGAACACACCTTTCAAGCCATGACTGGTTTCCTGTACTCTGTTATTCCGCAGCTAACATAGCACTAGGCTAGCTGGAAATCGAAGCGAATATTTATTCACTTGTGACTGCCATGCGACTATATTGTTCCTACAGAAGTACATGACAGCAATCGATAGCAGGAGAACAAGAACAGTTAGACGACTCAAAAAATCAAAATTTCCAAAAATTTTCAGGCATTTTGAAGGCATGCATTCTCATATATCTCTAGGAGCCATTTTCCAGCAAGAGGATTTTTCTCCTGCGAGAAAGTCGGAGTGGAATCATCTGGAGATACGGCATATTCACAGACCTTATTCTCGCATGTAGGAGAATTGATCGGATCTCTGGCCAGACGAATACGGAGAGGGCAGAGAGGCACATCTAAGCCCAATTGTTCCAGAGTTCTGGAAATGTGCGGAACCATGACAGCCATGCTGAACAATCCATACAATAATGCAGCATGCATGCTTGTCAGTGTCGCTATGCAAAGAGAACTAGCGCGTACAACTTGAAGGATTAATAGCTCACCTTCCTAAATACGCCGCTAGATCTTTTACGTCGGTTTGTTCAAAGTTATAATCCTAGGTTCGGTGGTCTTCACAAAAATATTCTGCTGAAGTACACAATATTTTGGCATCAATGATAAGAGAATGCAAAAAATGACTTACTACACTTCCTCATTACAAACGTCTGGGTGGTCGTACTCGATGCTATGAATGTGGATACCATCGGCTCAGCTGCACATCCTCCCCATAGGATCCGCATGAAATATGTCCTGGGACTAACACGCTCTGTGAAGGAGACCATGGCCTACGGGCATAGGCTTCAAGCAGCTTTTCCAGAAACGACAGCGTAGCAGAACTCACCTGAAAAAACTATTCGTAACTGTCTTCCGTGAGGGTGATGTGAAAATGAAGAAGGCCTCTGAGTCCTCCCTCCTTCGCCCACCACCCGATGAATGCCCCCAGATTGTCGTGTCCTTGTCGATATTTATCACGGCGTCACCGTTCACGGTGCCTGCGAGGCATAATGCGTCGATGCATGAGCATCAAATGAGAATTCTGTGAGTGGGAAGACTGACGAATATTTCTGGTTCATCGTTTGTACTCTCACAATTTAGATCCCTCGGTCCCGCCACCATCCGACCACGGTACGAAATCTCCCCAAGATAGCTCGGTGGCGCGCGCACGAGCTCGCAGAGTCGTAGGTTGAGACTTGGGCGCGTCTCCAGCCTATCTTGGCCAAGTCGCGACGTGGGGTTCAGCTTTGTCCTGGCCAAGTGGTTGGCCAAGGTTCCTCGATGGATCATACCAGAATTATTAATTATTATCCGCACCATAGTAGACATTCTGACGCTTCATTGGTACTGTCAGTCTTATCAGCAATACTCTTGCTGAATCTCGCCCAAAGCTTCTGACGTCCGCTTTACCTATCACCCTGTACAAACCCCATAATGAAAAAAGGGCTTGGCAATCTATTCCGAGTTCTCCGAGTTCCGGTGTCGTTATTGGCAGCGTGGGTTACTTCTCTCACTGAGACTTAGCAGCGCATAAGCCTCGTATAAGAGAGAAACAACTAGGCGGCACGCCTAGGCCTATTTTTATCTTCCAAAAAATTCTCCTACTATCTATCGTCAGCTTTTATTGGCGCTTCTTGAATTTAAAGTTGAATACCACGCATGCATGATCTCCGGTATTCGCTATCGCCGTCGGTTTTGAATGCTAGCTGAACCGACATGTCAAGACGGATTTGAGAATGTAAATGTCAACATACTCAATGCAGTCCAAATGACATCATTCATCATCACGTGCACCTCTGCGCCTGTCCGAGCCGGAGCCTCGACCATCTACAGAACCAACTTGAGCTTGATTATCATTGTCAAGGAATAACGCTGCCTCATATTTCTTTCTTTCTGTCTTAGGGCACCTCGCGGTTTTCCAAGTGGTACTCTGACGAAGAAAACGTTCTCAAAGTTCTATCCTTTCTCGCGACATCATCGTTGACTTTTCAAAGCTAGCGCTGACAATCAACCTCAACTCATGGAAATGTCCTGCCGCGGATTTATGGTGGCGAAAGCAGACTGCGAGACCCGGCACTTGACTCTTAGACAGACTGCATGCTCTCTTCCTTGGTCTCAACAGCTTTCGGGTACACTGTTGACTAGGTTTCTTCTGTGCGAGCCGGTTCCTAGGTCTTAACCCGAGGAGGTAGCCAGATATACCGAGCTGTTCATTCAGCAAGCTTGGGAACGCGTTATATCTAGAATGGTCTAGCTCGAATGAATGCATCGTACGTACAACAAAACGATATGGCTTCACACGTGGATTTAGGACGAGTCTTTAGTTGCTGGCTTAGTGCGTCCCTACGAAGTCATACTTATCTTACACCAAAACCGGTCATAGGCTATGACTCGTTAATTAACCGCAGCAAAGTTTTTCCAGTGGAACTTATGAACCCGGAACCGGACCTTACAAAGCCGCCTTCGTCGGTATATGCCTCTTTCCCTCCGGTGACTCGAGACGCGTCCGTGAGGCCAGTTGCTCCTGCAACAACCGGATCATTTCCCCTCCTGTCCATGGAATGATGTCGCTAATCCGGTGCAATACTCTCTGCGGAGCCTACGGCGCTTCCCACACAGGCTCTACACACCGACACGAGGCACAATGACACATGAAAATATCTCACGACGACGCGCCTTCACTCAAGATTTTCTCCGGATCTAAATCATGATCCCGTTCTCTGGGTCGAGATATCATTCGGGTCCTTGATAGTCTGCCAAGATTATCACTCATGTACATGTGTGAGCGATGCGTTATGGGCGAGTGTCATTGGACAATCACGTCCCAGTGTTCATTTCACGTTCTGTTTCTGGAACGAGCAGGACATATGAGTTCCACAGTCTGCCAAAGTTGTCACTCATGTGTGAGCAATGTGTTATAGGCGATGTGTGATTGGACGAACCCTCGTCTCGTTCTGTTTGAGGCGAGTATCCGATCCTCTTCCAAAATTATCACTCATGCGCAAGCGGTTTGTTATAGGCGATATGTTATTGGACAAGCGCGTTTTCTTTTCACAACTTGTTTCTGGAATGGCGGATGCGGATATGGAGCTATGTTTTATCGGACAATCCTTTCCCGATTTTCTTTTCACATTCCGTTTCTGGAATGACGGAGGTGGGCGTTAAGCAAGCCATCGTAGGCGAGGTGTTATTGGATAAGTTCGTCTTGGCATCCCTTTTATATTCTATCTCTGGTATGTGAGAGGCATATAAAAGGTGGGCAGGATATGTCTTTACAGCAGTAGTCAACACTACATGGCTTTTGCACCCCTCCTAGCTGTTCTCTTCCTTCTCGCTGTTGTACGCCAGTCCGACGGTATTGCTCAGCGTTCTTATATTTGTAATGACGCTAATACCGTTTAACCAGCTGCCCTCACGAAACGAGTGGCATGCGCCGATGGTGTCCACACCGCCACCAATGAGGCCTGTTGCGCCTTATTCCCCGTTGTAGCAGATCTCCAAGAGAATCTGTTTGACGGCGGAGAGTGTGGAGAGGAGGTTGGTATTCTTCTCAGTCTTCAACGACCATTCGCTGATTATGGGCGATACCGTTTCTAGGTACACGAGTCGCTTCGTTTGACCTTCCACGATGCAATCGGGTTTTCCTTCGCTAAAGGGTTTCCTTTATCTCGAGTTTTAAAGTTGATATACCCTGATGTTTTGGACAGCGGCGGTGGTGCTGATGGATCTATCGTCACCTTCTCCGACATTGAGACGGCCTTCCACGCAAACAATGGAATCGGTACGGTCATAATGATTATAGTTCCTTGAGCCCAATATTCACGGATTTTCCATCTAGATGGAATTGTGGAAGTACAGAGGCCTTTTATCAGCACGCACAACATGACTGCGGGAGACTTGTACGATATTTAATACATCTCTGACTCTAACGTTCTTAGAATTTTCTCAGTATCCAGTTGGCTGGTGCAGTTGGAGTGTCCAATTGTCCGGGTGCTCCGCAATTGACCTTCTTATTGGGACGTCCCGAGGCCACTGCCCCCTCGCCAGATCTACTCGTCCCGGAGCCTTTTGATACGGTGACATCCATTATTGCGAGGTTTGCTGATGCAGGGTTTACGTCATCTGAAATCATTGCTCTTCTGTCTTCGTGCGGCACTGTTTCCTTCTACTTTTGTGACAAATTCGTTTGACAGTTCGCTCTAGGCATTCTGTCGCTGGTGCTGACCACGTAGACCCGACGGTAGCATTCATTCATTTGTATATTGTCTTCTTTTGCTCAAAGATCTTTGCAGATTCCGGGGTTTGTACCTTATGCCTCCCTTGGTTTTTCCCTGATTTGCATTCTTTAGCACTCCCTTTGACTCAACTCCGTCACTCTTCGACACTCAATTTTTCGTAGAAGTCCAATTACGGGGAACCGCCTTCCCCGGGTACACGCTCCTTGTTTCTCTCTGGCAGGCTAGTCGTTGACAGATGTTTGAACAGGACCGGCGGTAATCAGGGTGAAGCTGAGTCTCCATTGGCTGGAGAGATACGAATTCAATCAGATGAGATGGTGAGTGGTGGCGGTGTGTCATATACCATTGATGGCTCATTGCGATTACCAGTTGGCTCGAGGTTCGTCCATATTTTGACAGATGTTTGAACCCAACTGCAGCTTTCTACAGATTCTAGGACGTCCTGCGACTGGCAATCTTTCGCCAGTATGTACCATCGCATTTCTCAACAAGGTCAATATTAACGACAATTGTCGCAGATAATCAAGCAAAGATGCAGACAGATTTCAAGGCCGCTATGTTGAAGCTTTCTACCCTCGGACAAGACGTGTCTAAGATGGTGGATTGCACCGAGGTAATCCCCATCCCTCTGGCAGCTGCTGCGAAAGCCGCACACTTGCCTGCTGGATTGGATATGAGTGACATTGAACAGGCGGTAAGGCGTTTTGACATCTTCACGAACAGATTTTCATTGTCTGTTAGTGTGCTACTGCCCCGTTCCCCACTCTCACGGCAGATCCTGGCCCTGTCACCAGTGTTGCTCCAGTGTAAGAGACTCTCAAATCTCAAATCGTGTTGTTGTATACTGATTTCTTTCTCTTACATAGCCCACCATCCTAAACAACTTCTACAATGATCATTTTCATTTGTCAACTTGATATGCAGAATCGTGCTCCAGAAATTTTGTACCCAATGTGTTTGTACTGTTTCCTTTTTTGGTCCTCCTGTGTCAATATGTCTTGACAATTCATCGTATGAACTTCCTAAGTGTGCACCTCGAAATTTCTCGAATGGATTGAACGGTTCTCTCACGTGAATCGCCTCCTCATTCAAGTGGCTTATGAAAGCGAATACCGGGTAGTGGTGTTACTTTCACTGCTCCAACTGGTACCGGATGCAGAAAAAATAGAAGTCATATTGGGATGGATTGAAGACTGGGAGTCAAACTAAGCGATGCGGGAGAATTACTATGCCGCCACACAAAAGTCATATTACTCGTACTACTCGAAGGGCTTCATTCCGTTGTGGGGAGAAGTAGAGTGATATTCTAAATAGAAGGTTCAGGTCAATGGAATGAGAATCATGGAACATTGCATGTACCATCTCTGCTTAGGCCACAGAGGGATCGGATATGGTGATATTCTCAAAGGAAGTCTCAGTTGGCCAGTCCCGGTCGCGGAAAATATTGTACGTACCGTCTGTCCTGAATCAGTCGCTCCACTCCCAGTGGCAGGAGAGACAAAACGTATTGTCTTTTCGTCAGAGTGACATTCTTTGTTGTCCATAGAACTCTTTCGCGAGTTGAGCCTGGTAACAGGAGTTAACAAAGTTAAAATACAAAGGATAGTGGGGCTGGACTCACATGGCGAGAAGAGAGTTAATATAGACTGTCAGGAACATCTGAGTACCGGGAGCAGACGAAGAAGACCTAAATACTGACGCCTTGGTAAAATGAAGTTGATTGCTACGAAAATAAGAGTATTTGGCCAGGCGATGTACTGCAAACCGGGATCAGGTTGGGAAAGAACATGTGATGAAAGGTATTAATTACCGCCACGAGAGTAAAAAGGGAGCATGCACTAAGTCCACTGGCGATTAGTTGGCAATGCATTGCATAATTGCGAGATCCTTACCTCGTCGCCAGTCCAGATATAACTACAAGTCGCATCAGCCTCATAATCACCTTGGTAGTACTATAGAAGCTCCCTCAGACCACGAACAAGTAGATATAAGTATGTTAGTAGCATGAAATACCTACCTAGAGACACCGGCCATTGACCTGCCCTTGTGCAGATAGAAGCACATCGCGCCAGCGATGACAAAATCCGCTGCAGAAATGGTGGAGAAATTCAGATATATGGATACCTGCTAGGGCTGAGATCCTTGCGCAATCCGAATCAAGGGTGGAAACCCTACCCTAATAGTCGAAATATCCAGAAAACTAGTCAGGGTGTATCTGACAATGTAATTAACGAAGGAAGCAGCGATGATTCTCAGAGTACTTACGTTTCGTACATGACATCTGAAAGGCGCACTCGAGTCAATGCTGCACTGTAACTACAGAAGCAAGACTTACATAGTCCTGCGCCTGCGACAAATTTAAGTTGCGTTGCTCTTCCTTGTAGATAAGGTAAATCTCACCAAATGTAGCTGCAACAGCGACGAACTGAGCATCAAACATAAATTAATTTTGCATAGGTATTGCGAAGAGGAAGAAACACTTACAATAAAACGTGGAAGGACCACGTGAAAATGACTGCCAACTATAAGAACATTATAGTCAAGGTTCATTTGAGTGAGCTTTAAGGAATGAAGACAAACGTTTCCATATCCTAAAAGCATATAATCTGTGGTACTGGCGACTTAGTCTTTCCAAAGGTCGGAAATAAATAAGACACACGCTTGAACACCAGGGATAATCAACATCTACAGAAAAGTTAAGTATAGGTTCCAAAAGGATAAATCGATACGCGCATTTATCAAGAGCTGCAGCTAACGGGTGGCTATGGATTCATGCGTATAAACGTAGCGAAGAAAGAACGTTACCGAAAAGCTCCTGCAATTGACGTCAGAATTCGATGATCCCCAAGGCTTGATTAACGATTGACGTACCAAACAATTGTGAGCAGGGCGAGATAGTTTCCAAATGATTCAATAACATAGAAATAAAGTGCATGGGTTGTCAAGGCGACATGAAGCGTATCGAATATCCTTATTGTGTTAATATTCAATTCAGCCTGGTATATGTCCCCAGCTCTAAGGCGACCTACCATAGTAAGGCGACCTGTATACATTTCAGAATTTATGAGACAAATTCGATTAGAAATGTACCGCATATCGAAAGATCCATTGATCGTTAGGATATTGTTTGTAATAGGCCACGGTCTGTAGAATGGTGATTCCATAGAACCTAGAGCATCGATTGAGCATAAAAAATGGATTCCAAACGCAGATCTACGAACACTGAAGCTATAATACACCCGACAAGAACTGCCCCGAGGGTTGTTCCCAGCCTTGAGCGTAGATCAAATATCGGTATCGGGGTAGGTGGAGACGACATTTGGGGCGCCAGTATCGAGGCTGGGAACAAAAGGACACTTATATTCCGATGTACAGCAGACAGCATTTTTGAATCACCTTCGAAGAAGGCCTTCATTGGCTCCGTCCAATCGGACCATGGTATACCGAAGGCAATTCAAAAATAACGTGCGGCGACACCCGGGTCGGCGACATGGCTTATCCTAGGTTTGATGCGGACGACTGAGGGCTTTGGTACGCACGAGTTGAGATCGCGCGAGCAAGTGCGTCTGCTTTGATACTAGGACGGACCTGTGAATGATTGGGACCTGTCCTATGAGCCGCTAGAGGTTCAACCTTGAGGGGTGGGCTCTGATCGATGCTAATATCACAAGCGGGAAACCCACGCGATGCATGAATCCTGTTCAGCTTCATCGATAAAAACCGTTATTTGTTATCATGAGGTCGCAAACTTTGTGGCATCGGGAATGTTGATCATTGCCTTCATGCGCCAAATACGTGTATTACAGTATCTCTTCGATTGGCGATCCTCGATTCGGAATTGACATGAAAAGCAATCCTTTCAAGGTATTGTAGGCAGTCGTCCAAGGAGTAAACATTTTTATTTGTCTGCCAGGCAAAACTCCAACATACTTAGCAGCATTGTGGACGTATGTTTGCACCCCGTAAGAATGCATTGGAACATACTACACGTAGGCGGAGGCTTATCTGCACGCCGCGGAGAATTCAGGTCTTGAATAGTCAGGCATTGTAGTCAGGCCTTAGTTCGTTCCTTGAAAAAGACGGTAACTAAATCAAGATGCCACAAGTTTCTGATACAGAAAAGATATACTTGCACACTTAGGTTGCCGCGGCGACATCGTGCCACGTATTCTTAACCAATATCTCATAGGCTGGCGTTGTTCCCCTTCATCGCAATGATTACGAAGCACTCAGCGTTTAGGCCAGGGTAGCTCGACCTGGCATACAAAATGCATATCCACCGTTTCCGCGACATAAAAAGCATAAACAGCGCCGTGTGCTTCCGAGAACAATGCTAAAGCCATCGGCTTGGACAATGCTCTGAGCCTCGATCTTGCTTGACTGCGTATTGTCGACGTAGTACACTGTCACCATGTTCTCGGTGTTGCGGTCGCGTGGGGAAAGGTATGGTTACTCAAACTTTGCGATGATTACGACTTCGTGAATGGTGACTAACGTTTGAGGTAAGTATCGCTCTGAGGTGGACGCTCGAGCAGCAACGTATTGCGGAGGTATGTCGATGAGGATTTATCAGTTAACTCCCCATGGGAATATGATATACACTCGAAGTTTCTGGGAACAACGATATATGACTTCTACATAAGTACACAATGCTCTTTGCATTGACCGACAGCAAGAAAACAGCGAAAACAGAGATGCAGACTTTCCAACGTACTCACGGGCACTCGTTCTCATCTACCTCGATGAACCAGCTTCCAACGATACCGTTTTTCCCCTACGAGAAAGTCAGAATGGGTTCTCTGCGCTACATAACGTGCTGACGTACCCTACTCTCACAGGTATCAGGATGATCAAATCTTTTCCAGGCGAATTCGGAAGGGGTAGAGAAGCACATCTCAGCCCAGTTGTCCCAGGGCTCTTGATGATTGAACATCTGTGCTTCAACGCGCTAGAATGATAACGTCAGTTCAACACCGAACAACAAACACAAGGTCGCGGCGTACCCGTTTGTGAGAACCATAGCAGTCCTGTTTGACGGTAATGAGCGCGTGGACGGATTAACAGTCTAGATACTTACCTTCTTTTGATGATTACCCCACCAAGTCTTGCATGTCGGTTCATTGGACCTGACAGTCCAATATCCGATTGTCTTCACAACTCCATCCTATGGAAGATAACAAGTTAGTACATGTAAAGAGGAGACGCCGAAGAGAAACCTACCACCAGCTCCTGGGTACAAAGTTCCGGATGATCATACGTGATGCCATGGATATCGATGCTTGTCTTCATGCACCAATTCTGTGCATCTTCCCCCGCTGGTGCATTCAGCAGCTCCGCATGATACATCCTCTTCTCGTATCCCAAGCATCGCTTCTCTGCCGTCAGATCCCACCAGACCAGTCTGGCACGCTTCCTACGCTGTTCATCGGCTTGGATTGCTTCTTCTTTAGCTCGGACAGCTTGCTCTCTATATTCCACAGCAATCGTCCTAGTCCGAATTGCCCTTTCTTCACTCTCCCTCTCCACCTTCCACCTGCGATCCTCTTCCTCGTGCGCCAATCGCCTCTTCCTGTCTTCCTGCTGCTGTGCTAGCTTCCTCCGCATATCCTCATCCTTGATTCTTTTCGCTCGTTCCACGTCCTCGCGACGACGCATCCGGTCTTGGACATCCGTGCGGTTGGTGTTGGTGTAGTCGCTGAAGAGGTGGAAGGCAAGCAGTGCCACGACGAAGATGAATGTCAGGCTTTGGAGCCTACGCGAACGCTTGCCAGAAGTACTTTCTGGCTTCAGCGAGGTACGCTCGTTGATAGAGCCTACAAAATAGTATACTGATAAGCGCCAGGAAAAGGAAATGAGCATATTCAGCACCTGGTTCTTCATTCGGAATGCTATGGTAGCTTGGCGGTGGAGGAGACCATACCCTGGCAGCCCTGTAGTAGTATAATGTAAGAACGACGATAGAAACGATGACGTGGGAGAAACTCACCTGGAAGGATGGTACATACTTAGCACTTGTGGGAGTATGATGGTGAGAAGAGAAGGTGTCGGAGTTGAATCTGGGCATCTTTATATTCTCACGTGCGGCGCTTAGCTGGCTCGTTACGGAAGTCAGGCGCCTATCTCAGTAGCATAACGATCCTCGTTGCTCACCTTTTTCCCGGTTGACAAGAACCTTCTGTAATATTAGTCCAACGAATAACCAGTACCAACATTTGAAATCGCCGGGACTCGAGAGATTTTGCGGCGGCGCACCTGTTTCGGGTATCGGGCCGTGAAGGATAGCGAGTGGCGTATTATAATCCATGACGCGTTCTGACCATCATGCGGAAATCCCCCGCCTGTGCACGGGCCTCCCGACGACTGTAAAAGGGCACCCTCCATCCCTTCGTCTCTCCTTTCCTTTATTTGTCCACCATCATCGTCCCTTCCATTCGGCAAACGCACCCGCGTCTCTGAAGCTGGAGGATGTCCATCGCGTCGAAGGAAAACGTGGCTCTTGTTTGTCGGGCACCCCATCATCACCGCGATTCCGAGCTACAACACCTCGATGTATGCGCGTTTTATAGGGCTCCATGCGAGCGACAAGTTGTCATCATCCGACCGTCAACAATCTCTGGTTCAAATTCATCATACCACCCCCCAGTCCAGCTATCGAAGCCTCGACGTAGACTCGCAGAACTGGACGCCGACCGACTCAATGTATAGGCGGGATATTTGATACATCATACCAACCTAACGCTGTATTAGTGGTCACCAATACGCTCTCCCGACCTATCGAAAAAGGAACCGCACCAGAAATACTAGCGTCCGCGTCGCCAATGAATCTTCCAGAATAGAAAAGAGGAGGAATTGGGTACGTGGATGTCACATGTCATCTTTGACGCTCTAGTGCCTCATCAGTATCCTCATCTTCATGTGTAGGGATTCGCAGAACCGGATCCATAGTTCCTGGCATCGCCTCTGTTAGGCCCGACACCCAATCCGAGTCGATGCCCACGCCGTCATGCCCCATAAATCGTCGTTGATATTCTCGTTCATGTCATTTTGGTGCTTCTTCGGCACGAGCAACCTCATTAGGCATGACTGCAACTCTCGGATATAGTCCTTGCTTGTGCACGTCCTTGCTACCATCTCGCCTAACTTGACGACAATCAGTGTCATGGCTAGCACACGTCTTCGAATCCTGCATTGTCATATGCTCCAAGAACCCGAATTCATTTCGGTTAACATCTATGTCACTGGCGCGGAGTCGGCCTCCAAACTAGACCGTACTAGCCTTGATGGAAGGGCGACTGCAGCATATATGCCAGTATACGCCTCATGAAGTAGAGCAGGAACAATCCGAAACAGACGACTGGCAAGCTCCGCGATTTGCAAATTCCGGCAAATCCCGGACTTCACACGCTCCCAGCTTCCCATCCACTTTCATGTTGATTGTCAGGATTTACACCTTTACTTGTATAGCTCGCACCATGCAGCTGCAGGTGCTGAATGAACCTTAAAAGACCGGAGATACTGACTGCATTGTCCACCTTTTAACTGTGCATTTACTCACGGACTTGGAGTCAGTGATGCCTTATGAACATGCACAGAATTCGATGGTAGCACTTTCATTCGCCATCGACGTACGAAGCAGATAGATTCATATTATTATCCTTAACCACCTTCACACAATACCCAGGTATGTGTGTCATCGTTAAATATTTTCCTGATACCCTCAAGCCTCCGTTGATTAGAAATAGGTTATGATGGTGATACGATGAGCAGGTACTCTCCCCAGCCGCTTAAGAACGCATACCACCTCAGTCCACTATTCCACTTGTGTTGTGCTGCACAATAACGACAAGAGACGCGAAATCTGGCATGATGTTATCTTCATTCCTCCGCGTTTCGTCGAGGTTTGGAGTGGGATCCATCGGTGGTCTACATTGTTTATTCCGACAATGGGAATCTCCATCGGCACCTGCGCGTCGGTCAGCTCGCAATGCCGTCTGTTATTCTCTGTTGTCTATTCCCTCTACTCCTGTGTAACATGTCATTTGAACGCTTTCCAGTCAACGACGGGAACATGTCTCATTAGAAAGGCGGGAAACTTTCGGTGATGAAGTTCTGGAAGCAATTCTCTAAAACGTCTTCCTGAAGGAGTCCATGACCCTCTCGAGACGACCAAGAGCGGCTTCTTCTGCCAAAGGTCGTGCGCCTATCGGTACCCCTTCTCCTCGCCGTCGAATTGATTGGAATTGGCCCTAGGCACGGAACAACCAGTCGCATAATGAAACAAGGCACCGAAACACGTCGCGCTGTGTTTTCATTTAGCGCTCTCTAGCACGTTATATGACGTTATACTTCACGACATTGGATGGCTGGTTGTTGATAATCGAGACTATTTTCGCCAGTGTACCAGATCGTCTAGGAGCAATCTCCGATGCGCATCAATCGGTGGTAAGGGCGCCGGATAGGTCTGAGCCAGGCCCATCATCCTAGTTGCTCGCTAGGTGTACCTAAAAATGACGTAGTCATTACATTTCCGCAGGCCATTGCCAGACGGCAAAGGCTCGGGAAATGAGGAAGCATACAAGGACCCACTGCGCAGTATTGCAGTGTCGCGCGACTTCCCCGCAGCCTTTCTGGGTGTTCCAGGAATTAAAGGCAATCACTTGATTGGACATAACAGCTTAATTTGCTGAGCACTAAGTAGTTCGATTCTCTCGTACTGCCTGCCTATCCCACTGTTACAGTACAAGTCAGGATTTGGAAATGATTCCTACCCAGAACCCTGAACAACATGTACAAAATTCTTGTGCGTGGTGTTTCCATTCCACCGTCGCACTCGAACTTTCGAGGGTCCCGATCATTGACCAGATATGACATAAATGAAGGCTCGTGGCGATTTCAGATATTTCCGAATCAAAGAACGACGAGGCGTGTTTATTTAATAGAGAGGTTGTTGATGCTCGTCTCACAAATACAGCTCATATAGTAAAGATTCCCGCCGCGTCCTGCCTAAAATGTACCCCGAGAAGGCCCGGGGTACCGCCAACGAAGGTGAAGGTAGGCGTCTCATGTTTTGATGTTAAGTAACAATACTGATGACATGCGACCGTCTACAGAGTCGCTGGTCAGGAAATATGCAAGCGAATGCGGCCATTTCCGTGGTCCGGCAAGGTTCATCCTTGCATTTTCCCATCGAGTAGGTTCATCACCCGGCTACCTCATGTTGCAATGCACGACTTTAGTTTCGTTCTATGTCCCTAATCCATTGTTGACGACCTTGCGGATAGTTAATAGCGAGAGCCGGTGGGAGAAGCCGTGATGCCCAATCAAAGCTTTGGTCTTGGATTTCCGATCAGGCGGAAAACACTCCACAGTTCCTTGAACTCGGTGCCGTCCTTGGACCTCTAACAAAATTTCTGCGTCCCTGGACAATTTTATGTTTTACAAGGTTACAGCTTCCCGATACTACTATGTCCCCCTGGAAACAGACAGCAGCTTTAGCAGAGCTTGTAAATGAATTCAAGTGAGTAATCGGTTGTTACCCAAAGGATAACAGATTGTTGATGCTTCGCTGCTCAGTGACGATGCAGGTTAATGACTCTATTACTCACTTCCCAAAGGCCTAGTGATCCCGACATTGACCGCATGCGCAACCCAGGGAAACAGCGTCGCCTATGATACACCGATTTCCTCGGCATTTAGCAGAAGGAATGAATGTTCAGCTCCATAAATTAGTATTTCCCCCCCCCCCTTGCCCAATGGGTATGCCCGAGATTTACCTTAGCGGTCGGTATATAAGCACTGTGGACCACGCGTATGTTTATCTCTCCCTGCCATTAATGATATCAGTCAACACTACTCCCAGGTGCGTATTTCCCATATTCCCGTCCACCGCTGCCTTCTGAGTTGGTGATCACCAGCACGATCATGATATCTTCATGGATCAATCTCGTTCTGTACACCGCTGAAGTCCTGTTGTTCATATATTACGACATTTCTCGTAGACCCCGGCACTTTTATCGCTACGGTCCAATGGTTGCCTTGATAATCGACACAGCTGCTACGGCGGTAATTTGTGCAGAGGCCTATCTCGTGAATATTATTTTGTGTAGTACTCGAGTTCAGTCTATTGACTTGTTTCCAGACACTTGTTGACCATCAAGGTGAGGCACTTACCGCGTAGATACAGCTGCCCCTTGAATAACAGCTTAAATTTAGACAGTCAATTATGGACTGTCCCTTTCGTTATTATCCTCACCGTCGTTTCAGCTTTGTTGGAGCAAAGTTTCCTAATTTATCGGTTTCGAACACTGTAAGTCCTATTTAATTCTAATACACGACGATCTTAAGTGCATTCTTTTTCATAGAACCAACGGGGTCATCATAACAGCTATACTCTGCGTGCTAGTTTTCACGCATGTACACCTTCTACTCAGCGTATCTCTACTTTTCCTAATAAAACTTCCAGGCGGCGGTTGCGCTTATCAGTACCGTATACTCATTTTCTCACTCGGATGCCGACCCGATTGGCCCAAACACTCTGGGGTGGATAAGCGTAGGGTAAACATACCTATTATGACATCTTCCCTGTACTCAATGTCCTCCTGTTTAGAGTTTCTTACATTCTCAGTGCTTTGGCGGACGTCGCCATCTCGAGCGCACTGGTTCGTTCCTTGGGTCAGTTCAAAATTGGTTCCCCGGTGACTAAGAGGTCAGTGGTAAGAACATGATCCTGATACCAGTAGTAACGCTCAGCATATCAATTAGTCTTATAAGACAGGCGTCTGTGAAGACGATGGCCTGGGGATTCATCTCCGCGATGACAACCTTAACGGTGCTTATTCTATTATATGTCACTCCGTCGGGTACGCTGTTGCATTAGTTTGTCTCTTACACTTGATATATACTGTTGGATAGCTTCGACGGCAGTTTTCCTGTGTTCAGGTCGGGTGTATAGTCTCACCGTCTTAATTCACATGGCACTCTGTATCCTGAAGAGCGAGCCGCCACCAAATTTCAGCCTAAATTTTCCGCCTAGTACTATCGAACGGACAACCTGTTTTACGTGTGGGTTCATTTTTGATAGCCTTCCATGAACATGCTCATTGACGGATGCTCCAAATCATTGTAGGTTCAAGCATGATCAGAAAGTCTCAATCTGTCGACGCCGTACGTTATGTAGACCATTATACCTGCAGCGCTCACTGGTCATGAAATAGACATGTTCCTCAACCGACCGGCCAGAAGCCCAGGACTCATGCCCAGAAGCCTTGTTCTCAGCTGGCACCCACGCATAACTCATCTGTTGTCTGAAGTTTAGAGTTAATATACATACGTTTTAGGCCGGATATTATTTTAATATGTTCTTGCGAGTCGAGTCTCAACGTCAGCTAAGCGTATGCCCGCAAGTGCTCTCATCGAGGCGGGTACAGAGGTAAAGATCCGCTTTTACTTGTTCTTGAGATCACCTGTGCAAGATATCGTTAATGCGTTAATCTTCGGCAGGAAAGTCAGTGTTAATTCACAGAACCTCAACAAATAGCACAAACCACGGAAAATATCTCTTCAGCCGTTGCTGAGGACACTCTCCGTTCCAGTTTTCCTCATTTCCTAGAGAAAGACTAGGCAGTCCAGGCTGTTGAACGACGAATGAAGCCGACACAGAACCATAAGCAGCACCTGCATTGAAATCAGCTGCGACTTTCCGGAAATTCAGAACATCGTACCAATAAAGACGTCATCCCCCGCCATAGCCATGCCAGCACAGAGACCTCCAAGAAAACTATTCCCGGCGCCCGTTGTCTCACGAACGTTCACCTTCGCCTCTTCTGCCGTCCAATACGGCGGGAGCCAACGCGAGGTGCATGTACCTAACATGGGATTTTTGTTCGTTATAAAGCATCCACGAGCACCCGCACGGACGACAATAGTCTTTGAGCCAAATTCCGTGTACACGGATACAAGGGATTCGATATTGCCTCCGTTCGTGGCGGACGAACGGCCCTCTTGGAGGAATAATTCAAGTTCCTCATGGTTGGGCGAGAACACATCAATCAGAGGGAGTACGGATTTGAGAGTCACAAGATTGGCGGGGTTACAGTTAATAGGAAGGGGCTCATAAACAATTTTTGGTCGCGGTTCCGAAAGGATCGCCAAAGAAGTAGAGAGGTCTTCGGGTGAGCAGCAGAAGTGTAGATATCTAGTTGATTGAGCATTGAGGGAGGCAACTGTCAAGAGTGGACGGGGGTTAAGGTAGCGGAAACTGGCACGCGCGTCAATTTCGTAGAATGGAAGTGGAATCACGTAAAGTACCTTCGAGTTCCTGCTCCATACACAATCTCCGTTTCGAGCATCGATTCCTTCGATTTCTCATCCCATATCCACATTTCTTCACCAAACTGGTCTAGTTCCTTAAGGAACTTCTGAGGTACACTCGACCTGGAGCAGCCGGTGGATAGCCCGATCGTTTCTGGCGGTATCCACACGCGTGCACCAACAGCTGCGTATAGCCCACCGCCGCCGAGATGACTTTCGGTTACATCAGAGTGGTGGATATTATCGATGAGAATTGTACCGATAGTGGCGAGAGTAAGAGAAGCCATGCCAAGATCGCTGTCCGTCCGTCGTTATCGTGTGCAGGCGATAGGCCGCGGCCGAGGTTCGCCGTTCATACGACTCTTCCCCTAATAATTCGGGCTGCTTTCTGAAAGTTGTGTAGGGGCGGAAATTTTTCGCGTATGATATTTAAAGCGCATTACGGGCATTACGATCCATGTCGAATCCACCGCACGAGCCTCGCGTTTTCGACATGGATGTGGTTCAGATCAAACTATAAAATTTTCCGTTCTTGATGATGGTGGGCATTCCGCAGGGCCTATCGCGTGAATGAACATTGTACTTTATCGTAACATTTGTTCCAGATTGCTCGAGAGACGCAAAGTTTGTGGATCAATCACGTTGATGCTTTGCGGAGCCTGGAACACACATCAGACGAACATCCGCTGTAGGTTGCTTCTGGGAAAGACTCACCTTGCATCGTAAGAAAGCGTGTCCTCGTCGGTATGCATCGAACAAAATGGCAATATCCGACCATCAAGGACCAGAATCACATACTTGTTCGATCCGTATCCTGCGGACTGGTCCCGGGCCGACCAGTTCCGCTTCCTGATTTCATCTAAGGAGATATCAACACAAGCCCACCGAGGGACTTGAGATCATCAAAGGCAAGTGGACACGGTATGCGGACCAGCACGCTTAGGGTGCGCGCTTCACGGACTTGAGATCACTAAAAAGAACTGCTCTTGTGCGTTAGATCGGGGAACACCGCCAGCTGAACACACTATGTCAGGCATTCAGATGAGCTATATGCCTCGTCAGAGTAGTGTCATGAAGCATCTGAAATCCCAAAATAGATACATCAAGCTACGAAGAAGAACTTTGTGAATAATGTTGGGAACAAAAAGAGGCTCTGGTGCAAAGTTTTCGAGAAAAGGAAAATTGAAGTCCTGTGCTAAAAACAGGCCGTGAAGTTACACCTTGCTAGCAAGATACAATGTTCGAAATTCAGGAGCCAGCGATAAACCATAGCGACAAAGGCGGCACTTACTCTCTCTTACTGAAGACGGGATATGACTCTCGTGATGCGACTTTGCGTGCGTTTGAAGGGTATTAATTAAGCGCATTAATTAATGCTCGATTCCACATGTACTGACTCAGAAAAAAAGAATTACAGGTCACAATTTAAATTGAAACAAGTACTGAGGGACAAGATCACGTGTTATTTTAGGGCCGGTCGCATAAGAGCTTGCGTTTAACCCATTTATGATTTAACGCTCTGGCCGGATTGTCGCTTGCCGACAATTCAAATTTCGAAGCCACCCCAAGTAATGCAAAACAAAATTGGCGCCTATCCTCGCCTATCTCCCGGCAATCATAGAACTCGGTAACTACAGGCTTCGGCCTATCCTGCTTATTGGATCTGTAAAAATTTTGCGAAGCCTGGAAGTCTTGTTACTCTGGAGACAATCAGCAAGCGTCTGAAGGGATATGAGTAGGTAACGTTTGCTTCTTTCACATGCTATATGGGTTGTACTAGGTGCCGGCCTTAGGTCACTGGAATCACCTGGTATTCTCGAACTTAGGAACCCATCGGGCAACAAAACCGAAGACACAACAGTGCGGTTCCTCCGGCATTTTACTCACCCTATTGGCGGCTTTTAAATAGCTCGCACTGACCATGCACCCGGTATGCCCAAACAGTCTGATTTGCGTAGGTTAGGAGGTTTACAAAATAGCTTTTTGAATTTTTACCCTTCTCTGGAACAATGGCCCGATTTCCAGGTACGATGCTAATGAATATAAACCTGGACCCATAACTGCCTTTCAGGTACCCGACGAGTACTGGGTCAATCCCGATCTTTCCTGATCCGCCCCTCCCTTCCAGAGTCGGCCTTCGGGCGGGATTGGGAATTGGGAATTAAACTCATCCGAGTCCGCCAAGCGTACTATGCCCCGGCTGCTTTTTGTACCGGTATAATTAAGCAAGAGTCAGGCAGAGTCAGGTTTGCTCACCCCGGGGGAGATTATAGTATATTATTTAGGGAATCAATTTTATTCTCCGTCTACAAAGGACTATCAACATCTCTTGAAAGTTAGCGATATCGATGGTATGATATGAGCCAAATTAGACCAAGCGATCGATCGGAGCTGTGTCTCAAACGAGGGATTTTGTGAGGGCGTCTCGCCCAGCCCAGACTCTACCCCATTCAATACGTTTTCCGTGTTTTTGAGTCAGAAAGAATCTATTTTGTACGTCCGTAATAGTTGCTGAACCAAATTTCCTGTATGGAAGCTGTGTCATCAACTGAAAGAAATCAATGTCGATTCTCACTCGCGGCTACAAAGGCCGCGGCACCGAACCAAGGGCCGAGTGGATGTCTAAACATATCATTGACGCGTACTCACGTAGGCTTGAACTGTACACGTAGTGGAGAGCGTCATACCCGGAAGAACCGGGGAACTTCAATCGGTAGCTAAAGTATACCGATGATATCTGCCATATTCGCGAAACTAACACATAATGTTACCCATTCTGTTCATGTTTACCACGAACCATGTGCTTCGAACAGCGCCGAAAAGTTTGGAACGCGGCGCTGAATGCCCTCCAGAACCTCGGCTACGAGAAGTGAATCTGACAGAAGATGGAAACGTGAGGACAATCTACCACAGTAGAAAGGAAGCGCAGTACGCCACTGCCCTGCCCCAACAACATTTGATTCTTCCAAGGGATTTCCGTCATTGTGACACTGAATCCTGACGGTCATGTCACTCCGCTCCGGCGACCTAACGAAGAAGCGAAACGGTTCAGTGTCATTCAAAGGACGTTTTTACTGCGAACGCAGGCAATGCCGCATAGCGTCAGTCAATGGCCGATGCCCGCGACCGCAATGATTCGCGCCCCTCCACAGCGACCGTATTGCTTGTGGAAGCATTCACTTGTAACAGCCTCGAGAGCCACTGCTCGTGTTCTCCCGCAATTGTTCCGGCAATGAGATCTGTAAAGACCCGGGGTCAAGTTAATGTATCAATAATCACACGCTTGAGACGCCCCTGGGCCTGGTCGATCACGATGTCACTAAGGAGGCTGTGCAAGATTTGCAGAAAGCCGCACGGAAGGTATTGTCCGGCGTTTCCAGGCGCGGCTACGTGCACCAATGAAAGGCGGTTGGGCATGCCCGAGCACCGACCATAAAGGAACTCCAGCGAGAACGTAGGGCTACCAGTAGAAAGTTTAGGTTCCCGATGGGGTCCGTCATTGGTGGGGTGTGAACATTGTAGAAGGACTCAGAGTGAGTCAGAGATGATCGCGAAATGATCCTCGAGGAAAGATATATCTGATACCTTTGTGATGAATAATTGCAGAACACAAGAGAGAGGGTCAGAAGTCGTTACCAGAGTTCCGAAAACTTGATCCGATGTATTGTCCCAACACTTCCAAGGAAACCCCGACATGCGGACATGGCACAGCAACTTTTTTGATTCCACCACACCTTTCAAGTTGACAGAACTATAAACACTAAAAGAGAGTTATCTTTGATTCAGGAAGCGGCCCTGGATCTCCAAGAAAAGAGCTACTCACGATTTCATCAAGGAGGGTGAAGCCTATTACACTCTCCGACGAGGATGGACCAAAATGAGTCATGAAGAGAAATGACGGATGACGAAGCCTGACGAAGCATGATCTGATAGTGAATGAAGCGACCCCGAAACCATGAGCGGAAACAGGGTATGGCTGCGAACTATAAGAGGGGGGGATGTTATATGCGATGTGCGTCCCGTAATCGATAGGGTGGATCATCGTAGGCGCGAGGTTGAACATACGGAGGAAGATCCGAAGGAAAGAAGGTGTAAAGTTCACGTGATGGGGACAACCTTTTAATAGATTCCCATATATATCCTAGATCCGGCTGTTCGGTAGCAATCATCGACCTTCACGAATAACCGCTACTGGACACAGCATTGTTACTCAAGGCTTTTCCACAGATTCATAATGCTTAAGGACTGCGGGACTCGGCTCCAAGATCCGCACGAGAACGTTCCGGTACATTCTCCGCACTATATAAGGGCCCTTACCAAGAGAGTCTTGAAACCTTTTGTTACTTGCCTCCGCCCTTCAAGGCAGTCCCTCCATGCAGAAGCTTACTACAGAAACCAAACCTTTGAAGCGCGGTAAAGCTTGTTTAACTTGCAGGTGCGTGTGCTGCGTGTTTTTTCTGACTCAGTACTAATCAATATTTCGAATTTTTAGGTTTTTAAAGATTGTATGTGATTTTCTTTCAATTGTATGCCCCATATGTTGCTAATTCCACTAAACAGAAGTGCGATGGCACAAAGCCGGTCTGTGGCCCATGCCTCCGACATCCGAAGGACGACCCTTGCGAGTACGCCGACAGTCCTCGACGATCCAGGACAAAGGTGTTAGAAGATCAGGTGGCGCGACTCGAGGCTAGGCTGAAAGATTTGGAGCAGCCAGAACAATCTCCATCTGTCACTCTGCACGACCCGTACTCCAATGATCCCTACCATAACGTGCAGATCCCAGGCCTTGCCGGCTACGTCCCATCTACCTCCGATGCGTTTTCGCATAGTCCTTCGTCTCCATATTCGGGGTCGACTTCTTTGTCAATAACGTCTACGCCGCCTCCAGGTGAGACACCCGATTTTGCTCTGGCACTTGCTTAGAAGCTGATCTCATTAAAGGTTCTACCTCACCAATTTCATCTCGGACGGACGCGCCACCGTTCAACGCTGAAGTATGCCCCTTCCTGCTCTTTTCCTGCTTTTGATTCTTACATGCTTGTAGGAACCATCATTACCGGTCATCCGGAATCTGTAAGCTTGACTACGTCTGAAAAAAATTTTAATCGATTAACTGCGCCCCTAGACTTGATCTGTTCTTTTCCTATTCCGCCGAGCTGGGGTTCTTCCTCGACGTCACACGATTTTACAATTCGGCCAATTTGGCTCTACCTCTTGGCCACCATTCACGACCCTGTTCATCGGTCCTATCCGCTGTTTACCTTTGGGGATGCCATTTGTCTTCCCAAAGAGACCAGAAAGCAAACGAACAACCAGTCTGGGCTCACCAGCATCAGTACCTTGCCCGCGCTTTGAAGCATACGTCTGCGGGTCTTACAACCACTCATCCAGACAGATTCCTGCACACGATTCAAGCAGAAGTCCTCCTGGCATATTACTTCCTACGAATAGGAAACTTCCTCGAGGCGCGACGTCATACGGGCGATGCAGTGTCACTCGCAGTTGGGTGTGGGTTGCACAGACTACGCTCTGAGGCAGCTTGGCGGCCTCCAGCCATTTCTGTTGCTTCGTTGATACGTAATGGTGCACCGGTGAGCACAACTACGACACTTCCTCCGCCGCGCGACAGCATCGAGGAGGGTGAACGGATCGACGCGTTTTGGAATGTCTCAATTCTGTCCAAGAACCTAGCAGTAGCGCTAGATTGCCCAACGGACGTGTGCGGGACCCTCGAAGCCCCTGGATTCCAAATAGATACTCCTTGGCCTCTAGACCCCAAAAGCTACCAGGCGGTGCGTTTTCATTCATTTCGTCTATTATCGTTTCCGCAGCACTCACTCATAAACGCAGGGCATATTACCACATCCCACGACGTGCACAGTGCACACCTTCTTGCACCCGACACCTAATTCCGACACGCCTGGGTCCCTTCTAACGTTGACCGCTCAAGCATCCATTTTGCTACACCAAGTGACGTACTTTGCCGGCCAGACCAATTTGGGTAAGTCACGCGAAAATTTTTTTCACCTCTTTTTGGCTGATAGTCTTAGGCCGCAATGTGCAGAACTTTTCGTCATCCTTTCAAATACTCGACCGTCTTATTATTAATGTTCGTCACCGGTTACCTGATCTGTCCGATTTGCCAAGGCAGTCACCTTTTAACGGAAACGTATCAATCTTCTTCGTCCACGCTTTGCTCTACGCTTCGACGATCAAACTTCATGAACTCCTGGTCTCGAATCAGCCTGCATCGAGGCAGGAGTGTGGTGTGGCTGCACGCTCGATGATAAGCTGGGCCTCGTCCATTCTCCAAGACTCGACGTGCACAAATCCGATCATGGGCGTGAGTACCTGTCTATTTTTGCTTGTTTTCCATTCTTCGGACCTTGATATGCTGATTGCTGTTCTTTTTTCTGTAGACGCTCCTGATGATTGCTTGCCAGGCACTCATCGATGAGATTTCCCGCGTGCGGAATCAGGACGGTGAGCAGATAGACTCGAAGGAACATATGGAAGAAAGTATATCTGCGACGCTCCGTCTCGGACTTTCCGTTCTCAATATGTTTTCCCGCGAAAGTCCTCTGATGAGTGAGTATTAGTCGCTCGCCTCAGTGAGTACCCTTTACTTATGCTTTGTTATGGCAGGATATCAACTCACGACTCTACAAGACGTTTATGACACGTTACGATCGTGACGCTTGCGAAGGTAGAGACCTTGACTTGATGATACCATGGGACTTTTTGATACCGCTATCTTCCTAAATGTATTTCTTCTCCTTTTTCCTTTGCTTGTCTTTTTAGTACACCACCAGGATTGTTATTGTACACTTATGTTCTTCTGCTCTCATTATATACGCATTAGACTTTAGACGCATCGCTATCGATCCCCATCGACTCCAAAAGTACGTACCATAAATACTGCAGCCACTTTTCGCTTCGAAAATTAGTATATCACTATGTATCGTTAATCGCCCTCCACTTAATTGTCTTATTGTTCAGATTTACCGTTGACACTGGCTGTCTCGTCACTGTGATCAGGGAACATTGAACCCTAGATATATTAACTAAAGCCGTAATGGTTGATACCGTGATACATCATCACGTATATAGCAATTAATTAAACACCAGAAATTTCAAAAAGAATGCGAGCTGAGATGAGATTCAGCAGCGCCACATAATGCCAGAGCAGAAGTCGACATTAAGAGCAACTCTTCTCTGGCGTCTCAAAACACCGGTCTAATACCACCGAGCGGCTCCACCTCTGCAAACGTTGACTTCCAAACCACGGCTCCTCAGTGCCTCGAGGATACCCAGATCCTCAGCTTCGAGATAATCATACTCGGGCACCATCGACCACGAAAATTTTCTGAACCGCGCTACTCCATGGGCGCCTGCATGACACCGCGATGCAATCATTTCAATCACCGCCGCTCCGCTATCCTCCTCCACACATCTTCCAGATAAATCCAGCGTCTCCAAATCCGGAAGTAAACACTTCCTGCTGTCTTCGCGCACAGTAAGCTCCTCAATGACAGCCCCTGAAACGAATCCCGACCAATCTTCCGGGAGCCACCCCTCTTCGTTCAACACCAGCTCCGTCACAGTCGCAAATGAGGCAAGTCTCAAACACTGCAAGAACTGTTCCTGTCGCATCCGTGTATCACGGAACTCAACCCTTGTCAGTGCGCATTTTGAGCGTTCAAGCCAGGAAGAAAATACGGCTTGCGGCCAGGTCTGGGCGTAAGAATAAATGGTTAGCTCGTGGAGCTCAGGAACCTGGAGCTGGGAGAAGAGTCTGCAGATGTCCGTGTCATTGATGTTGAGTTTGAGAGAGGTAAGGTTGGGTAGGGTTATTAGTCCTGGCGGGGCACGTATGTGGTACTCGGACGCTGGTGGGTAGGCGGTCTCGAGGACACCCATGGTACAGCGAACGAGGTTCTTGCATAGCGAGAAGAGAGCCAGACACGTGTCGACGTAGTTGACGTCGTCGAGCTTTATTTCGGTGAGATGCTCCCACTGGATGAGGTGGTAGTCCTCTAAGCATTGGAATACGTTTATTCCGCTGATTACGAGGCTAGAGAAGTTTGGGGCAGAGGTGAAATAGTTGAGAGCACTGGAAAATTCGTCTGTCATGGCGAGGACTTCGGTGGGTGCGACCAGGGTTAGGTGCATGGAGCGTAGGTTCCGGGGAACGACGACATTGTGTTTTGCTAGGGTACTGAGAGCGAGAGCGCAGCAGAGATGGAGGGATACATGCTGCCATCTGTGTATATGACATAGAAACTTTTGGAGAAGATTGCTGGTCATGACATGGTCTGCTACCCAGTCGCCATTCTGTCTGAGGGAAAATGTTAAGGGGACGTTTTTAGAACGTTCGAGCCATAGAAGTGCCTGAGGAAGAGGCGGATAAGACTTCCCCCAGCTGACGTTAATGGATAGATGCGCCCAGAGCCGCGGCGTGCGAAGGACCCAGTAGCGCCAAGTTCTACACACGACTAGGAGGAGCAATGGTGCGTCGAAGGTTGATGGAGGAGATGGGACGAGATCCGAGGTATGGTAATAGGCGACTTCGCGAAAGTCAGGTAGACAGCGTACGAAAATCTCCTGCCATATTTCCGGGGGTATACGTTGCTGCTCCATGTCGCTTGGCCATGTAGAGCATCCAAGACGCATGTAACTGGGAAGGAGTAAACCGCAGTACTAGATCCTCGAACTGTGGGAAAACACACTCACCTGCGATTAGAATTATCGGAGAGGGAGAAAAGAGGCGGAAAATAATGGGGTAAAATATGAAGGTTGGATCACGTCGTCGCGCTGATTCATATGTGACCTACATAGGGGCATTCGGAGGCAAATTTTCAGAACGATCTCGGGCTTGTGAGACAATGGCTATGTGCCGGTGAGTCTGGGGAATAAGACAACGGTGCGCTGAACTTACAGAAAAAATCCACAGAGAGAGCACAAGAATCAGGTAGTGGCCATGTGCGGCTCCGCATTCACGAATTGACTCATGTCCCGAACTGACTCAGAGCCATCCTAGTCATCGAGATTGGACTCGGTCTCTACGATTGATACAGCACGTATAAGAACCTGGATTCGCATGTAAGTATTCCGTTAGAAAACAAACAACGAGAAATAACTCTCTCATGGAAAGAGACGTACCAGTAGCATTTCAGTCAAGGATGTTGAGGACGAGTTTCGAGGTTTGTGACTTTGCCATTCTTGCGTTATCCATCAGGACCCGCCGGCTCCAAGCAATACTTTAAGGAATAATGGCCTCAGAGGTCAATTCCTGAGGCTACTATCACATGCTCGACTTAGAATTTAGGATACTGGCAATAGTTGATGATAGTAGCAGAAAATTGTCGAAGATAAAAATAGACCTCGGAGCTTACCGAAACAAGACAGCAGACGCCGTGATCCGGATTTTTATTTCTCCCTTCCACGAGGCTACGTAACGTTTACGCTGCTTTGACGCTGTTGGTTCCCGAAGGACCTGCTACATACCTCTGGGGCTTATGATAAACGTCCAACATACTAACATCGACTTGAGAGCTCTACAAGGTCTGATTTATGACCTCCACAGCATAACGAAGGAGCTGGAGTTGTAGATAAGGTTCGGTAGCTTTTAGTGCTGAAACGGCTGCGCATACTAATGGAGCATCAGAACGTCGCACGAGTGACGACTACAAATCCACGGAGTCTCATTGGCGATAGATTGGCGACGTGGGAGCCACCGCAACCTCCTTGGTATGGTTCTTTTTCAACAGGCCAAGAAAGTGTCGTGATAGCCAGTAGCATCGGAAAGCCTTGGTGGCCAACAGTTCGGCCAGCTTACTGCCGGAACTATATCGAGGATAGGCCGGGAATGCGCTGCAATCCGGAGCGAGCCATCTTTGGATATTGTTGACTGTATGGCGAGATTCGGGGGTATGAAGGATCTGAATTGTGGAGATGGTGGTCCGGGAGACGAACGACCGTCCCCGCTTGGACCGGAGTCCGTACCATCCTCCCCGCGACGTTCTCATTTGACGCCCCGCTCGCTCTCAAATCACTGCACCACGCGCATACATCCACGTTATATGCCTCGGGAACACCTCCCTTGATGGTGGGGCGAACAACAACGAAGAACTGCTGTGTCGATGTCTTCCAGCTTGGTATCCTTCCACCTCCCGACCCGACAACCCGAGCCGCTGTGCGTCGCGGGTGGGAGTGCCGTAGTGATGGTGGGTGAAGGAAAGAAAGGAGCGATGAGAGGGCGGAATGGGGAAGCGCGCCCTTTTATATTCGGGAGGCCCGTGCCCGACGGCGGGGAGATCTGCGTGTGATGATCGTGGCGCGTCATAAACGCGTCAAGAATGTCGGTACACTCGTCATCGGCGTCGGCCCGATGCAGGCGTGTAGCGCGGCCTTCACCGATACAACATTCGAGCCACAAACACAGAACGCTTTTCCTGTTAGTCCCATGCCTTTGGAAGTTGCCGCGGCTTTCAACGACACTTCTTGTCATCTCTTGAAGAATGTCAAACAGAAAGGAAGTGTAGCATCGACGTGGCAGTATCGTTTTTTCGGCCGACCGACAAGGAGCAGCGAAGAATACTTATGCTTCGTCGGATCGGATATCCTTGGGCAGGTTGAGATAGGCGCCTGACTCCCATAATGGGACAGCTAAGCGCTGCATATCCGACTCCTACGCCTTCCTTCTCCCCACCATCATGGACATGTACAATCCCCCGAGGTGAGTTTTGCTATGGCGCTATTTTTACCACCTTTTGACGTTGTGCTATCACAGGCCATTGTCTCTCCCACCGCCAAGCTACGATTCTGCCCCTGCGCTTATTGACATACGCTGTTGTTCGCTTATTAGCAGCTCCTATTGACGGACATACCCCGCTGAAGGCACATGTACAAGCAACTCCTACCAAATGTTTACGTATTATCTTGGCGCTTGTCACCGTTCTGGCGTTTCTTGTCTGGCATCTTGGAAGCGACTACACCAACACTCGCCGTACCGATTTCCAAGACAAGATGCATCATCGTGACGATGCGGAACGAGCGAGGAGAATCAGGGACGAGGACATGCAGAGGAATCTAGTACACCAGCAGGAAGATGAGGAGAGGCGACGCGCACATGAAGTAGAGGACGATAGGAGGAGCGGGGTAAGGAAGAGGGAAGAAAGAATTATTCATGCCGGGCTGGTTGCTGTGGCCCATAGAGAGGAAGCTGCGTGCTAAAGAGGATGCGATACTGGCCGACGAGGAGCATAGGAAGCGGTGCAGGCATCGTGTGGTGGGATTTGACGGCGGAGAAGCGATGCTTAGGATATGAAAAGATAATGTATCATGCGAAGCTGCTGAATGTACTAATGCTGAAACAAATCCTCAGAATTATTATACCGCACAGCGGCTACTGTGAACTTTGTACATCGATCTCTACACATCAAACACATCAAACAAGGTAATTATGAGACCGTTTTGCAATACGAAGATCCTTCAGCTTTTTTACTTCCGTTTCATCAGCCATTTTGAACACAGAGAACTTCTCGAACCTTTGGTTCGATGATCTTCGTCCGGCAACCCAATATTGCTCTATCACCGACCGGCGACGCCCTTGCCAACGCCGTAGAGGCGATGTGGTAGAAAGCAGCGTGTACCTGTCTTCCGGCAGCAGGTGCTGGTGGGTGGCGATGATTTTGAATGTATGGCTCTTCCCGTGCACGTCGTCAACAATCAACATTCCGTATCGATCAACACCCTCTGCGCCTCCGACAGCCAAACCTCGCACAAACCCCCTTTCAATACAGTACCCATCGAACAAGTCTCCATCTGCCTCCTCATTACGATCAACCATTGCTGAACAGTAACAGTCTACTGGCATAGGTTCAGTCATGACCTGCCCCCACGACGGTCTCCATCTTTGGCTCGCATTGCCTGGTTCGGGATATAAGAAGAATAACTGTGCTCGATACCATCCCCCCATCACATTCACCAGTGCTATCCACGCGTCCTCGAGAGACTGACTCTCGTAGTACGCTGGTATCATCTTTGATCCAAGGCAAAATGCCAGTCCTGCGACTTTATCCACAGGAACGGTCGACACCCGTTTTTGCATTTGCGATAGTACGTCAAACATACCAAGTCGATGTTGCGACACCGACATTAGCTGTTTGTGAAACCTCGTCAGGATCTTCTTCATATCCTCGTCTACCACCTGAGTGTCACGGTGGAGCGGTCCATCAGGAATATCTCCCGCGATAATCTGATTACGGCCGATCTCCTGCAACGTCCAAGCACGTCGAAACCAACACTGGTCACTTTCCAAGTAGTCTTCCTTGATACTCAAGGGTCGCCCAAGACCACTCAAGTACCAAATCACCACCTCAGAAAATCGGTACACCGCTCCAATGGTAGGCACGTCGAGCTTCCACTCCTCCGCACGCAAATCCTCCCTTGGCCCATCTTTTTGCCTCAAACAAAGTACATCCAGCCATACGTACTCCGCTCCCAGACTCAACATCTCGATGCGGATAAGTTCAAGGTTGGTACCTTTCGGGATGGGAACGGGCCATTCATATCCGTTGATGGGTGTCCATACATCGATGCGATCTCCCTCAGCCGTCCAGGAATGTGATATCGGCCATGGCCATTCACGGGTAATCCACCATGGTACCACCCGATTACTGTATAAATCCCAGACGCGTCGAGGCATGATAAACAGGCTGACGATTCTATTATCTATGACAGCTTCTTGTCGTTCTTTCTCGTCCTCAGCTTCACGTGCGCGTAATTCCTCTTGTATTGTACTCCAGTCTTCGAACCATATTGGGCGGAGATGGGCGTACGCAGTGCCAAAGTCGTAGTCCTTCCTGATACATTCTTCGAGAAGGAAGAAAAGGGATCGGATCCGTAAGGTGTACGAGGTTCCGAGGGTTGTGTTGAGTAGATCTAAGATGCGCTGAATGCCAAGGGTAGCACAAGGGGTGTTGGCAAGAGAGGATGATATTGCGGGCTTTTTGCCGACGTACACCCTTTGCGATGGAACTTTGATTGTCATTCCCGCCTTTCCAATTTCAGTCTCAGAGGAGATCATGATGTCGGGAAGACTGGAAAAGACTCTTTCTCGTTTCAGACGCGCCTAAGATACCTGGAATAGGCTATCTTGCTATTACGTTCATAGTTGATGTACTTACGATGGTCCCTTTTAGCTGTGGAACAACGCTACCCTGCCACCTACTGGGAATACACTTGTATAGAAGAATTTTGAATTCTACTAGGTATAGCCAGAATGAGGACATGAGGCGACAATCAAGAATAGTACTCACATATGATAATTTTCCGACAGAACCTACTACATGTAGTGTCAACTGGAAATTTCCAGCGAGAGGTTTGTTGCATCTTCATAGGTAATCCCGGGATATCACAGGACGAAGACGTGTTCTTAACATGGCGATGTCCTTCATGAAACAGATTTATAATCAAATGAAATCCAAGTTAACCACAATCAGATTTGTCCTGCATCGAAAATGATCCCTGTTTCCGGCGGTTGTACTGGCATGTTCGTCCTCAATAACGGCAGCAGCGGCGACGTTCAAAATAATGAAGCATGCGAAATTCCTATTGAGTCGTAATAAATACGCGCAACCCTAGATACCAACATGTTTTCTGCTCGAAGTAAACTGTTGTAAAGAAAATACGCACAGCGAACTTGAAGGTGGTGGCGCAGTCTGAGTACCTTGAGATGCCGATCTTTGCCGCAAAGCATTGAACACCGGCACCTCGGCACTACATCGAACCGGCCCGCTTCGTCTTCGCTCATGAAGTGCCATAAACAACAGCTTTCAAATATCCTCTCGAACAGTCTTGCTTTTCGCATGTGTCTTTTCAGTCTTGCCACCTGCTGAAGCCACAGGATATGCATTCGGAATCATTCTTCTTGGGAAGGCAGACTTTTGGCTACAGAAGGGCTACAGCATCCTTTTAAGTTCTGCTTGTAAGGTGCCCTCTCTAACACAACCTCCAGTAGCAGCCGGTATATGGTGGCCTTGAATTTGGCTACCTGATATCTGTGCGTGTTTATCTCTTAACCTCGAATGTTCCACGACCGATGATGTCTTTCTTCAGCTGGGAAGACAGAGACTTTTCGCAGTTGGTCCCTCCGCTATGAGTTCGATGACGCAAGCAATATCGTCGTTAGGATGGTCGCATCTCGAGCTGAAGCAGCTGATGGTTGCGTAACGTTGCAAACGCTTATTAAGGATGAGCCCTTTCGTTTTGAGGATGATGATCTTTCCGCGAGGTGGGAGAAGCTTTGCCAGGAAGGCCTGGATATCCGGTGTGGTGGATGAAATGCGCGGGAAATTTTTTCTTTTTCATCCTCAGTTCGAACAAATGTCGCCTTCGAGTGAGGTCCGAGAAGAAGCAACGAGCAACACTCTGCTTCGGATCCCGATTTCATTTGCAGACTGGGATAGACGCCCGATTTCCATACTGAGCCAATTAAGCGCTGCACGTGTATTAGGGTACAGAGTTGCTCATATTTTGATCAACACGGACGCCTTCTTTCTCCCCACCATCACGGGTATGTACAATCCCCCGAGGTGAGTTCTCAGTTTTCCTACCTTGCCATTTCTGCTACGGTGCTATTTCTAATACCTTTTGACGCTGTGCTATCACAGGTTATCGTCTCCCCCACCGCCAAGCTACCATTCTACCCCCAATGACGAAGCAGGTACTAAACGTTCTTTTGTCTGTATCTCAGTACTTATTGTTATATGCTTTTGTTCTATTTTTAGCAGCTGCTATTGACGAACGTACCCCGCTGAAGGTACATGTGCAAGCGACTCCTACCAAACGTTTACGTATTATCTTGGCGCTTGTCACCATTGCGGCGTTTCTTACCTGGCATCTCGGAAGCGACTACACCAACACTCACCGTACTGATGTCCAAGACAGGATGCGTCATCGCGAGGATGCGGAACGAGCGAGGAGAATCAAGGATGAAGATAGGCGGAGGGAGTCAGCGCATCAGCAGGAAGATAGGGAGAGGCGATTGGCGCACGAGGAAGAGGATCGCCAGTGGAAGGTGGAAAGGGAGAGGGAAGAAAGAATGATTCATGCTAAGTTGATTGCTGTGGCACATCGAGAGGAAGCCGTCCGAGCTAAAGAGAATGCGGTACTGGCCGACGAGGAGCGTAGGAAGCGCTCTGGACTGGCCTGGTGGGATTTGACGGCGGAGAAGCGATGCTTGGGATACGAGAAGAGGATGTATCATGCGGAGCTGCTGAATGTACCAGTGGGGGAAGACGCACAGAACTGGTGCATGAAGACGAGCATTGATATCCATGGTATTACGTATGATCATCCGGAATTTTGTATCCAGGAGTTGGTGGTAAGTTTCTCTTCCCTGTTTGCCGGTCATTGTGTGTACTAACGTATTTTTCTTCGCAGGACGGAGCTATAAAGACTATTGGCCATTGGACTGTGAACTCTAGTGAGCCGACGTGCGAGACTTGGTGGGGCGACCATCAGAAGAAGGTACGTATCTAGACTGTTATCCCATGCACGCGCTGATTACTGTCCAATAGGACTGCTATGGCTCTCACAAGCGGGTACGCCTTATCCTGGTATTGCTTGTTGGACATCAGACTGACTCCACCTTTGTAGCGCGTTGAGGCACGCATGTTCAACCATCAAGAGCCCTGGGACAACTGGGCCGAGATGTGCTTCTCTACTCCTTCCGAATTCGCCTGGCAGTCATTCGCTCACCCCGAGACTTGCGAGAATAAAGTACGTCGTCGTTCCCATTATCGGAGGATTCCATGTTGATTTAACCATAGGGGAAGGAAGGTATCGTCGGGGGCTGGTTCATCGACGTGGATGAGAACGAGTGCCCTTAAACGACCGCCAGGGTTTGAAAGATCTTTTTTCTAGTTTTTGTTGATTTCCTGCTATCGACTGCTGTACGAAATATTGTGTCCTACAAGCGCATAGAGCACTGTAATCTCCTTCGACTGAAAGAACCGGGTTACTGCACTGTATTAAGAATAACTTCAGTTCATTGTGGAAGGAAATACTGTAAATATCGTGGTATGCTGAAGAGGAGGGCAGTGAACTGATTCGACGTTAACAGCGGCAAGAGACACATGCTATGACACTCATAATTTGTGGTTCACGTGGGAATGTTGGTGGTCTCAAAAGGCCCAAATGCAAGCGCTGTATCAGGAGAGGTAGGGTGCTCTGAGTCTGCGACGGCAGCGCTTAGAACATTTCGAGAATTGAGCCTATGTGGAACATTAGCTTCGCAAAGGGATGGTTCCAAAACGAACACTGAACTTACATCGCTAGTAAGGAGTTCATATAAACTATTGGTCAGTGCACGGGTTAGTGACGATGGAATATAAATTAATAAATAAAACCGGTCACCGACTTTTTGGTAAAACCATTTCGAACGCAACAAAAAGAAGAGCGTTTGGCCAGATGACGTACTGTAGAGTAGTATCAGGAGCTATCGACGTTCGTAGAAGACAAAGTTACTGAGATGAGAACAAGAAAAGAGCATGCGCTACCACCAAAAAGAACGTTAGCAATGAAACCAGGTCGGAAGAATGGAGTTCGTGATCATTTATTTACCATGTCATCAACCCGGACATTACTACGAAGGGCATCAACGCTGTAATGATCTTGATTGTACTATGTTCATGTTAAATATGCATTAACTTATAGATGAACAACTGACCTGGACCTGCGGGTAATTTCTTTCCCCTTATGCAAGTAAAAGCACGTTATTCCGGCGATGACGAGATCTGTCGTTGCAGTCGCAACCCAAGGTATGTATAGGGGTACCTGTGAAACGGTATAGTGTCAGAACCATGTAAGTCGAACTGTCAAAACCTACCCTGATACTCGGCAAGTTTAGAAGATTGTATGGGCCGCCGTAACTGTTAAAGCGACAAGTACTCAGGAGGCATGAAGACGGGGAACATGTAGGAGAAATTCCTGCGTCATATAGATCGAGTCTGGTAATGATAATTGAGGCTCTTCGTTGCACCCAGGTTGATATAACTAAGGCTTACAGATTCACCCGGCTTGAATTATGCAGCCTTCAGTTTGCGATACTCATAATTGAAGGTTTGAGAAAGGGAACTCACCCAACGAAGCCGCGACAGAGACAAACTGGGTGAACACGTTAAGTGTCAAATCACATCCATGTACTGCGTTGAAAGGAAAAGAGAACGTACACCGCACAATGGTAGGAGTCTGACTGAATGGTAATGACGGCCAACTTGTGAAGTCGATACCGGTCGTTAGGATCATTTCGACGTAAGGAGTGAACGCGCACATTTCCATATTCTAACGGCGTATAACCTGAGGTAGTCGTAGCCATAGGTGAGTCATTCAGGTCAAATGACAAGATATAAGCTCACGCTTGGACGCCAACATCGGACGCCATCTAGTTCATGGGTGTTAGGATTAGGAATTTCAGACTGTAACTGTTGCGTACACTGAAAGGATACTGTGACTAGTGCAAAATATGGAGCAGAATTAGGTCATTGGATGGTGTGGGGACTAAAAATATCATGCTCACCCGGATACTCCTGGGAGCGAGGATCAGGTTAGTGCGTTAAGTCAGATAGCTTAGAATTATGACTTACCAGTTGAGCTGAAGCAGAACCTGATAATTTCCACGGTAGGTGACAAGGTAGAAGTAGAGTGCAAGAATAGCCAGGCCCAGTTGAATAGTATCGAGGATCCTGAAAAATTGAAACACCGTCAAGAATACATACAAGCGTCGGGCATCCTATAGCGTACCAGAGTAAGTCGATCTGAGTACAGAAATGGGTGAGCGAATAGTGAGCGAGCTGTGCAAGTACATACTGAATATCGGAAGAGCCGCGGGTCTTTAGTGTATCGTCTGTGTTGGGATTTGGCAATCCGGCATCATGCCGAGTTCGCTTATTAAGGTAGAAGTCGTAGGAAAAGCGTGGAAAGTTCTAGTAAAAGTACATTTAGTATAAAAGTAAGTACTTTAGGGTAGATCCTCATGCATTTGCAGAGCTCAGCCAAGCGCAATACTATTGGCTTGCTACCGCGCATGTGATACTGGGAACGAACCGATACCCCGTTTTCCAACAGTCTGTAGTATATGGCGAGCTGATGAACGCTTATCCCATACAACCTACGAAGGCTGATTGTTAAAGTTGAAATGCAAATGACGATGTACTCACATAGCACTAATCATTACACCAACAAAGATAGCGCCCATGGTCATATCCAACGAAAGGGTGGCAGCAATGGGTACTGGGACATCTGAATACATGAGTAGAGTAGACGGGGATCCTGGAATGATAGTAGACACTCGAATATATATATTGGTAGATGTAGCGCGCAGCACCCGGGGCTTGTGCTTAAGAAGAACAGATAGAGAAATTTTTTGATTTCATGACTCAAGTGCGGAGATGGGTAAGCTATGTTGTTCGGAGTCGCCAAATGATACGGTCGTAATCTGAGGAAGTGACACGGGGTAAAGCGTCTGGTGGTGAGGTCTATGGTTGTCATCGTGAGCGGACGTTCATTTCGATTTCCAGCTGGCAATTGTCGTAAGCTTCCCTTTCTCAACAATCCAAATCAAACACGAGGCACTGGCAGGACCAAACTTAGTTCAGATGTCGAAGATCCAGAAATGGGATGCCGGCATAGCACTGGTACACCGGAGGTTCTTGCAATAAACGCATGGCTCGGCCATCATCGAGTATCATGTATAGGCGAAATATTAATAGGTCAGCTCGGGTAACATCAACAAGAGATGCCGAGGCGTATTACGCCACAAGCCAGTGCGCTCTAGCTCGTAAAAAATGAAATCTGGGGGAGATTGTATTTTTGCGAATCCTTTATCTGTCCTGAAAAGCCGCTCAGTAAAACGTCATGAAAATTTTTTGGCGCTACAGAACAATGAAATTGGGGTGCTTTTTTTGTTTTACAGCGCTCAAACTTGAAACTGAGAATGATAACTTATAAGATTACAATTTGGGCTATCAAAAACGCACCAGCCTCTGCTGCAGTGTATACGATATACTGCCATCATGAGATTTGGACGTCGCGAAGCCATCGTCTGTGGTCTTTTGCGAAGAACATTGCAGTTGATCAAGGCTGCCAGGAGGGAAGAAATTAAGCCCGGATGCTAGTGCCAAGATTTTGATCAGTAATTCGAAAGCGCGCGCGCTTGGTGCTGTGAAAAGAAGAGCCACGGATGCCCATGGATTTGTTCGGCGAATATGTTTTATGGGGATGGACTGAGCCCAAGCTTGAGCGCTTGAGCGTTCCAAGGGGGTTGCGGCCCGGCAAGCCGGCACATCGGGTTGGTCGGTCGGTCGGTCCAAAAGGTCCTTAAAATTTTTTTGCCCCCCTCTTGTAAAATAGCATCCAGAGACCCTAGACGCTGCTGGAGGTGTTTATTTCAGCTGATATATGATATTCATGACCTAACATGGCCCAAAGAATGCCGGAAAAGCGGTCAAAACGATGTCGAAGGCTCAAAACGCCAATGGCATGCTGCCGGATATCGGCTGGATTAGTGAGAATTGAGTTACCGGCTGTAAAAATATTTCGTCGAGTTTGATGGATCCAAAATTGGAAGTGTCTGTCATGTACAGTAGGACAGCGTTGTCGCTAGCAGACAAAAATCGTATACTATCAGCGTTTAGATCGAGGACGAGAGGACTAAGTAGGCGGAAAGCTCACACTGGCGGATGACTCCGACTCGGAGTAATTACATGATGTTTCCTTTGTGGGTATGTTTTCCCACGGCGGTCGGTCGGTCGGTCCATCGAGGCCTTAAAAATTTTTCGACCCAATATGATTTTTTCGGTTTTTGCGACCCCCTTGGAGCGTTCGCCAGAAATAGACCATGGGACATTACGGTCAAACCTGTCACGCCTGTGTCATGCACCCTGGCAGACTATGAAATTGGAGTTCAACGTTCATCTCTTGTAGGGACTGGGGAATATCCATGGTTTGCACCACGGATGTGAGCAGGACTTTTTTTCTCGCATCTTGAATATGATCATGCTCACGATAGCAGCCACATGTGTCACCAGGAGTGAACAGCCAGGCCATCAAATCGGAAATATTTGATGAACTGAAGACAATAGCCATCGAGTGGTATTGCGTATATGGTGCTGACAACCATGGAAGGAATGCGAACCAGGAATCCATTGACAGCAGCTACAGTCGCCTGTACTGTGCGATGAAGCAACAACAAGGTATTCCGTGCCGTCTCGTCTCAAAATTTCCCCGGAAATTCACCATCTCTCTAGATTTCTGTTGATGGCTTCCTTACCCCATGATATCTTTCATCGATCCTTCGATTCTTTCCCTCAAGTACAGCATGTACATCGATCAAGTCAACTGCCGTTGGGCATTGGCGGTAATGGACGTTGACCTGATCAATGGCCTCGTGCTCATAGCTACCGAGGCCAGCCGGAATTTGGACAGTGGACCGTCCGTCTTACGACTTTGGGACTTTGGACTGGGCTCCAATACTCTATGATATGCGCGGTCGCAACGTCCAAGTATTGTATTTTTCATACCTCATCGGACATATCGACGGGCGCGACGGAACCAGATAGAAGCTACGCAGGAGGAGTGGCGGTCAAAAGAAATGGGCGATGATGAGCTTAGAGCGTGGAAATATCAATTGAAGCGGTACATTGCGGAGACATCGAGGGCATTGAGGTAAGGTGATGTTATCCTGACAGGATGAAGCTGCTAACGAGAGTCTAGTCATTATCTGATGTGCAACGCCGCACTGAGTTCTGTTCACTGAGACCGCGTTGGTGTGCCGATCAAGAAAAACCGACGAAGTTATCTCGGGACTAGCTAATGCGTAGAAAAGCTGATCAATGCCGGGGAGTGTTTCTGAGGCGGTGGGCGCCTACTTATGCGATGCCGTCCTCAATTCCGTGCAGCTATAAAGCTATCATGCCTACTGCCCTCAGTTCTTCCATGGATGCTCTCGACCACAGCACGCCGATGTGGAACATACGGGATGGGAATAGTCTGCTGGGCCGGCGATACTCATTCGCCATGAAACGGTCAATATCATATGTCGCTATATCGCAGCCCACTGTATCTCCGTTGGCGCTCCCTTCGCCCTGGTGTCCCATCAAAAATTGGGTCTTTTCGCGTCATTGACGAGGACGATTCTCGTACAACGACACTCTCAGATGTCCCTCCCAAGCTATAATACAAGATCATCGCCTCCCTCGATAGTATCTGTTTGCCTACCGCCGACGTTACAAAGTCATCCTTGTAAGCAGATACCCTCTACCAGGTCTCGTCGACTGAAACGATCCACGATTCAGGAATTTGCGACACTCCTCACTGTGGATCCGTGTGGGTGCAAACTTCCTATGCCGAGTGCACGGACCAGATCGGTACCTGGATTCATGGCCGGCACACACACAAATTGTTTCCAGTGTTCCTACATGTGAAGGAAATCCATCTCATTCATGGTGGTAGACGAAGAGGGAAGTTTCATAGGGAGATCTGGGGCTGTTGGGATTGATACTCTCAGTTGCCTTACGGACGCGCTGGTGCCACCTGATCCATCAATGGCTTTGTGCGTACCGTCGTTTCCTTTGATCGGGGCATGGCGCTGATATTGCTGTAGTAACGGTGTAGGCAGAACTTTTATAGCGCACCCAGGTGAATAATGTGGTCCTGTCTAATGGCAAGGCGACAAACGATAGTGTTTTCCTGTACGACTGATCACGTTATCAAAACAGAGAGCTGAGAGCTTTGACATTTGGAATGGTGCATTCCAATGCTACTAATTCTGTATTCTACCCGTCGTGGAGCTGGTACCAAGTACATCGATTCCACGACAAACCTGCCATATGCAATGATGTAACTAGACGAGCATCTTAACAGGCCATTCTCCTCCTTCATCATCAGCATGGCCAGTCTTTATCCAGCTACCTATTGCGATGTGCGCATGAAGACCGTACTTGATGGCTACGACGAACTCAGGATATGAAAGGAAAAAGAAGCGCACTACGGAGGCGTGTAAACTGATAATCGATCGATAGTATCTGCTCCATCCGCTCTATCTACATTGCCCTAGTACTACGTTGATGTAAAAAGCAATATCAGAAGATACTACATGATTCACAGATGCTATATCTCCGGTATCTTTCATTTAACACACTGAGCATTCTGGCCTTCCTAGCAGAACCTCTCCCGTATTGCGGGATGATCATCATCCTCAGAAAAAAAGCGCTGCCCAAAATAGGTTAAGCCACCACCAACGGCTTCGCTTCGAGGTTACAACCATTCGACAATGATATAGCTCGCGTGATCTGACTCAAACGTTGATGCGGATGCGATCAAATCTGCGTTGCATAGCTGAGGGACGAAATCCCTGATCCTTTGTCTCGGTGATATAATAATATTAAAATGCAAGACCAGCTTGTTAAATAGCACGGTAAGTATTATAATGCCATCAACTACACCGCATAACAAAGCCACTCCCAGATTGACGTCGCCCATAATATATGAGCAAACCTATAAAAAGGTGTGCATAAATGGTAGAAACTCATGTATGGCAGTCATCTCGTACTAGTTGGGTATAACAGGGTTGTCATGTAATTCTTGAGTCAATGTCATTCTGTGCCGCCGTTTGTTTGATGACCACGTTCCATTACGGAAAGAGTTGTATCGATACTCTGAAGAAATCGCATCAGCTTCAATGCAATCACGATTTGAAATTTACGTGCCGTCTCTGCCAAACCACTGGCCCCGCTGCTGGAGGTATGAGCAAAGACGATTACCTTATCGTTAGCGGAGCATTCATTGATATCCTTCCTCATTTGTTCTTTGCGTGCATTGAGCCTATTCAGAGTTAAACATTATTCCAATAAGAGAAGGAGGAGAGCTTGCATCATGAGCAACGAATTTATATAGACTGTTGGTGAATGGTTAGAGATGTACAGAAAACCGGCAGCGTTCCCTTTAACACTCACGTTTCGGTAGAATGAGACTTATTGCAACGAAAATGAGACTATGTGGCCATACGATGTACTGTGTTAACAATGTCATCAGAGATAAGGGGATCAAATAATAGTGAGGGATTACCGTGATGAGTGTTAATATTGAGCATGCGCTAATGGGTAACAGTGAGTATGTGTGATTAGTTCCCATCATATCGGCAATGCCTGGATCATACCTTGTCGCCAGACCAGATAGCACAACAAGTCGCATTAATCCTACAATGATCTTCATCGTACTACAAATAATTTTTGCAGTGGTCACTGATAATATTCGTGATGGTTTTGAGCAGGCGCACATGGAGAAGCTCGGAGCCATTAATCTGCCTTGGTGCAAGTAGTAGCACATTGCAGCGGCGATGGCGAAGTCTGCTCCTGCCGCTGTGGAGAACGCCGCATAAATGGATATCTGTAAAGCACAGTTGTATATCAGAGTAGTCATATGTTCGATATAGAGCTCTAAAACCCTACGCTAAGGGTCGGCAAGTCCAAAATGCTCGACACGGTGTACCTGGCGACAAATTAGCATCGGAGACGTCACCGTAAAGAGGCGTAATCCATACATATCATAAGTGACGTCTAGTAAATATCTCTGTAAGTCAGCACGGTGTATACGAAAGTGATACTCACATATTCCAACGGCTTCAAAATATTGTTCAGTTATTTGGTTGTTATAAATACAAGGAAAGTCTCACCAAGGGAAGCGGTGATAAAAAGAAACTATGGGTGAATTAAAAAGTCGCCATTTATGAAGAAGGCAATCTAAGCACATACAATGAACCACGGCAGTACCGCATGGAAATTACGACCAACTATGAGGAAACCATCAATCAGAATTCATTTATTTAATGCTGGTAGAGACTAACATTTCCATATTCTGACGGCGTATAAGCTGTAGCACCGGGGAGTGAGTCTTTCCGATCATTCGAGAATATTAGTCAGGGAAGACAAACACTTGGACGCAAACAACGATTAACATCTAGTTAATAATTAGAGAAGTACGCAAGATCAATGATATTAAATTCACGTACATTGATTAGGAGTTGCAGCTAAGGACAGAATTAATTCAGGATATTCACATAATAGATGAAGCCTGGAAATAGGCGCACCCGAAAGCTCCTGCCAGCGAGGTACGAAATTGATTGAACCCTGAGTCATAGCAGAGAGGAAGACTTACCAGATGATCTTCGATAGAGCAGGAATATTCCCAAACGATTCGACCAGGTAATGGTACAAGGCATGAGTGCTTATTGCAACATGAAGCGTGTCGAGAATCCTAAAGATTATAGCCGATATCAAGAAAAAAATGGCCTATATTTATCGTCCTGTAAGCGCACCACAAAAAACCGACCTGCTGGGATGTCAAAAGAATCCTATGAAAGTGTGATTTCTCGGCGTACGGCACATCGGAAGAGCGGCGAATCATCAGGGTATTGCTTGTAGTAGATGGCAGTCTGTAGAATGGTTATACCATAGAAGCTAGAGACGATGAGCCTCTGAGGGAAGTCTCAAGCAAAGGTGTGCGTACACGGCTCCTATGGTAGCGCCGATATAAATGGCACCGAGTGTCATTCCAAGTGGGGGGAGATCAGCTATAGGTATTAGCAACATCTGTTATACCACCCCCCAAGGTATAGCGCGTCATATATATCCATTCCGTGGCATGCAATATTGTGAGGTCACCTTTGAAGAAGACTCTCTTTGATAGCCATTACAGCCGATCCCTTCGAATAGAAAAAAAGTCCTATCACCAGGCAGTGCAAAAGCAACATGTGCAAGTAACAGCGGATTCCGGGTCGGCGTTGCACGACATTGTGGTCTCGACCGGTGAACGGAATAGAAAATTCGAGGGAGGATCTGAGATAGCTAGAGCAGTTGGCCGCTGGCGCTGGTGTGCTAAATGACGACGTCCATGCCAGGTTTGATGATGATCAGTGTGCGTTGCGATACTGTCATAGGTGCACGACAGAATTATTGCTGGTAACCACCTTTTCGGGCGAGGTATGGTTACGAAGGTCACGTAACCACAAAAGAACGAACGAGGTACTGTCTATTAAATCCATACATTTGACAGGGACCCCCACAGAGGCCGGTACGCAAAGTTCGGACAGATTTGGGTCAAAATATGCTTTGCAACATCGGCGCCAAATTGCCCAAAACGCTCGAAACAAAAATCCAAATCGTGAGAAAGCTTAGGGACCGGGTAAACTTGTCGTTCCGACCTCTGTGGGCATAATTGGGGGGTCCTCATCCGACGCTTGTATGTGACGTCAGGCGGGTTTGAGCCTGGCCAAGAAACAAATGAGCATCAATCTTTCGTATAGAGACAGAAAGAACGGACCCCCTAAAGCGTAGGATACTACTGAGTACGCACATCTTGGTACTAATGACGGGGTTTGGCTCGAAGGAGAATTGGACGTTGTTTTGGATCGGCAGGCAACAGAAGGTGTCGGATACGTGGGCTCCAATCTTTCCTAATTTGCTGCGATTTTGATTGCCGGCGCTCCCAATGTTGCACAAAGAATCTAGTGACATTTTGGTCCGCCCTTAAGAAAGAGGAATCTTTGTGTTGTCTGAAGCTCGTCAGTTCTGCTTCGTGGCATCTGAATAGAACAGTTATTCACTATGACGCGGTGAATACAAGATGGTTGCTAAAACGAAGATAAAAAAAGACCATCAAACCTTCCCACGAGAAACCTTATTCGGTTCCATGGACATCGATGAAACAAGTGCCGGAGATATCCTGCACCTACGAAACAATCATTATTAACATTCTTTGCATGGTAGAAAACACCGACTGACCATGCGTTAAGATGATCCATGACTCTACCAAACGCATTCCTTGTGAGTCTGTTCCGCATCGCACAATTGTCTGAAGGTCTGATATGGGCGCTATATGATGGTCACTCTTATGGCTGCAAAATATGAAGGATTCTGACTTGAGAGCCATAGCAGGCCCACTTGGTTAAAGTTAGTGAGCAGACACGCGAATTAATAATTGGATCTCCGCACTTGCGTCCTGCGCCATCAATGATCGTTCCGAAGTTCAAGCATCTTTAAATAAGGAAGACAACTGAGCGCTATCAATAAGGGACTGAAGACGAAAGCTTACTACAAACTCCTCGGTATCCACCTGCATCAGCTATTCCTATTCTTATCATCCAAGACATTGAGAGTTGCCATGTAATGCACATTTTCTCGTACCACAATCACCGCTTCTCCGCAGTCATATTATTAGAACCACGCATGCGTCCTACCTTCTACCTTTCCCGCATCGCCCTCTTCTGGGCCTTGATTGCTCTTCGTTGTCGAGGAAAGGAATGCTCCGATGGAGAAGGATGACAGGCTTTGAAAGGTATGCGAACGTGGCGTAGAGGGTGCTTGTGGTTTCAGCGACGTATACTCAGTGCTTGTACCAGGACGCAAATAGCAGTATGGTGCTTGCCTCATCATTTGGGATAGCTTGATCGCTCGGAGGTGGAAGATGTCATTGCCTGTGGCAATACTACGTCAGCCAATAGTAGAAAAGCGAGATCTGACGCACGCATAAGAATGACTCAAACACTCGATGGAGATAATGACGCTGGAGGAAAGAAGCAGAACGTCTACGTAGTACTCGGGATGCTCTAATTTGTGGTGACTGAAACAGTATGAAGGTCTTGATCTTCCGGGAAGAAACTGAAGCTGAATCTAACACGAGGAAGCAACGTTCACGTTGGTCCATTAAACTATCTCTGTTGATGATGAGATCGGGTCCAGAATGTCAACCATCCATTCAGCGTGATGACCAACGAACGACCTTATCAAGGTACTGTCACCAACCAGAAAGAAATAGAGTAGGGAAAACCTACTATAGAGAGGGCAGAATTTGAAAGATGCATCGCAAGCTTAACTTTAGCAGCAACAGCCACCGTCAGGACACGGACTTCGAATATGCAGTTCACGACGTATTAGGAATAAGAAGCCATTATCATACTGGGTTGTATGCATGGCAACGAACACTTTGAAACTGTGCCATGAGCGAAGTAAAAGAGGTAAGATCAGATCTCTAAGAGTACATGCCAACATCAGCCAACATAAACAATAGTCGAATGTTTATTATTGACCTCGATCAGGTAAAGGCGCATATAGCATTAGCACGGTGTTTCCTTGGATAAACATGATGGACCTGGGACTGGATCCCGTTGCTTCCCAACCACAACAAACGAGGTTGGGGACCGATGGCTTCCACAAATTGCGACTCCCGCTTAAAAGAATCGTTCGCCCCCAACGGAACGAGTGTCGAACGATAAAAGGCCGTATTTTTAAATGAAATCTGAGATAGTCAAGAGCGACACCATCATAGCGGAGGGTGACGTTTCTCGTATCTGAATGTTTTCATTTCCAATATCCAGGTTGTTGGCCGTTCGGACACGTTTAGCTGGTACTGTGGACTTCAGAAGGGAAAATATGAGATATCGCGTCAGTTATGTGGGTGATACACACGAACCACCGTATCTGCAAGTCCATCCGTAGTGATTGTCCTCCCATGAAGCTTCTGACTTCATCGGTGTGCGGTATTCAAGCAGAGTTGAGGGGAAATTTCCGGTCCTGAAGAGAGTTTTGACTTGAGCAGCAGGGTCTGTCTAACTCGCAATTTTAACATACCGTAATGTGGTAGTCGATACCGCAATGACGCGGAGTTTATCGTTGCCTAGTCCATGAAGATTATAGGTCCGGTTTACCCCGACAAAATTCGCGCAGAAAGGCTTGGCACAGCTATCTACTTGCGTCTGGAACATTTCCTGTAGAGGCGACGAGAGTTGTGAGTGCACATAATGAACGAGTAAAATATTCATACCGGTGTTGAAAGACAGTATTTCCTTTCTTCATCATAAAGGACTTGTGTCGCTGTAAATAGTATATGAGTCGATACTTCAAATAGCACCGCTATTGGACGTACGTATAGCAGAGCGCCAACCAATGGCAATTATATTGAAGGCAAGATGAGAGTTGTCTGTGCCATACTTACCCAGGACGTTCACGTACCCGGCGGACGGTCCTTGGTCAGGTCCACATCACTATGAAGGCGCAAGTGATCTTATTGAGGTGTCATCATCAAAGAGATTAAAGGGAGGAGGGCAACAGGAGCAGGCTATCCTTGGACAAGCTCAAAGGGGGAAGAGACGCGCAGTCGTAACTTTGACCCAAGTATCAGTTTCCGAAAGACTTCGTTTTACAGCAGCGCCTGAGGCACTGCTGGACGTAACCACGCTCGACTCCAGACATATCTAGGTGAAGATATTGCATAGCCTTAAACCTCCCGGTGCCTAACAATGCGTCCAACATCAGCCTCACCTGAAGAGAACTTGGACATGTTTTACCGACCCGGCCTTTTAGGCCACCACATGCAATGATGACAAGCGCATATAACCACTGAACATAGTGCCCGTGGAATAAAAACAGACCTAGTGGTATTCGCTTGTTTCTAATCCGAATAGCCGAGTGAGGGAACGACGATACCCGAACAAGGACGACCAAGGCCCAACATCCGGAACTAAATGGTAAGCAGTCGAATCTGCGTGACTTCATTCTTGCACGAGCAGATATCACATAGCCGTGATGTGACCCCTACCGTCACTGGAGAGATGGGTGTCAGGAGGCTCCTTCAACCTTGCTATCAGGAGTAGAGTCAAAACAACCGGAGTTGGACCAAGAAACGACGTACTGGGATAGAAGTACACCATTTCATTGACTACGCCACCGGCGAATTGGACAGAGCCTTCGTCATCGCCTATCCTTCATCCCTGTGTTTTCTTGCGTACCAAACGATAAGCCGGGATAATCGTCTCGCAGGTCGATTATGCCGTCTTCTTATCTGGATGAGGCGGTATGTTGGAAGAACGCTGTACATCCTATACAGATTTGCGAATACGCTCAGAGCATAGAGCTACGAGTGACGACAAAGATGATGAGAATCGGAAGGAAGGAGGACGATCATGTGAGCGAACGCGTTGTTGTGGTGTTTATTTTTGTCTGGGCCGAAGCCCGAAACGAAGTGCTTCTGATCCTTACATAAGACCACGTGTTTGCTTGCTCAACCACGCGCTGTTTGACTGCCGCTTGCACACAACATTACCAAGAGAGCAGCCAAAGGTGCCTCCGATTATGTTTTTTTATGATGTGTCTAACATGAACAATCTTTAGTTTCATTGATTCAAACCACCAGACCATGATCACAACCAGACCACCCACATGCCCTTGTCCTCAGTGCGGGTTCGCATCGTCTGAAAAGCCACTTCCCAATGGGATCTCACCGGCTCGACTTCAGGTTTTCTTTGACTGTAACGATGCTCCTGTAGGTGCTGAACGCGCAGAACTGGAAGCCGTTGTCTGTGAAGGAGAACACTATTTAGCCCTCCTCCAGCAACGCATTTCACAAACTCGAGATACGCTTGAATCACTCTTGGAAGAGCAGAAACGAGCAGTGAAGCACATTTCTGACTCGAAACTGGTCCTAAATCCTGTCCGTCGCCTACCCTCCGAGATTTTGAGCCATATCTTTCTTTCATGTATCCTTCCGGATAGCGAGCTGTTACGGTCAAGCGATGGGGAAGAGGATGCTTCATTACTGGATTCCCTCAACATCACAGACTCCCCCTGGAATGTATCCTACGTCTCGTCTCAATGGCGACACGCTGCTTTGGCCACAGCTAAGCTATGGTCATTCATCAGGCTCCAACTTCACAGATACAAGAGCCATGCCGCTTCCTTATTCCGTCTCGGGACATATCTGGAGAGGTCCGGCACCCAACAGCTTACCGTTGCTATTGAGAGTGAGGAGGACATGTCGGACCACCCCATTCTTCCCGTAATTCTCTCCGCCTCTCCTCGCTGGAAAAAACTCTTCGTCGGTCTTCCCTTCTCCGCATTCCGTATCTTCAACAACATCTCTGGTTCACTGAGCGCCCTGACATGGCTTGGCATATACATGGATAGTGAACCAGACACGGGAACCGAGCCGATATCCATGATCGAAGCTTTCCGCTTTGCGCCGCAATTGCAGGAATTAAAAATTGTGGAATGGGATTGGGGGACTAATTTTCATGATCTGTTCCATTTACCGTGGGAACATATTACGGAAGCGTCGACGCAAGGGAACAATATGCAGGCCCTCGCAGTTCTGCAAAGGGCGCCGAATTTGGTGTCTGCTCTTTTCTCGGCGGATGTAGACTTCCTCTCAGATACCCCATCTGAATTGTGTTGGCACGCCCATCTCCAGGTCCTGGACGTAACCACCGGCACTGGTTCTTCGCCAGAATTCATAGTTGAGCTGTTTGAAAGGCTCGCTTTGCCGGGACTCCTAGAGTTACGGATTGCGCTCAGCGGCACGGAAGAAGAAATCGTTTTGCCGGAATTCACTTCAGAGACTGCGCCAATTTTGGAGGATCTATGTATACAGATCGACGATTCAAATACTCTGGACAGTGAAACACTTGCATGTCTGTTGAAGCACACCCCCCTGCTGACGGACCTGAAAGTCAGCGCGAGGGTGACGACCGATAATGTCTTTCTTCAGCTAGGGAGAAAGAGAGACATTTCGCGGTTGGTCCCTCTGCTACGCAGCATAGACTTGACAGGATCGACGTTCGAGTTCGAGGATGCGAGCAATATCATCATTGGGATGGTCGCCTCGCGAACTGAACCAGCTGAAGGTTGCGTATCCTTGCAAACCCTTATTCTGGATGAGCCTTTTTTTTTTGAGGACGATGATCTTTCCGCGAGGTGGGAGAGGCTTGGCCAGGACGGCCTGGATATTCAGTATAGTGGATGAAATGTGCAGGAGAGGTTTCTTTTTATCCCAAGTTCGACCGAACGTGGTCTTCGCGTGCACAGTACGTTGGAAGCCTGTGAAGCACAGGCCATGTCGACGAGACTGAGAGGAGCACACAATCTCATGAACATCTGTGTAAATACGCTGCACTGTACGACGTATCCAGGATAGTAAAATGCTTCGTCTATTGAAATTTACAGACAGAACACGCGTCCGATACACCTTTCCCCTTTGTTACGATGATACTACTGAGTCTAACCGACATCTATTGCAAACAAGTCGGTGAGTATCGATGGTTCCCACTACGGTATCTTCTCCGACAGATTGGTAAACTCTCGACTATACGCCATGTTATCACTTTTGAGGGAAGAAATAGTAACATTGTTTATACTTCGGCGATGAGAGTGCCACATACCGCCTCTTCCGAGTGGCTTACTCCACTGCTGGATGTGCGAAAGGAAAGTCTGAATATCTTCTGATTGGAAAGATGTTCTTGGGTTCCCGTCCTCTTTTGCACGCTACGCGCATTCAACCTAATCAGTGTTAGGACGTCGTCCAAATGAGAGGGAGATAAACTTGCATGGCGAGCAAGGAGTTTATATAGACTATCAATGAATTATTAGGAATGGACAGGGGATTGAGCAGACTTGAGCACGCACGCTTCGGCAGAATGGAATGAACTGCAATGAAAATAAGAGTCTTTGGCCAGGCCACGAACTGTATGAATATATATATAAGATTCTAAAGGATTGAGGATTCGCTAGCAATTACCGTGACAAGAGTAAGGAGCGAGCATGTACTAGGATCGGCATTCAGGATTAGCTTCCATAGCACTAGATAGGCCAGATTTATACCTCGTAGCCAGACCGGATATCACAACAAGACGCATCAATCCGGCGATGATCTTTGTCGTACTACAAACAGTTTCTTGTTGTTAGTGATTATCACATTCGTGATGGTTCTGGAAATGGCAACACACCTGGAGAAGCTGGTCATTGATGTACCCCTGTGCAGGTAGTAGCACATTGCGGCGGCGATGAAGAAGTCTGTTCCTGAAGCTGTGCGTAGCTGCGTATTAGAGTGGCGATATGAGTACAGAGTGACCGAAGCCTACGCTGATAGTGGGGATGTCAAGGGGGTTTGATAGGGTGTATCTGGTGACAGGTTAGCATAGGATACGATCACTGTAAAGAGGCGGGGTCCATACGTATCATAGATGGCATCTATTATTCTTCTCTACAAATCAGTACCATATACACAGAGTAAATGCTCACAGATTCCGGTGCCTTGGAAGTCGCATTCAGGTCTTATTTCATGATAACGAAAGGAGTTCTCACCGAGGGATGCTGCGACAGCAAGAAACTGGGTGGATTCCAAACGCGATTTAAATCTATGTGAGAATCACTAGCAGGGTAAAGAGGACGTACAATGAACCAAGGCAACACTACATGGAAACGTCGACCAACTGCGAGGAGAGTCAATCAAGATCCATTCATTTAGTCGACAGGGATTTACGTTTCCATATTCTGACCGCGTATAAGCTGTAGTATGGAAGAATGAGTCTTCTCTATCGAGAACCAATTGAAAGAGATATACGCTTGGACACCAACAACGATTAACATCTAACAAATAATTAGAGAGGGATGCGGTATCGTTTCAAAATTCACTTACATTGATTGTGAGTAGCAACTGAGGATAAAAGGAACTTAGGACGTTCATATATTGGATGAAGCAGGAATCAGCGCACCGGAAAACTCCTGCCGGTAACTTTAGGCAAACCCAGGGCAACGGCCGATGCGAGGTGGACGTACCACACGATCTCAAGGAGGGCAGCATAGTTTCCAAATGACTCGACCATATAATAGTACAAGGCATGGGTGTTTAATGCAACCTGAAGTGTATCAAGGGCCCTGGATATTATTGCGAGCGTCAAGATTCAGCTGGGTGCATTGACAGAGCCTCCTATCAAACGTACCATAGTACTGCGACCTGGTCACATACAATAGGTAAGAAAGATTCTTTTGCGATTAGTGCACCACTTCTTCACGTACGGAATATCGAAAGATCCTGGGATCGTTAGGATATTGTTTATAGTAGACCACTGTCTGTAGAATCGTAATGCCGTAGAAACTAGAACGAGCGATGAGCATTGGAAGGAATTTCAATCGAAAGCATGCATACACTGCCGCTATGGTAGCGCCGAAATAAACCGCGCCAAGCGTTGTTCCCAGCGGGGGGTGATTCGCTATTAATTCTGGGGTAAACAAAGACATTCGGTACACCAGCGTTGAGAGAGTAGCATGGCATATATACCCGGCCTGTGACATGTAGCACTTTGAGATCACAATCGAAGAAGGCTTTGTTTAGTGACTATCCGATAGATTGCTTCAAGTGGGGAGAATTTGTTACCAAGCAATTCAGAGGCGAGATACAGGGGCAGCAGCAGTATCCATCTGTCCGGCATTACTAGATACTGTCATCTTGATCGGTGAAGGGAATGGAAACGCGAGAAAACGAGAGCACCTGGGACGGCGGGAGAAGCTGCAGATATTAACGGAAGGTCGCAATGACCGCTGGTCTCGTCTTCCTCGCTTCTCAGTGAATTCGCCAATGAGCTCTTCCCATGTCTCATCTTGGCTGTACAACGAAGATATTAGAACAGGAACAGTTTGAATGTGCTAGTTGCTTACTATCCATTCGTGGCCAATGAGTTTTGGTGGATCTCAAAGACGGAGGCCGTTCCCCAAGTTGATGATGACGAACGTTGTCTTGTGATACTTCCGCTGACGTGTAGGAATTCATTCTTGGTGACCACTCTTTCGGTCAAATCGATTGCGCAACCACTGAGGGCCGACCTGCCCGACTCTTACGTTGCGATGTCAGTCAGATTTAGACTTGTCAATGATCATGCGCGCTCCAAAGTCTCTCATAAACAGAAAACCACTCCAGTGTAGAGAAGCACATCACAACGTCCCCGGGATCTTGTGATAGAGTTATTTCGTTTCCGGTAAATATGAAGCGTCCTGGCTTGAGAGAGCTCTAGCAATCCTATTTTATTGGGGATGGCAAGCGGGTGGACAGATTAGCAATATGTTCTGAACGTGGTTCTCATCGTAGGCTCGTAAATTAACTCAGTCGAGCCGACGGTCTGATACCCGAGCTAAGTCCTGTTGGTGAGTAAAACAGCTTAGCATCATCAATCAGGATGTAAGACGAAAGCCTACTAATCGGTACAAACGTTTCCTCATACCCGTTCAGTCCATATCCCCATGACGACGATGTAGCTATTGCAAGGCTGGTGTAGTTACCAATGAGGTAATAGGCGGCAAGGAGTGCCGCGATAAGGAGGGGCGTCAAATTTTGAGATACGTGACAGGATGCGAGGGAATGTTTGCTGCTCAAGCGGCGTGCAACTGCGTCTTGCACTTGGGTGAAAGGTAGTTCCGAGATACAAAATAACAACATAACAACAAAGCGAGAGCGAGCGTCTGTTCCGTCTTTAAGAAGAACACGGTCGCCTGAAGAGAGGGAGACCATGGCATGTAGTGGTAATATGTCAGCTAAAGGAAGAACAACTTGTGGAACTGACGTACGAAGAATGATCCACAGGACTCAGCTGAGATGACGCTGTTGGAGGGAACAAGCAAGGCGCCTGTACTCAGGATGCTCTTATTTATAGCGCTGCCAAACACTTGAAAGTCTTGATCTGCTGGCAGTACCCGAACCAGTATTTGTTATGGGAGACAGACTTTTGCGACCTTCGATCGCACTGACGATGAGAGGATATCAGACACCCACTTGGCGTGATGGCCAAGGAACGATCTTATCAAGGATTGTGACGGATCAGAAAGAAAGATTCAACGAGGGAAGCCTACCATAGAGCCAGTACTGCTTGAGAGAACGACGTCGCAACCACAACTCAGTAATCTCAGCCACGAAAGCAACGAATTTCGATTATACGGCACACGGCTAGTGTCAGTAGTGCCAGGCCATGATCACGCTGGATTGTACGCAAGACAACAAATATATCGATGGAACGACGGAAGGAAACGAAGCGAGCTCCGATTTCTAATAATTCATACCAATATTAGCCAACATAAGCAATGGTCGAGCATTGAATATTGACCTACGATGCGGATAAGCATATAGTTAATATCCCGTTGCTTTTAATCCAGAACACGCGACCTGCCACAAACCGTTGACTTCCACAGATGAAGATCTACGTTTGCAAGCTTTGTTTACGGAGTGTCGTGGTATGATGTGTCCCTACATGACTTTGAATATTCGTCCGAACTGCATTTTACAAGACCAACAATACCAGTTAGTATACCTCGGCTCAAAGAACCGAGAACTTAGTTACATGAAGTAAAATGTGCTTAGAATCAACATCGACATATGCATGAGCAATGCGAGCTACCATTCTCCCATAGACTTGGTCTGGAATCGTCGTCAGGGAGAGTAGAGACGGTGCTGCGATACTCTCACCGGTACGTAGGTCCATCCACTCTTTGAGGTATGCTGTACTGGAAAATCAATCTCCAACCATAGCACCTTCTTGTTGTTTCCCCGATCCCATAGTACACCATCAATTCCCTTGCTGTTGACCAAAAGGCGTCGCACCAAAGGGTGCCACGACTTGAGATGGCTAGAAGTGACACGGTCATGGTAATGGCCTCCTTGTATCACTCCGACATCTCCTCAATGAGTAAGCGTCAAAAGCCCGCGTGATTGACCAACTTTGATAACGAATATGCAGCGAAAAATATTCGATACAACGTTTCTCTGCTGCTGAAGATTTTCGTTTCACTCCTGGCCGGTCGTTCGGATACATTGATCTGGAGTCGTAGACCTAGAAAAGCAAAATATGACATGCCGCCTCCAATTCTACGAGTGATACACACACTCACCACAGGCCCTTCAAGCCCATCCGGTCCTTACGAGAAGCGTTTGACCTCGTTAAACCAAGTCTGGCTGGTATTGGCTCGGGCAACAAGGCATTCCTGCTTTCAGGAGACGCTGCAGAATCGAGTTCACAATTATGACGGACGGTAACGAGATGGTCGGTGCTGCAAGTAACGGTGTGTTGATGGTAGCCAGCGAAGCCGGTATTTCGGCAACTCCCGCCCGACGGTCCGGTTCTACCTGGCAGCGCTTGACCAGCGCTTGCCTAGCACCAACACCAACGCCGAGGCAAGACCGTGGCTTTACGATGCCTGTATCAGTACTGTTTGCTGATCTATTATTCTCACCATCAATACGATAATTCTCCAGAATGACCCTTCACGTCCTTTTGCAGTCCTGGCTCTAACATCTGTTAACTTGTATTCCTCAGGTTTTCTTGAAAGGCCAGAGTACACACAATGACCCTTGAATGAACCAGACACCCTATGCTCAGACGTATATACCCGGCCTAGTTTACATAAATTATGCACGTTGATAGCAACAGACAGACACAGAATAGCAGCAAGAGGAAAGCGATACAATACGAAGACAACAATGGCTGTACTTATTTCTGGTGGAAAGATGCACTATGAGACCGATACCGCGAGTCCTACTGTACTGCTAGAACCTGGTATGGCATATCAACCATGGCGACGTTTTCCCTATTTTGCGCGATCTCAGCCTCTGCACGTGACCTCTCCTCTTCTATGGTGAAAATAACGTCCTAAATATATCACCATGAGTGAAATAGGAGAAAAGTCCATCCAGTTGAAGCTGTACCTGCATACGTTTCCGCAATGCATCGACTGTACGCTGATGGTCCCGTGTACTGTTCCAAATCTCTTTCAGCCTTGCGATATATCTCGACCACGTATTCTTGTCGAACCACGAGAATGCATCGTCGGCCTGATGCAACTCTCGAGACAGGGCGAGTGATTTGCACCTGAGTAGTCTGGCCGGGGTCCGGTTCAGTCCAGGTTCAGGCATATTTGCCTGAACCTCGAACCTGGACCTCGAGGTTCACCTGCCACCCCCGCGAACCTCGAACCTGAACCTGAGGTGCAGGTCCAAAAGGTTCGGTCCAGGTTCGGTCCGGGTTCAAACCGGGTTCAGCAAAAAAAATTTATTATGCGCTGTAGACTGTGATATTCATACATGTGATACATGATTACTCTATGACCAAGTTTCCATCATCAAAGCATGGCCCAATTTTCATCTGTGCTTCATTCTGTGCACTGATACGTCCATCCCAATAAGCTTCCTTCATGGTGCCGAACTTCTCTGCATCAAAATTGCGACAGCGAGGGTCAGAGTCTGTGCAACCTGCATATGAAAACATGCATTCTGAAGGCACAGAAGATCCTGGAATGGCAAAATAAATCTCAGTTCTATGTATTAGATAGCAATCAGCAATTTAGCACGATATAACTTCTGAAAGCTTGACCTGAACTTTACCTGAATTTTTCGAGGTTCATGAGGTTCGGACCAGGTCCGAACTGGGTTCAGAATTTTCAAACAGGTCGAACCTCGAACCTGGACCCAGGTGGCTGTGCCAGACCTGAACCTGAACTGGACCTGGACCTGCAGGTTCGGTTCGGGTTCAGACTGGGTCCACACGGTCCTGAACCGGACCACAGCCAGACTACACCTGAGTCTATGTGATCATGAGTCGACATGCGGCCATTAATTCAAGGGCCAAAGAACACATACGATCGGAGTTCGCTATTAAATGCCCCTAGCTCCCTCGCATGAGAATTGTAGAAAAGCAGAGTCACTAGAGAGGAAGATGATGACGAAAATTGTAGATATCCAGGAGGGAGATACCATGAAGGCAAGCAATGTTTCGACCTTGCAGGAAGACATTGCGAAGGGTATTGCTGCTAGTATAAAACCGACTTACTATTCTTATAGGGCAGAGAATATACTGGACATCTCTCATACAAAGCTAGGAACCGGGTCTCACAATGCCCAAGCATTGAATCTGAGGAAGTCTGTTGTGACTGACCTACAGGTTGTGACATAGTGATGGGCATGCCATGTCTCGGCAATCTGGCAACATCCGGAATATTCGAGCATCATTGCTCTTGCTAAATGTTTCTCCCCTCGTACTCTTACTTACTGGAACCTTTGAGTAGATATAAACATAAGTAAAGTAGTAGAACTTTCTAGATACATTGTGTAGTATATAAGGCTGAAGTTTTGGCCTAGTAGAATTAATTATTCCTTCATACTCAACCACTACTAAGGTAGTAGACCGAGAGACAGGTTTACCACTGCGTATTTCACTCATCCTCACAATAGGTTATGGGCCCCGAAGCCTAAATAATCTATACATCTACATACCTACACAAACAGTACTCGCCTAATACAACTATCAAAACCCCAGCCCTCATCACATCATGTCATCATCAATTGATTTGACACCATCATCGCTATTCTGAATCGAGCTCCTTCAAGAAGACAATTGGGTTCTGTGGAAGCGTCGTGTGACAGCTATCCTATGAGAATGGAGTCTCTTAAAGTATGCCGAGGGAAAGGAAGTGAAACCGAGTGCAGCAGACCCTAAGGCACCAACAGCCGAGGAAACTGCAAAGCTATGCAAATGGGAGGAGATGGATGGGAAGGCACAGACCCAAATAGAGCTGACGCTAAGTGACACAGATGATTCACATTGCAGGCGCTACCACTGCAGCTGAAATGTGGAAGCAATTGAAGTTGGTAAAGGAGGCTAGAGGAAAGCTAGGAATTTTATCCTACCGTCGCCGTTTGTACCGTACTGTTGCCGATGAGTCTACAGACATTGTAGAACACATAACTGAGATGCGATGCACTCAAGAAGAGCTAGGGATGCTTGGAAGCCAAGTATCAGATGAAGACTTCCTCATGTTATTAATAACATCCTTACCCGAATCTTGGGACTAATTTACAACAGCGTATCTTGGCACAACCGGAAATAACCCCACTGTCACTTCACATGAGTTCATTGCCATAGTAATGGAAGAGAACCGCAGAAGATTAGAGAAGAGCAGTGGAGGAGAATCGGCCATGTATGGACATGGAAAAAATCAGCATGGAAGATCAAATTGGAAGCAAAATGCTACGAAGGATAACTCAGAAGAAGAATGCTGGAACTGCCACAAACGAGGCCACATTGCAGCAGAATGTTGGTCCAAAGGAGGTGGCATGGAGGGAAAGGGTCCAAAGTCGAGAGGAAAAGGCCGAAAAAAGGGAAAGGATCATGCAAATCAAGCCAAGCAGTCAGAAATCAGTGATGACATACCAGAGACAGCTTACCGAATAATAGACATGAGCTGTCCGCAATTTGATTCACTTTTTTCGCATGACGATTGGCTTGCAGATTCAGGAACGACATCTCATATTTGCAATAATCACGATTCCTTTATGGATTTCAAACCATTGACAGAATCATCAATCAATGGTATCGGAAACCAGACCATTAAAGCCCTGGGACGAGGTACAGTCATTATAGACTGTAAAGTTGGAAGAGGAACCATTATGCATCATCTCAAGGACACCCTATTTGCTCTGAAAGCCATAAATAACCTCATATCTATCAGCAGACTTGATGATGCAGGAATGGAAGCAAAGTTTCATAGAGGAAAAGTTGAATTTCTTCGAAACAGCAACCAAGTCCTTGCAGTCGGACATAAATCCTGGTGGCTATATCAAATGGCAGTACATGCCAGAGTGACTACCGAACAGTCAAACGTCGCCGAGGACAGCCAGAACATGTGGGATTCATGGCATTGAAGATTCGGGCACCTGAGCATTACAGGACTTCAGCGTCTAGCAAAGGATGGACTTGTAGAGGGACTTACTATTGATAAAGACTCTCCACCATTCACCCAATGTGAGGCCTGTATACAAGCAAAGCAAACACATAGCCCATACCCGCAGGAAGCGAAGCATCGCAGAGAAATTCCAGGAGAACTCACCCACAGTGATATTTGGGGACCAGCCCGTGTTGCTTCCTTGCAGGGATCAAAGTATAATATTGCCTTTATGGATGATGTGACCCGACGTTGCGTACCTAAATTTATGAAGGTGAAGAGTCAAGCCTTTGATAAGATCAAAGAATACATCACCTTTATAGAACAACAGTCCGGAGTCAAGCCAAAGGCCATCCGAGTAGACAATGCAAAGGAACTAATCAGTAAAGAAGTCAAGGACTGGTTAAAGGAGAAGGGAATCGAGTTGCAGACCACTGCACCTTATGCACACTCTTCAAATGGTGTAGCAGAGCGATTTAATCGCACCCTGATCGAACTCATGTGAGCCATGCTAATAGCGCATGGCCTGCCATCATTTCTATGGGAATGCACAATCAAATATGCAGCCTATATATGAAACATGGCGCCAACGCGAGCCCTGGAAGGAAAAACACCTGAGGAAGCATGGACAAAAACAAAACCAGATGTCTCATGTTATGGTTTATTCATTTTCATTTTCTTTTCCTTCTCTTCCCTTATCATTTCTGATTATGCTATATGCTTCTTTGCTGCGATCATCACGGACGCACTCTCATGGTACTATTCTTAGGACATTCATTGTGTATTTAAGTAGAGCCTCAGCTGGTCTAAACCCCAGCTTTGGCTAAGGTCTAATCTACCCAAACCGTACTCCGAGTTTCATGACTATCTAAGTCCCAATTGATTCTCTTTTTCAGCTTTGACCTGCTGGTGTATCGTCCACTGAAGTGCGAGTGGCGATCCTAGTTTGATCTAAGTTGATTTTAGTTGGTTGTTGACATTTAGCCGAAGCTCCGTCATACGTTGCCTAGCACCACATCAGAGAATGAATGCTACCCAACGATTTTTCAAGTTGTCACCTCCCGCTTGACCAGAGAGGTCATTGCTGTACATTTGCGAGGACAGTTCCGTGACTGTTAGTGTACTCCAAGTGGACCAACGGAAAAGCACTCAACAACCTTTACGGGCTTATGCCCTCTATTGGACTCAAGACCGCATTCACACTCACCCTTACAGCTCTAGTAGCATCAACTATCGTCATCCGATGAATTTTATGCCGACATCTGAGCTCATCGCCACCCTCTCGGTCACCTTTACCCTCTTTACCCTCGCAGTCCTCGTTGTGGTTATCCGACAATCCTGCAGGTACTGCTTTTGTTGCAGAGAGGCAAGAGCGTGGCTCCCATTCCATTATATTCCCCCTTACCCGCCACAAACAATCATAATTCCTCCAGCCTCGCAACTGACCTTACATGATGGATGACCCATCACGCTGCCAGGAGGAGGAACAAGCTCAGAGTCAGGATCTGAATCCGACTCAAGCTCCAGTTCCTATCGAACCTCAGTCGACATCACAGATACCCGGGGCATACTCAATGAAGGAGGAGACTCGCCCATACACAGCCTCCTCCACGTCTCTACAATCGGAGGAGACAAGTCAGGAAGTGAAGAAGAAGGGTCTGTGGGATCAAGCAAAAGGAGCTATCTCAACCTTTGGGACGAAGAAGGAAGGAGGCTCCAAAACTTCCTCGAGAACGACGGGGGGCCAGAAGAGGAACCTGACCACGATTCAGGAGATGAGTGGGCGAGAAGGGAAGTTGCAGGAAGAATCCCCGGTGATGACCTTGAACAAGATGATGGAGAGCTCAGCCTTGGGGCCTCTGCCACAACTACCACCCGTCCAGTTGAGCCAGGGCCCTCTGGATCAAGAATGGCGGCAGATAGCTGGCCAGAGGACCAAGGAATACCCATCGCCTGGCACCCAGCCACCTCCTGGGTCTTTGCAAGGGAAGAAACTCCTGTGGCCCAAGTACCAACCCCAGGGCCCTCAACAGAGTCTGCCCAAGAGGCCCCTACCAGGACTACCCTCACCGACGAGGAGAATCAGCGGATCTGGGATGAGATCGAGGAGGGAAACCCTGATCGAGTTGAGCCAGGTTCTGGCCCCAACCAACTCCCCGGAATCCCTGATTTCACCCCTGGTGTCCCGCCCAGGGC